TTCCTCAAACTATCATTAAATCACAAAAACGAGCCAAACCATGTTTACATCGTGGTAACAGAGGAGGATGACTATAGAGCTGCAATCGGGTCTTGATATATGACTATACAGAGGGTCCGTGGTGCGGAGTCATCTGTACCAGAGCTCATACCCAAGTGTCTATTGTGTCTTGTAGCGCTGTGCGGTAGTCAATTGGTTGCCAATGTAGGTACCCCGGTTTGATTCCAGCCAGTGGTGGGCAAGTTCAACGTAATGAAATGATGAGAAATAGGACCAAAATCTAAGGTCTCAAACCAGGCCCCATTGGGTGCCAATAGACTTCCATACAGGGCCACTAGATAGGATCCAGGGCATGAGGTCTGCCCGCTTTTATCTTCTTACTCTTCAAACCCATGACCTCAGGAGTCCCAGTCAGTCTTGTTATCCTCTGAGCTACGTGGGCACACAAGGGAGTTCCTGTTCTTTCCTATTTTACTCTCCTTTCTAGACACTAGACTTTCAATTTAAACTAGACCTGGATAAGGTAAGGATCGAACCCATGACCTCAGGAGTCTCAGTCACTCTTGTTATGCGCTGAGCTACGTGGACACACAGGGGAGTTCCTGTTCTTTCCTATTTCACTCTCCTTTCTAGACAATAGACTATAAATTTCACCTCGACCTGGATAAGCTAAGGAGGGAACCCACGACCTCAGGAGTCCCAGTTAGGCTTCTTATCATCTGAGGTATGTGGACACACTGGACAATTCCAGTTTCTTCCTATTTCACTCTCCTTTCTAGACACTAAACTTTCAATTTCAACTAGACTTGGATAATGTAAGGATCGCACCCATGACCTCAAATCAGTAAGGCCTATTTCCACTACAAACCTAGAGCAGCTCAGCGTTTTTAACGCCCAGTCTCCTGATTTTTTCTCTGTGCTTACAACACTTTCAGTTGAAAACAGTTAAACTGGGATCACTGGTTTGAGGCTGTCAAATCCTGCTCTCTACTCTCCAAGTGTCTTTTCCCGGTCTGGCCCCCGACATAACTTCAAGTTCAACTTCCTGCTATCCGCTCAACACCAGCAAATCATATCAAGAAGGAGCAGGTGTTCAAATATCATCGCCATCAACAAGAACAGTGGAGAAACTTTTCAAGGTACCGTTTCCTGCCGCTAATGCTTCAACGCCATTTCTATCAACTTATTTTGAGAGTTACAAAGGGTTCTCTCTGAATGCGTCTCACAGCAAGATATAAATACGTAATGAGGCCATTAGTGCTGTTATTGGTCACACAGGTGTGACTAATGGCTTTATCAATGGCTTGACCACATGAAGATACTGCCAGCTGAGGCCTCTGCGTGCACGCCGGCTCAGCTGGCAAACCTAAATGGAATGTGGCCGCCGTAAGTGCCATTAAAGCGTTTCCTGCTGTGACGGGACAAAATGGGAATCATTGGAAAGGTCGGTGTGAGATTGACACCCACTGACACTCCCCCTCTTCCCCCATGTCTGAACATTAGCCCCGGTTTTGTCACCCAGAAACTTCAAAGTAAGCGAAGTTCTCTGTGCAAACAGGCCGTTGATTCTGCCGCGCTGGGCAACGATCCAGTGATTACCTCGCTGTTGCATGTTAACCTCAACCTTCAGCATACTCACTGTGATTACATTCGTGTTCATTAAGCTACGGTCATGCCTGCAATAAATCTAATGGTATATGTCATGACCTGAGAGTGGACGTTTCAGGATTTAAAGAGCCATCTGATTTAGGTTTACGACTTTGATTGCCATTTGATGCATGTTTTAAACCACCTCGGGTAGTTAAAAGACCTCGCTGTTGTGCCGTGACTACTCCTACTGATACTCCCTCTGATTCCCCTACAGCTGTTACGGCCACTGTTCATTGTACAAATGTAGTTTCCAAAAATACAAACTTTCCAGCAGAGTTTCAACATTTTCTGCTCAGGAAATGTAATTTTCCTCGCTCCAATTACAGCTCTGTTATATGACTTTGCGGTTAGAGTTTCATCTAAATGTCAAAAGTTTTTTAAGTTTTCAGGTAAAGGAAAATGAAGTAACTTTAGACCTTTTTTCCAGTCTAGTACGACCTTTACTAGGATTATGTTCAGCAAATGAGAACAGGATGGATTCCGGTCCGTGTATTATTCGTCCATTCAATTATTCTATTCAATCTAGTAAACGAAAAAACGAGTCAATGTTTTGTTCATTTGTTTTTCTATATAATTTCTATAGTATTAAATAAACCTTTAATAAACACTAAATCAGCACTTTAGGGGTGTTTAAACAAAAGGTGCAGCTCTGCAAACACTCTAACAGTTACACACCATCTCCACTTCCTGAAACCCCCTCCAGCAGACCCCACAAACTCTTTTCCGCTCTTCCTGTCATCTCTCCATCTGTCAGCTCCTCCTCCATCTGTCTCCAGTCTTTTGCGGCCTGTTCACCCATCCATCCATCCATCCATCCATCCATCCATCCATCCATCCACTCTCCATCACCCGTACTCTCATTAGCCTCCCTCCCTCTGTCTGTTCGTTGTCCTCTCGTTAATCACAGTTCACCCTGAAGACTGCTCCGTATTGATTGGTTTCTCCTTCCTTCCTCTTGATTCCTTCCAGCTCTCTGCTCCAGCCTTCATTACGGAGCTCCAAGGCCTCAGCAGACTCCCAGTGGGATCATGTATATTAATAAGGAAGCTGTGTATTGTTGCGTTTTGCTCATGAGTAATGAAGTTGCGGACAAACAAGCCACGTTTATTTTAATGTTTTAATTCAATATTAGGCTTTCAGATTGACCATCCAACAATCCTGGTTTGTTTCTGTTAAAGGGATATTCCGGTGTAAAATTAATTTAGGGTCAAATACACCGAGTTAGACACCCCGTAAGGGAGGTGAATGATGCCGACCGCTTGCTTTTCTAGTTCCTCTAGCTCCTAACTTCATCAACAGTACATACAGGGTCCTTGCCACGGCACTAGCCACCAAACATCTTTTTGACTTTGCCTAATTTCTTTAGCAAAGAGACTAAACACAACTCACCTACTCTCTTCCAGCAGCCACTTGTTTGTACGGAGACCTCCAAGCGAGTCCACTAACTGCAGTGGGGTTACGCAGCTCAAGGAAGAACATTTATGATCATTTCTTTATCATTTCCTTGAAGTAATAATCATCATATTAATCATTTTGCACTGCAGACACGGTAGTTCTTCTGCTTTAGCGTCTCGGTCTGATTGCATTTCCATGAAATAATAATCATAAATGTTCTTCCTTGAGCTGCGACACCCCGTGGCAATCGATGGACTCGCGAATTAGGCCAAGTTAAAAAGATGTTTGGTGGCTAGTGCTATGGTTAGGACCCTATTTGACGTTGTCGTTCACTTCCGCTTCATTCGGGTCCAGGTCGCGGGGGCAGCAGCTTCAGAAGGGAAGCTCAGACGGCCCTCACCCCAGCCACTTCCACCAGCTCCTCCGGGGGGGATCCCCAGGCCAGGTGAGAGATATAATCCCTCCACCTGGTCCTGGGGTCTCCTCCCAGTGGGACATGTCTGGAACACCTCTAACGGGAGGCGTCCAGAAGGCGTCCTAACCAGCCACCTCACCTGACTCCTCTGAACGTGGAGCAGCGGTTCCACTCTGAGCACCTCACGAGTGTCCAAGCTCCTTACCTTATCTCTAAGGCTGAGCCCGGCCTCCCTGCGAAGGAAACCCATTTCGGCCGCTTGTATCCACGATCTTGTTCTTTCGGTCATTACCCAAAGTTCATGACCACAGGTGAGAGTCGGCACGTAGATCGACCAGTAAACTTAACTTAACACCGGAATGTCCCTTTAATGGGAACCTAAAGCTATGAGGGAGACATGTTTCCATGGTTTCCATATGAACAAATGGACTTGACTCTTGGTCAAGAAGACCAAGATATTTTTGAGAAACTCCAATGGGAAAATAAACAAAATTCCCAAAAGAGCTCTTGATCTGAAAGGAGACTTTGACCTGGGAGCGCTACAATCTGGGTCTAGCCTTGACTTTCATGTTCTCCATATAAGGGAAACATCCAGCTACCATTTGATCACATTTACCCTTCAGCACAATACACATGCCCTCTGCATCCATCAGTCATTCATTAAAGACATAACCAAAGGCCTCCCACGGCACCTAAGCGACTAAACGCTCGAACAGATTCCAACTTTAAAACCTGTTTATTCACTTTAACAAGTGCAGCTCAATGACAAACAGAACATCAACAGAATCAGACAAACATGGAGTAACACTGCATTACACAAGTCAAGGTCAGATAAGGTTGAGACGCTTCAGCAACAAACAAACCGTCTCCATAGCAACAGGGGTTTTGTATAAGTGTGTGCGCACTCTGATGTGAGGGTTTTTTACATGCTCGTGTTCTCATCTGATGGACAAGAGATGATTTTTGTGATTAAAGGAGGAAAGTCCTTGTGGTCTAGTTTTCTCTCTAGTGAGTTGTGAGGATGCACTGCCACCTGCTGGTTAGGAGGGAGACGTGCAGCAGCTGAATCAGGAACATACTTTATATTTTTTACACTTTTACGCTTGTGTTGCAGTAAATACAGGGTAATTAGAACTTTACTTTTTTGTATGTTTGTGTTTTTTTGGTATATAATCCAAAAATATTATCCAAATTAGGTTTTTTTTTTTGCTTTTTTCAAACTGCAATGGCCTGAATTCAAACACTTTGTTTTAAAATGTTTAGTTTAATCTCAGCTGAGCTTGATATTACTCTTTATATAACGGATTCATGTTTAATATTCTGTATAAAGGCAGAAAGTGTCGATAAAAAAGGCAAATAAAACAAAAAAAAATGAAGGAAAACATTAAATAACATCATGAAAAACTGAAAAATATTCATAGCTTGATGAATTTTTGTCTTTTCACCGTGTGTGATTCAGTTCAGCAGATACCAGGATCTAAAGATACAATCATACACACTTTGTCGTGTGTACGTGTGTGTCGGTCTGCCTTTACAGTGTTTAGGAGTCGTCTCCGTTGGCGCTGTCGCCGTCGTCCTCTCCCTCTTCCTGCTCGCCCTCTTCCTCCTCGTCTTCCTCGTCTCGCAGTCTGCTTTTCATCTGAGAAGTGGAAAGAAGCCAATATGAAGAGCGAAGCAGGTGGAACACGACTTTTTATAAACTGTTTACAAATCCGAGATTTTGGAGCCTGAATGGTATCAAGGTCAGAAATATTCATGATGACAAATTATTGCGGAAAAATTCGCAGAAAACCTGAAAAACTATATTTTCAGTCCAATGGAGGAAAGGGAAGAGTCATCATCCAGTCATCAGCCATGTGGTCGAAACTCCTAATCACACAAAAACTCACTGTGATTCTGTCTTACACCTTGACTCTTCAACTTCTCACCTCATCTTCGTCCTCCAGCAGATCCCCCTCCTCGTCCTCCTCGGAGTCCTGGCTCTCTCTGTCCCGTTTCAGGCTGTCGTCTTTCTTGCTCGAGTTGGACGAGTTGAGGGAGGACAGCTCGCCGGGTTCTGATTTGATGCCTTTCAGCTCTGAATGAATGAAACAAGAGGTTAGAGAGTGGAACTCTAAATTAGACGAGACAAGAGACGGTGGCTGATGAGATTGTTTTTGTTGTTGTTTTTTTATACCTTGTATAATCTCTGCAGTTCTATGATCCATCTGTACCCACCTGACTTCTTGCTGTGGTCCTTCTCCATGCGCTCTAGACTCTCCAGCAGGTAGTCCACCTTGTGTTTGATCTGTGTCAGCTCTCTCTTGATGGTCTGCAGATCATCCGCCTTCACTATATTCAGGAGGGAAAAAAAAAAACATCACTAATTGTGATTCGGCAGTTTAGGACAGCTGTATGTTCGTGGTACCTACTCGTACGGGAAGTCTTCTGGCTGCTCTTGGAGGAGGAGAAGCTGGTTTTAGTCCGCCGGCTCCCCCCTCCGCTCAAACTGACCCGTGCACGCTTGGAGGGAATGACGGCCCGGGATAGAGGCGGAGGAGGAGGGACACGGGACTGGTAAGAGTACATCCTGAGATACAAATACACACAAATACAGGGTTCAGGAGCAGTAACGAGAAGGTATAATGATGAAACAGTGTTTTTTTAAAATGACAGTTTACCTATCATAGTAATCTCTTTGGAAGTCATAGTCCAAATCAACAGATGAGCTGTGGAGACAAGGTAGAAGGATGAGTTAGGAAACATCTCTTCTCAAGCTTTACAAGGCCTGTCTGTATGTAAAACTACTGCACTTGTAATTCTTATGTTGAAGCACTTGTAAATTTAGCACACCTGTACATGTCTCCTGCAGAGCGCTTCACTGTCTTCGACCTGTGAGGTTTCGGCTCACCCGCCAGGTTAATGTCTGCAGGAAGACAAACACACAAAGGTCAAGTAAAGGTGACTCAGATTCATTTCAGCCTGCATAGAGCACAAGGAATGACGAGGATTCTCAAAACTATATAACTCAATGTTTTAAAGTCCTTCTCAGTATTTTTTAAAGTTCTTGGTTTGTAACACTAGAGGGCAGCAAAGCAGCTCAAAACAAAGAAAGGTTTCAAAGCTGTGACTTAAATTGACCTTTAAAAGTTGAAGTTCTTTTTTAAGTTCACTGATTTCTTTGATCTTTTAGAATCTCACTGATTTCTCTAATCTTTTTTAATGTGCTTTGATTTCTCTTATCTTTTAGAATTTCACTGATTTCTCTGATTTTTAGAAGTTCACTGATTTCTCAGATCTTACTAAAGTTCTCTGATTTCCTTGATCATCATAGGTTCTCTGATATCTTTGATGTTCTCTTTAATGTGTTTTGTTTACTTCTTTCTAAAAGCAACAGTGATTTCTTTGACCTTTCCTTGATGCATCATAAACAAAACACTCACTTGTAAATGTGTCACTTGAAGCTGAAGCTAGTTAGCTTAACTCTACGACTTAGAAAATAACTACTTCTTTTTTATTTTACACAAAATACAAAGTAAGCACATGACCATGCGATCTAGCTCTGTGTTGCCAGACCAATCAGCCTGCTCATATTCATTTTTTTGCCACCATGTGGGTCTGGAAACGCTGTTGCTCAGAACATTTTCCCCTCAGAGTCAGAGGTAATGACCCAATCATGGTTTTTTGTTTAAGATGACCACACAGGAGTGCCACTTCAACTTCTGTGTGTAACTTCCTTAAGCTTTTCATTTTTATTTGAGCTCACCTAACACCTGTCCCACGATCATACGTCCGTCCTCTCCGGCCACAGCGGCCCGCGCGTTCCTCTCGTTGGAATACTGGACGAAGGCGTAACCTTTGTGGACGGAGCAGCCGACCACTTTGCCGTACTTGGAGAAAATGGCCTCCACATCGGCCTTGGTGACCAGCAGGGTGTTGAGGTTGCCGATAAAGACACGGGAGTTGAGGGAGCGAGGGTCCGTCTTGTTAGTGACGTTGCTGCTCGACATGAGGCTGGAAGAGGACGACGACCAACTGCTGGAGAGACGGGAAGAGGAGAAGAAAACAAAGAGACAATGATGATGACATTTTAAGGTGAGTTAGGGTGACAAGAAGAGGTGGGAAAACGGTAATTATGAAATGATGTGCATGACTAATTTGTCCAAACAGAGGTAAAAGGCTAAAATCATATAAAACAAATGAAAATCAAACTGTAACTCCTACTGCTTAACTTCAGAGACAGGGCGTACAGAAGTGAAGATATCAGACAGCATAATGGAAAGATAGAGTAACTGGGTCATATAGCAGTCAGAACTCACTCCATTGTGTTTGTATTCGGCTCGGTGGAGGTCTGCCTGCCTGAGTCTGACTCTGTTGGAGAGAAGAGGGTCGTCGGCATACTATGAGAAGTGGGAAACATCTACGTCTCCAAAAATGTAGTTTTTTTTGTCTGTAATATCTCCTTCCTCTGGGTAAACTCAAAAAGTACTCAAAAGGGGAAAGAGAGGGCTGGGCAGGAAGTGGTGGATAAATGTTTGAAAAATGGAGGAAGCCGTAAAAACCTGTGGGATAAATGATTCGTTATTATGACGAAACAAGAAAGTACATTATCATGAAGTTTAAGCCTCTATTACTTTTTCCACAGTCTCAAGAATATCTGAGTACTATTCAATATAAAACAACCGTGAAATGGTTGAAAAGGCTCAAGCTAGCATGCCAGACCAGTAGATGGCAGTAATATGAAACTATGCTGTAATGTCAAACATCATAGAAGACATCGTGCACATGCAAATAAAGGGTCTTCATGAGTAAGCAGAAATTAGAAAAGAGTTCTATATACTATAAAGCAAGTGGTGAATTTAAAACTAGCGTAGTTAGCGAATTTATTTTCTCTTAGTATAGTGATGAAAAACGGTGCTAACATCTAACTTAACGTAACAACTAGCCCGCTATCTTAGCGCAAACCTCATATCTCTTATCCTGTTTAGGTTAAAGTGCTTATATCAGGCAAAAACCACATCTGGAGACATGTACTGCTCATTGCGAGAATTTGCCATTAAAAATGTGAAAAAGGACGTTTTTTTTTTCAAAAGCTTGTTCTTGATTATCTAATCAGTTTGACTTTGGGTAAATTTAAAAATTACTCAAAATGGGAAAGAGAGGGCTGGACAGGAAGTGGTGGATAAATGTTTGAAAAATGGAGGAAGCCGTAAAAACCTGTGGGATAAATGGTTTGTTATTATGACGAAACAGTCTCAAGAATATCTAAGTACTTTTCAATACAACACAAACTCCAAATCATTGAAAAGGCACGAGCATGCCAGACCAGTAGGTGGCAGTAAAGTAAAACTATACTGTAATGTCAAACATCGTAGAAGACATCGTGCACATGCAAATAAAGGGTCTTCATGATTAAACAGAAATAAGAAAAGAATTCTATATACTATGAAGCAAGTGGCGAATTAAAAACTAGCATAGTTAGCGAATTCATTCCCTCTTAGTATAGTGACGAAAAATGGTGCTAACATTTAACTAAACGTAACAACTAGCAAGCTATCTTAGTGCAAACCTTATATCTCTTATCCTGTCATGTGAAAGCAATATTATCAGGCAAAAACCTCATCTTGTGGCCTCTAACAGACATGTAATAATGTGAAAAAGGACCTGCTGACAATCATCTAATTAGTTTGAAGCATTAAAAATTATCGCAAAATTATCGGCCTTGTTCCTGATGGTTCTGTTTGTTTGTTTCAGCATCAGTTTCTGTTTCTCAACTAGTTAAAAAAGGTACATTTCTGCAGATGTTGGATACCGTATGGGCTCAAATGCACTTATACAGATGTAGCTGTGAGGGGTCCGTATTGGCTTGATAATATCGGCTTATTTAAATATCAGTCAGGCTCTACTTTATAACTGCAGTGTCCTCTGTTTGATTCTGACCTTGGCTGTATATTATTGTCATTCCTGTCAGCATTTATGGCCATTAAAGGTAGATGTACATTGATGGGCTTTTACAATTTGCTCAAGTTCCCTCTGCTCTCTCTGCACAGGCGGCACGAAGCAGCAGTTACACAAGCTGGTAACATCAGCCCGTCGTACAATTAGCAGCGTTAAGTGTGTCAGCTTTAATATGAGAGCCAGACTGTCGCTGCTGCTGCTTTAGTTGCAAACACTGCAAAGTTATATAACATTGCAGGGGGGGGAAACGATTGTAGACAAGCAGACCCTCCAGCACTGACACAGATACTTTTATTTAATATTCACATGAAACAACTTGCTAGTGCTTGAAAATGATGATTGTGAAGCCTCAGATATGTCGTATTGTCGTATTTTGTTTATTAAACCTCATTTTAGCGAAACATTGGCTTTCCCCATTGACCGTTTTTGTTTTCTCTGTAAGTGGTTCATCTAATTATCAACCACATGAGCCTCCCCAGTCATATCTCACCTGCCAGGACACCACACAGCTGCCAGCTGGGCTTCACTGTGACTACTAGCAGCAGCAGCAGCAGCAGCCTGTCCCTCCCCGCTCGGTAGCTACCAGCAGGGGATTACATGGTTTGCAGCAGGCTGTCTGGCCAAAGCTTAATGCGCTGCTCTCCTCTACATGATTTGGCCGGCATGTTTTCTATTGCTTTGGCAGGCTGACAGGGTGTCCGCAGCATCAGGGGGGCGGGGGGTACTATCACAGGCCGCTTAGCGAATGTTTCTAAGTCTTTGTGGCGTGTCGGGGTTCAACAGGAAAATCCAGGGTTTATGCACGAGCACCCGGTGTGATTTTCACACCAGCGGAGTGGCTTTGCTGTTGGGCAGAGGGAGAGTAAACTTTGGATGGAGGATTTGCTGTTAATTTTACAGCATGTGGGTAAAAATAACAGAAACACCTACATATCATCAGGACTGTGTCTTCAGTTTATTTATACCGATTAATGCCCAAGGACAGAGGATTCCTCTAGTCCTGCTATGAATAACATGTGACAGATTTGTGACCTTGAACGCTAACAATGGAGGGAGTCGAATTTAGCATGTGTATCATGTTTTATTAGTTGATGAATTTCACTGTATGCAGGTGCATCTCCAAACTTGGAAAATGGTGTGTTGAGTGTTTTTGCAGTGATTTAAAGCTCCTATGAGGAGTTTTTATGTGGTTATGAAACAGATTAAAGTTAATGATAATGCCTCGTTATGACCCATAAAAGCAAAAGAGACCATCAGTAATAAAGAGTGATTTTTTTCATATATAGTAATTTCTGATACCTGAAACAGCTGGCAGGGGGTAGGTGTCATTTCAGTCCATCATCTACATAAAGAGGCTATTTTGACATCCTACAGCATAACTGTCCAATGAGTAAAGAGATTTTTTTAGTAAAAGAACACGAATTTCAAATCTCCACAAGGGGGCGCCACATCATCAAACACAAAGTTCCACACCGGAGCTTTAAGTTTGCTAAACGTCTTTGTTTTAACTTTCATCTGTGCTAAGTAACTTTAGCACATAAGCTAACCTGTTCAGATACAACATACCATATGTATTTTCACTGTCTCAAACTCAATCACAGCGTTGCTGTCACAGCATCATTAGGTCTCGGTTGTTACCTTAGCGTATCTACCCCCTCAAATCAGCTACAGGCATTAAAATGACAATATAGGAACTTTTATTTATGTCATTGGTAGTCTCATTTACTTTTGAGTGCCATAGAGACGCACTGCTGTTTATTTCAGTCTGTTTCATGAACTTTCAGAAAACGCTCACAGGCATTAAAATGACAATATAGGAACTTTTATTTATGTCATTGGTAGTCTCATTTACTTTTGAGTGCCATAGAGACGCACTGCTGTTTATTTCAGTCTGTTTCATGAACTTTCAGAAAACGCTCACAGGAGGTTTAAGAACACTTAAGGAATCTCCTTATTTCAGATTGGCTGCACCTCTGAATCCCAAACTAATGGGTATTCCTAGGTTGTTGTTTTTTATTTACAAAGGTCATGATGAAATGACTTATAGCTTTATAACATCTTTGCAAGATTACCATCATGCTAGTAAAAGATATTGATTAATCATACTTCTTTACACATCTTTGTAAGTCACTGTCAGGGCTGGGCCACCCCTAGTCCAAAATGTCTGGACACACCCATGTGCTTAATGTTGATTTTGCGATTTTCAGAGTGCAAAATTAAGATTGTTACATCCCTGACAAACTTAAGTTACTGTACTACTTAGCAGGTCGTTATTTTTTTATTTATTTTTGCAACTTCTTTCAGTGAAATCAGGCCGGACAGTTGAATCATCTAGCAGTATGAGCTTCCCAAATGTGCTGTCTAACACGAAGTAATCATGTATGACTGAATGCATTTGTTTTCCACCCTAATGTCAAAACATTTCTGCTCATTTTTCTGTAAGCTTTCCAATCATCTGCCTCATCTGGGCTTTATTGAATGTGTTATCAGGTTATCAGGAACTTTACTGGGCTCATTATGTCAGCTTGTCTTTCTGAGTGAGTGTTGGTTCAATGTTTGTGCTTTGACTGTAAAAAGTGAAAAATAAAAAGCAAAATCTGCAACTTCTGCTCATGGGACTCATATTTGAGGAAAGATGAGACCAAATGAGGAGGCGGGGGATGTTTCAGTCGGTTGAGATGAATCTGCAGTTGAATAAAGTTCATAACAGATTGAAGGAGGAAAAATGAAGATATCAATAATTTAACAAGTGTGCAAAATTTAACCCTCTGTGTCTTTAGAAATTGATTTGTAGGTTTTGTCCAATAACAAAAAAACAAACCAATTCAGTATTAGTGTTAAAGTTGAGAGGGTCTGATTTAATGGGCAAACAAACAAAGTTCTTGTTGACCAGATTCAACTTAGTAACAGGACATGCAAACTTACAAAGAAAAAAACACACATTAGGAAGCAAAGGCAGCAAAAAATCAGTGGTACTTTGCTTTTTTTCTGGAGTGTTATTCAGCAGTTTGTTACTAAATCAAGAGTCTTGTTATCAACACTGAACATTATGCATAAACTGGGAACATGAGTGAAGTTGTATGAGAGGCCGTTTTAGTGTCAGTTTGAAGATTATGAAAATTAATCTCTTGATTTTCTACTTTCACGGCATAAAAAAAAAAAAAAGAAAAAATTAAAAACACTACATGCTGTTTGCTAGAAGATCCAAAAGGGTGAGAAAAAGGGGGGCTAAATCACAAAGGAGAAAAAAAAAAGTGGAATGTAAAAATAAAAAAGTTGAGGGGGGAAAAAAAAGAAAGAGGTTGAGACCAACTTACGATTTGCAGCTGTTCAAAAAAGTGGCTTGAAAACTAAACAAGGGGAAACAAAAACGTGGTATTAGAAAAGAGGAGCTTCTTAAAACCATGAAACCAAGAATATAAAAAAAGATTTCTTCATTAAAATGAGAACAAGGCAGCAAAGCTAGAGCAAAAACAAAAAAATCAATGAGGTCATTTCATCATAATGGAGCCTTACGCAAAACCGATTCAGCTTTGGTTCTTTTTTTGCCAAACCGAGAAAGGTCGTTTTCTCAGGAGATCAATGTCGCAAGAAAATCAAGACGTGACATCACAAGATCAAAGGATACTGTCGCATAAATAAGTCTGGTTTGGTCATAATTTTACGGAAACAAGGTCATCATTTAGCGAGAATGAAGTTGTAGCAAAATCATTTTCTCAGAAGAATCAAGTCGTAACTTTACGTTCAAAACAAAGTGCTAATGTTACAAAAATAATACTTCAGTCATAATACTAGGAGGTTAACATCTCTGACTTTATTAACGACTATTTGATGATGACTGTACGACTTTACGGCTATTCTGTGAAAATGATTTCACTTCAACTTAAATTTTGTGGGAAAATGACTTTGAACAAAAATTTAAATCTCCAATGTTTTTTTTTTTTTTAATCAAAAATATCGACCAAATTCTCAAAATAATATTCAATCAATCCTTCGGGCCTAGCAGTCCAAAAAATATTTTACGTTTTCAGCCTATTAGAGCTGACTTCTGGAACTTTTTTTCCAAGTCTCAAGTTGAATTTTCTGTGATTCATTAATTTCATGTGATTTATTCAGTAAATGATAAGATTTTTTGGCTGTAAGAAGCAAATAATTGGTAACAATATCAGAATAAAGACTATTTTACAAAATATTGAGCCCAAAAATTCTGGTTTGGTTTTAATATTTTCAATACAAATACAATCCCTAATGGTCCAGTTATCAAGTAAGTGTGGTGAATATGGGCCCATCCCAGTTACAAAGTTTGGAAAACTTTAGTTTGTTCACTTGCTCTCAAATTATAAAGTTAGGTTTAATGTTGCCTGACTTGTTGCTCAAGGGTCATATTCACACTATTGTAAATAAGATACCTTTCTAGGAAGTCTAGGTCGCCCTACATGGATGGTATTATCATATTATGGATTATACCTGAGCAAAAAGTTGATATCCAACACTGAAGGCTTGATTTAGTGCTAGTCTGGCCTCTTTACTTTGGGGCCCAGGATAAAGGGACAGCTGCAGATCAGCTCTTCTGGAGCCAGAGGGCTGCATGCTCAAGGACATCGATGGGGGAGAGTTTAAAGGGGGGCCACAGCATGAATCTTGCTGCTTTAGGGGCCACTGTCAACTACAGGATTACTATTATGTCCTCCTGCCTCTTGCAAACCTGTAAAATTCACAGACATGTATTAAGTAAGCTATAATATGGGTAATACTGGAAATTATTGCACACTTTGAATCAGGTAGCCTTGTTAGAGCTCCCTGCAGGCCCCTCTTCAGGCCTCCTCCCTGGTCTAAGCAGCTCCGGGACGCAAAATAAATCAAATCACGGTCAATCAGAAGGACTTAGTGCACAATCTAGGTCAGACTAACACTGAAATCCAAGGTCCAAAACACATCAAAACACTGTTGTGATATTGTCCCTTCAAAAACACACCCACTTGTCATTAAGGTGGAAAAATCTTGCCTGAAAAATCACATCACTCCTGAGAGATCTGCTGCAGAAAATAAACTGTCACAGCTCTGCCAAAATCACAAAGAAAACAGCAAAAACACGGCTCATGAGTCATTTTCAACCACTGCAAGTCAAGTTACAGGTGGGGACGAGAATAAAAAACCTCCTGAGAACACAAGTCCAGAAAAAGAGAGACTGGATCTGGAAAGACTGGAACAATTCCCCACCATTTCTCCTCAAAAAATACACAACCAGATAAATACTTCGGCAACACAGCAGCCCTGAAAAAATAGATGATGTCAAATGTCTTATTAAAAACCAAAAGAAAAAAAAAAAAAAGAAAAAAGCTACTTAAAAACTAGTTTCTGTGCAGCTCATCCTGCCATCACAAAATGTACGCCACTAAAACCCAAACACAGTCTCAGGGAATATCAGCAGGAAAAATGCATAAAAAATAAAAAACAAAAAGTCCAAAAGACGCTTCAAAGTCTGGAAAAAAATAAAAATGTGGAAAAATCTCTCGGTTGAAAATACTCACCAGGAGCTAAATACTAAAAATGAGTAAAATTCAGCGCAGATTTTACTTGAGAGGGGAAAGATCCGCTTACGGCTCTGCAGGCTGATTGTATCACCTTGAAACCAGCAGACACGAAATGGCGTCGACTTGTACACACAACAGAAAACTCCCGCCCATTTTAGTCTTTCCGCATTCTGATTGGTTACTGACTCAGCCTCGTGTGGCTGTGCTCTCCGGGGATTGGTAGAATCGCCTGTTAGTCCTTCCGCATTGGTGACGCTATTCTTCAAGTGAACTCGATTGCTTAAAGAGAGATTTACGTTCCCCGTACGATTGTATTTGAATAAATCAGCTCCAAAAACTTTAAATAACAAAGCTGTGTGGGTTTTTGACTTGTGAATGGTCACACAAAGCTGCTGTTTACAGGATTAAACGTAAACGCTCGGTTTAAAAGCGCGGAAGATAACGTTTGGGGAAAATAACGTGTAGTGTCATTATGTACAAGGCTTTTTTTTAACAGTTCCCGATGTTAGTTGGGGTGTGACATTACTGGGAAACAAAGCAGCACTAGATTATAACTTAATGGAGTCATTTAGAGGGACGAACTGAAAGTTAGCTTAATTTTAAACTGCTACAGAAAGTAGGGGAGACAGGGGACAGTTGTACGCCAATGAAATCCTCCAAAAGTAAAAATCTAGCGCAATGACAGATGTCATCCACATAGACTTTACATATGGACAATTTGACTACGGATTTGAAGCCAAAAAGCTCTAGGTAATTACGCCTTTTCTCTCCATTTCCTGAAACCAACATTGCGCAGTAGCATTGTGTGCATTCGGTGGGAGAGTCGCTGTGATGACTCGGCTCAAACCACGGCCTAGGTGAGCTATGCAATCTTCGCACACCCATAGGCTGTATCAAGTGTCAATCATAGAAAACATAACCCCCTCTGATAACTTTAAAAAAACAGAGCTGTACAGAAAAAAAGAGGACTTGAGCACCAATCAGTCTTACTGTAACTACATGTCAACACTGCAAGCATTTATTCTGTTTAATAAATTTCTTACGTTTGTTCACAGTCCTATAAGCTTGGCTGGTGGAGGCAGGATTTATGACCTATACTGCAGTCTGTCACCAGAGGGTGCTGTTCTCGGAGTGGCTTCACCCAGCGAGGAGGCATGATTAAAGCTTGGAAACAGTAAACATTTCACACAGTTGACTGTTCATGTCATTTTATTTAATTTGGTCAAACATTTTTAATACATCTTTACATCTAAAACGTAATTAAAGTAGAATGGCATGTGTAATGTCACAAATTTGTCAATTTTTACTGATAAACATAGTGCAACATGGATGTGGCTTTTACAAAACTCACATAAATCAACTTTTTGTCCGGCGACAAAATTGGTTCCAAGGCAGAATCAGCAGGTTCACCACTTCAGTCTGGAAAATGTACCTGTAAAAAACAATGACTAATTACAGCTGGTTTGTACAGTGATGGTTGAAGTTTTGTTCAAACTTATACATCTACTTCAATACCTTGAATATCCGCCATCCTCCGTCGGTTCCGGGGCAAGGTAGCGTCATGTCTTGGGATGGACTCAGGTGTCCTCAGCACCTCCTCAAGCCTACACTGCTCCTCATTTTCCTGTTTGATCAACAAGTAGCATGTTAACGAGAGCAGTCTTTCACTTGGTGCAGAAAGAATTTGAAGAGGATGTGAAATGGGAACCTGGTGAGCTGGTGTTTGTTGGCGTTTTCTTCTAGCCGAAGGAGTGTTCGGCCCTGGACTTTCTGCTCCACTTTTCTGTCGTTCCCGCTCTCTCTGCAGGAGGATGGACTGCCGTGTTGTCCTGTACTCCAAAGAGAAGTTACTGATGGTTTTACAGAAGTCCTCTGCTTTGGTGTCTCGCACCATGGACCGAGAGTAACCTAGAAATAAGAGGAAGGAGTGGAACCTGGAGAGACAAACACAACACGCATTTTTAACTTCATAACCAAACTTTTTAACAAGAGCAGTGTTAGTCCGGGCAAGCTTAGCCCACAGTGCATCATTTGATCGTGACACCAATCAAAGTTAACCAACCTGTTGACGACTCGACGATGGACCGCCCTCAAGACCTTCAGCCTCTCCTCGCACTCTTTCAGAATCTTTGGCAACCTGTTGCGGAGCATACCGTCTGCCCCCAAGGCCTCGTCTTTCCTCTTATCCACCTTTCCACCTTTCTTCTTGTCTGCCTTGTCCAAAATCTTGAGCTGGTCCCATGATGCTTTGCAGAGGGCTTCTAGCTGGGTCATATTTGTCTGGACGAGGGAGTAGTCGCACTGGACAGATAAGAAAGTATCTTTGCTAGTTTGATGTTGTTAAACCTCCTAATTTCGAGAATGAGTTTGCTCTCGTCACAGTTGTCGTTTGCTAGATTCAACAGTTCTACTTCAGACTCAGGCACAGCACAAATACACCTTCCTGCAGCCAGACTACGCACCTTGCCAGCTTTCGTAACAGCAGTGATGTCAGAGTAGAGGTCAGACGATTGGGGGTAGAGCTGCATCAGGAGCAAGCAAACGTGGTGCAGCAGGGGCTGACGAGAGTGTGTATCCCTCACCTGGGACACCTTCCCAAGGTAACTCAGCTCAAAACCTCGGGCCTGGGTACATCCAGATTCATTTTGAAATCACTGAAACTCACAGTTATGTAGTTATGTAAAAATGTTTGACAAAGACAGGGGTGAAAACACACTCACCTTACATCCATTAAGAAAGTTACCGATGGCTAAAACCGTGGCGAGAATACATCTAAAAGTCTGGCTGGCTGAGAGCTGCTCCATGGCCAGCTTCAGATGGAAAAGAGGCTCAGCAATTTCCTGTTGAGAGGAGAGACACATTTAGAGGACAGAGGAGTGACTCATGAGTTACAGCCATGCTGTATTTTTGGTCTGGTGGTCTGGCATATTTGGTGACAGGAAAGATTTGCAGGATCTCTTATCACCAAAACAACACCAGAACTACAGATCTCTTCATGATGAGCTGGAGGAGGCGGGGCCAAGGTGGCGAATTGCCCTGCTAATGTTCAAACTTATTACTAAGTATTGAAGTTTCCACCTTAAACTCGCAGTATTCGCACATACCCTTTCCAAGGAGTCGTAGTCCAGTGCGAAGGACCACAGTCGAAGCCTGGTGTCCAGATGAGGGATTTCACCCAAAGTGAGGAGGCAAAGCTCAGCCGAGGCCAGAGGGCACTTAGGGTTCTGGGCTTTGGCCTCCTTGATCAGAATAAGTTCCTCCTCTGTCGGGATAAGTGCTTGAAGACGCTGTTTGAGAAGAGGAAAATGAAAATAGATGTACCTGTATACAAACTGAATTATTCGTCTCACATCTGTCCTGGACTCAGCTTAGATTCTGCAGGACATGACCTCTACTGTACCTGGACGTCCTCTCTGTCCAGCACACTGCTGTCCATGCTGTAGATGGTAGGGGGGAGGAGGCGGGGAGGTGGCAGACTGCTTAAGGCGATGGTTATGATGTTGCTCCTTTTCATCCCCAACACAGAGATGGAGGGCTGCTTCTGTTAGGAAACAGGGAGGAACCAGAGAAAGTCTGTTGACTAAATATATCGTGGTACATTTTTAGGGTCTAAAGCCTCTATCAAAGTGGTACTCCTTTAAAGACCAAGATAAAACGGTCATTGCTAAGAGTTTCATCACACAATACAACACAATAGTAAAGACAACCCAATCCCACCGTATTCTTGAAGCATCATCTTGTCTCATTGGACTTACCTGCCTCCCAGAAACCAAGCTAAAACTTGTGGTACCACCCTTCGATTCAAACAAGTACTCCAACCGGTTTGTATCCACATGAACTGGCTCAAGTCCGGCCCAAATAGTCTGAGTCCCAAACCGAGTCATCCTAGGAAGGGGAGCCAAACTCTGCAACTCCCTCCAATGGAGCTTTAAGGTGCGACATTTGGTGGTCGAACCTTTGTTGGGTAAAGGTGAGGCAGGTGGAAGAGGGGGAGGTAGAGGAGGCGGCGCTGGGGGGGCTTTGAGGCATGTTGGAGATTCACTGGTTGAACTGGTTCCCTCATCTTCAGTGCTTTCTTCTTCATCCCAGAGATCCGAAAAGTCCAAGGTGTCTAAACAAAGACGTGCCGCCGGTTTTAGGAAAGAACCGAAAGATTGGTCGAAATCCCAAGTCAGGGGGTTCTCCTTGGTCTGGTCCGACTCCTTCATTATTTCAGAGCTGTGAGTGACTCAGCAAAAAAGGTCTGTTGAGTTCAATGCCCATACCTTTTCAAAAAGTTTGTACTGGAGAAAAAAGTATCTTCCTTACTTCTACAACTCTTGATTCTTCCTAGTTCATCCATCCATGTCTTTCACAGCGAAGTTAAACTTGATCCTGTCCTGGTCTTCTTTTTCTTCTTACTGTGCAGTCAACAAACACCTCAGACACTTTGAATATGAATTTAGATGTCTGTGGATGCTTGGTCTCACTTGCCGACCACAGACATGCATAGCTCCCTCAACCAAATCACAATCTTCGAACCACCTCTGGGTGTTCTCAGCGCACCGTAACCTGCAATTGCACTGGGTGCAGCGATTGTCCCTCCAATCTGAAGTGCCGAGGCGAGTTTGGTGCTTTGATTGAAGAGTCCACAGTTTTTCTTTTTATCTGCGTGTTTGCCAGGAACCTGCAACCTCTGTCTAAAAGGAAGAGTTCGTGTGACGGATGTGTGTGCAGTCCTGCATCCAATTCTGGTGAGAAAATCCAAGGAATGTATTCCTGCAAGACTGCCAGAATTTTGAAATGAATGACGTGCCTCTGCAGCTTTCCCTTGAATATAATCTCTCTGACTTTCTTTTCTGCAAGTGACAGCGAGAGAGAGTTTAAAAGAGACGTTGTCCGTTGGTGCATTAGTTTTGGTTTATTTGAGTTGCACCCTTTCCCTTAATTTCCTTATCGAGCCTGCATCTCCTGTTTGTATTGCTTCTTGTATATACACAAACCTCTGTATCTGCCACTGGAGATCTTTTACTGCCCCCCCTTTTCTGCTTCTCCTTCTCCCATGTGAGACCAAGAAAGGATTGACCAAAGTTTGTGATTTATCCCTTTTGTAGGTCATGCAACTTTGTGGGTGACACATCAGCAAAGACATACATATTTTAAAAAATAAAAAATAAATTATGAATAGCAATAGCAAAGTCTTAAAACAGAAGATATATACATTGAAACAAAATTTGGGAGAATTTTTGGAATTTTTTTGGGGGGGGTTTGAGGGGTCTTTTTTGAAAGTGTGTTCTAAAGACATTTTTCAAGGCTTGTTCTTTTTGGTAGATTTTGTGGGACTTTTTTGGGGGAGCAATATTTTTGGGGTTGATTTTTTATTGGGTGATAACTTTTTACCTTTTGTGGGAGCATGTTTTAGGAGTCTTATTATTTGGAAGCTTTTTTGGGGACCCTTTTTTTGAAATTTTTATAAAATATTTTTACTATTTGGAGAGCACTTTTTGTGGGTGATTTTTGGAAGCATTTTTTGTTACCTTTTGGGAGCAAAATTGGGGAGCTTTTCTTTTTAGTAGCTTTTTTGGAGTTTTTAGGGAATCATATTTTTGGGGGTGATTTTTAAAAGAATCTTTTTTTTTTAATTTTTTTTTTACCTTTTACCTACTCTTTTTGGGGACTTTTTCAGAGTGTTTTTCTGGGACTATCTTTTAGACCTTTCCTTTTGGGAGCCTGAAAAAGAGCTCTAAATGTTGTGATATTGTGTGTGTTGAAACACTGCAAACATCCAGCACTCAGCTCTGTTCACAGGGGTCATTTGCATGGTCCACATGCAGCCATAATGAGGATCCCTCCCTCGGCCATTAGGTCTCCCTGTAATTACACTTTATCTCGTTCCTTGGCCCTGTGGCGGCACAGGGACTCATGGGACATTTTGGCCAAACTGAGCATTATTTTGGGAGCTTAAACTGTTTGTAACATTTATCTATCAACAGGGTTTTCAAGCCTGCTGCGAAAGAGGATTTGGAGTAAACCCTCTTTTTTTTTACAGCATGTCATTTCTTCATGAGCACATCTGCAAACTCCACTTCTTTCGCCATGTTAAAACAACTTTTTAAAAGGTAGTTTGTTTAAATCTTAAATTTAAGATGTTATAGACTCAGTTAAATTTATGAAAGTGGGGCATGACCTAGATTTGACAAGTTCTTCTTAGGCATGTATTGTGATGAAGATGTGAAGTATGTGCTTTCCCAATTTGACACGCAATTCAACATGCTTTCCTTGTGTTTGTGCAGCCATGATTGTGTATGAATCTGTACATCTATTTCATCTCTGTCCACCATAACCGCTGACTGGATCCCAACTCTCTCTTGGCCTTCACGGTGTGAGATAAAGATCAAGGCATGAGAAGAAAAAAAGTACATGTAATTACTGTCGCCTGACTTGGATCATATAAACATTTTTCATGTTGCAGTGAGAGTTTGAATTGTAAAAGGTCGTTTTGAACAAGGACACATGTAAATCCGAATAAACAGGAGCACATAAGAGTAGTTTTGCATATGAGCTCAAAGTTGTGAAAATAACCCCAAAAGAAAAGACGAGAAGCATTTTCTGTCATATCTTGAATTTTTTCATAACCGTCCTAAACACACCTTTGAATGTGCCCAAATTTTTCTAAGTCATGAAACATCTCATTTTCCTTTAAGACAATAGCATACCAGCATACCACTTTGCACCATGCGTTCAGTGCAACAATGGAGAGGTGGTTGTCTACGTAGGCTCCTTACTTTGGACCTGATGATTGATGGGGTCACAAAACCTCACTAAGACCAGGATCCAAAAGACCAAAAACAAATCAAACTTTTTAAACAGGGTAAATATCCAGTAGTGCTTAAAATTTTGTGGTGATACTTATATGGTCTGCTGTTCTTTCTTACTTGAGTTTCAGGCTTGGTTAGGGTTATGGCTAGAAGAAATGTGTTTTAACCTAGTTTGAACACTTTGACCTCTTGGGTTAGCATTTTCAATATGGTGTCGTCCTACAAAGGGCCTAAAAACTCTGTTTGAAACAGTCAGTTGTTGTTTACCAGGCAGCATAGTTGTGGTAAAAACTGCCCTTCTTTGCTGGTTTCTACATCAGCCAAAGATAACACCATCATTAAACCTAGAACACTATCGTCAGGTGATTTTCACCCAACCAAACATGTTTACGTGATTTTCATTATGTTGCCTTTGTCTGAGTATCATGGGTCCCCGGGTAGCTTTAGCATTGCCTTTCACATCTTTGAAGGCATATTTGTTTCCCTGATCCAAAACCTGCTTTTCCCTACAGGCACGTGTTTGTGTGATTTTCACCTGGCAATAGTGATAGGGGGTAGGTAGGTTTGGGTGGATTTGATAGCTGCATGTAGGCAAATAAGGTCAGTTAGAGTGGTCCTGGAATTTGCATGCTATCTTTATTTAGCGCAGTGGTTATGAATAATTATCACATAGTAGTGATCTGAAGGGAATTCATATGGTGATAAGAAATATTTTAGTCAGCTGGTCATTTTTACCCACTCAAAATATGCCATGTTTTGGTTTTCTCTCCTGCAGCTGTTATAGACGGGTTTCTTGTGTGCAAACAATACAAGGTGCGCATGCAACCATGAGGCAAAAGTCTGCTTCGGAGTGAACTGATATAAATGAAGATGCCGTATTGTTTGCAAGTTCTCCCTGACACAATTGCAATAAAATGTCATTTCATTGAAAAATCGCTTCGTCTTCATTGCGTCAAAATCAGAAAAACACCTGCTGAAATATCCACGAATTTCACTCGATTTTACAGGTTGTGATGTTGTTTTAGATGTTAGGGTCGTAATGTTTGCCGATTGTTTGATTTGCCGATTTTTGCAGTTTACAGCACAACAGCTCCTTGTCATTTTTTTCCTCCGTTGACTCCGCTGGTAAACAAATAAGAAATGTCCCACTTTCTGCCCCAAGGCTGCGCGCGCATACCCGCGTTGACGTTGCACAGAAACCTGTCTATTGGGTCAACACAAATATATTCGCTTTGGTTATTTCACTATCAGCAAGAACAGCAGCGCTTTAAAAGACGTCATGAACCACTTGGTCCAAAAGAAAACAAACCATTTTATCACGTCATGTTAGGTTGGGTTAGCATTTCCAATATGGCGTCGCGCCACAAAGGGCCTTAAAACTCTGTTTTTCCATGTTTGAAACAGTCAGTTGTTGTTCACCAGGCAGTATAGTTGTGGTAAAAACTGCCATTTTTTGCTAGTTTTTTACCTTTCGCCGAAGATAACACCATCATTAACGAGCCTTCCGTCGTCCACACGCTCTTATTTTGAAATTCCCGACCGGAAAACCCGTTGTCCGCGCTCCCGCGATGTTTTGGGAACATTCGGTGCCCCGTGGAGCGCGCGCTACCCGGTCTGAAGCTTGCCTGTCATCGCTCGCGCTGACATCACACACAGGATTTGCCACAATGTCAAACACTTACAAGCTGCGCGAGCTCATGGCTTCCCCGCGCCACAATGACAAGCATCGCCTCGTCCTCCTGCTCATCCTCTAAATACAGAAGTCCGTTCACTTTTTTATGGGTTTATTCCGCCGAACCTGGACGGGATGCGTTTGAGGTAGGACGGAATTCTCTGTAGGGTTTTATGAGAGCTCGGACTCCAGACTGAGCTTCGTCCCGTCAATAAAGAGCTAAATCACGTGTTTGGGTTATCTAGAAAGCAGTGTGTCCGCTCTGTTGGCGGTATTATGTCCTCACGTCTCTGTGTGAAAAGTTGTCCGGTTCTAACATTGACTGTGGTGGGCTGTTATGTAATGCGTGTGCGGCCACTGTCGAGCAGATGTTACTCTGCTGAGGTGATGAGAAAGCAGGACCCAGATGCTGAAATGTCAGCATCCTCTGAAACAGCAAGTTACAGAAATAGATAACCTGAAAATATTTCACCTTAAATACAGGACACGAAGAATAACCTATTCGTATAGGGCTTATATTTTCAGTCAGGTCAAAGATAATGTAACCCAAACCCCTAAATTTTAGAGTTTGGGTTTTATTGTTTAATTAAGGACATGTTTTGTAAACAAAATTGTTAATAACTTGTTTAAATAGACTTAAAAATTCAGCATTTAAGATTATGAAAGATGAATCCATGTCAAATAATCTATAAAATTGATAATGAACATCAACTAGTTTGCCATTTTTATGAATATGAGCACCATAATTTTTAAATTTTAACATATTGGTTGTGTTTATTGTTATACGACAGAGTATTAGGGCCAAATTAAGACATAAAGTAATTACTTACAAGAATAAAGTCGTAGCTAATAGCTATTCTAACCTGTTTTTAGCTGTTTAAATGAAGTAATTGAAGTAAAACAACAAACTGATCCTCATACCTTTAAAGAGAGGTTTTAAAAAACTCTCATAAAAACTAACGAGATATGTAACTGAGCTTCTTCCCCTGTTGTTTGTCTTCTCCAGCAGGTCTATGTGAGCGTGTGAGCCAGGTCAGAGGTCATGCTGCGGAGGGAATCTGACTCCCACGGCCTGTTTTCCTCCGGAGAGACGTCTGACAATGACTGTGAGGTGAGGTCATTTTATTTTTACCTGTTACATCGCTGCACACCTTGGGAGTCAGTGGGTGAAATAATAAAACTATGCTTCGAATCGCATTTTCTTTTCTGTCCTTGACTAAAAGCTTCACATGAGTTTGAGCCTGACAGATATATGGTTGGCTGATTTTGTAGAGCCAATAAAGACATAAACAGTATCAGATAATTTTATAAAGACCTTATTGCAGTGAGTGGACAGTTATGATATGATATGACTCAATCTGACACAGAACGATATGACGTGATATGACACAATACGACACAAAACGATGGCACAATACGATTTGACGCAATACGGCACGAGATGACATGATAAAATACGACATGAAATGATATGATATGACAGAATACTATATGACACAACACAATTTGACGCAATAAGGCATGATATGACATGAAGCAACATGACATCATACGATATAACATGAAATGATATGACACGATATGACGTGATGGATATGACATGATACGACATGACATGATATGACACGATATGACATGATATGATATGATATGACATGATAGATATGATATGACATGATATGACACGATATGACATGATATGACATGATACGACATGACATGATATGACACGATACGACATGATATCACATGATACGACATGATATGACACGATATGACACGATATGACATGATAGATATGACATGACACGATTTGTCACAATATGACTTGATTCGATACAATGTAGTACTGTATGATATGGTTTTATACTGTATGGTTCAACATTTGATATTGCTTATGAAGAGGACTATTACAATATTGATGCAAGCGCCAGCAATACAATATCATGACATATCATGTGATTGAATATGATAAAATATGATACAACATGATTCAATATGAAGTGATATGATTTCTTGTATGTCACCCTTAATAAGGGTTATGAAATCTGGACACTGGCCCTTGGTTAAATATTTTGCTTTAGAGATACTCTGTGCCACCCTCACTGTTAATGCCTTTATGTTCACACATACATTAGATTTATACAGTACATTTAATTATGAATACTGTAACGTGTTTTTAAAGTGACGGTTCAAACTTTTGTGTTTTTTGTCAAGTCCAAAAGAAACAGATCCAGATGTACAGAATGCTTAGACGCCAAAATGACCAGTCAGTCCGAGAAATATTAACGATTATTGTTCTTTTGATCACTCACTCATTGTAGCTGTATTTTATTTTTCAATACCAAATCAAAATCAGCTCTCATGACTCAGATGTCCGGCAGTGCCAGTCATCCGTTCGCCACTTTGGAGCTCTTTACAATGCAAGTAGGCGGAGAGGGTGAAAAGCCAGGAATTTAATCACCCAACCACAAAAGAGGAAAACATATAACAAAAACCTCGGCTCATAAATGTGAGGACTGAGTTTCTCCGTGACTGTACGTTATATAAGTTAGCGTCCATTAAAGTGACCCCCTCCCCCCCTTTCTGACTTAAGGAAAAAGGTTTAAGAGGCTTCTTCTTCTTCTTCTTCTAAGTCAACAGATCACAGTTGTTTATCCTCTCTATCTTTGTCTCCCTGTCTCAGATGGGGGCGAGCTGTGGAGAGGTAGATGTAGTGTGTCTGTGCGAGGCCGGTCCCTGTACACTTTATTCAGAAGCACACACGCCTACGTCGGTGAGTGCTCAGGCTTCCTACTTAAGTGTCTGTGGCCGGCACTCTGAGTGTTTCTTCCTCTGTTATCTAAATGCACGCCTTAAACGTCCCGCTGACCTCCCTCCCTCTCTGTCTGTCTGTCTGTCTGCTCTCTACTGTGAGTTTCAAAGGAACTGTCTGATTGCTTTTAAAAATACTTTTAATTAAGAATCTAATTAAGTCTGCTCTGTTCTCAGGACACACCGCTATGTGAACACTGTGGAAAAAACAAAGTAATGATCACCAGGTACTCTGAGGGATACGGCACTGAGGTAAAGTGTGACGTTCGAGTTCCTTCAGAAATAGATATTTCTGTTGCTTTTATTTTAGTCGGCGGCTGCAATTTTTAAGCCTTTTCAAGGTTGCACACCAAGCGATGACTAACACCCTCAAACTCAGAGACATTTCTGAAGGAGGACATTTAGCCTTTTCTCGAGTGCTGCAAAGAGATTATATTTTAATTTTTATTTCGTTTTGATTTGGACGTGAAACAAAAACTACAAAGAAAACTTCAAAGAAACCTTTTAAGGAATTTTAAAGGATATGATGGATGAAAGTAAAAGCATGAAACAGCTTATAGTTAAATTTTCAATTTTGTTTTTAATTGAACGTAAAACAATAACTGAAAGAAAACTTAGAACCTTTTAAAGAATTTTAAAAGACGCAATGGCAGAAGTACAATTAAGAGAGATGAATGTTTAAGTGTTTGCAACCTGTAATTGTTTTATATGAAAGAAAAGTAAATGCATGAAAAAGCTTATATTTTCATTTTTATTTTGGTTTCAACTAAATGTAAAAAAATAACTGTAAAGAAAACTTAAAACCTTTTAAAGAATTTTAAACAACATGATGGCAAAATTCTAATCAGCATCAAAACAGGGGGGGGGGGTTAATAATTACTATTTGATAGAAAAATTTAAGCTGTGTACCTGCCAATAATTAAATGTAACGATACTTTAAGTGTCTGTAACCTTAAATAGTTTCTTTAGATAGAAAAAGAGTGAAAGTATGAAACAGCTTATATTTTCTTTCTTTCTTTCTTTCTTTCTTTCTTTTTTGTTTTTAATTGAGTGCAATATCCTGGTTGTTTTTTAATAATCTTCACAATTTTTATATTATATTTTACTTAAATTATGTTTTTATATTTTTCTATTGTGTTATTTTGTGCTATATTATTGTTATTTTTTTACTGATTTTCTTTGCACTGTCTGCGAAAGCTGCTATTTTTTCATTTTGTTGCACCTTTTGGTACAATGAAAATAAACAATAATAATAAACAATGAATATGAAAAAAACTTTAAAACCTCTTTAAGAATTTTAAATGACATGATGGGACAATTATGATTAATAATTATTATTTGATAGAAAAATTTAAGCTGTGCACATGCCAATTTTATGTATTTTCATCTTTTATTTTTTTATGTTTTTGTTTTTAATTGAACGTGAAACAATAACTATAAAAAAAATTTAAAAACCTTCTTATGAATTTTAAAGAAATGACGGCAAAATTATGATCAGCATCAAAATGCTGGAGACCGTCTAATGAAATACGGTAATTATAAAGCCAGAAAACGATTCCAACTGTAGACATTTAATGATTATTATTTAATAGAAACATTTAAGCTGTGAACCTGACAATAATTAAGCGTAAAGTGTCAGTAAACTTTGATTGTTTTTATATAGAAAAAAAGTGAAAGTTTGAAACAGCTTGTATTTTACTTTTAAATTTTTTGACGTGAAACAATAACTGTAAAGAAAACTTAAAAAATTACATGATGGCAAAATTAAGATCGGCATCAAAACGCTAGACTGTCAAACAAAGTAAACAGTTTCAGCTGTAGACTTTAAAGAATTATGAGATAGAAAAAATGAGCAATAATTAGGCGTAATGATCCTTAAAATGTCTGTAACCTTTGATGGTTTTTGTATTGAAAAAAGTGAAACAATGATCCGTAGTTGAGAGCGTTACTGAGTAAAATCAGGCATTAAGCCCATTAGGTGTCTTTGATCTTATTAGTCATTCGCTCTGATTCATGCATTAAAACAACAGTGATAATAAAAAAGTGACGCATGAGTACGCTCACCGAGACAAATGCAATCAACATGATCTGTTGTTTTCAGTTTACAAATAGTGATAGTGATGATTCACCGCTGTTTCATCCACAAAATAAAAGCCCCTGTAGGGTAAATGTGGAGGTTGTGTCACTTAAAAGCTTTTGTGTTTTCTTCCAGACAAACAAATGTGTAATGATTGTTAAACTGGAATTATTATTCAGCTCTAGATTAGTCACGCCGTCTTTATGCTCACACTTTTATGCGCTCATCTTTTCTTTTCATATTTTTCGTGCCTCTGCAGGAGGAGTGTGTGCTGTCTGACCCTCAGGGAGAGAGCGATGCAGACGCTGATATAGAAGATACAGACTGCAGGTTAGATGTCCACCATCACAGAGACGTTTACGTACCTTTTAACCTTTGCTGTTTTCTGACCTTGTGCCTTTTAATCCCATTGGTCCAGACTCCAGGAGCCGGGGTCTCTCCAGCGAATCAGCTCGCGAAGGCGCAAGCGGCCTAGGGTAGCGAGGCAAGACACCACGGAGAGCGAGGACGACGGTGGGCGGAGCCACAGGTCACACCGCTGGAACCTCAGGCTCAGTCCTGACAGAGCGCACAGCAGGACCATCCTGGAGGTAGACAACACAAGACAGTCTTCAGCATCTTTGGTCTTAATCATGGAGGTTTTTCAAAAGTGGAAAATGTGCTTATGTGGAACACCAAAGCTGAGGCAGGGAGAGCATCAGCAAAGACAAGATGGGGAAGCAGTTTGAGTGCCCATTCTGACGTTAACCATCCAGCTAAGAGAAAGGTCATTGGCTTATAAAGACTGGAGTTAGAGTCACTGAAGTACTGTGGGCTCAGCTCGCCTGAACTAGCACCTTGATCAATTTTGGAAGACAAGATCAATACGTTTACATGAGGGCCTTATTCCGATTAAGACCGGACAATTAAAGTGCATGTAAACACGTTAGTCTGTCTATAATCGGAGTTTGAGAACTCCAATTGGAGTCGGAGAATTTGGCTTAAGGCATCCAGATTCTGACATCAGCCAATCAGCTACGAGGAAGGTCATTGCCTGATTAAGACTGGCGTTAGAGTCACTGAAGTACTGTGGGCTCAGCTTGCCTGAACTAGCACCTCGCTCAATTTTGTAAGACACAATCAGTACGTTTACATGACACTTAAGAAAACCGAATTATTGCCTTATTCCGATGAAGACCGGACAACTGAAGTGCATGTAAACACCTTAGTCTGTCTATAATCAGAGTTTGAGAACTGTGATTGGAGTCTGAGAATTCCGATTAAGACACACCCAGATTATGCGATCGGAATTCGATTTTCTCTACCATGTAACCAGTGTAGTCAGAGTTTGTAACTCCGGAACAAAAACACCAGAGAAGAGGAGTGGCATGCATCTCATCTGCAGAAAAAGTAGCGCGTACATCATGTACGACAAAAACAACGCTGTACGATGCTCCATCTTCTTGCTCCAAAATGCCCAGCAGCAGTTGTAGACACTTCTGACGTCTGGCACGGACCTGCTTTTGTTGTTGTTGACAGTTGTATGGGGTCGGAAACAGCGCTGCACATATCGCCCCCTAGAGGAGGACACGTTTACATCAATAATTTAATTTTCTCAGCTTGCATGTATACGCGGACAAGGAGAGAAGTCGGATTCAGCGAAAAAAAATGAGAAAATTATGAGATTAGTCCGATTAAGCTGTGTATGTAAACGCACCTTGTCTGTGTTAACCTCTGCTCAGTTCTTGGTTAGATTTCCCGTTCAGAAGGAGAACTCGCTCTTCTTCTTCACGCTCAGTCGTCTATGTTTCCCGAATCTGTATAGAGACACTCGCTGTGCATGAGCACAGTGTCCTTTTATAGTGTCTGACGTGACAGACTGATTATACACTATCACCACCTACTGGTCTGGCACACTTGAGCAGCTTGAACCATTTCTGTGCTGTTGTGGTGAACGGGTTATTTTTGGAAATGGAGGAGAAAAACCTCCAAGGCTGAAACTTAAGCAGACAAGAGGCTTAATTTCACTAAATACTCAGATTTTGGGTTCATTATGAAATGTGACATTTCTTCTCGTTTTCTTTTCAGGAGAGCATATCACAAGTCCGGCCTCTGGTCATCTGCCGCCCGAGCTCGGAGAGGCAAAAGAGCCTGACTGATCTCCCTCAAGACTCCGGACGTCTGATGTCTCTGTGGCCTCCGTCTCTCTCTCTCCCTCTCATCCTCCTTCTGTCCCTGCCTCTCTCTCTCTCCCTCGTCATCCTCATCGTCTCTTTCTTTCTACCCTGGGCTACAAGCGCTTGACCGGAGTAGTAGTTCCCAAAAGTTTGCAAACCAGTTCATAGAAGTTAACGAATAGCACAAAAAGGGGAGAAAACTGTGTTTAAGCTGATGTGAAGGCTCGTTTCAGTGTTTTTATTTTTCCATATTTACGCATTTTTACAGCCATGAGGGTCTCTAGAAGCAACATCCTCCGAGTGCGTTTGCTTTTGCCTCATAAATTCCTCCCCTTCCGTCTCACTTTCTCACCCCCTCATTGATAAAAATAGACCTCTCATCTCGCTCCTTATTCTAACGAGCCACAGGAGTGATATGTCGGGGGGGTTCAGGGCTGCACAGGTACACTCAAACAGGAAAATAACGGATAATTACACCGACGATGCTGCTGAACTATGCAATTCTTCTGTTCCTACGGCGGCGTATTTACCACTTCACCACTGTCTTTGAAGGTCTCCTCTTTCTTCTCGATCCCCTTACCCCTCTTCTTCTCTCTAAAAGGAATAAACCTCCTGAATGCAGGGACTACTGATTCAAAAATAGAGCATGACCTAATTTAAAAAGCAATAGCAGGAGAGATCTGATATAGCTCAGATAAATCGTAATCCACTTTACATCTGTTGCTTTAAGAGCGGGTCACATGTTTTATTTACTTGTTGATGACTGATGAGGCAACAGGTGGCTCCTTCTTCTTCTACTTCTACTTCTTCTTCTTCTATTATTATTATTATTTCCTGGCTGCACTTGTACATGTTTTTAGTAAAAGAATCCAACCTCAGAATAAGATGAGCTTTAGTAGATTTTATTTACGTTTAAAAGGTTTTAAAAAGTCTTACAGTTAAAAGGTTGCTATCATATTTAATAATATTTATGTTTGTATTTATGAATCATTATTTAAGAAGAAAAATAAGCTTGACAATCAGTCACGCTCGATGTTTCAGACTAAAATAACTGGATCCAAGCCATGTTGTTGTGGCTTCTCTGCACTGTGTACTCAATGTTTTGTTGTTTTTCTATGTTTTTAAGTTGTAGTTTTTTTTTTCACTTGACAGTAGGAGTGTAGAAAAGTGTTACGATACCCCTTTTCTCTCTGCCCGCCTGTTGTATTGCCTGTCTTGAATCTTAAATTTGATTTCCTTGTGTTTGTCTACTGTGTTGTCTTTGATTCAAGGGGCCGTAGAAGCTCAATAAAACTAGATTGTATTTTGACAAAAAAAAAGCGTCTTGATTTGTGTCAGCTGGAAAACAGCATGTCGGGGTTTTATGGGAACTGTTTTTTAATTAGCTGGAGACTTAATCCGATCAGATGAAAGCAGAATTAAAATGGCGATCTGATAGATAAAACATCTTAAGCAAAAAAAGAGGGCCTCATTTTAACTATACTTTGGATTGGCTTATCCTCACGCTAGGGTAAGCCAATCAAACCCTAGCTAAACTGGTCTAAGCTAAATTAACCCTGACTTGTTCGACCTCAGCTACAGTGAGCTATACAGGACAAATCTAAACTGGAGTTAACTTAGCAAAAACAAAGTCATTATAGCTAACCCTAAACTTAAACTAGACTTACCCAAACTTAAGCTAGGATAAAAAAAACTGACCTTAGTCCAAACCCTCTTAAGAGCAACAAACCAAAGTGTATCTGATCTTATCTGAACCAACCTTGACTTAAAAAAACTCAACTAACCAAATCAAAACTCACACAAACCTATCTTAAACCGAATTCACCAAAATTGAAGTAATCTGAATTTAACTAAACTATCATAATCTAAGATAACATGACCTTACCCCAACCAACCTGAACTAAACTCAGTCACTAAGCTAGACTTACTTGAACTAAACTTAACCAAATTTAAGACTGGTGTGCCCAAGATCAACGAAAAACTTACCCAGGTCAAACCAACCTACGAGCATTTAATCTAAGTTTATCTAATTTTATCTGAGCCAACTTTGACTCACAAAAGTGCAACTAACCAAATCAGAAATCACATAAACTAAAAAACTGAATTCACCAAAGCTGAAGTAATCTAAATTTAACTAAACTATCATAATCTAAGCTAAATTTTGAGAAGTTCAAGTTTCTTTTTATCTCCTATGAACTACTCCTTCTTTCTGTTAAGAACACAATCATTAATCCAGCTTTAAAAACAGGATAACAAACTTTGATTTGTGGGTTCAATGCGTCCTGCACTTTCGCTGACATAAAAAAAAGAGGAATACAGTGAGGCCTCATTTCCCAGCAGTGTTTGCTGCTCTTAAGGAAAGGGCCTGAGGGTGAGGGTCCCATAACGAGGTCTCTACTCCTTCTTTTACTGCGTGCATAGTCACGGTTATGAACAGTAATGCGAAGGAAATGACAAATTATAACTATATGTTGGACTTATGCCCGGAGCATGTACAACATCTGGACAGCTGCTGTTTTATAAAAGAGGAAATATTGAAGAGAAAAGTTTCATTTACGTCAGATTTTTTTGGAACATAAGCATAAAATGTAAAATCTTGAGTTTTCTTAAATATTTGTCTTTTTTGGGGTTGATTGCCATCCAGTCCTCTTTGTCTGTTTTGTGTATGAGCAGTAAGTCTATGTGTGTGTGTGAATGGCTGTGAACAGAGCAGAGTCATTGTGTCCTCAGGTAGGAGTTTTGTTTTAAAGCGAGGTGGTGCCCACCAGTTTCATTTGCAGCTCACCCACTCACAGTGCTTCAACTTCAAAGCATTTTGAAAGAAACCCAGCATGTGTTGATCGCATTACAGGGCTTACAGGGAAATTACATTTCCTCTGCATTCACTGGGGACTGAAAGTTAAGAGAAATATTGATAGGCCTCCTTATAACTCACAGCTGATCTGATTAATACCGAAATATACAAGTCGTAAGTTTTGTTTAGGTCGGATCCTACACGGTATTTCCTTTTAAATTTAAGATCAAGTTAGTATAATGTCAGAAAGACTTAACAAAAAACACCTGTAAGGCTGACGAAATCCCTGACAGCTGCCAGTCTAACACTGTTGTCATGCAAGGAGAGAGTGCCTCCGTGAGCGACCTTTGTCGGCTGCTCGTGATCCTCGAAACAAACCCTCAAGTCAAGGTTCCTCTGTGACCCTGAGGTTTGTTTTCCTGTCAGCACAAAGGAAGACAGGTGTGAATGGTGTTGTTTTGTTGCCCTGTGCCTCTTTGCACCCCATGACTCGCGATCCCTGACCCACTTGCAAGTGCTTTGGATGTGGGGAAGCAATGTGATCCCACTGGTGACCCCCTGGGTATTTAATACTGATTCCAGAGTCATACGGTGCGATATTAAGATGCCAAGGCTCTTCATGATGTCTTGGTTCACTGAGTTGAGCAGGCACAGGCACAGGCACAGGCACAGACTCAGACGCCGCAAGGTCTAGATTTCCCCCCAGTTTGCTGCTTGAACGAGTCAAATCTCTACTGTACAAATTTAGGATCTGAAGGACTGCCCACTCTGGCACTTTCACATGACCAAACATCCAACCTGTCAATCCATCATAAACCTTTGTTTTGTCTTGCAAGGGCGACCCAAATAGTCTAGAATTTCCAAACCCCATGATATATCATACTGTAAATAGCAAGGTGTCGTGCCGCTCTCCAACATGCAAACTTAGGAAGTGAGAGAGGCAGGAGAGGGACAAATACACAACACAGTTGGTGCCTGCAGACGGAGGAAGAGGTGAAGCTGCACTGCAAAAATAACACCCAAAAACTGGACTGGATTTTAATGATTCTCTCTGAATTTTCCCTGATAAAGATGACAAAAAAGTAAGTGAGCTACAGTAATCCTAACCTCAAGCAGTGTTAAGGAGTTGAGGGATTTAAGGGATTAGCGCAAATTAGAGGAGTGCTGAAGAGAATGGCTTTTGCTAACCCGTGTCTCCAGAAGGAGTGGGAGGAATGGAGGGAAGCGATGGAGGAAATGAGGAGGCAAAGATGGAGGGAGATGGTGCAACGTTGGTCTGAAGTGAGGCTGAGTGATGATGAGGAAGAAAACGAGGACAAAGAGGAAGACAACATATATTGGGATGAGGATGACGAAGATCAGAGTGAAGCAGAGGAATCCGACACAGATTGGAAGGAAGAGGATGCGAGCGTAGATGAAGTGGAAGATGAGGAGATGAGGGACGAGGAAGGAGGGAATGGGATGAGTCCGGAAGTCAAGAAGATGAGAAAGGAAGAAGGACAAGAGCAGGTGGTAGGCAGTAGAGTGAACTTGGAGGGAGAAGAGGAAGAGGTCGTGGAGAACAAGAAGATGGAGATGGCTGAGGCCGGAGAAGAAGGGGAAGCGGATATGTCGGAAAAAGAAGTCCGCGAGATCAAGACAGAGGATGAGGAGGACAGTGACATGGAAGAAGGTATGTATGTGGAGAAGGACTTGGAAGAAGGTGAGGAAAGGGATGAAAATGAGTTTGAAGTGGATGAGAGGGTGATCAGAGCAGATGAAGTGGAAAAATTAGAAGACAGGGAAGGTGACGAGTTAGAGAAGGAGGTTGAAGAGAGTAATATGGAGGATTATGAGGACGGTGACATGGAAGGTGATAGTCTGGAGGAAGAGTTTGAAGAAGAAGACAGAGAGGAAAAGAGGGAGGTTATGGAGGTTAAGAAACTAGAGGATACAGCTGAGAGGGAGCTTAAAGTAAATGGTGTTGATGAGGAGGAAGGAGAAACAGGAGGGGTGGGGAAAGATGAGACGGAGGCAGAGAAAGAAGTGGGCATCGAGAATGGGGAGGTTGACGAAGAGGAGGAAAATGGGCTGACGGAAACAGAGGCAGAGCAGGAAAGGGAGGGTGAGGGGGAGGTGGAGGAAGTAAGGGAACAAGAGAAAAGGGCAGAAGAAGGTGGAAATGAGTTAGAGGTTATAATGAATGGGGAGGTCAGTGGGGAGGAAGACTGGCAGTTCAGAGGAGAAGCACAAGTGGAGGACGTGGAGGAGGATGAAGAGGAGTATCAAGAACAGGAGCAAGTAGAGCAATTTCATCTGCTACACCAATTCCAAGACCAGTGCGGAAGAATTGATGATCCGGATCTACAGCGAAATCAAGAGGCTACAATGCAAGAAAGCAGGAGAGTCAATGAAGGGCCTAACTTGTCAGGGTCTGGTTATGAGAAATCTGAATTATTGGAATCTGATGAGGAATGTTACACGTATAAAACATTAAGTTATGAGGGGAGAAATGTTTCCAAAAGCTATGAAGAACCAGAGGAACTTCAGGTTCCTGGTGGCACTGAAGTACCATGGACTTCCAAGGACAGAAGGGAAGTAAAAGACACAACTGGAAAATTGGGAAACAAAGGACTTGAAGTTTCTGAATCAACTCAAGATGAAGGGTTTCAAGATGTTCCTGCAGAGCAAGAGGACGTAGACGAGTCAACAGAGGATGAGGATGCAGAAGACTCAACAGAGGAAGAGCCAGATGATTATGAAAAAGACATGGTGAAGATTTACCACACAGGGGATTATCTTGTGGATGTTTTCCGCACCTTGACTGAGTTCAGGTACTCTTACCTGCTCACCGACCTCACTTTGTGCACAGGAGATGGGACAAGTTTCCACGTTCACTCTCTTGTTATGGCTGCAGTCAGCTCCCTTATCAGAGACAGTCTGAGCCGGAGAAACATGGAAACAGCAGATACAAGTGTTGGACTCTCCAAGTGGTCCCTATCTCTTGGTCCAGAAGTTGATCACGTTGGATTAGAAGCAATTGTGGAGTTTGCTTATACTGGACACATATCATTTCTGAGAGCGGATAACTTGCATCAGATAAAGGCTGCGGCTCAATCACTGGGAACTCAGAGAGTGCTGGATCTGTGCAAAGTAGAAGAGGAAAGATCCACAAAGACTGAAGAGGAGAAGAAAGAGAAAAGGGATAAAGGCGCAGAACAACTCTTGACTAGTCTCAAGTCCATCAAACAGTTGTGGATGGACAGAATAGGTTGCGATGTAATCCTGGAAGCAGTTGGAGGATCGCTTCACGGTGAGTAAGGCGCCAGTGATTTGCACAAGCACAATTTCACCCACTTATGAGGACTTGATACTTGATACCATGGTTGCAAAACTATGAAGGTGCCAACCTGCTCTCCAAGATCTATTTTTGGTCATTTAGGGACACTTAGACCAATTGCTTTGCAACTTTTAGCTCTGCATGTTTACCAAAGGACAATTTGCTAGTTCTTAAGAGTCTAGCCCCCATTTTTCTTATTCTTGCATGAATGTCTCTATCCTGAGTTTCATATTGTCCTGTACATGTCAGTTGTCATTAAGATGACTGTCAAACATGCTTACTAACCACTCTCCCTTCAGTCCACAGAGTAATCCTGGCTGTGGGGAGTGACTACTTCCGCAGTATGTTCACCTTGGGTATGAAGGAGTCATACCAGCCCCGTGTGGCCCTTCCCTTCCTGTTGGCCTCAGAGCTTGAGGTTCTGATTGGCTGCTCCTACAGCGGGGCTTTACCTCTCAGCTGGAAGTCTATCTTTGAGATCACCAGCACTGCTCTCCAGCTCCAGTATCAACCCGCCCTCTCTTTGTGTCTGCACTTTCTCCATCATGAAATTAATCCTCACTCTTGTCTGGATGTGGTGTCTTTTGCTAAGGCCTATGAGATGGAGCAGCTTCTTGAGGTTGCAGATGATTACGTCTTGAGGCAATTCCAGAGAGTGGCGTGTACCTCAAAGTTCAAGGACCTGCCAGCAAACCAGCTCCTTAGATACCTGACCAGCCACTCACTCTGTGTACCATCAGAGCTTGTTGTATTCAAAGCAGTTGTGGCATGGATCGAGGCAAAGCCCAAGAAAAGGCTGAAGCTTGCTAAAGAACTCATGAAAACCATCCACTTTCCCTTGATGACCTTTAAGGAATTCAGAGAGGTTCAATCTCTGAAAATGTGGTCCGATTACAGCCTGGCAGAGCTCTTTGAAGCTGTTGTTGAAGAGTTTTGGTCAAATGATGTTGCACCGCAGACTCAGTGGCGCATCTATCTACCAAAAGAGAGTCTGGTCTTGATTGGGGGTGATCAGACCTCTGAGGACTTGTGCAGCCGCAGCATCAGTAGAGAGCTCTGGTTTGGGAATTCTCTCAGGAACCATACTGGGATAAGAAAGGCTATGGAGTGGCGAAAGCTGGGAGAACTGCCAGAGCCAGCAAGGTTCAGACATGAGGTAACTGTGTTCAATGGACAGCTGTACGTGTTTGGGGGCAAGAGTTATTACGGCATCGGTGACACTCTGAACACTGTGTGCAGGTGAGTAACGGCAACCCCAACTCGGAACAGCCGTTTTCCGCACAGAATGTGTGAATGTCTCATTGTACCTATGTCTATGTAAGGTATGACCCCCTTCAGAACACCTGGGAGAGCCTTGCTGACATGCAGAAAAGGAGATCTGCGTTTTCTGTGGTGGTGCTGGATGGAAAGATACTAGCCATTGGAGGGCATTGTGACCATGACTATCAAGAGAGTGTGGAGCAGTACTGCCCCTCTGCAAATTCATGGAGGTATGTGGCAAGTGATGGATATTCTGATTTGTTAACTCACTAAAACTTACATAACTTCACACAAAAGTAGCTGCCAATATCCTGACTACTTAACAATTTAGAAATCTGGTATTGCTGATAATTTCCAGCAATTAAGTGCATAAATTTGTAGACTGTGGCCTTGTTCAAGAAAAATAAAATCAGTGGATTAAGATAACTTTTACAGTGCAGAAAAATAAAAACATGTTAAGGGTATCAAGGAAAAGACATAGCACCCAAAGCATTGGTAATCCATTGAATCTAGGGAACATGTTCGAATTGTTCGAATCAAATTGGTCGAATGAATCAAATTTCTTTGTCTTTCAGGTTCACCTGTCCCCTGGATCTACCTCTGAGTGGACATGTAGCAAAAGTTTTACACGGCCAAATCTATGTCTCAGGTGGTCTAAACATCGACTACCAATGTGTTTCATCCATGTTCCTGTACCACCCAGACACAGGAAGCACGTACTTGGCAAACATGGCTCGCCCTCGGGCGTACCACTGCATGGAGACATTGGGTGATTATATTTATGTCGCAGGTGGACTCACAACAGACAAAAACATGATTATCAATGACGACTTAACCTGTGAGGTGTACAACCCAGCGGCTGACACCTGGACTGCTTTCGCATCTCTGCCGGTCCCACATGTAGGGGCAGGAAGTTCAGTTTTGGAGGGTAAGTTTTATGTTCTGGGTGGATACAGCCAGGTGGACTGTAGTGACACCAAACTGGTCCATCGTTATGATCCCAGTACACAAAGATGGGAGAATATGGGGAAGATGCCCGGACCGAACAATGACATACGAGCTGCTCTGTTGTGTTTGCCACAACATTTCAGACTGTAGGAAAAAGTGACGAAAATAGTGACATATTCCAGTGCTTGTTATTTAGTATCAAGTATAATTATGCTGGATTATGGATTATGTTGTAGATAGGGTGAAAATATCTTTGATTAGGGCTACCAGACTCGCTTACTTTATATCATAGATGACGATGACTCAACCTGACATCATATTCATCAGATCTGTATGCAGAATGTGAGATTTATATCTAATTTATTGCAATATGGTGCTTTATATTCCAGTTAACTGTACTGTGTTCAAAAGGTGCTTTTTGATAATCATTTACACGATGAAATCTACAGTATTATTGCAATAACCTGCTATAACATAACTTTTTGCTTTTTCTGGCTTGTTACTTGTATCTTACTTGGAAAGTGAAGGAAATAAGATAACTAATATTTTTGCTTTGTAATTTTTATATCAGTTTAAAGATGGCGGGTTGTAAAGTACAACATTTTATAGGTGTAGGGCAAACAAAAACCGGCAGCAAGGACAAGAAAAAAACACTCTGAGCCAAAAACACTTAAAGTACACATTTTTGACAGTATTATCTTTGTTAACAAATAAGATGTAGCAACGTTACACTCTTCACCAACAAACAACATTTGGATACAATGGTCTTCACCAGTAAACAGGTCACCAATCATCACGTTATATTGATGATCTACGCCAACAAACGCAATGTTTAGACGTTAACAACTTCACCAATCAACATGTTCACGAATAATCACAGTCAATCTGTTGATGTTATTCATGTTGATGGTCATAAGAATCACAGTGCTTTGACTCTATAGTCCTTAAGTCAATGGTTTACCTTGCACTGACCAAAATGCTGTAATAAGTGAAGAGTTGTGGCATGTAGTAAGTGTTTAACTTGTCTTCTTTAATCAGGACTGCCTGTCAGGATTTCCAGCCTGATTTTTTTAGTGTAAAAGCTCAATGGCGCAGGATTTTTCTCAACATTTACACGGGGAAGATAAGAAACCCGCTGAAAGTTGTGTGCCCGTTCAGGTTATCGAAAACCCTGCCCTTATCCCACAGCTCCATGTGCACTTTATCGCCAGCAGCCAATCGCAGAACAACGGAGTTGCTGCTGCTGTCCGAGCCGTCATCTGAAGGGTGGTCATAGGTTGAAACTTGACGGATTCCATTTTTCACTAATATGGCCCCCATGACATGAGTGTTGTAGCCATAGGTGCTGAAGCTGAAATAGTAGAGACCGTTCACTGGTGCTGTGAAGACTCCTGTAATAGAAAGAAAACAGTGACAACACTTTGACACGATCTCTAAGTTTAATATCTAACAGGATACTCAAACTGGGCTTCAGAGTCTCTGCCCTGCTCCTGTCTTCTAGCTACATTCCCATATCTCAATGTCTTTATTCTCAATCATTTACCACACATTAAAGTCTGAATTATTTCTTCTTTTGCCAGTTTATCCATGTTTCTCTGTTTCATAGCTCAAGGCTTTGTACTTTTCTGGATCCATGCCATCTCAGTGCCTACCTGCATGCCCACCTGCTTATCTGTGAGCTTTGAGAGAATAATATTGTGAATAAACTGCTGATTTTCAACAGATGTGTGTTATTTGTCTGTTTTTAGGTCCTCTATGCTTTCTATCCTGGTGACACCAACCTTGACAACCCTATAGGGCGATATACCGATAAACCAACCATCACAAATTAGGGTTTGTATCAGGTTCGCTTACGTCACCGATAGCATGATGTATGTAGATTAGGGTGACCATATTCTGACTTCCCAAAAAGAGGACATGACTATGCGGGGGCGACCAAAGAGGCATTAGCATGAAAACCCTGGAGTCATGAGTCCCAGCAAAGTCTTTAACTTTGTTTGAGCTTGTTTGAAATACCAGAAACAAACATTCCTGCACATTCCTGACTCAACTGTTTTTGTTGCAAACTCTCAGATATCTTAAAAGCATTTGCACACACACACGTCCCAAAGAGTTAGCAGTACCTGTGTTGTTATCGTAACCATTTCCAGTGTTTGAGAAGATCCTTTTGAATATCAGAGTCTTGTCTGTGCAGGGTCCTTTGTAAATCTCACCGAAGTTTGCCAAGGAGGCAGAGAAGGCAATCTGAGGAGCTAGTGTGAACAGAAAGATAAACGGATAATGTTTGAAGGTTAATGAAGAAGATATCACCAAATTAAAGATCAGACCTCGCTATAGAAAAAGGAAAAAGGTGGATTTTTCTCACTCATAACATAATCCTGTAAGTTTTTAAAACTATTTTAAGCTGAATTTGTTCCACCTTACCTTTACCACTGTTCTGTTTCAGCTCATCAACCTCCTTCTCTGTTGCATTCAGTCTAGTTTCCAGGCCTGTAAAAAACAAAACGACAAATACATCATTTTGTATTTCAAGCTGGAGCTTAAATTTGGAGATTACTTCATCATAAATTCCTCACCTTCGTTTTCCTTGTTCAGTCTCTCCACTTCAGATTTCTGCCTCGTCAGCTCGTCCACAGTTTCATTGAGTCTGACCTCCAGAGCTTTAACCTCACTCCTCCATCTTTCAACATCTTTCAGCTTGTCCTCCAACTTTTTAATTAACTCCTCTTTGGCTGACAGCCACTCGCGTACATCCACATCACCTCTCTGTCCGAACCCTTGCTCCACGAGCGAAAGCCCCAGGAGGGTCAGCAGAAGCAAAGTCCTGAACTCCATCTCTTAAGTGTAAAGCTTGCAGAGTTTGCAGAGGCTGCGGTTTTCTCCACGTCTTATATACCTGCTGTCCTCTCTGAGAGGTTTCCTCTGGTGTCTGTGATTCAGCACAACTGAGGCCCTCAGGGATCGCAGTTTCAGTCGTGTCCCAACAAGCACAACCGGGAGTGATGAACGCATGAGTGTGTTTGCCGGGAACTCGTCAATATAAAAGAGGAATGACTGCAAACATCGGCTTTTTCCACTGATAACAGATCATTTTACTGCAGTGAAACTATCTTCACCTGCAGTTTTGTGATTTATAAATCCAACTGATCTGTTTGGGTAATTTAATAAAAGCAACCCCACATTTGAAGTGATTAAAAGTACAATAATGCCTCTGGAAGAAGGTGGAATAAAGTTGAAAGCAGTAAAAAGCAGTCAAAAACTACAAGTACAGAGCTCAGGAACAAGCTGATTCTTGCAAAGCTGCCCATAAAAGGGCCAACAGCGCCCTCTAATGTTTGCATAAGGGAGTGAAAAAGCTCCCAGAACCATGTTTTCTATGACAGATTAACTACACCTGAACTATGTATTTTACTTGGTTTGTTATTTCCATGTTTATATGCAATTATGTACAAATTTATTGATCGACTCCAGGGGTTTAAATTTTCATCTTATGTCATATCAGAACCTTTAAAGTAAAAAAAGTTTAATTAATCCCACCAAAACACCTCTTCCTGAATTTATATGGACAAAAAGTGCAGTGCAAATAATATTCAATAATAACGAATGAACGAAAGATGAGGTCCAAACATGCAAAACCTAGAAAGTTTTCGGTCCGTGTCGTAAGTTCCAGGAGAATCATGATTTATCAAAACTGATCAGAAATTCAACTTTTCCTGAAAAAAATCAGAGAAAACCTTTTAATGTTAACACTAATGTCGTAACATCTGAGAGTACAATCTCGTGCAAATCACAGAATTTTACAAAGTACCCCTTACAGGATTAAAACTGCAAGTTGTACAAATCATATAATGCATTCCCATCTCACCAAGTCTTACCAAACATAAAGCTAACTGTCAAATTGTCATGATATGTGCTGTTTATTTATTTTCTCCTGGTTTTATTTGAGTGCACTTAGTGTATTTTCCATAATGATCCCAGAAATGACCCAAAAAGGCAGACAAATAAAAACGATTTGTTGAAAAAGAACTAAATGAAAAGCAACAAAAACTTACTTTAAATGTCCGACTGAAAAATCCAAAAGGCAAAATCCAAGAAAAGGCACTGGGGGAAAAAACACAAGGAGACTAGGGATACAACAACGGGAAATACACTGGGAAATGAGCAACAGGTGAGTCAGAGGAGACACAGGTGAAACTCATGGATGATTAAAAAAGGAGGGAAAACTAGGGAAGTAAAACCAGAGTAGAAACACAAGGAAAAAGCTACTACAAAAAAACTGAAAACTGATCTAAGAACAGGAGGAAAACAGGGTCAAACACGAACTGAAAACTCACAAGACTGGCTCTCATATAAAATTAGCAGAAAACTAAATAAACAGAACATATGACACAAATAAGCAGTTTGTGGCTTGAAAGGCATTACATTTGCAGAAAGTATCTGTCAGGTGTTAAACGTTTGACTCAAAGGTCCTAAAGTCTTAAGTGTTTGGGCAATCGGATCAAACAGGCCCGTATGTCAGTAACAGCCCCCGGCAGTCTCCCCATGTTCTCCCATCTCTGTGTGCTCAGATTGAAGCGGTGCACCAGTCCAGACTCACTGTAATCATCTTGGCAGTACCCCCCGAGTATGTAGATCTTCCCCTCCAACATAACAGATGCTGCACCCACATGAGGAACAGGAAGGGGCATGAAAGCAGTCCAGGAATCGGACACAGGATTATAAACTTCACACGCTAGTTGGTCGGTGTAAAACTTCCTCAGGTTGCAAACACCACCGGCAACATAAAGATGGCCTCTTAAGGGCTCCATGCAGTGCTGGGCCCGGTCTTGGGTCATGTCTGCCAAGTAGGTGGTGCCTCTCTTTGGATGGTACAGGAACATGGAGACCAGACACACGTACTCACAGTTGAAACCACCAGAAATGAAGATGCTGCCGTCCAAGACGGTGACAGCATGGCCGCTCAGAGCCTGGTCCAGAGGCTGGACGAAGCTGCGGCAAATGAAACAAGAGGCAGCAGGTAGAAATGTGAAGAACTGTAAGATAGATAATCTGTAAGTAGCTTTATCAATATTTTGTAATAATGTTTAGAAACAAAATTGCATAAGTAGAAGGACAATGTGGCAAATTAGTAGAAATGAAGTGGATGTTGGTGGTGAACTGTTATATCAACGGTTGTTCCTAATATTTTGCACCTTTCCTCATTTTTGTTAGAGAAGAGGACAAAATATGAGGAACACATTTCAGTATAATACACCCCTGTGGACCACCGCCCACTATGTCTTCAGTATTAATATGAAGAACAGTAGCTGTCTGATCATGTCAACAAAACTGAAAATGTAGTAAGTAAAATGGGAAAAATGAGGCCTCAATGGCACTGAATTCTTGTTAACCAACTACACAGTGATACTCTAATTGCTGTAATCAAATGGTAACATCTGCTGGCCAAACGGTGGTATTGCAGTTGTGTGATAGGGTGAAAAACTGCATCTATCGATCTTGCTCACTGATGTAGCCAAATCTTACCTCCAGGCGTCAGTGTCTGGGTCGTACATCTCAACACTGTCTACATTGGTGTTTAGCTCCCTATCCCCACCAATGGCATAAAGGTGATCCTCATGAACCACTAATGAGAAGTTACTTCTGACCTCCTGCATGTCAGCAAGCCTCTTCCAGCTGTTCTCCTCAGGATTGTAGCTACAGTTGGAAGTAAAGACAGGTAGAGGTGGACAAGATGAGTAAAGAATTAAACTCTGTTAATGGTCAAATTTTTTGAAAAGATGCTCACTCCTATAACAGAGAGTCGTTTAATTCTGTTGAAATGAATAAAATCTGAAAATTCAGCCTTCCAGCTGTGACATCAGTCTGTCAATACATTCAGGCACCATGGGTCTGTAGTTACCTGTAGGCAGACTTCATCATATCATCCTTGGTGTAGAAGTAACATCCTCCAACCACGTACAACCGTCCCAACATTGCAGCCACTCCATGCCTGAACTTTGGCATCTCCGGCATCTCACCCAACCTTCTCCATTCTATTTCCTTCACCAACCCTGTGCCACTGCGGAGGGAGTTTGCAAACCACAATTCCCTGCTTGGTATGCGCTGTCCCATATCTGGATGCAACTGGTCTCCCCCCACAAGAACCAAAGCATCTTTGGGGTGCCGCACCCGTTGCTGGTCCTGGGTGTTTGGGCGGCTGAATCCAAATTCTTTGAGTGCGGAACCATAAAGTTCTACCTCCTGGGTTCCGAAGCATTCCATTCGTAGGTTGATGGCTCTGACTTCCCTGAATTCACGAAAAGTCATGAGGGGGAACCTGACTCCAGTCATCAATAAGCCTGCCTGGCCCACTCTTTCTTCTGGATCGGCATTTACCCAAGAGGACACGGCTCGAAAAACAGCCAACTCCGAGGGCACACACAGACCATCACAGCGGAGGATGTCTAAAAGCTTCTCTGCAGGAAGGTCCAGAAACTTTGCTGAGGTTGACACCTCCCAGAAGTTCGTCAGCACAAAATCATTGGCTTCCTCAAGAAGTTCTGACATCCCATAAGCTTCAGCAAAAGATGCAACATCCAAACAGGAGCTTGCATCTATTTCCTGTCGCAGGAAGTTGAGGCAAAGCGAGAGGGCTGGCTGGAATTGAAGTTGAAGGGCTGTGCAGGTAATCTCGAAGACACAGTCCCAGGTAAGTGGAAGGACCCCACTGTAAGAGCAGCTGATGAGAGCTTCTAACTCCGGGGCTAATAGGAAGGGAAGGGAAACACAGGCCTGACATGATTCCCTCATCCCACACGTGAACATACCACGGAAGTAGTCACTGCTAGCTGCAAGGATAACTCTGTGGACTGAAGACAGACCTCCATCAGACAATCATTGCCAAGATAAAAAAAATATCAATTTTATAAGAGTGACCTTATGTCTACTAACCGTGGAATAAAGTACTGTCCACATCCAGAATTACATCACATCCCACATTGTCAATCAGCAGCTGATTGATGGACTTGAGGGTGATCTTCATTTCTTCTAGAGCAGAGATCTTATGCTCCTCCTTTCTTGGAGTTCCACCCTCCTTTGTCTGCTTCTCTTTGTTGCAGAGATCCACCACCCTAGGAACCCCCAGTGCTTGAGCTGTAGTCTCAATCTGAGCTACGGTGTCTTGGTTTAAACCCAATGTGGCACCAGTGTAGGCAAACTCCAGAACCGCTTGTAGCCCGATATGATCGACCTCAGGACCTAAGGTAATCGTTCTCTTTTGGACTCCTCTCTCCTCAACCGGTTGTTCACCATCACTCCTGAGTCTCTCCTGAATGTAGGTGCTGACAGCAGAAAGGACAGGGGAGTGTACCTCAAACTGGTCATTCTTGTTGGTGATCAAAGTCAGATCTGTGAGACAGGATGAATCCCGAAATTCCTTCAGGGTAGTGAACACCTCCTTTGGATAAGTTTCACTGTGATAAATCCGAACAACATCACCCTGCCCTCCATCTTCAGATGCATTGTTGATAGCACTCCTTGTTTCCTCTTGACTTGAACCACTTACCTTCACCCCTGACCCCTCTCTGTCACCCTTTCCACTTGCCAGGCCACTCCTGACATCATTGTAAGCCACAATCCTCCTCAGTTCTCGATTTTCCTGTTCTATTCCTTCTTCTCCCCCTTCTTCAATCTCTCTTTTCCTCCTCTCTTTCTCTCTCCTCCATCGCTCTTCCCATTCCATCGGCAGGTAGCGTCTGGTGAACTCCATATCAGTTGCGAGACTTCACTTTTCTGTTGGAATTTCAACTTGCACGAGTTTCTCTGAGGTCTTTACAATGGTTGGGTACATCTTTACAGCCAAAACACTCACGTCTTCATGAGTTTAAAGTGTCTTTTGTTTATCTTTTCTTCCCCTGCATACTCCATGTGCTCAGTGTTAGCAGCAAGCAGCTATTAATAGCTTTTGGGTCAGACAGATTTGGTTTCAGCTGCATCTTGGTCACAAGACAAAACTTAAGAGTTCATTGGCGGGCTAATCAAAGGTCAAGATACACATTTCCCTCAACTCTAAAACTAGCTAAACTTTGTCCTGTAATAGTTATCTAAATAACTTTGGCTTTTTGAGATCCATCAAAAAGCCAGAGGAAACCCTAGCTTGAGTCTGTTAACAACCAAGTTTTGCTACTGTTAGTTGATTACAAAACTTTTTGATTGAGCATGTTCCCTAAAATGCTCAATCTTCATTGCATGTCGATGTGTATATGTTTCTCCTCGTTAATGGTGCATCCCCAGTGAATGTCTATGTAACTTTTCCCCAGTGATTTTTGTCGGATTTTGCTCCCTGTGGGAACAAAATACACAGGGAAATGAGCGACGAGAGGCAGGTGAGACACTGAGACACAGGTGCAGACAATTACAGAGGAGGGAAAACTGAGGAAGTAAAACAAGACTAGGAACACACAAGGATGGATAACTACAAAATAAAACAGGAAACAGTGAAAACTGATCTAAAGAATAAAACACTGAGAACATATGGGAAGCGGGGCACAAACTGAAAACTCAAAAGGAACAGAAATTACCTTCAAATAAACAACACAAGGAGAAAACTAAATTGGGGCGTCATGTAGGTCACGATATACCATTTGAGCATCGTCATCGTGATGTACATGCGCAGGACAGTCACATTGCAGAGCCTGCAATATCAGAGGCGAATGAATTCATCTAATTTCAAAGGTAGCTGACTGACAGACACTGCATGTGACTCTGCATGTGCTGTGCAGCTATCCACCAATCACATTCGTTTTTTACTTAGTTGCCAATCAAACTACCCTGCCAGCCATCAATCAAATTCAGATAGGCGGAAACTACTCACCTGCACATGGAGTGAGTCGCTGGCGCTGCCGGTGTTCTGCTGAGAATTTTGGAACATTACTCATCACTGTTTAGCCACCAAAATAAGAACTGTATGGGTTTAACGTGTACATTTTCATGGACCACTCTACTATAAACGGTGTGCGTTTCTGCGAGGTGCATGCAATTGTCAGCGTGCATGCGTTTCTCGACACAACACCGGTAACGACGATTGCAAACCGAGCAATGAACAAGAGAAAACCATCGAAGATGAATACTTATTGACAAAAAGAAAAGCAATGTCACTTACCACCGAAGATGAATACTTGTTGACAAGAAGTAAAGCAACGTCACTTATCTTGAATTAATTCGGTTACAAGAAGGATGGCATCACAAAGCACCTGTTCTGTGTCGGCAGTGCCATTCATCATTTTTTAAATATCGCAATTAATATCACAGGGTTGAAAAAAAAATTTAATGTCAGTTTTTTTCCAATACCTTGCAGCCTTAGCGTGTTGTGGACACTTTACAGTATAATAAAGAATCTTGAGTCAAATCTTGTCTTTGTTATATTTATTCAATCTTGCAAGAAAGAGGAACACGTGTCAGAGTACTAAGGCAGTCTGCAAAACAGTACAACTTCAAAGTCAGATTTATACACATGCATAAAAAACTGAACGTCATATAGCTTGGTGGAAAAATACTGAGTGAATATGTGTCCTCTATTATGTGAACTTAAGGCTAAGGCTAACAGAAACGGATTAAATGAGAACTAAAAGTGCTTTTTCATGATAACTGAGAACTAAAATAGTTAAATAACTACACAAGCAGTCACAAGCTCTAAACTCTTCATATGAGATGAATGCAAAGTATTATTTGGGGAAAGTCTTGTATCATAGTTGTGTCACTTATTTTTGTTGTAGCACCTCTCAGTCGTTTCGTTTTTCTCTTCATTGAACCAAGCTAATTCTTACCGCGAAGTGCGGGTCCGACGACACGGCATATCGACGTGCTAAGTACACTTGAGCAGCTAAGCTAAACATGCTAGCGATAGCCAGCAACTTAGGAAAACTTAAGCGAACCTGTTTTTCTTTCTTGTTATTCATGTTGGGAAAATCCCACCGCTGCCACCAATGTAGCCGAGTGCGAGGGCGCTTATACTGGGTAAGGATTAAAATAAAGAACAATACAAACGGCAGCCATTTCGTGTCGGCAGCATCGTCCTCTGTTTAAGTTCGCGCTCGCTTTCACTTGTCAATTGAGGCCGTGTTAACAACATCAACACCTTCCGTAATCCTTCAAAATAAAACTCGGCACATCCTGTGTACTGAACCGTGCCTGCCTAAGCTCCACTGAGAGCTGCTACAACAAAAATAGGTTACAGTTGTATATGTGCTTTTTCTTGCAGCATTGCTAGTTTTATCTATGAGTTAAAAAGGTTAGTTATAAACTTTCATAAAATTTTATTTTTCTTAGATGCCTTTTTTTTAAAATGTGTTAAGTCTTGAATAATAAACTTTTATGAGCCATAAAAGTATTTTGATAAAAAATAAAAGACTTTTACATCATACTGCAGTTGAGTAAATTCCATAACCATAAAGCGGAGTAATAGCCAAAATAAGATGATTGTTCATCGCTAAAAATATTTTTAAAACTGGATGTACAGTTTTGCACTTGCTGTAATGAACTAAGGTTTAACATTGTTAAACTTCAAGGTTTCACTTTATTTGCAGGTTTTCATAACACTGCTGTACTGTATGTTGTTATTGTCTGAAGGTGATCAGGTACTCTGGGTAGGCCTGGTCATCGTGGAAGATCACATACATGGTGGGCGCCTGGCAGTTGTCCACCACGCTGTCGTAGCAGTCGGTGCGGTCTGAGCCTCGAGGTGGGGCAGCTTTCAGTTGGGAATTACCTTTTGTGCAACGGCCTGTCAGGACACGAGTGACGTACAGCCGCTTCAGTCCTGATGCATCCAAGGGTGAATATCCACGGGCCGAATAGTCTGCGTTGACTGCGAAGTAAACTCCCTTTCCATATACAGCAGCTGTAATGAATAGAATTAAAAAACACGTCATCTTGGATGTGTCTAGACCACTTACCAGTGTATTTCCTCTAAAGGAAGTTTCCACAGTAACTAGGAACTTTAAGAGGTACCCAGGAATGTTTGACCTTTTCTGGGGGACCAGGAACTTAACATCCAAGTAACTTGATAATACTCCCTAAAAGGTTCCTGTTGGGGGTGTTGTATTTTCTGAAAGTACAAGGACTTAGGGTACTCTTTCAGAGGTGTGATTCCACTGAGTAACTTTAGAAAGTATCCAGTGAGTCACCACCACAGAAGTTTCCCTGCTTTCCCACTATGGACTATTTCAAGGAACTTGGTGCAATACAAACACCATAAAAATTAAGCCTGAGTGACTTTTTTCAGTCCTTAAAAAGACCCTGATCGGATCAGTTCCCTGAACTTTGTATCAGAGACCAGAGGGCTCTTTGCCAATTATTCTCATGTCTGCAGACCTTGGTGAAAAAATTGAATCTTTTAATCTCTGGAAAAGGAACTCATGTGACTAAAAGTTCCAGGTATTTTTGGTGGAAACAAGGCTTCAGTCAGGAAGTTAGTTCTCATGAAGTTAGACCTCGTGGGGTCTTATCAAGGAGCTGTTAGCTCAACTTAGCTTGACTTGGCCAACAATGCTTTACTTTAGCCTTTGGCTACTAATGTCACATTTACACTTGCATTATATCCCCCTCACTCCTGGCCCCCTCCTCACCATGTTGTCCTGCGTAGCCCCTGTCAAATTTGTTCTTTTCAATGCACTCGCACGACTCTGCAGATGTGCCGTGGTAAAGAAACCTCTCCCCAAGCTCAGCACGACCATTCTTGGCAAAAATACGCTCCCTACACACAGTATATGCGTGCCACAGGTAGACGTTTTGCACACGTTCAATCTGAGAAAGGAGAGAAAATGATCAAGTACTTTTGTATGCAAAGTCCATACACATACAAGAGTCTGTGTTCTTTGGGTTGCATATTTACCTTACAGATGTTGTAGTTAGCTGTTCTGAGGAAACCCTGGGCCACCCCCTGGTATTCTGTTGAGGAAGGCTGCAGCTCAACCTTTTTAAAAGTTTCCCCCTCCATAGGCTCCCAGTGTGTCGGCAAATCTAAGGCTGAAGATGGAGTCGCAAGAATTAATGGTCGGGTTACAGCATTTTCAAGAATTTCAACAGTTCTTACACTAATGCCAAATGTTCAATAAAAATATTAAGCTACGTTGCAAATTGTGACTTACTTGTTCCACTCATGCTTCTTTTCACTTTGTGAGTGGCGCCTGTTGTCCAGTTTGTGGCCTCTCTCGCCCTCACGTTTACTGTTACCTTCATGCCGTCTGGTGCTGTAACATCTACTAACACTTCATTGCGTGAGTGAGCCCCCTCTAGCAGGAAGTTGTCATGCAGGCTCAGCTCTTGCCAGGCCCCACAGACTGGATCCAGAATCGACCACTGGGTAGTAAGAGCCAACATTGCCTCTTCCTTGTCCTGGAGATCTTCACAAAGTGCTTTCTGGATTGCTTTGTTTATAAGCTCAGTGACGCTTAAGACGTCTTCTTTTAGGCCTTTCAGCACATAGACCTCTCGCCCTGAATCTGACAGACTTTGAGTTTCACCTCTTGCTGTGTTTCCTGTACTGTTTCTATCTGACCTTCCAGAGCCTTGGAGTCTCTGGTACTCAAGGCTTATTGCGAAGAGGCTGATTTTTGCCTGCACTGCCTCCAGCTCCATGGGTTCAAGCCTGGAGAAATCCTGCACATCCACCTTTTTCTCTACCAGCTGCATTTGCAGGAAACCCTCTAGATCCCTCTTGATGGTCCTGATGGTTTGTGGACCACCACAACTTATCACATTCATCGTGACTGGAGGAGGTTTGAAGGAAAGGAAGGTTTTATCTGGAGTTGCTGATGCTTTGGCAGTTCTTTGATTCTGTAACTTCTTGAGCAGCTTCATGGCTTTCTCTGAAAAACACAAGGGGAAGCGTTATTGCGTCAGTTCTTTGAGATCTCCACTAACACTGAAAACCATCCAACTTATCTGAGCCATGAAATTCCTGTCTTTGAGTCAAATCATAGCAATCAGTCTTTGTTTATAGAGCACCAGTTCACATTTCAAGGGGCTAAAAAAAAACAAGTTAAAAAATTAGGGATGCCCCGAACCGATATTGATATAGGATATCAGGCTGATATCAGAATCAAAAGGAATATCGGATTATATCGGTCTGCATCTAAAATCTCCAATGTCAGCACTCTGATATGAGCAGTCCATTCCAGACTACGCTCCAGTACCTCTATCTAGCAGCTCCCAGATCCAACTTGCAGAGCCCACATGATCACAACAACGGAGTGTACTCAAGAACTAACAAAGTAGCAAGGAGTAGGAGTGATGTCGGCCGTGTGGCGGTATTTTTCATTAAAGTCTGAAAAAGACATTGCAGCTGAGTGCAAAAAGTGTCATGCACAAGTTTGTGCGAATATTGGATCAATATCGGTTTTGGCCAACACTGAAGGTTTACAACATCAATATCGTATTGGAGGTAAAAAATAAAATAAAATAAAAAAAGTTGTATTAGGACACCCCTATTAAAAATAGCAACCCATTTGATGGAAATGCCCTTTAAGGTAATTATTGAGCCTTTATCCACCACTTATCATTTAGGAAGCATGTCGTCATCACAGAAAAATTTGAAGTCTGTCTCAAGGACTTCTTAGTTTGGAGGTGTTCCAGGCATGTCCAATTGGGAAATTGGGAAGAGACCCTAGGGTACACCCAGAGCTCACTGGAGCGACTACAATCCCACCTAGTTCAGCAATACCTTAGGATCCCAGGGATGGAGCTGGGGAAAGAGATTTGGGTCGAGTAAGGCTGCTTTTGAGTTACCAGGCACAGATGTGAAAGCAGCCTGGAGAACTACTGAAACTCAATCATCTTTGATGGGCAAAGTGGGGAAATCCTATCAATAAAGAATATCTATCCATCTATCAATCCAGGTAACAACAGCAGTTGTCCATCACTACAAACTAGTTTGAACCAGATTACAACAAAGTTGCGGTGGTTGCCCTTTTTATGCATCAAGATGTGTTAGCTGAAAATATGTAAACAAACCTCTCAGGGTGAGGTGGGGAGTAGCTGTCTGCCCAAAGCGGTTCTCCAACTCCAATCTGTAAAACATAATACATGACAGAGACAGGCAGTGAAATCGGTGTATAAACAACATCTCTGCTTTGCTTTTAACTGTTTTTTTTTTTAATAAAGAAGACTCTGTCTCTGACCTGAAAGCCTGATAGACAGCTTGGTCCAGGATGACTATGCGGATAAGTGAGAGAGACTTTGGTTTCAAGTCTGTTATAGCTGCAGTCATGCCGTCCAGCATGGCTTTACAAGCTGTGAAATAGTCCATCCTAGCGGCACCTGGAAGGACATAAAGACATCACGTTGTTGTTCTTCACCCTGTGTCAAGATTCTGCTGACATCTAAGCTTCATTGAGGAGTTTTGTCTGGTTTGATAAGGTCTCTATTGAAATGTTGATTTCGTCTATAACCTTTTTTATACTTAGGGCTTAACTATTAAAAGTAAACCAATCACTTATCTTCTATTCATGCTCAACAAGTTGAATTACTTTTTTTTCCAAAAGTATTTATTGACATTCAACCTTCATCCATAAGTCAGTACAGTCAATACAAACCAGTATTGATTGCTGGAAATGCTGCTGAGCAGAAGCCTTTGCTTTCACACTGCTTCAGTATCTTTATGCAGGTCTTCCGAATTATTTGCTGGTCACAATGAAAACTAGCATGAATGATTTCTTTACAACCAAGCAGTCCTGCCCCTGTGGTGTGATAACGGTCAGCTGGAACACCCACTGAAAAAAAGGCAAACACAAAATCTTGATTTAGAGGTGAAAAAGACTTAATCAAAGATTCCCTCAGATGTCATACCAAATTTCCAGAAAATTGAGAAAATTGAATTATTACTTGTTACCTTTAGCAAAATCTGCTTCAACAGTGGGTCCCGCAGCAGTCAGAATAGCTTTGGATACACCTACAGAGTTTGTGAACATGAAATAACAGTCAGACCTAATCTGGGTTACTACACTATAATCATCTCCGATCTCAGATGCTAGGGGAATGTTTAAATTAAAAATCAGTTCAGAAAAACTGAGAAAATCCGTCAACTATACCAAATTGGTTTCTGGAGAAGTCCGTAGTGTTGACGATGACATCAGTGGTCTCGTGAATTATGTTGTCATTGACAATCTGAAGCTTGACTTCACCCAGCATGGCTGTGACCTCATCATTGGTGTTGGAGACATGGCGGTAAAAGGAAGCTAAAGCCAAGCCAATAAAAGAAAAATATTTCAATTAAATCTTCTGAATTCCATGTTTCTGTGTAATATGCAGATAACCCTGTGAGCCAACTCCATATATCTTTACCCATTTGACCTTAGATTAATTCTTGATTGATGAGAAAACTGTTAAAACTTTGTTCAAAATGGAAACGGAAAAGAAAATTATAGATTATTGTAGACCTTGGTCTGGGTTGACATCGTTGGTGAATCCTCTGAGGTGCAGATGTTTCTGGGCCGATTGGAAAGCCTTTTTGGACAAAGAAAGAATCCATTTGAAAAACCAGACTATTATTAACTGGTTTGTAAAAGAGCCTTAAATAAGTAGGCTAAGTTCTTTGACGGTGATATTGATGTGCACACAGTAGGTAACAAATGTCAATAACTGCATAAACAACCCTGTCACAAGGCTGAGGTTTACGAAATGTAATACCCCAACCATGCTTTAGAGTTTTGATACCTTGCTTGACTCTTTGTTGTTGGGGTGAATGACACAACGGATGAGGAAAGATGTTCTGTCAACTCGGCTCTTTTCAAATGCTTGGACTTCCTCTAGTATCACCCTGGATGCCACACTGTGAGGAAAACGAAGGACACCCCCGGCCCCAAGCACTGGTAGTGCAACTGAACTGTAACCTCTGATTCCGCAGAAAGCCAAGATCTTTTTAATGCTTTGCCGCAGGACCTGTAAGACATACAGATTATCAAAGTTAACAGTTTTTTAAACCTGGCTAAAAGGTGCTTATGGTAGGCCAAACTCACCTTGACTGCAGTTCCATCTTGGTTATTATCCCAGGGAATGAGGTTGAGGAAAGCAACTCCCTTGGAGCTGAGTGCAACGATGTCCTTCACTATGACAATGTCACTTGGCAATGTAGCTCCCTTTGCTTCCTGGTGAAACTTTGCGGCAAGCTGAGGCTCCTCTCTGACCAAAATTTGTCCGACAACTGTAGAGACAGGATCGTGGCCAGCCATAGGACATACCAGACAATCCACCTGGATAAATAAAAAAAACATGTTACAGCCAAGTTTACACTGAAATGACCCTGGAAACTGTGTTCACAGTGAAAGAGGACCCTGTGGTATTTGCACTGTGTGTAAGTAGGATTGCTTCTATCCAGAACTGGGTTGGTTAAATACAAAAGTTGTTTTGCTTTAATGCCACACCGATTCCTATATCAGCCTTCAACTACCTGTGGCCATACATGACCTTTATAGTTTCTTACCTGTTGGGTCTCAAGGGTTCCCTGAATGACTTCAAAACGGACGCCATCTCCAGGAAGTCCAGCAGAGGCTCCTCTTGCTGTATCTGGTGCAGAGGCACTTGTCCCTTCAGGGTTTACTCTGAGAATTCTGTCACATGCGTCCTGCATTGCTCTTACTACCTCCTCCCTGTCATCAATCAGTATTATCTTGTTCAGACTTCTGTCCCCTTGACTGCAAAATTTCTTCACAGCAGTTACAATAGCCTCAGAGCACACCTTGACAGGGACGCCAAACAAACCTGAGCTGATACAAGGTATGGCTATGGACTTGAACTCCATCACTTCAGCCAAATCTAGAGCGGACTGGATTGTTTTTTCCAGTAACTCGCTTTCTCTGCCACCAGATTTTCCACCTACAGGCCCAACAGCATGCAACAACTTCTTGCATTTCAAGTTTCCACCTGTGGTGACTACCGCTCTACCTGTAGAAATCTTTCCATTTTGCTTGACGAGTAAACTGCTCTCCTTCTGCACCTCAGGGCCGCCTGCTTTGCTTAGTGCACCAGCAACTCCTCCACCATGGTCAAGTCTTTCATTGGCAGCATTCACTATGGCATCAGCATCCTGTTTGGTAATGTCACCGTTACACACCAGAACCTTGAGCCCTTCATGTAGGCAGTAAGTGGCAACTGTACCTGATGCCAAATCCTTTCTGGAAATATGAGGTTGCTCCTGAAACTGTAGAAGACACTTCTGGGAACGAGCAACTCTTAAAATGTCCTCCCTGCCAGAAGGATTTTCAAAATACCTTCCAGCCCCAGGCATGTCAACGATGACTCTGTCTTTAACCAGGGAGTCCAGAAACGGACCTAACCTGTTCCTGACCTCAGTTACTTTCCCTGATGGACCTTCTAGCAAAACCATAGGCCTGGAAGAAGATGTCAGAGGACGGATGGTAACCCCTGAGTCATCAAACTTGTGCAAATGCAGCAGCTCTGGCAGCTGTTGAGCTAGCTCTGGGAATGGGAGAATGAGTTTGCCTTCGATGCTTGCCTCATCCAAAATAAACTGTTCAACCACTCCCTTCAGGGCTTCAAACTCCTCCGTATGGCCCTGTAGGTGCACCTTGTTGTCTGAGCCAAACACAAACTGGGCTCGACATTGCTCTTGGTTCATACTCGATGCCTTGCACTTGAGCTTTTCCCGAAGTTCAGATGGCACAGTAGAGCAGTTAGGAATATAAAATCTATCTTCCTTGAACTTCTTATGCAGCTTTTTTTCTGTGTCATCCAGTTTATCAGCGGAAAGGGTGTAGATATGTAGCCCTGCATCTCTCAACTCTATTTCCACATTGTCTCCAACCCCTAAAATGTCACCTAACACCCCTGGTTCTCCATAAGCCTTCCTCAGGAATGCCAAAAAGTGTAGGCTTACACCAGAAACTGTCCTCTCTAACACCGATTTCTCCATATCTGAGATCAAATCTCCAGCCTTGCGGATTTCCTCCAAGGAACCTTCTAAAACTATCTGACCATCATTCGTCTGGGTCACTTTCACCTCTGGAAAAGATTCCCCTAAATTGTGCTGAATCTCTTTCCAAAGGAGACTGAGTTTGGCCTTACCCAGACGGCAATTGGTTTGCTTCTTATCGGACTGTGTGCCTCGTTTAATACGAGAGTCAACATCCACCAACATGGCCTTCACCTGTGAACGCTTCCCAACCACAACAGCCAACCCAGCCTCATTGTATACTTTCACCTCATCTGTGGTCTGAGGGGAGCCGTAGGACTGAAGCAAAGCCTTAATTTTCCGAGATTCAGCCTCATAGTGGCACAAGAACTCATCAAAGACTTTGTCCACCTTTGCTTTCCAATTAGTAACATCATGAGCAGCATCCGGTTGTGATAAACCTTGAATTAACACCCTTCCCTCATCTGGGTAAAACTTGGCAGAGCAGGAAGCAGAGGGGAGTTCCTTTTCTAGTTCTTGGCTAGCTTTGGGGCTCTCCTTGAAGTAACGAAGGAGGTAAGGATCGCGCTTGAGTTCATATTCGTCATCACATGGGCGCTGGCTTGATGCAAGAGATGGCTGCTGTTTCTGCTGTTAGAAAGATACACACAATAACGGTTTCAGTACACAACATTTTTTCATATCAGCTAAAGCACTGATTATGGAGAACCCATATGGAGTATAAATACAAAGATGGCGAATTCTGGATTAAGAAAAAACACAGAGTTGGAACTACTAGATGGGCAATTTTGCTTTAAATCTATCTTTTATATTTGCATTCAATAAAAGTAAAGTTTGGATCTGGGATGTTAAGCCATCTTACACGGTTTCAATCAAGATCACGCCCTAACTAGCCTCTTCCTGCATCCCTACAAGTCTCTCACCTTTTGCACTGACATTTAGTGTGCTTTTTTCCCAGGATCCACTTGGGCAGACACATGTATAGTCTGTATCTCAAACTCATGATTGGCTATTTGCCTAATTAGCAGTGGACTAGCATCAAAATCAACAAATTGAGTTGGGTAAATTCTCTTTGTAATTCAGTTTGGTAACTTCTTTCTTTTAATACTAAAAACTGTGAAACAGTAAGTCAAATATTTTAAATTCCCCAATCCGTACTTTCTCTTCCCAGTTTCTCAATCTATCTACAATCTTATCTCATGCAATAATATTGAAACAAACAAAAAACGAATCACAGTTTTTCAAACTTACTGAGTGAAAATCTCAAGGCTGCAAAGTAAGAACAACATCCAGAACCTTCCACACTAACCTGTGAAGGGGAAAAATCCAGTACTGGGTTAAGTGACTTTCCTTTTTGTGTTGGGCTGTCTCGCACAGTCAGCACCAAAGGACCACCAGCCAACTTCAACACATGCTCAGATTTCTGCAGGACCCTCTGTTGAGCTGTAACAAAAAAAGGTTTAGGTAAATAAAACCTGTTTTTTAGATAATCTTTCAGTTTTTCATTTCACCTGCTTATGTGGATATTATGGTGGTAATGTGTGCATCAGTTACTAAATTCCCTCCTTTGTGTATGCAAATGTTATGTAACTTCCCTTTGTCAAAACAAAGCTATACTTTCACTTTCACACTTGACCTCCAATGACATGGTTAAAAAGGCAATACAAGTATTTTGCAGATCAAAAAACTTATTGCAAAAAGAGAAAAAATGCAGGAAAATGTCTGAAATAACAACAGAACTTCATAGGGATCGGATCTGTAAACAAAATTGACAGCAACATGATAAAAAATACAACAAACATCAACAAAAACAGCTACAAAAAGTGTTTAAGTTCCCCAAAAATGACTTAAAACAAGTACAAAAACACTTTTAAGACCTAAAGGAGAAGCAAACTGACAACAAAAGAAAATAAAACATCTATTAAAGAGTAAAAGTTGCACAAAAAAAAAAAAAGGATCAAGATCAAGCTCAACTTCCTTTAAAAAGTGATTTGTGTTATTATTGTATTTGTCAGGTTGAGTTGTCAGTGTTTTTTAGTTTGACGTCAAATATAGTTTTTCCAGTAAAAGCTGATGCATCAGTGCAATCCTGATGAACCAGTTATGCCAGTTGTTCTCCTTTTCCTGTCAGAGTCCCTCCTGTTTAATTAATTCCTCACATGCCCAGGTATTATGGAGATTATCATGCGATATATGGTTGTGACGTGCGCATCTTAAATTCAGCTCAAGAAAAACAGAAACGTCAACCTAACATTATCTAAAGACGTAATTCATGTTTTAATGCTTATTTTTAGTATTTCATTATTTAAGAATATGTCCTTGGCAACTTTTTACTTTCACTTTCACCTTCACCAATGCGCAGCTGAATTCATTCAAAAACAACGGATAAATCAAAGTTTATCACTTAAAAACTTGACTTACCATCTTGATCCTTGAAATCAATCCTGTAAGTGTTATCTTTAATGTTCGTGAGGGGGCTGCAGTCTCCTCCTCTTCGGCCGACTTCAAAGAACGTTTTTATCCTTTTCTTCAGCTCTGCGTCCAACCCGGGGTAGTCGAAGAAAACTGGATACTGGTAGGGATCCCCCATGTTTTGAGAAGTACAGCACTTTTTGAAACTTTTGTCTAGACTGCATAAGAACAAGAAGTCGGCTTAACCACAGCGCAGGGTGAAGTGTCTATGCCAAGTGCTTTCTGTTCGCCCTCTGGTATACTCCTTTACCGTAAACTCCCCTCCCTCTTTCCTTTACCATCCTTACCGTGTTTACCTTTGTACTCTTGTACAACCCCTTCACCATCCTTACCTTGTTTACCTTTGTACTCTAAGGAGATTTTTTTTTAAAAAAAATCATATGTTCGTGGACAAGTTTGGTCGTGTTTCTTTTTGTTTATATTTGTGCAATATTTATTTGAAAACGGTCTGATTTCACTCGTGGAGCCACCAAAGAAACTGTGAGACATCCTAGGCGTTGGCTCAGTGAGGTTGAAAAATGTCACAATAAGTTCCCTAAATGTAAAAAAAAAAAAAAGGGGGGAAGACAAATTACTGTGGCTATCTCAGCCGCGCTTAGATTTCAAGTGCGCCTGTATTAGGATCATTATGGTAAACGCTCGGCCTTAAATTCCCTTATTCTCACGAAAGCGTCCACATCTCCTTGTCTATTCCTCATTGTGCCTCTTTCCAAGCCTCAACCTTGCTCTCATCCAGCACCAGAATCGAACCCAGAACCCCACTGCTCCACCCAAGATGAATACTTGTAGACAAACTCAATGTCCTTCACTCTTGTTTATATGTCCATAAATTCTTCAATAACAAACAAGCCCTTCCTGAAACTTTTTTACCTTTTCATCCGACCTTCATCCGTACTCAACACGACAAAATGGCCATCTTCAGTTACCTTCATGTAGAACTTCTAGTCATCAGTCTAACATCACTTTTAGAGGTCCGAAACTGTGTAATCTTGATGCACCTCTAAAATCAATATCATCCTTTAACTCCTTTAAAATATCAACTAATCATGTCTTAAATACATCATTATTTGTTATGATCATGTTTCTTTCCTTTTTATGAATACTTTATTGTCTTTATCACTGTTTGCTGATTTGTATGTGTTCCGTTTATGGCAACTTGTATCTGTTTGACCTTTCCCTAATCATTGTACATGTGTAACCTGTCTATGTACTTTGTCGTCTGCACCTTATGTTTTCTCTGTCCTGATGGGAGTGGAACTTTGTATAAGCCTATCGGTTTCGTTCCCTCCTTGCACTGTTTTTAATATGTGCTAAATAAACAAACAAAAAGAAAAGCAACGTCACTTACCGCCAAAGATGAATACTTGTTGACAAAAAGGAGAGCAACGTTACTTACCGCCGAAGATGAAAACTTGTCGACACAAAGAGAAGCAACGTCACTTTTCTGGAATTATTTCGGTTACAAGAAGGATGACGTCACAAAGCACCTGTTCTGTGTCGGCAGTGTCATTCATCTGTTGCAACAATAACGTCCCAGCACAATAAAAGCAAGCTAAAAAGATCTTTAAGACAGACAGAAGCCATTATACTAACATTCACAGCAAGAGGTAAGATCAGTGCAGGTTAGCTGTCCACAAGATTTAAATGAGAACGAACAGTGCTTCTTTATAACTGAAACAAAGCAGCCTTTCTTCATAATAACTACACAATCAGTTGCATAACTAGCTCTAAACTCCTCATATGAGATGAAGGCAAAGTTTTATTTGGGGAAAGTCTGGTATCATAGTAGTTGACCTGCTCTTTAAATTCGTGGTCCACACTTCATTGAGAAGAAGACTGTTCCCTTGTGCTCCCACACCTCACTTACCTTATAACACCTTGCCCTTCCTGGGTTGATGCCTCACACTTTAGATTCCTCAGTTTACCACAAGGACGACATTTTATTGAACCACTATTGTACTACAACACAAAATCACAGTATTCAATCTAACATTATCATTTCCTTGTAGGGCATTCTATTGCATTTAACAGGTCCTCTTCAACATATTAGATGTGTCAACTGTCATGTTGCAATTTGTAGTTTTTTGGATGTGCCTTATTTTAAAGATTTTGTGATGAACCTTTTGTTTGTCTGAATTTTGAGCGGCTCTCATTACATCATCAGAAGCCATTTTTTCTTACCTGAAAATTTCATTCTACTTTTTTTACTGGTAACATGTGCTAGTATATGGGTGTGTTGTTGGATTTTTACAGTATAACAAAGGATCTTGTGTCAAGTCTTGTCTGTTAGATTTATTCAATCTTGCAAGGAAGAGGAACAGGTTTCAAAGCACTACATTTCTATGAGCATCGCTAGTTTTATGTATTAGTTAAAAAGGTTAGCTACAAACTTTCATGACGTTCTATTTTTCTCAGATGTCTTTGTAAATGTAAAAAGTCTTGAATAATGAACTTTTTATGAGCCATAAAAAAAAGTATTTTGATAAAAATCGAGTGACTTTGACATCATACTGCAGTTGAGTAAATTCCATAACCATCAAGTGCAGAAATAACCAAAATAAAATAATTGTTCCCCGCTAAATATACATTTTTTTAACTGGATTTTACAGTTTTTCACTCGCTGTGATGAACTTCAGTTTAATAAATATTGATAAACTTCAAGGTCTTACTTTATTTGCAGGTTTTTATAACACTGCTGTACTGTATGTTGTTATTGTCTAAAGGTGATCAGGTACTCTGGGTAGGCCTGGTCATCGTGGAAGATCACATACATGGTGGGCAGCTGGCAGTTGTCCACCACGCTGTCGTAGCAGTCAGTGGGGTCTGAGCCTCGAGGTGGGGCAGCTTTCAGTTTGGAATTACCAACTGTGTAACGGCCTGTCAGGACACGAGTGACATACAACCGTTTCAGTCCTGATGCATCCAAGGGTGAATATCCACGGGCCGAATAGTCTGCGTTGACTGCGAAGTAAACTCCCTTTCCATATGCAGCAGCTGTAATGAATAAAAAAAAACATGTAATCTTGAATGTGTCTAGACCACCTACCAGTGTATTTCCTCTAAAGGAAGTTTCCACAGTAACTAGGAACTTTAAGAGGTACCCAGGAATGTTTGACCTTTTCTGGGGGACCAGGAACTTAACATCCAAGTAACTTTATAATACTCCCTAAAAGGTTCATGTTGGGGGTGTTGTACTTTCTGAAAGCACAAGGACTTAGGGTACTCTTTAGGAGGTGTGATTCCACTGAGTAACTTTAGAAAGTATCCAGTGAGTCACCACCACAGATCAGATCACTTCCCTGAACTTTGTATCAGAGACCAGAGGGACCTTTTCCAATTATCCTCATGTCTGCAGACCTTGGTAAAAAAATTTAATATTTTAACCTCTGGAAAAGGAGCCCCTGTGACTAAAAGTTCCAGGTATTTTTGGTGGAAACAAGGCCTCAATCAGGCATCTTATGAAGTTAGACTTCCTAGGGTCTTCTTTGCCTTTGGCTACTAATGTCACATTTACACTTGCATTATATCCTTCTCACCCCTTACCATGTTGTCCTGCGTAGCCCCTGTCAAATTTGTTCTTTTCAATGCAGTCGCATGACTTTGCAGATGTGCCGTGGTAAAGAGACATCTCCCCAAGCTCAGCAGGACCATTCTTGGTAAGAATACGCTCCTTACACACAGTATATGCGAGCCACAGGTAGACGTTTTGCACACGTTCAATCTGAGAAAGGAGAGAAAATGATCAAGTACTTTTGTATGCAAAGTCCATACACATACAAGAGTCTGTGTTCTTTGGGTTGCATATTTACCTTACAGATGTTGTATTTAGCTGTTCTGAGGAAACCCTGGGCCACCCCCTGGTATTCTGGTGAGGAAGGCTGCAGCTCAACCTTTTTGAAAGTTTCCTCCTCCATAGGCTCCCAGTGTGCCGGCAAATCTAAGGCTGAAGAAGGAGCCGCAAGAATTAAGGGTCGGGTTACAGCATTTTCAAAAATTTCAACAGTTCTTACACTAATGACAAATGTTCCGGAAAAATGTTACACTATGTCTGAAATTGTGACCTACTTGTTCCAATCATGTTTCTTTTCCTTTTGCGAGTGGCGCCTGTTGTCCCTTTTTGTTTGCCCTCTGGTGTTGTCATGAAGTAAAAAACACAAGAGGAAGTGTTATTGCAGCGATTCTTTGAGCTCTTCGCTAACACTGATAACCATCCAACTTATCTGAGCAATGAAATTCCTGTCTTTGAATCATGTCATATCAATCAATCTGTTTAAAAAGCGCCAAATCACATTCCAGGGCACTTGCCAAAAATAGCTGACCTGCACCATACTCTATCAATAAATTAACTTGAAAACAGATTTGTTTTGCAAGTGAAAACCAAATTAAAAATAGCAACCCATTTGCTGGAAATGCCTTTTTAGGCCTTTATGCACCACTAATCATGGGGTTATTGAGGAAGAGTATCATCATCGTAGAAAAATCTGAAGACTGTCTCAAGGACATCTCCCTTTGGAGTTGTTCCAGGCATGTCCAATTGAGAAGCGACCCAAGGGTAGGCCCAGAGCTCACTGAAGGTGCTATATATCCCAAATAATTTGGGAACACCTTGGGATTCCAGAGGTCGAGTTTGGGAAAGAGAATCAGGGTCAACTCTGGCTGCTCTTGAGCTTGACGAAATAATGACAATTACCAAAGATGTGAGAGCAGCCCCAAGAACTACTGAACCTCAATCATTTCTGATATGGAAAAGTGGGACAAGATCCTGTCCTGCAATCCAGGCAACAGCAGCTGCAGTTGCCAATTAACCCAAGTAGCTTGAACCTGATTGCAACAGAGTTGTGGTGGTTGCCCTCTTTATGCATTAAGATGTGTTAGCTGTAAAGTCCAGAGGTAATGGAGAGCTGATGCCCCCACTTTGTACCAGGGTCCTTCTCACCCTGTCTGGATTCTAATTCACATGGCCACCAGCTCAGTATCACTATCGTAACAACTTGGAAAAAAGACCATATTTAAACAAACCGCTCAGGGTGATGTGGGGAGTAGCTGTCCCTCCACATTGTTTCTCCACCTCTGATCTGCAAAACATAATACATGACAGAGACAGGCAGTGAAATCAGCGCATAAACAACATCTCTGCTTTGCTTTTAACTGGTTTCTAATAAAAGAGACTCTGTCTCTGACCTGAAAGCCTGATAGACAGCTTTGTCCAGGATGACTATGCGGATAAGTGAGAGAGACTTTGGGTACAAGTCTGTTATAGCTTCAGTCATGCCGTCCAGCATGGCTTTACAAGCTGTGACAGAGTCCAGCCCACCGGCACCTGGAGGGACATAAAGACATCCGGTTGTTGTTCTTTACCCTGTGTCAAGTTTCTACTGATACCTAAGCTTCAGTGAGAAGTTTTGTCTGGTTTGATTAGGTCTATATTGAAATGTTAATTTAGTGGAACTGCTGATTAAGCATTTCCACTTATTGTTATTCTCCTATTTCTTTAATCTTATTATTTTTGAAAAATTTCCTATTAAAATCAATGGGGAAATCATCCAATTCTACGTTTTTCTCATCCAATTTATGTAGCACATTTATTGTAGTTTTACTTTAACAATTTCCACATTAATTTAACCTCTACTTCTTCTTTTTCACCCCCCCAACAGCGTTTAAATGTATAACTTCCTCCATTTTTTTAGCAGTTTTGCATTGCTTTTTTAGCTTTCTGCACTCAGCATTTTCTGCAAATAAATGCAATTAACTAGTTTAATTGATGACATTTTTTTAGACTTAATGTATAACTATTGAAAGCAAACAGGGGGTGGCCAATGACTAAATTCTAATTCATATTGATTTCTTACAAAACAGGTTGAATTACTTTTTTCAAATGTATTTATCGACATTCAACCTTCATTCACATGCAGTCAGTACAAACCAGTATTGATTGCTGGAAATGCTGCTGAGCGGTAGCCTTTGCTCTCACACTGCTTCAGTATCCTTATGCAGGTCGTCCGAATTATTTGGGGGTCACACCGAAAACTGGCATGAATAATTTCTTTACAACCAAGCAGTCCAGGTCCTGTGGTTAGATAACTGTCAACTGGGCTGCCCACTGAAAAAAAGCAATCACAAAACTGTTGACGTAAAAGTGAAAAAGATTAATTAAAGTTTTCCTCAGATGTGGAAACAAATTTCTGGAAAAATAAGAAAATTTAATCATTACTAGTTACCTTTAGCAAAATCTGATTCAACAGTGGGCCCTGCAGCAGTCAGAATAGCTTTGGACACACCTACAGAGTTTGTAAACATGAAATTACAGTCAGACCAAATCTGGGTTAAATCTGTTTATAATTTTCTCCAATCTCAGATGCTACTGGAGTGATTAGATTTAAAATTAATTTAGAAAAACTGAGAAAATCCATCAACCATACCACATTGGTTGCTCGGGAAGTTGGTAGTGTTGACAATGACATCAGTGGTCTCGTGAATTATGTTGTCATTGACAATCTGAAGCTTGACCCCACCCAGCACGGCTGTGACCCCATCATTGGTTATGGCGACATGGGGGTAAAAGGAAGCTAAAGCCAAGCCAATAAAAAAAACAAAAAAAAACAAGGGTTTAATATTATTCCAATTAAATCTCTGTAGTTCATTTTGATTTAACATTCAGTCTCAAAGCTTTGTGTCCACGTCAGTTTGTGTCTAATGCCTGCTCTGTTCTGTAAGCCTGGAGTCTTTGCTGCTGCTCTCTCTGCCTTGATGTTTCTGTCAACCAGACATCTTTGCTGCTGCTCCCCCTGTCTAGTTTCCAAGGCAAGAACATAAAACAGAGGGGAGGTGTGTCCTTCCTGCCTCAAGCTTTAGCATTCCATGTGTTCAAGTTAAAGGACAGGGAGCTTACAGAGCCATACGGCAAAAATAACTTATTGAAGGCAAACACTGATAACTTTTTTTAATTACAGTAGTTCTGTCTCAATTGTTTTGATGGTAGACTGTTCTAAAACTCAACATGGAGATGAATGTCATGTTTCTGTTGAATATACAGATAGTGCTGTTAGCCAACCCTATGAGGGCTAAGTGTGTTCAGAAGCCCCATCACATTTCTTTACGTGTGTGACCTTAGATACATTTTTGCAGTAAAATGGCACCCCTTCTAGTCTACTCTTGAGTTTAAAGAAATAACAACAGTTACAAGGCACATTTGTGAGAGCGGCCCCAAGAACTACTGAACGTCAATCCTTTCTGATATGGAAAAGTGCAACAAGATCCTGTCCTGCAATCCAGGCAACAGCAGCTGCAGTTGCCAATCACCACAAACTAGCTTGAACCTGATTGCAACAGAGTTGTGGTGGTTGCCCTTTTTATGCAATAAGATGTGTTAGCTGTAAAGTCCAGAGGTAATGGAGAGCTGATGCCCCCACTTTGTACCAGGGTCCTTCTCACCCTGTCTGGATTCTAATTCACATAGCCACCAGCTCAGTATCACTATCGTAACAACTTGGAAAAAAGACCATATTTAAACAAACCACTCAGGGTGAGGTGAGGAGTAGCTGTCCCTCCATATTGTTTCTCCACCTCTGATCTGTAAAACATAATACATGACAGAGACAGGCAGTGAAATCAGCGCATAAACAACATCTCTGCTTTAACTGTTTACTAATAAAAAAGGAGTCTGTCTCTGACCTGAAAACCTGATAGACAGCTTTGTCCAGGATGACTATGCGGATAAGTGAGAGAGACTTTGGTTTCAAGTCTCTTATAGCTGCAGTCATGCTGTCCAGAATGGCTTTACAAGCTGTGACATAGTCCATCCCACCGGCACCTGGAAGGACATAAAGACATCCGGTTGTTGTTCACCGCCCTGGGTCAAGTTTCTGCTGACATCCAAGCTTAAGTGAGGAGTTTGTCTGGTTTGATTTTGTCTATAATAAAATTTTAATTTTGTCATAAAACTTTTTAGACTTAAGGCTTTACTATTAAAAGCGAACCAATCATTTTACTCCTATTCGCATTGATTCCTTGCTCAACAAGTTGAGTTTTTTTTTTCAAATGTATTTATCGACATTCAACATTTATTCATATGTCAGGACAAGCAGTACAAACCAGTATTGATTGCTGGAAATGCTGCTGAGCAGTAGCCTTTGCTCTCACACTGCATCAGTATCTTTATGCAGGTCGTCCGAATTATTTGCTGGTCACACTGAAAATTAGCATGAATGATTTCTTTACAACCTAGCAGTCCTGGTCCTGTGGTGTGATAACAGTCAGCTGGAACACCGACTGAAAAAAGCAAACACAAAACTCTTGACATAGAAGCGAAAAAGACTTAATCAAAGTTTTCCTCAGATGTCATACCAAATTTCCAGAAAATTAAGAAAATGTAATTATTACTAGTTACCTTTAGCAAACTCTGCTTGAACAGTGGGTCCTGCAGCAGTTAGAATGGCTTTGGATACACCTACAGAGTTTGTGAAAATGAAATTACAGTCAGACCTAATCTGGGTTAATATACTATAACTATCTCCAATCTCAGATGCTACAGGAATGTTTAGATTTAAAATCAATTTGAAAAACTGAGAAAATTCATGAACCATACCAAATTGGTTGCTTGAGAAGTTCGTCGTGTTGACGATGACATCAGTGGTCTCATGAAGTATGTTGTCATTGACAATCTGAAGCTTGACTCCGCCCAATATGGCTGTGACCCCATCATTGGTTATGGAGGCATGGGGGTAAAAGGACGCTAAAGCCAAGCCAATTAAAAAAAAAAAAACAAGGGTTAAATATTATTTTAATTAAATCTCCTTTGTTCATTTTGATTTAAACAAACAAACACTGATAACTTTTTTTGATTACAGTAGTTCTGTCTCAATTATTTTTATAGTAGACTGTTCTAAAACTCAACATGGAGATGAGTGTCATGTTTCTGTTTAATAAACAGATAGTGCTGTTAGCCAACCCTATGCATGCTAAGTGTGTTTAGAAGCCCCATCATATTTCTTTACCCATGTGACCTATAATTGATTTTTGCAGGCTATAAGATTAATGACAAAACGATTTAAACTTTTGCTCAAAATGGAAATGAAAAAAAAAAAAAAAAAACATTCATTATTGTAGACCTTGATTTGTGTTGACACTGAATCCTCTGAGTTGCACATGTTCCTGGGCTGATGTGGAACCCTGGTGGGACAAAGAAACGACCCAATTTAAAAAACTGGACTCTTCACTCCTACCCACAATTTCCACCGCACTTGTTTATTGGGGTTAGGCAGCTTCTCATTCAGACAGTTGGTCAGTTTATGCCTTTGATCTTTGACAGCTGTTTAGAATGCATTGATCTATGACACATACGCCCACACATCCTGACAATGGCCATTTTCTAATTCCCCTACTATACTAGCAGTACGTACTGATTTGCCCAAAACAAATGCGAAATTTGCCGTATGCCAAAAATACCCGGATGACGGGTACCCTGGTAACTTCTGAGTTTTAAGGTATGTTTAATACTAAAAACTGTGAAACAATTAATCTGACATTTTAAACCTTCCCGTCCATACTGTCCCTTCCCACTTTCTTAATCCATTCACTATCTTATCTCATGCAATAAAAGCCCCAAATTAAAACAAACTTGCTGAATGAAAACCCAAAGACTGTAAAGTGAGAACAAAATCAAGAACCTTCCACACTAACCTGTGAAAAGGAAAAATCCAGTACTGGGTTAAGTGGCTTTCCTTGATGTATCGGGTGTTCTCGCACAGTCAGCACCACAGGACCACCACCAAAATTCAACACATGATTAGATATCTGCAGGACTCTCTGTTGAGCTTCAACAAAAAAAAGTTTAGGTAAATTAAATTGTCTTTTAGATAATCTTCCAGTTTTTCATTTCACCTGCTTCACAGCTGCTTGTATGCTAAAGAAATCAGGCAAAGCCAAAAAGATGTTTGGTGTCTTGCACTATGGCTAGGACCCTATATGTACTGTTGATGAAGTTAGGTGCTGTTCTGAGCATTATTTGTGGCTATAGAGTGACGTTTTGATTGAGGTTTGTTTATGGCTCCTAAGACTGCTGTGTATTACTACCCTGCGGTTAGCTTGGACGAGTAGAGTGGCTTTTTAGTTGAGGTGTGCCCCTGGCTCCTCAGACCTCTGTGTTTTGCTATCGTGCAGTCGTTACTAAAGTTGGTATAACTAGAGAAGCAAGTGGTCGGCAACATTCATCTCTCGAGGGGGTATCTAATTCAGTGTTACGGTGTGTTTGACCCTAAATTTATGTTACGCCGGGATATCTCTTTAAGAGTGCACAAGTCTGTGACTTGTGCACTCCTAGAGCCTTTGTGAGCATTACTGGAGATTAAATTCAGGTTCTGATACTTTGACTTGGGCTACATAAACCAAATTTATCAAACATAATCTAAGGCCCAAGAGTGGTATGTGCTGTGAATTTTAGATATCTAAACACTAAGGGGTCCGAGAACAGTCCCAGAGAAACCATTAACCCTTTAACGAGCTGATCATTAGCTTTGGGGTTAGTTTGGGAGGTTTTATGAAATGATTTCATCAGATTATAATTTTATAATCTTCAGAGGCCTCACAGTTCAAATTTCATGTCTGTATCCCCTAGAGGCCAAATGAGAGCAAAAGAGCAACAGGGTCAAATGGGTAAACAGGCTTCATGCCTCAGCTAGGCCTCAAAGAGTTAATGACAACAAATTTTGTTTCTCCAGTAAAATGATTTTAAGGACATTTAGATTTTTTTGGTTTTCAGTAGTAAGTAAAATAAACATTTTAGCTCAAATAAAATTTGAGTTTTCTGTCCATAATTTGTGGTTTCAGGTATTAAGGGGTTAAAGTATTAGCACAGTCCAGTGGTTTGGAGATAAACTAATAAATCAGTTATGCCAGTTATACTTTTTACTGTCACAGTCCCTTTTGTTTCATTATTTCTTCACAACCCTAAGTATTATTAAGATTATCATGCGATATGTGGTTGTGACATGCGCATCTATAATTCAACTTAAGAAAAACAAAATTGTTAACCTAAAATGTTTAAATCCATTGTTCATGGTTTAACTGTAAGCGGTTTGGGGGGTTTTTGCATTCAGTCGTATAAGAATGTTTCCTGTTGCAGCTTTACTTTCACTTTCACCAACTTACAGCAGAATCTATTCAAAAACAACGGATAAAAACAAAGTTAATGACTTAAGAATTTGACTTACCATCTCGATCTTTGAAATCAATCCTGTAAGAGTTATCTGTGATGTTTTTGAGGGGGCTGCAGTCTCCTCCACCTGACTGTTGGTAGGTTTGAAAGTACATTTCTATCCATTTCTTCTGCTCTGTGTCCAAACTGAGGCAGTCAAAGAAAACTGGATACTGGTACTGGTACTGGTAGGGATCCCACATGTTGTGAGAAGTACAGCACTTTTTAAAACTTTTGTCTAGACTGCATGAGAACAAGAAGTCGGCTTAACTACACCGCAGGGTGAAGTGTGTATGCAACGTGGTTTCTGTGCGCACTCTGGTATACTCCTTCACTGTAAATTCCCCTCCTTCTTTTTTTCTTTTCTTTTTTTTTTTGTTTACTTTTGTACTCTGGCACACCTTCACCATCCTTACCGTGTTTACCTTTTTTCTCTAAGGAGATAAAAAAAATAAAAAATTTGTTTGTGGATGATTCCTTTTGTTTATATTTGTGCAGTATTTGTCGCGATCTGGGTTGAAACAAAAAGGAAAGCACCCAAAATGCAGAATCAAAATGAGGATTTATTTAAAAAGGAAGTAAAACAAAAACTTACTTTTCAAATTGTCCAACTCAAAAGAATCCCAAGAAACACAATAATCCAAAAAAATCAAAGAACCACAAAATCACAAGGAGAAAAACCACAAGGAGACACTGGAATCACACAGAGAAACATCCAACATAGAGGCATGGACATACAATGAACCAACAAAGAAACAGGGGAAGACAAGGACTATATATACACACAGGAAAACTAGCAACGAGAGGCAGGTGGGACACAGAGACACGGGTGCAGACAATTACTGAGGAGGGAAAACTAAAGAATTAAAACAAGACTAGAAACACAGGGAATAAACTACTACAAAATAAAACAGGAAACACTAAAAACTGATAAAACTGAGAACATGAGGGAACTGGGGTCAGACACAAACTGAAAACTCAGAAGACAGGACAACAGGGGTACAGGAACAATAGGGAAAATCACAAAGGAAATACACTCTAGGGAAACACAAAACCAGGGGAAAACTAACTCAAACAGCACACAGCGTGACAGTATTCATTTTAAAACGGTCTGATTCCACTCCTGGAGCCACCAAAGAAACTGTGTGACATCGTAACTAGGCCTTGTTGGCTGTATGAGGTTGAAAGTCAGCTAAAATGTCAGAATAAGTTACCCAAATGTAGAACAAACAATGGAAGAAAAGTTACTGTGGTTAACTCAGCCTCTCCTAGTTTCATAGTAGTCAGCTCAGCTGCTCTTGAGTTTCAAGTGCGCACATATTAGGAATTTCCCCTATTCACCGATCCTCCCGCAGGCGACAATTAGGCACTGATTTATAACGCCTTTAATTATCGTCGTATCTCCCTTCCTCATTCTCAGCCTCAACTCTGCTCACCAGAATCACACCCAGAACCTTTTCGGTGACAGTCAGCAGTCTGTACCATTTCACCACAGTACAACCTGATAGTGCACACTTTTTTTAAAGACTCTTTGTTTCACCATTTGATTTTGCTTCTGTAAAAGCACTTCTCAAACACCATTTGGATATGACGTCTTATTTTAAATGACTGACAATCGTTTCTTTTTACTTTTATTTTGAAATTACATTTAAAAAAAGACGTGAAACAGCGTTATCTGTTTTGGCTTATATGTAATGGCATTCTCCTGGACAAAATTAGGACTATCTTCGGATGAAACCAGAACAGTGATAGTAGATAGGACAGACCTTATCTGGATTTGAACCCTGAACCACTTTTTTACACCAGCACAAGCTTCACTTGTTGACGTTTATTGACTTTCAACAATATCCTGCTCCTCAAATTCATGGTCCACACTTCATTTAGAAAAAGACTGTACCTTTGCGCTTCCATAAAGGCCCCTACCCTGGTTTTGAACCCTAGGCTATACCCTTCTGCTGTTAGCTAACAGCGCTAACCATATTTTCTACTGATAGTTCTGTCTTTTTAAATTCTGTTTCAAGTTCTTGGGGTTTTGAAAAACTGTTTCACACATTTCCCACTGCTACCTCATATCTCAGCATTTTCCCGGCTGATAAAATTCGTTAGGAATCCTCTAGGCAGGGTTGTTAGCTAGCCGGTCGCCACTCGCCAACTGCGACTAAAATACTCACCTGGCGACTTAATTTTGGAAGGCTTCGTGCCACAGGGCGGGTAGATGTTTGTCCGGATAGTCATGGAATAAAATATGAACGATGTGTCTCAAATTGTAGTAATAAAATTATAAATAACGACGGTAGCTAACGTTAGCGGCTACAGATTTGTTGTGGGGCTCTAAGCGGACTTGATGAGACGCCGTATAACAGTGAAAACACGACTCACCCGTATTTCAGACCTTTCTCCCGCCCACCTCCCGTATTGTCATTTCTCCTGGGAAGCTCTCGTAGTTAGCATGGTCCACGATATGAGTCCAAAGTTTCCAGGTTTCTTGACAACCGAAGATAGTCCTGTGTTTCTGCTGAGCCTCACACACACTGGATTGATACCTCTACTTTACAATTGGGGATGATTCAGGTCAGTTTAAGCTTTAAACTATATTTAAACAGTGTTTGTTACAAAATGAACACTTTAATGAAACAAACGTGAGATATAATATTGACGTTGATAGTCCTGCACCGTTTCGGAGTGATGCATTCAGGGCAGCCTCAGACAAAAGAGTGCTATACTGTAGTGTTTTGTCGTTCGTGAATGATTCATTCAAAAGAACCGAATCCTTTAAGTGAACGTACTGAACCGAATCACTTTGTCAAGTGATTCGTTCGTTTCTCACTTAAGTTGAGCTGTCAGCCTACACCAATCGTGATTTTTTACATGATGTAAAACATCATGATTGGTTCAGGCTGTTTGTCTCAAATCCATCCGTGTAAACACAGCATGCATACACATATTTTTTTAAACAGGACTTTACAATTTTTCACTTGCTGTGATGAACTTAAGTTTAATTAATATTGTTAAACTTCAAGGTTTCACTTTATTTGCAGGTTTTTACAACACTGCTGTACTGTACGTTGTTATTGTTTGAAGGTGATCAGGTACTCTGGGTAGGCCTGGTCATCGTGGAAGATCACATACATGTTGGGCAGCTGGCGGTTGTCCACCACACTGTCGTAGCAGTCGGTGGGGTCTGAGCCTCGAGGTGGGGCAGCTTTCAGTTGGGAATTACCAACTGTGTAACGGCCTGTCAGGACACGAGTGACATACAACCGTTTCAGTCCTGATGCATCCAAGGGTGAATATCTACCAGCCGAATAGTCTGCGTTGACTGCGAAGTAAACGCCCTTTCCAAATAAAGCAGCTGTAAAGAATAAAAAAAAACATGTAATCTTGCATGTGTCTAGACCACTTACCAGTGTATTTCCTCTAAAGGAAGTTTCCACAGTAACTAGGAACTTTAAGAGGTACCCAGGAATGTTTGACCTTTTCTGGGGGACCAGGAACTTAACATCCAAGTAACTTGATAATACTCCCTAAAAAGGTTCCTGTTGGGGGCGTTGTACTTTCTGAAAGCACAAGGACTTAGGGTACTCTTTAGGAGGTGTGATTCCACTGAGTAACTTTAGAAAGTATCCAGTGAGTCACCACCACAGATCAGATCAGTTCCCTGAACTTTGTATCAGAGACCAGAGGGGCCTTTGCCAGTTATCCTCATGTCTGCAGACCTTGGTGAAAAAATTGAATATTTTAACCTCTGGAAAAGGAGCCCCTGTGACTAAAAGTTCCAGGTATTTTTGGTGGAAACGAGGCTTCAGTCAGGCGTCTCATGAAGTTAGACTTCCTGGGGTCTTCCCAAGGAGTTGTTGGCTCAACTTAGCTAAAGAATCTCCTAAAGAATACCCCTGACTTAGGGTACTCTTTAGGAGATGTGATTCCATTGAGTAACTTTTGAAAGTATCCAGTGAGTCGCCATCACAGATGACTTGGCCAACAACACTTCCTTGCCTCTGGCTACTAATGTCACATTTACACTTGCATTATATCCTTCTCACACCTCGCCCCCTCCTCACCATGTTGTCCTGCGTAGGCCCTGTCAAATTTGTTCTTTTCAATGCAGTCGCACGACCCTGCAGATGTGCCGTGGTAAAGAGACATCTCCCCAAGCTCAGCAGGACCATTCTTGGTAAGAATACGCTCCCTACACACAGTATATGCGTGCCACAGGTAGGCATTTTGCACACGTTCAATCTGAGAAAGGAGAGAAAATGATCAAGTACTTTTGTATGCAAAGTCCATACACATACAAGAGTCTGTGTTCTTTGGGCTGCATATTTACCTTACAGATGTTGTATTTAGCTGTTCTGAGAAAACCCTGGGCCACCCCCTGGTATTCTGGTGAGGAAGGCTGCAGCTCAATCTTTTTAAAAGTTTCCCCCTCCATAGGCTCCCAGTGTGCCGGCAACACTAAGGCTGAAGAAGGAGTCACAAGAATTAAGGGTCAGGTTACAGCGTTTCAAGAATTTCAACAGTTCTTACACTAATGCCAAATGTTCAGTAAAAATGTTACACTATGTCTGAAATTGTGACCTACTTGTTCCAATCATGTTTCTTTTCCCTTTGTGAGTTGCGCCTGCCATCCAGTTTGTGGCCTCTCTCACCCTCAGGTTTACTGTTACCTTCATGCCCTCTGGTGCTGTAACATCTACTGACACTTCATTGTGCGAGTGAGCCCCGTCTGGCAGGAAGTTGTCATGAAGTAAAAAACACAAGAGGAAGTATTATTGCATCGATTCTTTGAGCTCTCCGCTAACACTGATAATCATCCAACTTATCTGAGCAATGAATTTTCTGTCTTTGAATCATGTTATGTCAATCAATCTTTGTTTAAAAAGCGCCAGATCGCATTGGCACTTGCCAAAAATAGTTGACCTGCACCATACTCTATCAGTAAATTAACTTGAAAACAGATTTGTTTTGCAAATGAGAACCAAATTAAAAATAGCAACCCATTTGATGGAAATGCCTTTTTAGGCCTTTATGCACCACTAATCATGGGTTTATTGAGGAAGAGTATCATCATCATAGAAACATCTGAAGTCTGTCTCAAGGACATCTCCCTTTGGAGTTGTTCCAGGCATGTCCAATTGGGAAGAGACCCAAGGGTAGGCCCAGAGCTCACTGAAGGTTCTGTATATCCCAAATAATTTGGGAACACCTTGGGATTCCAGTTGTGGAGTTTGGGAAAGAGAATCAGGGTCAACTCTGGCTGCTCTTGAGCTTGAAGAAATAATGACAATTACCAAAAATGTGAGAGCAGCCCCAAGAACTATTGAACCTCAATGATTTCTGATATGGAAAAGTGGGACAAGATCCTGTCCTGCAATCCAGGCAACAGCAGCAGTTGTCAATCACCACAAACTAGCTTGAACCTGATTGCAACAGAGTTGTGGTGGTTGCCCTCTTTATGCATTAAGATGTGTTAGCTGTAAAGTCCAGAGGTAATGAAGAGCTGATGCCCCCACTTAGTACCAGGGTCCTTCTCACCCTGTCTGGATTCTAATTCACATGGCCACCAGCTCAGTATCACTATCATAACAACTTTGAAAAAAGACCATATTTAAACAAACCCCTCAGAGTGAGGTGGGGAGTAGCTGTCCCTCCATATTGTTTCTCCACTTCTGATCTGTAAAACATAATACATGACAGAGACAGGCAGTGAGATCAGTGTATAAACAACATCTCTGCTTTAACTGTTTTCTAATAAAAAAGAGTCTGTCTCTGACCTGAAAGCCTGATAGACAGCTTGGTCCAGGATGACTATGCGGATAAGTGAGAGAAACTTTGGTTTCAAGTCTGTTATAGCTGCAGTCATGCCGTCCAGCATGGCTTTACAAGCTTTTACAGAGTCCATCTTAGCGGCACCTGGAAGGACATAGAGACATCAGGTTGTTGTTCTTCAACTCTGCTGACACCTAAACTTCAGTGAGGAGTTTGTCTGGTTTGATTAGGTCTATAATGAAATGTTAATTTCGTTAATAAAATTGAGACTTAAGGCTTAACTATTAAAAGCAAACAGGTGGTAGCCAATGACTAAACTCTAATTCATTTTGATTTCGTGCTCAATATGTTGAGTTATTTTTTTTTCAAAAGTATTTATTGATATTCAACATTCATTCATATGTCAGGACAAGCAGTACAAACCAGTATTGATTGCTGGAAATGCTGCTGAGCAGTAGCCTTTGCTCTCACACTGCGTCAGTATCTTTATGCAGGTCATCCGAATTATTTGGTGCATACACCGAAAACTAGCATGAATGATTTCTTTACAACCTAGCAGTCCTGGTCCTGTGGTGTGATAACGGTCAGATGGAACACCCACTGGAAAAAAGCAAACACAAAACTCTTGATGTAGAAGTGAAAAAGACTTTCCCTCAGATGTTGTACCAAATTTCCAGAAAAATTCATAGAATGTCGTCATTACTGGTTACCTTTAGCAAACTCTGCTTCAACAGTGGGTCCTGCAGCAGTTAGAATGGCTTTGGACACACCTATAGAGTTTGTGAACATGAAATTACAGTCAGACCTAATCTAGGTTAATACATTATAACTATCTCCAATCTCAGATGCTATTGGAATGTTAAGATTTAAAATCAATTTAGAAATCTGAGAAAATTCCATCAACCCTACCAAGTTGGTTGCTTGAGAAGTTCGTAGTGTTGACAATGACATCAGTGGTCTCATGAATTATGTTGTCATTCACAATCTGAAGCTTGACTTCACCCAGCATGGCTGTGACCCCATCATTGGTGTTGGAGACACGGCGGTAAAAGGAAGCTAAAACCAAACCAATAAAAAAAGAACAAAGGGTTTATTATTATTTTAATTAAATGTCCTTTGTTCATTGTGATTTAACATTCTCACAGTGATTTTACAGTCTCAAAGCTTTGTGTCCGGGTCAGTTTGTGTCTAATTTTATCAGAGTCATATGTAATTGACTGATGCCTGCTCTGTTCTGTAAGCCAGGAATCTTTGCTGCTGCTCCCCCTGTCTAGTTTCCAAAGCAAGTACATAAAACAGAGGGGAGGTGTATCCTTCCTGCCTCAAGCTTTAGCATTTCATGTGTTCAAGTTAAAGGACAGGGAGCTTTCAGAGCCAAACGGCAAAAATAACTTTTCGAAGGCAAACACTGATAACTTTTTTTGGACTTCAGTAGTTCTGTCTCAATTGTTTTTATGGTAGACTGTTCTAAAACTCAACATGGAGATGAATGCCATGTTGCTGTTTAACTCATTCAGTGCCACGTTCGTTTATGCAATTTTCACCCAGTGCCACCATTGACCGCAATAGAAATATCCGTATCTTTTAGGAGCCATAGAATATCTTGTGCTTGGGCTCGAATTAAGTGCAATATCTCAAAAGAAAGGGGTGATTCTCTTCTTTTACCAGAAAAAGGTAAGTCTCTAACCCACTCCTGTGTATAGTTATTGCCTGCTCAATGCAGCGTGATCATATCATCTTTGCCGATCCGGAAAAACAAACCTGGGAAAAACACATTTTTACAAAGGAGAGACTTTCAAGCAGAACTCTGATTGTCTATTTCATTTCACTTCAAACTACTTTACCAGTGGTGTCAAGGTCCTCCCTCCTCTGAAACTGCTCTTCATCACTCTCAAGATCCGATTGTGATGGGTCACTTTATGACGGCTGGGAGTCCTATTGGCTCTTGAGAATCTGACGCCACGACTACTCGTGTCCTTCTTGCCAGGACTGTCACTGAATTCCGGCTCAGTCTTGCTCACCAGTGCCAGCACCGGCGGCACAATGACATGCAGGGAAAATTGTTTCTTTGATTGTCTGCTGATGATGTGAAGGTCCAGTACCGGGACCTCCACTGGATCCAGAGATGGTAGTACCGCACCCACCAATGCACCAAGACCGTTAGCTCTTGGCTAATGACTTCAGCATTTTCCTACTCTCCTCACAGACAAAAAAACACTCCACAACTAGGCTAATGGGCACACTTGATGGCACACTTTTCACTGGCGAGTACTTGTTTTGGTTAATGTAACTTTTATGACATATTTGTGGACTTTTCTCTGTTTAGAACTACCCCAAACTTAGTCCCGTGTTGGGGAGGAGCGCCCTGTGGTGGAAAACAAAAAACTGAGAATTTGCCAAAATCTGTCAATGGCACTCAGGGCAAAGAAGAAAATCTGTCCAAATCCATCATTGGCACTGAATGAATTAATATACAGATAGCTCTGTTAGCCAACCCTATGAGTGCCAAGTGTGTTTAGAAGCCCCATCTTATTTCTTTACCCATGTGACCTTAAATTCCTTTTTTCAGGCTTTAAGATTAATGACAAAATGGTAAGGCACACCTTCTTGTCTTAGCCAAACACAAACTGGGCACTACAAATTCCGTCTGGTTTGGGAACACCTTGGGATTCCAGAGGTGGAGTTCGGGGAAAGAGAGTCAGGGTCAACTCTGGCTGCTCTTGAGCTTGAAGAAATAACGACAGTTACAAGGCACATGTGTGAGAGCGGCCCTTAGAACTACTGAACCTCAATCATTTCTGATACGTAAAAGTGGGACAAGGTCCTGTACTGCAATCCATGCAACAGCAGCAGTTGCCAATCACCACAAACTAGCTTGAACCTGATTGCAACAAAGTTGCAGTGGTTGCCCTTTTTATGCATTAAGATGTGTTAACTGTAAAGTCCAGAGGTAATGGACAGCTGATGCCCCCACTTAGTACCAGGGTCCTTCTCACCCTGTCTGGATTCTAATTCACATGGCCACCAGCTCAGTATCACTATCATAACAACTTTGAAAAAAGACCATATTTATACAAACCCCTCAGAGTGAGGTGGGGAGTAGCTGTCCCTCCATATTGTTTCTCCACTTCTGATCTGTAAAACATAATACATGACAGAGACAGGCAGTGAGATCAGTGTATAAACAACATCTCTGCTTTAACTGTTTTCTAATAAAAAAGAGTCTGTCTCTGACCTGAAAGCCTGATAGACAGCTTGGTCCAGGATGACTATGCGGATAAGTGAGAGAGACTTTGGTTTCAAGTCTGTTATAGCTGCAGTCATGCCGTCCAGCATGGCTTTACAAGCTTTTACAGAGTCCATCTTAGCGGCACCTGGAAGGACATAGAGACATCAGGTTGTTGTTCTTCGATTCTGCTGACATCTAAGCTTCAGTGAGGAGTTTTGTCTGGTTTGTTTAGGTCTATACTGAAATGTTAATTTTTGTAATAAAATTGAGACTTAAGGCTTAACTATTAAAAGCAAACAGGTGGTAGCCAATGACTAAACTCTAATTCATTTTGATTTCGTGCTCAATATGTTGAGTTATTTTTTTTCAAATGTATTTATTGACATTCAGCCTTCATCCATATATCAGTAAAAGAAGTACAAACCAGTATTGATTGCTGGAAATGCTGCTGAGCAGTAGCCTTTGCTCTCACACTGCGTCAGTATCCTTATGCAGGTCGTCCGAATTATTTGCTGGTCACACCGAAAACTAGCATGAATGATTTCTTTACAATCTAGCAGTCCCGGTCCTGTGGTGTGATAACGGTCAGATGGAACACCCACTGAAAAAAAGCAAACACAAAACTCTTGACATAGAAATGAAAAAGACTAAATCAAAATTTCCCACAGATGTCATACCAAATTTCCAGAAAATTAAGAAAATGGAATTATAACTGGTTACCTTGAGCAAACTCTGCTTCAACAGTGGGTCCCGCAGCAGTCAGAATAGCTTTGGATACACCTACAGAGTTTGTGAAAATGAAATTACAGTCAGACCTACTCTGGGTTAAAACAGTTTATAATTATCTCCAATCTGACACTACTGGAATGTTAAGATTTAAAATCAATTCAGAAAAACAGATAAAATTCATGAACCCTACCAAATTGGTTCTTCGAGAAGTTCGTAGTGTTGACAATGACATCAGTGGTCTCATGAATTATGTTGTCATTGACAATCTGAAGCTTGACCCCACCCAGCACGGCTGTGACCCCATCATTGGTTATGGCGACATGGGGGTAAAAGGAAGCTAAAGCCAAGCCAATAAAAAAAAAAGAACCAAGGGTTTATGAATATTTTAATTAAATCTCCGTAGTTCATTGTGATTTAACATTCAGTCTCAAAGCTTTGTGTCCACGTCAGTTTGTGTCTAATGCCTGCTCTGTTCTGTAAGACAGGAATCTTTGCTGCTTCTCTCTCTGCCTTGATGTTTCTGTCAACCAGACATCTTTGCTGCTGCTCCCCCTGTCTAGTTTCCAAGGCATGTACAAAAAACAGAGGGGAGGTGTGTCCTTCCTGCCTCAAGCTTTAGCATTCCATGTGTTCAAGTTAAAGGACTGGGAGCTTTCAGAGTCATTCGGCAAAAGTAACTTATTGAAGGCAAACACTGATAACTTTTTTTGACTACAGTAGTTCTGTCTCAATTGTTATGATGGTAGACTGTTCTAAAACTCAACATAGATATAAATGCCATATTTCTGTTTAATATACGGATAGCCCGGTTAGCCAACCCTATGCGTGCAAAGTGTGTTTTGAAGCCCCATCATATTTGTTTACCCATGTGACCCTTTAATTAATTTTTGCAGGCTTTAAGATTAATGACAAAACAGTTTAAGCTTTTGCTCAAAATGGAAATGAAAAAAAAAAACATTCATCATTGTAGACCTTGACTTGTGTTGACACTGAATCCTCTGAGTTGCACATGTTCCTGGGCTGATTCGGGACCCTGTTGGGACAAAGAAACAACCCAATTTAAAAAACTGGACTCTTCAATCCTACCCCCAATTTCCACCGCATTCGGAACAGAAAAGGCTGTCTCCCAGCTAGTTATTCAAGTTAATGTGTCAATTTCCAAAGGCTTCTTTCCATTCCGCTGCAGATCACTGGACTCCGCAGCTGATTGCAAGAGTTTAAATTTTTCCAGACAAATGCCGGATAAATTCAGCACAGATTAACCCATGCTTACATATTCACAGGGGTAAGAAACACCAGAGAAAGTACAACAAAATTACAAAACCAGGAAAAAAAATAAATATGCAAGAGCTAATTAAGCTCACTTATTGTTATTCTCCTGTTTTTTTTCTTCTCTATTCTTATTATTCTTCCGTACCTTTTTTTGACACGCTTCTTCTCCGTCCCATTTTGTGCTATTTCAACCATTCAAACTTTATACTATTCTCCTCATGCAATAAAGGCATAAAAGCCCCAAATTAATACAAACTTACTGAGTGAAAACCCAAAGACTGTAAAGTGAGAACAAAATCAAGAACCTTCCACACTAACCTGTGAAAAGGAAAAATCCAGTACTGGGTTAAGTGGCTTTCCTTGATGTATCGGGCGTTCTCGCACAGTCAGCACCACAGGACCACCACCAAAATCCAACACATGCTTAGATTTCTGCAGGATTCTCTGTTGTGCTTTAACAAAAAAGTTTTCAGTATATTAAAACTGTCATTTAGATAGTCTTTCAGTTTTTCATTTCACCTGCTTATGTGGATATTACAGTGGTAATGTTTGCATCAGTTACTAAATTCTGAATTCCCTTCTTTGTGCGTGCAAATCTTACGTAACTTTCCGTTGTCACAACACAGTTATATGTTTTTGTTTAACATACAGATACAGTTATATCCTGTAAACTGAATTCGTATTCTTCCATCATTGTTTGCTCTGCAACCAGAACTCTGTATGAGCTGTTGTTGTTTTTTGCTGCTGTCCCCCATCTCTCTGTCCTCCCCTCGCCCCCCCTCCATCCCTCCTACTTCCTCTGTCTCTCTGCTTCTCTTCCTCTTTACCCCCCCCCTTCACTCATCCCCCCACTTCCTCCCTCCCTCCCTCTCTCTCTTTCTCTCTCTCACACACACACACACACACACACACACACACACACACACACACACACACACACACACACACTCTCTTTAAAGGGATATTCCAGTGTAAAATTAATTTAGGGTCAAACACACCATAACACTGCTTCAACTTAAGAAAACGAAAATGTTTACCTAAAATTGTTTAAATCCATTAATCATGTTTTAATACTGTAAAAGGTTTGGGTTTTTTTTGTATTTGTATTCAGTCGTATAAGAATGTTTCCTTTGGCAGCTTTACTTTCACTTTCACCTTCACCAACTTACGGCAGAATCTATTCAAAAACAAAAAATAAAAACAAAGTTAATCACTTTAAAACTTGACTTACCATCTCGATCTTTGAAATCAATCCTGTAAGTGTTATCTTTAATGTTTTTGAGGGAGCTGCAGTCTCCTCCTCCTGACTGTTGGCAGGTTTGAAAGTACGTTTCTATCCTTTTCTTCTGCTCTGTGTCCAAACTGAGGCAGTCGAAGAAAACTGGATACTGGTACTGGTACTGGTACTGGTAGGGATCCCCCATGTTGTGAGAAGTAGAGCACTTTTTAAAACTTTTGTCTAGACTGCAACAAGAAGCTTGACCACACCGCAGGGTGAGGTATGTATGCCAAGTGCTTCCTGCGCGCACTTTGGTACACTCCTTCACCGTAAATTCCCCTACTTTCGTTTTTTTCACCATCCTTATTGTGTTAACCTTTGTACTCTAAGGAGAAAAAAAATTGTCTGTAGGTGCGTTTGGTCGTGATTCCTTGTGTTCATACTTGTGCAGTATTCATTTTAAAACGGTCTGATTTCACTCGTGGAGCCACCAAAGGAACTGTGTGACATCGTAACTAGGCTTTGGTGGCTGTATGAGGTTGAAGTCAGCTAAAATGTCACAAGCAGTTCCCCAAATCTTTTAAAAAGAGAAGAAAATTTACTTTGGTTAAGTCAGCCACTCATCATTTTTTAGTAGTCAACTCAGCCACTCTTGAGTTTCAAGTACGCATGTATGAGGAATTGTCCCTATTCTCCTATTCTCCAATTCCCCTGTTCTAATTCAGCACCAGAATCACACCCAGAACCTTTTCGGTGACAGTCAGCAGTCTGTACCATTTCACCACAGGACAACCTGATAGTGCACACTTTTTTTAAAGACTCTTCGTTTCACCATTTGATTCCGTTTCTGTAAAAGCACTTCTCAAACACCATTGGGATATGACGTCTTATTTTCTATGACTAACTATCATTGTTTCTTTTTACTTTTATTAACGAATGAATATATTTTTTTTCCGTAATTACAACTAAAAAAAGACGTGAAACAGCTTTATCTCTTTTGGCTTATATGTAATGGCATTCTTCTGGACAAAATTAGGACTCTCTTTGGATAAAAACAGAACAGTGATAGCATATAGGACAAATCTAAACTGGATTTGAACCCTTAACCATTTTTTACACTAACACAAGCTTCACTTGTTGAGGTTTATTAACTTTCAACAATATCCTGCTCCTCAAATTCATGGTCCACACTTCATTGAGAAAAAGACTGTACCCTTGTGCTTCCATAAAGGCCCCCTGGTGTTGAACCCATACCCTTCTGCTGTTAGCTAACAGCACTAACTGTATTTTGTACTGATAGTTCTGTCTTTTTAAATTCGGTTTCAAGTTCTTAGGGTTTAGAAAAATTGTTTCACACATTTCCCACTGCTACCTCTTATCTCAGCATTTTCCCGGCTGATAAAATTTGTTAGGAATCCTCAAGGCAGGGTTGTTAGCTAGCTGGTCGCCACTCGCCAAATGCGACTAAAATACTCACCTGGCGACTTAATTTTTGGAAGGCTTCGTGCCACAGGGCGGGTAGATGTTTGTCCAGATAGTCATGCAATAAAATATGTATGGTGTGTCTCAAATTGTAGCAATAAAATTTTGAATAACGACGGTAGCTAACGTTAGCGGCTACTGATTTGTTGTAGGCTAGGGAACTGATGAGACGCCGTAGCCTACAATAGTGAAAACACGACTCATACCTGCGGTTACTCCCGTTTTTCCCGGGACTCTCTCGTATTTCAGACCTTTCTCCCGCCCACCTTCTGTATTGTCATTTCTCCTGGGAATCTCCCGTAGTTTCCATGGTCCTCGTTCATTCATGAATCGGATCACGATATTTGTCCAAAGTTTCCAGGTTTCTTGACAACCGAAGATAGTCCTGTGTTCCTGCTGAGCCTCACAGACACTGGATTGATACTTCTACTTTACAATTTGGGATGATTCAGGTCGGTTTAAGCTGTAAACTATATTTAAACAGTGTTTGTTACAAAATGAACACTTTAATAAAAGGGTTTAACAAACATGAGATATCGGAGTGATGCGTTCAGGGCAGCCTCAGACAAAAGAGTGCTGTATTGTCGTGTTATGCCGTTCGCGAACGATTCACTCAAAAAAACGATTCTTTTAAGCGAACGTACCGAACAGAATCACTTCATTAAGTGATTCGTTCGTTTCTCACTTAAGTTGAGCTGTCAGCAGTGCAGCTGCCATAACACACAGCATTATTGGGTGAGCGAGGAACTGCATGCGCCGATGCCTGAATCACTTGGTGAAGGAATCATGCAGTGAACTATATTCTCTGGAATCACGACACATAATACATTGACCTCTTTTCAGATTATCTATTGCAATATGATCCTGTTATTCCAATAAAAAGTACTTAAACAGATGTATATTTAACAAAAAAAGGGACATTTATTATTTGGCCGGTAGATTTTTTTTCATTGACTGGTCCCCTTGGCAGCTGAGCCTAAAAGTTAGTCAACGCCCCTGCCTCAAGGATGATGATATGGTACTAATCCAAAAGTACATGTAACCTTTGGTGTATCTATTTCAAGAGTTTTATGATGTTAGTATTTAAAGTTTACTGTCAGGAAAGATTAAAAAAAGGATGAGTAGATGATTTCATGACTGTGCCCACAATTAGCTGACTTCATACCACCTTGTCCAAAAGTCTCATCTTATTCCTCAGTTTACCACATGGACTATGTTTCATTGAACCATGCACCAAGCTGTAGAGCACGTTTTGGCAGCTGGAGGGCAGTAGAGGACTGAATGTGATAGTCACCTGACTGTTTGGGAAGCACAGTGACCTACATAGCTGCTGCAACCACATGCTGAGGTCACTGGTGCACATAACTCACATACACACACAAATGAAACGGCTTATATCATCTTAAAATTACAACTGCACCTTCACTGTAACGTGGCGATCAATTTTTGGCAGCTAATGATAATGACAGCAGCTGTTTTTCTTCATTTTGCTGACACTGAAGCGGAAAACGTTTCACATCGGCACCTCTGAGATTGGGAAATGTTCCAATCTGGAGTAAATGACATCATCTCCTGGCCTGTGAGCATGTCTTATCTATGTTTGCCCGCTCTCTCATTGGTCCAATCACACTAATGGACTGAAATGATACTGCCGTCTGTGTCTTTTCTGCTCTGACTCTAAACTGGTGCTGTTAGAATAAAACGCTCCTCGTCTTGTTGGGTTTCACAAACAGACTCTAAATAGACTGGTTGGGACATCGTTATTTTGGAATCAATAAATCATTTAGGTCATTACTCTGAGAAAAAGTACCAATAATACAGTCTAGCTTCAGAAATGTGCTCAAATGATGCATGTTTTTGTTAAACATAAAGGTCAACTGAGTTTTTTTGAGATTTTTCTGGCCTAAAGAAGCATTTTTGGATACTCAGTTTGCCTCTCTGATCACTCAGTTATTGAACAAACAGATATTTTGAAGCCCTTATGTTTCTAAATAGTCGTATTAAGCACAAATTCCAAATTAAGAAGGAAGTACACTTAATTAAGGAGCAGGATTAACCTAAAAATGAATGTCAAAGTGAAACTATTCTCTCTAAATTGCACAAATGTTCAAAATTAGACATACTGTCTCTCTGTTTGTGTCGATTTTGACCCTCTGCAGTGTCGTTTGATGACCTGGCAGATTTAGGGCGCGGTGTAAAAAGTACCACCGGATTATCCTGTGACCATCGTTTTAATCTGCTTGGCTTTAATCTCTTTAACAGAGGCAGGGGGGAAGCGTGTTAAAAAGAGCAGGGGGTTCGCACTGCGTTCAAGTAATCCGGCTCATTATATAAAGAGATGGAGGGAGAGAGCGAGCGAGCGTGGGGCAGACGGCCAGGTGGAGAACAGGCATGGTTTGAATTCCACCTCAGCGGAGAAGCATCAGATTTCACATACTGTAGAAAATGCCAGTGAAAAATGAAGGAGAAATCAAGAGATCAGACTAATGGGGCGTTCACACCAAGTGCGAATAAAATCATCTACTCGCTTAATTCGCGCGAATCTAGACGCGCGAGTGAACAGTTAGTAGTTTACTTGCGGCCAGGTGGAGAACAGGCATGGTTTGAATTCCACCTCAGCGGAGAAGCATCAGATTTCACATACTGTAGAAAATGCCAGTGAAAAATGAAGGAGAAATCAAGAGATCAGACTAATGTGGCGTTCACACCAAGTGCGAGTAAAATCATCTACTCGCTTAATTCGCACAAATCTAGACGCGTTAATCAATAGTATTTACTCGCGCTCATTTTGTGCGTCAACAGTGATTTCAAAAGTAATCCCTGTCAATTCAACCAGCGGGATCATGTGATAGACCAAAGTTTTTACAATTTCCTGAGTACAATCATCTACTCGCTTAATTCGCGCGAATCTATACGCGTGAGTGAATCGAATTTATTGCTTCATTCACGCATTAACCGTAATTTAAAAAGTAATCCCTGCCACTTCAACCAGTGGGATCACATAATCGACAAAAGTTTTTAACAATTTACCAGGTTATCCAAACTCCTTACTCACTTGCCTTCAGGCGAGCTCCTTTTTATTCCGGTTTCGGCACCCACACAGTGACTCAATCAGTTTGTCCTCCATTTAAGATACCAGTAATTTTATGACACAAATATCCACTCAAGATGAGACATTTTCATGATGCGTTCGAGTTACCTCGGAAGTCAGAAGTCCGAGCTGAAAATGACGTCACACCCGAGTTCCCAGCGTTTCAGCTTCCAAGTGGGAAAAAAGCAAAATCGGAGGTGGAAACAAGATGACTATATCTACGAAAGTTATTTTAGCACTTGCCTTGTCCGAATATAAGGCAAGTGCTAAAATAACTTTCGTAGATGTAGCCATCTTCTTTCAGCATCAGCTTTCGTGTCATTTGCGCCGCCAGAGTAGTAGGAGCGTCTAATCGCGTCTTTACATTGACTTAACATGTAATTCATTCGCCCGAATGATTTTACTCGCACTTGGTGTGTGGAGACAGTTAGGTTCCTCACTTTGGGTGATTATTCCATGCACAGTTTCTTACTTATGAAGGTTTTATACAATTTTGGCAACAATCTCCCTAGATCTGGTTGAACTGGTCCTTTTAAAAGACTCTAAAATAGCTTTAAAATGAAGTCAAAGTAATTGTCCTTAAAACTGACCAACCTAAACCAGAGACATCATCCTCTTCTCATTCCAACCACTACCTCCTTTTTCTAAAGCCATAAATTATCCATAACCCTCCATCCTCCTCCTTCAAACTTTTAATCTGAAAAGCCTTGAAGACACAAAAACCCCTCTTGTGTTAAATTTTAGCAAAAATAGCCAATCTAGTTAGATTATTTTCACGTAGGAACCCTGCTGAACATTACTGATGTTATGGTATACATATTTCCACCAGTTGATCGCTTAAACGCTAAGGTTTTCAGTTACACATCTTTGCGACACAAGTTCACAAGTTTACACTTTTTGATGGTGCTTCCGCTTGAGCTTGCAACTCAAAAGCAAAATCATCTCTCAGCTATGTTGTGCTGCAGTGATAAGAAAAAGAAGAAGAAGAAGCTGCAAATCCATGTAAACAATATCATGACAAAGGTTAACATTATGCACATATAAACATACAGCTGTTTCCTTCAGTTACATCATTGGCAGCAGGAGTAAACGTAGGGGCGCACATGTTTGAAAATCATCCGAGAACATTCGGGGCCTCATAACGTGGATGTAAGCCGCGATCACAGCCATGATAATCTGTCCATACTGAAACGTCGAGACGGCTGGCAGCCAGCCGGGCCGTGACGTCCGCAGAGCGATGAGGTCACCTTCTGATTCAGAGTCGGCGATTGTAATCACAGCCCTGCCTTTGTCACCTGAGTGTGCAAACAATCCACCTGTTTAAAAGCTGCTGCCAAACACGGGGAGAGCTGCGGGGCTGCTGTGCTGGAAAGAGATGCTTCCTAACGGTGACTACAAGGTGAAGAAGCATCAGGAAAAGAGACCTGCGTTTGTGGTCAGGATCTTCATTAAACGATGGGGGTTTTCCTGCTGCACACCTGGTTATTTATGTGACAGGTCATGGGAGGAATCTAGTTCACAAGCTGATTTCACTACAACCGGTTTTGCACCTTTGTGTATCTTCCTGCTCACAATAGCATAAAGGTGTGTGTGTGTGTCAGACTGCATGAACCGGCACGTGTGTATGACTAATGGGACCCATTTAAGCAACACCTGAGACTCCGGTTAGTGTGGCATACAGGCTTAAAATAGAGCGATTCACATTTTTACCCGCTCTGACTCTCAGGGAAACGTCTCGACGTAAACCATTTTCTTTTATTGTGATTTATATTTGTACAACTCCCGCCCATATAAGGTGTAAAATGAGGGAAAAGCGGTGAATCATGGGTCAATATTGACTCTGAGGATAACCTGCTGTTTGAAGAAGAAAAGGGTTTCTCTGATGCGTTCATACTCAGTTTGATTTGTTTGTCTTGAGATAACCTGGAGTTTTAAAGGGGTTTAATCATCGTGTTAAAGAAATATGTGTCAGTTAATATGTAATTGTCCTTCCCTTTGAGGCTGTGAGATATACGCAAAGAATTCAGACAGGGTGACCCCAACATGGTGCACACCGAGGTCCCACATATACTGGGCAGAGAGTGTCACTTCACCCTAGGATTAGATGGCTAACTACCGGGGTCAAAGTTCAAAAGGCAGTTTCACTTTCTCCTTCTGCGGTTTCACATTTAAAATGCACTGACCTCGATGCTTTAGGAACATGATCTGTACTGCGCCTTTACATGGCACGGGTTTTCATGGATGAGTGAAGAAGTCCAAAATACATGCAAAAAAAAAAAACATCTGATGGAGTCCACATGATCAGCAGACAGGCAGCAAGCATCCAAACAGGCGGGGACCCAAACCACCAGGTCAGCGGTATCCCATTTTATATATAGATTAAATAAAAAAATAAAATATGAAACAAGCAAGTATTTCAAATTGATCAAAATTCTATTTTGATGTTCATTTTATGAATATTCTTTATACATAACTTTTCATATATTTTAATAATAATATTACCTTATTTACAGTTTAGATGAAATAAAACAAATAAAATAAATTGCTTATTTAAGTTACAAAATTTAAAAATTAAAATTATTATATTTTATAAAATAATGTTAGGAATTATTTTATGGTACTTTTAAAAAATCATATTTTATTGAAACTAATTTAATAAAGAATTTAATTCATAATAAAGCAGTATTAAAATTCTGAGCACAAGATAATAAAATAAAAATAGAAAAATAAAAAAATCGCTAATTGTTAAAATTATTGTCAGAAAAATGAGTCAATTAAGAAGAAGAATTTATTTGATAAACAACATTCAAATTGGCTGTGTTTGATACAAAATAATTCCGTGTTATGATTTAAGGGTGAACAAATTTTAAACTTTATGTAAAAAAGAAAAAAAAAGAACATTTTTAAATAAAAATGATAAAGTAACATTATAAAAAAAAATTGGAAAAATTTAATTATTTACTTTACAGTAAAATAATTTAAGTATAAGTTTAATTTTTAAAATATGTCGTTTTAAAGCATATCAAAACCCAGATTCAAAGAGTACCAGACCACAATATTTTCTTTTTTATTATTATTATTATTGTTATTATCATGTTTATTTATTTATGTATTTATCTATATTTATAATTATTATTATTATTATTATTATTATTATTATTATTATTTTTCATTATTATAATAATTATTATTATTATTGTTATTATGATTATACATGACTATTACCTCCCCCTCCCTCCCCCTCGCTCTCTCTCTTTCCCTCGTGCTCTCTCTCTCTCTCTCTCTCTCTCTCTCTTTCTCTCTCTCTCTCTCTCGTGCTGTACGTCCTCCTGCTGAAGAGGCGTAGCTCTCTCTGCTTTCTGCTCATTGTGCGACTCCAGCGAGAGAAATTTCCGCTTCCTGCGCCGATAAACAACAACCAACCGACCAACCGACAACCGACCGAGACAACACAACGAGCCGTCGCGAAGTTTCATTGCAGGAGGGGGGGACAGCAGCGAGAGAGTGGACGCCGAGGATTGACCGCCTGTCCTCGGCTACAGAAACCCCCTCTTGGACCGCAGTATGTCTTCACTCTCGGGCGGCGAATAGCACCAAACGGATCCAACTTTTCCGTTTTTACGCATTTGCACCACCGAGAGAGAGAGAGTGAGCGTGTGAAAACAGGCAAAGGAAGGAGGAGGTGCAGGAGGCACCACCAGAAAAAGGACAACAACACACCACACCACCACACAAGGAGAAACCAGGCTTACTACGGGTATTCCTCCGCCTGAAAACCCGCTCTCAGCCTCCAGGATGTCGGAGCGAGGAGGGCTCCCGCGGACTGGGGGCGTCCCCTCGCCGCACATGCAGCCCTCCAAGCCGGTCAGCATCACCTCCAACCGGCCGGTCCACATGAACCTGTACGCTACCTGGGAGGTGGACCGCTCCTCGCCCAGCTGTGTGCCAAGGTATGTGAAAGAAAGAAAGAGAGGGGGGGGGGAAGCATGCAGGAAGAGGGTGGCATGGCTTAAGGGTGGTTGTAGATGAGAAATGACCCTGTCTGGGGTTCTACTGGGGGGATTTCTACAGGAATTGCACCAAAGGGGCGCCAGTTTGGGAAGATTATCACCTCATATGACTGGAGAACATGTGGAATTGTCACATTTCATACAAAAATAAGGATATTTCTCCATTTCTACTGCTCTGTTTGCTTATCTTGACCCATATAACCCCTACCAACCACCCAAATAATCACCTCCTGGTAGCTTTTACAAACAAGCTTGCCGCCTGGTTATCTGTCAGACTAATAAAGACTGTTTGTGTTGTGACAGCTGCTGCCTTTCCCCCCAAGTCGACAGCCTTTACCTGATCAATGCAGACACAGATTGATGAAACAGACCGTCGCCGCTGCCATAAAAAGGCATCGTGTGATCATATGTGACACATCTGTAACATCAGCCGCCGCGATTTACGGCTTTTGGAGAAGAAGAGGAGGGCAGGAAATGTCAGATATGAATCATTTTGCATCAGATTCTTGATGTGAAAGTTGTTTGTGTAGACAATGTAGAAAGACGGTTAAGCTTGGCACCATTAAAACATAATAATTTGATGTTTTTGTTGAATATATAGGGTAAGAAATCCATGTTATGGTCGGTGCATGATGCAGTTTGTAGATGTAGACAATGCAGCAAGGAAAAAAAGCCATGCACCAAAGAAAAGCACCACACTGCCTGGTGTTTTGGTTCATGGAATAAGAGCGATGATGATTGAAAGCTGTACAGAAATGACTGATGTCTGCCAGTGTAGACAATGCAGCCATGACTCATGTTTGGGACATGTTTTCAACCTCAAATATTGAGTTCAAGATGACTAAGATCCAAGAGCCAAGATGTTTTTGTTCTCAGGATTTGCCTCAAAACTCTGAGTGATGTTGTTGAATATAGACGACGCATCAAGTGTGGAAACAACCTCGTACCAAATACCAACATAATATGCTGCAATGCAATCAGAAATGTTGTTTGATGAAGCAGACAATGTAGCAATTACTCAAAAAAGCACGTAAAGAAGGGTAATCTGCAGACTAGAGTCATTTATGATACGCTAAAACGCGCTAAATGAAGTTGTAGACAATGCAGCGAGAACGCCACAAAAACGCTACAAGGCTAACAAATAAATCACGCTGTTCATAGTGATGCTTGGCTCTTACCCAGGGATTCCACAGGATCCGGAACGGCTCTGCTCTGGCGGTTCAAATACGCAAGCATACAGCGACCACCAGATCCGATCCGCTGCCGCCATTGGAGGAGAAGCGCTTGCGAGATTACCGATATTTCTCGCAAGACTGGACGAGATCTCAAGTGTTTCCCCGTGAGATATTGAATGAGATACGCCGATCTAAAGGGCGGTGTATATCCGGATATTTTACTCTGTAACCGCAGACAACTTCCGCTTCTGAATTGATGCGCCGTGCTGCGGCGTCCGGACGAAATTAGAAGCCTTGTGTGTCTGATTCCGGATCCTGTCGGTTTTAGCCGTTGAAGTTCCAATCATTTTTTGTTTTTACTACTCTAAGTGTCCTCAGTGGTCTTTAAATCGTGATTGTTAAGTTTTTAGCCAAAATCGCGTTACCTGTGTCATTTTCGAGGACTCGCCTCTTCGCCTCTGAGTCATGGGCTAGCTAGCTTGCAACCTAACATTGGCGGTGTAGCAGAAGTGGCAGGTAACAAAGGAACTATTCAGCTCTCGGACACTAATGTCTTTAGGGACATGATGAAAGTTTATTTCATAATTAGCTTTCTTACAAGCATTGCAATCTGCTAACGCACACGCTTGTTCCGCGATCGTCCCCTCTATTTGTGGCCTGCATAGCGTGGCTTAGGGGGCGGAGCTTGGATTTGCTACATAGGAAATCTCACTGAATCTGAACCTTCCATTTGGGTCTGCCAGAGATAGTGCTTACTTTTCTCATGATATGTCCTGCAGAGTCAGAAAAATGCCATATGAACACGTAGACGACAAGAAAAACATGATTTTCATCGAAGTGGAGGTTTAACATGATTCAAGTATGCCACTCTGGAATTCATCGTTTTAGTATACCAATGGTTCTCAACTGGCAGTAGTCGTAGAACTGTACTGTAGTACTGTAGTAGATGATGCAGAAAGTTCTTTCAGTCTGAGAAAACGAGGAAACGTTGACTCTCTGGGCAGATAATCTTGATCATGGTATGTTGTCATGTGACAATCGATGTTGTTGCTTCATGTAGACAATGCAGCGGGTCAGCAATAGATAAAATACCTGACTTGTTTCAGGTCGTTGAGCACAAACACAGCTCTGTATCCTGTTGTTATTGTTCTCCTTCTTTTAGACATTCGAATGAAACTATAATGATAATAACAGAAGAGATGGCATCCAACACAAAACAGCGCCTCATGTTTTAGTTCGTCGAATAAAAATAATGCGACTCTGCGGGCAGAAATAGATGATTTTCATTACCATGATGATTCCAGGCTCTGAAGGGATGAATTATGTGTTTGCTAATGCTGACAGTGTGGAGAGTCCACATTAGCCGAGACACCTTATCCATCTGAGCCGAGTGCCAAACAAAGACATCCTAGTCGGCTTTCTTTGTTCGCCTGAAACACTCGCTGACTGTTTTCTGCAGAGGGATCAGCCTGAACGGCGTGCGTTTCTATCAAACTGAAACTATATTTTTGTTTCATCGCCACATATTGGATTTAACATTCTTGTAAAACCCGGCTGCCGTCTGTCCTCTTTGTGTTTATGATGCCTCGGTAATAACTGTGGTCATGAGTTGGATTCAAGGTTGAAGGTTAACAGCTGTGACTGAAGTGCTGCGCATGTGATTCACAACCTTGGTGACAGAATTTCACAGCAAATCAAACCGAAAACAGAGGAATCGAGCAAAAATAAAGTCTTCAGGTTTGAGAGAGAGAGAGGTAAACCTGAATCTCCTCATGAACATGCCCTACAAAGTTGTGCACGCTTTGTGTTTTCTGGTAAGATCTCTTAGCGGTTGCCCCCGAGATGTTTAGGTTACTGAAAGCAATTAGTGGGAATAAAGCGTGCTGGTTAAAGCGTCACAAAGTCCCACTGCTGACATCTTAATGCTGCTTTCTGAAATGCTTTGGGGCTTTGCTGGGTTTGAAGCAAAGCCTCAAGGGTGTTTTCTGCTTCTTAGCATTTTGTGTTGGTGAGTGAGCTTGTGAATAAATGATACAGTCCAGGATCTATATTTTGTACCGGTGCAGCAACGGAGAGAGCCTCACACAGGCGAGAAAAAAGGGGGAAGGAAGGGAACGAGAGGATGAGACAGGGAGGTGGGAGAAGAAGCGGTGGCTGCTCTGTCATCTACATTTCAATAGGATTTCTCACAGACGTAGGCAGACGACGACTTATCTGGGAGCACCTTCTTTATGTTTGCAGGCTAATATCCACGGTTGATTTTTACTCAAAATGTGATTGTTGATGTTTTATTTTGGGGCCTTTTTCGTCGGCAGCCGTCACGGTCTGTCAAATATCTTCGATTTCACTGCAGTTGCAGCAACGGAGAGAGCCTCACACAGGCGAGAAAACAGGGGGAAGGAAGGGAACGAGAGGATGAGACAGGGAGGTGGGAGAAGAAGCGGTGGCTGCTCTGTCATCTACATTTCAATAGGATTCCTCACAGACGTAGGCAGACGACGACTTATCTGGGAGAACCTCCGTCTTCAATGTTCGATGTTTTTGTGTTCGCTCTCTCTCTGTTGCTCAATCTCCGTTGCTCAGAACTTCCCCTCCTCTCGCCGAGGTGTTGTCGCTCTAACCTCTTCCTGTGTAACCAAAATACCCCCTTTATGTGCTGTTTATATGCAGCGGCAGTGGATTGAATTCGCCTGGCAGGAGCCGAACATGCACTGGGCTGCCCTCTGTTAAATCCCATTTTGATTGCAAACTTGGAAAAATACTCGACATGTCAGCAGAGCGTTGTTTGTTTTGTGGTCGTGCTCAGAGGAACAGAGCAACAGGAAATATTCAAGAGTAAGAGATCATATCACTGGCTCAGCAGTCATGAATCAAACTTTTGGAGGTCACTGGAAAAACTCTTGTCCCAAACCGACATTGTAAAAATCCCCTAAAAAGTGGAATCTGACAGCAGCAAGAAAATAATCAGCCTGTTTATCTTCTATTCACCAATGAAAACTAATGAAAATGCTATTAAAAATGGCTGAAAGGAACATATTATCCTGTTACGATAGCAAGTCTAAGCTAGCAAAAAGTAGAATTTAGGGTTTTTCCATTTTTTTACACTCTTGTATCTACATACCTTTGGCAAATACCCAGTTTGCAATGGTTTCTAGAATATTTGGACATCTCCATTGTCGTTGGTGGCATCTAACACCTAGCAGCCGCAGGTCAAATGCTTGGATGGCTGTTAGCAGGGTCCAACTTTGGCTGATTTTTGAATATTTTTATAGTTTTTCACTGGCTGTTGTCAGACTTTATATTTCCGTTCAAAAGACCAGGAAATTACTGTTTTTATGACACCATCTAAAATTCTAAAATCAAGCTTTAGCAAGTCTACCAATTAATTTTCAAAACCAACACTGTGATTTACTCTCCGATAAAATTGCAAACTTGTTTCTTTCACAATAGGAGTCAAAAATATACTACTGCAACTACTGCTTCATAGTAGTTAAAGTTAGCAGCTTACAACATTATAGCGGTGTAAGCATAACGCTCTTGTGGCTACATGCTTTTGGCAAATACCCAGTTTGCAATGGTATCTGGTATATTTGGACATCTCCATTGTTGTTGGCAGCGGTCACAGGTCGAGTACTTGGCCAGCAGCGTCCAAATTTGACTGATTTTTGAGTATTTTTATAGTTTTTCACTGGCTGTAGTCAAACTTTATATTTCCGTTCAAAAGACCAGGAAAAAACTGTTTTTATGACACCATCTAAAATTCTAAAATCAAGCATTAGCAAGTCTACCAATTAATTTTTTAGATCAACAACATAGTGGTGTTAGCATAACCAATATGAGGGAGAGCTAGCAAATGCCAGAAGTCAATGTTGAGTTCATTTTTACACAAGTATCTGAAGAGTTCTTGCTGTCATTGAGTATTTAAAGCTCCTGTGAGGAACTGTCATTTGTGTAAATTATGGCGCCCCCTGTGGACAAAGCAGTCTTTGCTTATCATGTCCTTAACATGCTTAAGTCGTATCTTCTCACAATTTTATGTAAATATTTTACCTGGAATTTTTAAAAATGGGACAGTTTCAAACATCAAAAATGACAATATAGAAATCGTCAGTTTTGTAGCTGATGGTCTTGTTTGCTTTTGTCTATCATGAAGAGGCATCTATATGAGTTTCGGTCTATTTTATGATTATAAAAAAACTCCACACAGGTTCTTTAAGTCTAAGTATCAGCAATGGTATCTAGCTTGAAAAATCTGTTTGTTTTTATTGAATCTGCCTTCAGGAATGGGCAGCGAGCCTGGCTCAAACATTTGTTTTGGTCATCCAAAATCAGCTCCACCCGTCCTGATATCCATCTCCTGTGCCCAGTCCTCCTGACCTCTTATCCCACTCTTTACTAGAGTGGAAGAAATCTCTTCGTTGGCTCTTCCCGTGTTGTAGCGGGTGATTCCTCTCCTCTCAGCTGTCTCTCCAAGGCTTCTGCAGTGTCATCAACACGCACGCATATATGGTGCTATCCCCTCCGCTCGGTTCATTGCTTCCTCTTCTTCACCTCGAGGGTGAAACCGTAATTTTCTGCTGCTGAATAATCCCACTGATGAGAACAGTATCTTCTCCGTGAGGCTCACAGCTTCACCTCGCTCGTACGGAGGCTTTGGTGAACACAGATTAGCAGTCCTCAGGTGTATTTAAAGTCAGGTGGAATGTCGATAGTGCCTGCCGGTGTTCACACCACAGATGGTTTGGATTCCAGCATCCAGCGGAGTTTAGTTAAGGCCTCCTTGTGCTGCTGCTCAAATGAGGTATTCCAGGAATGGGCCCTGTCGCAGAGCTCCCAGCTATGCATTATTAAAAGGTCTCCTTAAAGAGCTGAGTGGAAAGTCCCATGACTCAGATCCATAGATTGATGCTGGGTTTGCGCCTTAGTGGTGCTTCCGAGCCACGAGTTAGTGGACAGTCACAGAGGAGAGTCGACGCAGTGTACAGGAAAGAGGAATGAGGCGATGTCTGCTGGCGTTTGGCGTATTTCTTGACTACTGTTATATTTGCTAATATGCATTTATCTGTTAAATCACGCATGAGTATACTTTCATAACTCAGCCAACTGCACTGTCGGGTGTTTATAACACGTGGGCAGAGAAAATTAGCTAAGGAAGGGATGTGACAATATAGAGGGTTGGCTAGCGGCTAGCTTTGTGACAAATCCCGAAGATTTACTAGCGAAGTTACTTCTTAATTTTGTTGTAGCTAAAGTGAAAGCTAACAAGCAAGCTAACAACCAAACTTGATCTAGCTCTCTCACCAAAAAACCCCAGTTTGTAAATTTATTTGCTTTATCGGAGCTTCCAAGCCACAAGTTTGTGGATGGTCACTGTTGATATACTCAAAGGAGAGTCACCGCAGTGTACAAGAAAGAGGAATATAGCAATGGCTGCTGGCATTTGGCGTGTTTCTTGAGGACTATTATATTAGCTATTATGCATTTATCCGTTAAATTACGCATGAATATACTTTCATAACTCAGCCAACTGCACTGTCTGGTATTTTAGACATGAGGGTAGAGAAAATTAGCTAAGGAAGCAATATGACAAGACGGAAGCTAGCTGCTAGCTTTGCGCCAAATCCCGTAGAATTACCAGCGAAGTTACTTCTTAATTTTGGCGTAGCTAAAGTAAAAGCTAACAAGCAAGCTAACAACCAAACATGGGTCAAATCTCTCATCAAAAAACCCAATTTGTAAATGTATTCCTGCGAATTAAACTCCAGCTGACTGCTACTCCTCCTACTGCCAGTACAAGAGTCGCCTTTTTGACAGTCTTCTTGAAAAACAGGGAAATCTTTCTCTGCACCTTTTGTCATTTTTAGCAGGTCCTACTATTTAGTTTGTGCTGAAGTACAGGGGCGTGTCGAGACTTTTAAACTGGGGCGCTTTTATATGTACAGGTGGTCATTACTATTAATTATTTATTATTAGATTACTTAATTAATCACTAAGATAATCAATTGAAAACTCAATTGCTTGGGTAATAAACTGCTGCAGCCCTAGTTATGGTGTCGGATGACAAGAAAACGAGGACTCTTTCCTCCTGGCTGAGTGGTTCGGCACTCAATTTCTGAGGAAATAATAAGGACTTAGTTTCCAACAACCATCATGAGCTGATAGAAGACGCCAGGAGGAGCAGATTGACGGCAAAGATACACAAAATAGAGAACCACTTATTGCCAAGACTCCTTTAAACCTTCTAACATCTAGAAAACAGAAATATTTAGATATTTCAAGTGCCCAGATTTTAGATTCAAACACTCCCTTGCTCACTCTTCTTCTTGAGGAAGTGACGGTGGCCAAAAATGTGTTTGTTAGAAGTTTGTGACACTGTAGAAACAAAACAATGGAAGATGGCGGCCTCCTATGTTGGAAAACCACTTCTTAAAGTCTTGTTCAAGCTAAATATTCTAAATTATTTCCATATTCGAACATACTCATGAGTAATATATTCTATTTTCGCCAAGCTAAAAACTACGTACTGCACCTTTAAGTCAGGCTTACACAGTCAGACCTTAAAATAAACCCAAACGCGACAACAGCGGGTCATTACAGTAAGAATAAATGCTCATCCACAGGCCTGGTAATAACACCGTTGGTATGATGCAGAAATGCAGGATGTTCTGAATTATACATTGTGCGTTTGTTGGAACTGTTCGCTGTAATTGCCCGGCAACACAATAGTGGGTTGGCACACGTCCCCCCCGACTGTCAGAGTTACATTGCGCCCCCTGTCCCCTTGGATCCCCAGCGGCTGCAAACACACATAAAAAAAACACTGCAAGGACACACACTCTCTTAGACGGGGTCGTGGTGTTCATTAAGGAGCTCGGGCTCTGCCACTTGCCTCGCCGTTGCTCACTCTTCCGCACAGCTGAGCGGCCGGGAGGTCTGAAGTTTCCAGCTCTCCTGCTGGGGGGGAGAGATAATGTGTTAAAGTGCAAACCTCTTCTACCTCCTACAACTTTCCATGAGTATTTACTATTTCTGATAACAGCTGCGCAACCTCGAGTATACGAGAGAGCAGCGGGTGATAACATGCGAGGCTATTATTGCTGTTAATGGTCTGTTTATTCAATGGCTTTTGAAGATAAAAGGATGTACTTTATTAGAGATACTCATTCACTGCTGCAGTTGAAACCATTAGCCGGGGAAGTTGTTGCAGTGGAGAGAGTATTTTCCTGATTTTCTCAGCAGCTTGAAGGTTGGCAGGCAGTAAAAAACCCGCAGTAAAACCTCTCACCCGGCTCCAAAATAAGCTGCAAACTCACAGAAGGATTTGGCTTCGATGTCGGTGCTGTAGTACCGGAGTAGTGGCATTAATGCTCTTTTTTTACACCTAACTAGGAGTAAAACTTGTGAAGTAGCAGTTTCAGTTTGAGGAGTAAAAATAGTGCAGAACAAAGAAGAGAATTGGTGGGGAATTGTCAAGCTTTAAGGGTTCGTTTTTATCCAAAACGCATGTAGTTGGAGAGTCGAGAGGAAAATGTACGTCGGAGTTTAACCAGGAGGAGACCAGGGTTCAAAAAGTTGGTAAGAGGGTCGATTGGTAAAAGAGGATACTCAACGTCCCTTAAAGACTTTCCAGGTCAGATTTGAGGCCAATAATCAGTAGCCTGGCTGGGCCATCCAGTCGCGTGAATCACTTGCCGTTCCTTCCCACAACAGTCTGGACTTCGGCCAATTGGGATCAGAAAATAACCGGGCCAATCAGTGACTGTGTTTCCACTGTTCCCGAGACAACAGGGAAAGGCAGCCCCTGATTGGTCCATGTGTAGATGGAGACGTCTAACACATGCTGCGGGACTTTTCAAAGCGCCGTTCATTCAGAACGCCGTTAATTCTGCAGTTGACTTTGCAAAGTCGGCAGAAATCGTTTATATCGTCAATGAAAACACAATTTTCATTTAAAACTTTTTGTTGTTAGTCATTTGATTGTATCAATAAATTGTATTGTTTTGTAAAGAAAAGAACAGTAATTGTGTATTGGCTATCTGCTGATCTGCTCTCATATGATCGGTATCGGCCAACGACGAACTGATATCGGTCGACCACGAAATTTATACGAATCTGGGATCAGAAGTAACTATCCATCTGTCACTTTATGAGCTGAATTTACAATATAGAATTGACAATACAGATGAACATATCGTCATAACTTTTGCGTTACTTATCCTCGAGATGTCGATCTTAAGGTGTGCCAAAAACTGCGGGTCTTCGTCAAACGGCATGGTCAGCACGGCGCGGAGAAGTTCGACTTTGACACGATGTCCCGCAATAAGATTTCAAACTGTTCTAGCTCAGCTTGACGAAAACACATCCGCACAAAACATACAGCACCACCTACTGGCAACAGGAAGTTACTGCTTTTACATGCTATGACAATGCCGACAATGCCATCAGACAGGAAGTACCTTATTTTTCGCACTTTAATGTGCACTTAAAATCCTTACGGCTTGTCGGAGCACTGCAGCTACCATAGCCTTGTAGAGTTATTGACTGTTTTGTTTGGCTTAATGCGCTTTTTAATCCGATGCGCCTTATGCATGAAAATAGATGCGTTCATTGATGGTGCGCCTTATTGTGTGAAAAATACGGTGGTTTTTTTTGAGTCACCAAATATGGTAAGCAGGAGCCCAGGTGAACCATGACATATTTCATACAGGTAAAGTTGCTGGGCGTGGCTTAAATAGTGCAGTTAGCCACGCCCACAAGGACATTTCACCTAGAAAAATAGCCTTCGCTGGGCGTACGCACTTTTGTTTGACCTACTACACCAGACCTGAACATGTGCAGAGGTGGGAGTGCCTGTTCAGTGCCGCTCTCAGCTTTGATTGAATTGGAAGTGACATTAAAAAAAAATCACCCAGACCTGCTGAAGTCTGTGGGGCCTTTGTTGTAGGATCACAAGACGTGTGTTTATCCAGAGCCACAATGCTTACCTCTCCTGGCAGTGTGGAATCAAAAGACTCCCATCTGGCAGTCCACACACTCACACACACACACACACACACACAAGTCTCCCATCCCGGACAATGTTGCTGACATATGCTTTGCTCTCATTGGAAGTGTTATAAACAAGGACACCGAGGCATCCAGTTACATAAAAGGTCATGACTTGAGGAGCTCATAAATCATGCTGACAACAGGTACGCTATCACGCACAAACATACTCACTCTGAATGATGTCATGACGAAGCGATTTGCGCCCGGTCTCATTTTTTAAACCCGCTGGAAATGATAAAGTTTCACATTAATCTTCTATCTCGGGTTGTTTACATTTCGCACGTCTAACCTTGCTTGCAAACGGCACAGTCACACTTTTAAGATTAGGAAATGCAGACGTGCAAAGATACAGATTTGCACCGAACACAAAAACCGTTTACACTCAGATGTAAACGAGTCAACACCGCGTCTCTGCCTCTGTACGTATGTGATGCAAATAAGTGGATGTATTTGTAATCCTCTAAAGCTCAGGTTACTCATTGTATCCCTCATGTTATAACAAAAGCTTATAGTGCACTTCCCACAGATTGACCTCGACGCTGCTCCTGTGTTTAGGGATTACTGACAATGATTAATTAGCATTTATTCAACCTTGTAAAAGTCGGTTTAAAGAAGCTGTTAAAGTTTGTTTTGGCAAATTTAAACATCTCTCCTTGAAATTAATTTAAAATGCATGTTTTTAAGGGTGATTCATTTTTATTCATCTTACTAATTTACCTTAAGTTAAAATAAATGTTCCTGTTGCTCGTCAGAAAAACTGATGGTGAGTAATCAAGAGTGGGAGACAGTGGCAGAAACCTTTTAGTGCAGAATTATAATGTTCTATCTGCATTACATGAGCAGTAAGTCATTTTTTTAACGCAGCAGCACTTAGTGAAACCCATTTTAAAAATTGTAACCATTAGACCAATGACAGTACACCTGTTTTTAACGCTATTATTTTGCTCACGGCTACAAACTATTTTTTCACCATTGTTTAAAGCTCCTGTGAGGAGTTTTACGATGTTTATGAAACTGACTTGAATTCATACAGATGCATTTTTCTAATATGCAAAAGCAAACGAGGCCATTGGCGATAACATTGACCTTTTTTAAAAGTAGTTTTTACTAGAGAAACTAGCGCTAAGTGAACTAGCGCAAGTTACTTATCAAAATTACTACTTAAGCATGTTGAGGACAAGATAATCAGAGTGCGCCAAATTGGCAGGAGCTTCAAACGGGAAGTTACGCTAACATTACAGCTCTGTGATGTTAGCATTAACATCGTAAATAAGGAGAAACAGCTAATTGGTGTAAAGATGGAAGTAAGGCGCTAGTGGGTGGATTAAATTAAGCTGCGCTAGTTGTTTTTTTGCTGTTTCCATTACTGATGCTGAGGTTAGCTAGCTGTCTTCGAAATGGATTATCAAAATTACTACTTAAGCATGTTGAGGTCTTGAAAATCAAAGTGCGCCAAATTGACAGGAGCCTTAAATGGGAAGATACGCGAACATTACAGCTCTGTGATGTTAGCATTAACATCGTAAGTGAAGACAAACAGCTAATTGGTGTTAAGTTGGCAGTAATGTGCTAGTAGGTGGATTGAATTAAGCCGCGCTTGTGGTTTTTTGCTGCTTCTATTACTGATGCTAATTAGCTAGCTGTCTTCAAACTGTAGCTTTTTTAGCTAATACATTAACGAATTTAAGTCATTGATATTACTCGCTATGATCATTAACAAACCAAAAAAAATGCTAGCAAGAGCTTGAGTGCTAGCTTAATGGCTGTAGTTCGCGAAATGGATTAGGCTAGCTACAAAAAAACAAAATTTTAATGTCTCAAAGTTGGGATGTCAACATTGTCAAGTTCCAATATTGGTGTATTTGGTATCACTTAAAAATTCAATATTGTGCAAACTAACACGATAGGATTGTTTACACTCACCTTAGTTTGTATTAGCTCATTTTAGCTCGTAGAACTTTACTTTTTATAACTATTTGATCTTTAATTTGGAAAGATTATTACTTAACTTTTTGCGATTTTAAGAGAGTGACAGGGCACCACACTTTTCCCAATTTTCCCAATCATGCTTTCCTTGTTGACGCTACTCAGTAATTTTATATTGTCATAATCTGGCAGCAGCTGAAAAACTCCAAATCCAGTTATTAGAAGCCGATGATAAACCATGAATAGTTTTCCCTCCTAGTGTAGGTGGGACTTATTCGAGACCTGTGTGTCTCCACACTGGTGGTTTCCAGATCTGCAGTTGTGCAGGGTGACATGGTATTTTCTTCCCACCTCCAGCTAAACTGGATTAGGCGGCTGCTCTGCTCATTAATCTGTAATCGCTTTAACGAAGGGTCAATTATAATTCATGTGTGCACTTACGCTGGGTGTGTTAAGACAAAAATAGGATTCCTGCTTTGTGCCGCCTGTGTTTGGATTTAACCATAAAATTCTCCTTCCTAAACATTTTACACATGCAGAAGAGTCGCCACTTTTTTCCACTTTCTTTCTCTCCCTTGTATGTTCCCACTGTCACACATACTGCAGCTCACATGCTCTCTCTTGAGGCCAGATAAAAAAAAATCTTGTGCTGTGGAAATCACGGCACAAACCAGCGAAAAAACACGATGAGCCGACTTGACAGCAACCTCAGCTTTTGCTCAGGGTGATCTTATTTTTTTTTAAAGCCAAGAGTTGTCGTTATGTTTTTTTTTTATCGTAAACATTCGTTAAAGGATACGACAGAGTGGCTACATGTGTGTTTAAGGGTGGGTGTATGTGTGTGTGTGTGTATCAAGGTTGCCCTCCTTGGGAAGTAAGAGGCCTCCGAGTGTCCTTGCCTGTGGCTGTGGGAAGTAGAGCAAAACGGAGAGTGGAAGGGAGGGAAGGGGTGATGGAAAGCGTGCAGAAAAAAGAGCAATAGGTCACATCTCTTTTTTTTTTTTCAGAGTGAAGGACACCTCTGCTTTTTTTAAATTAATGTGTGACTGTGGAGTAAGAAACATTCATAACAACTTGTTGCATTGTTATAAGCAGTGAAGTACGATTTATAAAGCAAAACTAACAAAAGCACATTTGAACTCGAAGTTTGAAGTTGAAGCTTGTCTCAAAGTTTCAAAACGTCACAAGTTTCTTTGATTAAAGGGATATTCCGGCGTAAAATTGATTAAGTGTCAAACACAGCGTAGTACATAGTACTAGCCACCAAACATTTTTTAAAACTTTGCCTGAAGAGACTAAACACAACTCACCTACTCTCTTCCAGCAGCCGCTTGTTTGTAGAGAGACCTCGTGCAAGTCCATTACGGACTACAGCGGGGTTTCGCAGCTCAAGGAAGAACATTTATGATCATTTCTATATCATTTCTTTGAAGTAATAATCATCATGTTAATCATTTTGCAGACGCGGTAGTTCTTCTGCCTTAGTGTCTCGGTCTGATTGGATTTCCATGTAGAAATGATCATGAATGTTCTTCCTTGAGCTGTGACACCCCGCTGTAGTTGATGGACTCGCCCATAGGTCTCCAGACAAACAAGCGGCTGCTGGAAGAGAGTAGGTGAGTTGTGTTAAGTCTCTTTGCTAAAGAAACAAGACAAAGTTAAAAGGATGTTTGGTGGCTAGTACTATAATTCTGTGTATTGCTAGCGTGCGGTCGTTACTAATGTTGGTATAACTAGAGAAGCAAGCAGTCGGCATCATTCATCTCTCGAGGGGGTGTCTAACTCGGTGTTAAGGCGTGTTTGACCCTAAATTAATTTTACACCAGAATATCCCTTTAATTATGATCCAGGATCATTTTGACTCATGAGAGCAGCCTCTTACAGTGTTAAAACCATCTTGTGAGTGACAAACCAAGCAGAAAAATAACAAAAATATCTGCATACAAATAAAAAAATCTTTTCGTTATAACTTGTGGTCCCAAGATAGATCCCTGTGGTACACCAGGGCTTGATCTCGGGACCACTCTTCATCAACTAAACATTTAAAAACTAAAATAATTGTTGTAAAGCGTTTTTGTTCTCATACACTTTACTTAAAACCATAAAATACTGCTAATAAAAACAGTTAAATATGTTATAGGATTGTGTATTTTAGTGCCCACCCTGGGTATCGTCTATTTGTGGGAAAAACTGGCACTCCTAGAGGTCAAACTTCATATGCTTCAGAAAAGGTTAAACAGTGTGTTTCCAAGTGGCAAAAAGAGTGTTAATGTGTTTGCGTTTGCACCAGCACACACTAACTTCCTCTTCATTGCGTGAACATTTCCTCAGGCTGTGTACCAATCCAGTGACAAGCTGAGGCAAAGCCAAGTTGAAAGGTACAAAAAGGAAAAGAAAAAAGCTGCAGAAAAGGATATCAATACCGACACATCGATGAGTCTGCTGGCTGAAACAAATTCATTTAACTGTCATCGATTTTTTTTTTTTTGGTCGTTAAAATGAATCATTAAGCAGGTCAGCTTTTAAAACAAAGAAATAAACCCAGAGCGCCGGCGGGCTTGAATGCGCTTTTTAAAAACACTGCATAAACTAGTAAAAGTGTCCTTGCACTGTTGTCACTTTAAGCGCCTTTTCCTCAGATTTGTGTTAAATTTGCATGTCGCACTCTAAGCAGTGTCACCTTAACTGTGCTCTGTCTTTGCAAGCCGAGTGTGTAGCTGTGTTCAAAGTGTGCACTTCTGTGTGTTCTGCTGTTGTTTAGCCGCTTCTTGCAACACCTTACTTTTGCACTAAATGCTACGTGTGTTTCTTTGTTTGTTCACGTTGATTGCAGCCTTTAAGAGTCCTCTTCTCTGCATTCTTGAATCTGCTCTGCTCTCACCTGCTCATTTCAGCAAAACAGTGGTTGAGTGTTTGTGTTCAGCTGTGTGCAGTGTTTTCAAACTGAAGGCTGCCTTTAGCCACGTCATTTTCATTTTATATTTCGCAGCACTCCATAAATGTCCCGGCTAACCTTGGACTTGGTCGTTCTAGTGTATGTAAGTGCGTTTTTCCTGCAGTTGTACCTCGCAATATCACTTCATGCTCCACAGAGTGCAAGTCGTCTTACCTAACCCACTGATTTACATCAAAGAAGGTGTGTGTGTGTGTGTATACTATATGTACGTGCCCTGGCAGGGTGCTCTAGCTGTAGGCAAAGTGTCAGCTCATGGCAGCAGGGTGACTTTCGCTCACCAGAAGCAGAGTAGAGATTAGTGGAGGAAGGAAGAAGCAAGATAGGAGCAAGAGATCTAGTTTCCTCAAAAATTCTTCTATAACAGAGAAATGAGGAAGTGTAGGTTGATGCTAGACTGGTTCCAGACGTCTGAGCTCCTGTCACTGAGATTTTGTCTGGAATTCCAAAAAGGTGTTGAGTTGCTCATGAATGTTTGACATGTTTTAGGGAAGATTTTTTTGGCCTTTTATGCCAGTAAGACCAGGAAAGACAATATTGAATGCTGTTGCTGTTTTTTAAGTGCAATTTTTCCATACATCATGTTTTCTTCATCTACGAAAATTTTATTAAAACAACATTAAATGTCCCAGAATTTCCCAGCATCCATTGTTGTGAAATCCAAAACATTTTTTTTTTCAAGCCCAAAAATAAGACATACCTAGTTACAAAAAAGCAGCCAATCTTCTCAATGCACAACTGATATAAATAAGGGCCTGTGTACGTGAACTTTGTTACTGCAGGGTTATGAATAACTAAAATTTATAAGGGCCTGTGTCCATTTGTGTTGTCACTGTAAAAGTGAGAATAAGTCAAATTTAAAAGGGCCTGTGTACATTCACTTTCTTGCTGCAAAGTTCTGAATAACCAGAACTGATAAGGGCCTGTGTCTATTCGCTTCATTATTACAAAGTTACAAATAACTAATATTTGATAAGGGCCTGTGTCCATTTGTGTTGTCATTGTAAAAGTAAGAATAAGTAAAACTTAAAAGGGCCTGTGTACATTCACTTTTTTGCTGCAAAGTTCTGAATAACCAAAATGAGTAAGGGCCTGTGTCCATTCGCTTCATTATTACAAAGTTAGGGCCTGTGTCCATTCACCTCTCTACTTTCAGGCTATAAATAATCAGAACTAATAGGGGCCTGTGTCCATATACTTTCTTGCTGCAAAATTCTGAATAATCAGAACTGATAAGGGCCTGTGTCCATTAGCTTCATTATTACAATGTTAGGGCCTGTGTCCATTTACTCTGTCATTGTAAAAGTACGATATTAACTAAAATTGGACACAGGCCCACATCCATTTACTTTCCTACTTCCAGGTTATAAATAATCAGAATTGATAAGGGCCTGTGTCCATTGTACAACTTAAAATCATTTATGGAAATTTTGTTGCAGCATTAGGAGTAGCTCTACACCTGGAAATCAAACCTTGAAAATGGGTCTAGCCCTATTAAATCCTTTAGTATTATTGCTGACAAAGCTGATTTAAAGGACCTGGCCCCTTTTAGTTTCTAATTAGTTAATGATGGAAAACAAACGGTGACTAGCAAGTTAGATTTTTTCCAACTGAGAGCTCTGTGAGGGCAGCAGCAGAAAATAGCTAATAGCAAGGGTGTCTTTTTGTCTAGGATGCTAAGCACTGAAAATGCTAAGCTGCAGAAAATGGACACAGGCCCTAAGACTTGAACTCTCGTCAATCAAATCTTCTCTTTTTTTCTGCTAACGTCAATGTATCGCTAATGGCGCTGAAAATCACATTGAAGTATCTCTGAGAAGGGCTTTCAGTGATCTGTGAGGGCAGAATCAAAGAGGATGTCACACTGAATAATGGAGCGTTAACAAAATTGTCATTCATCTGAATGTCAGGCTGAGGTTAAAGTGGAGAAAAAAAACGTGTATATCATGCAAGAATCATGAAGCAAGATGGATAAAGGGAGAGCAGGAGGGGTGGGTGAGGGCCAGGAGAGGAGGACTCCCTACTTGTGAGGAGTCAAGAGGGGAGGGAGTGTGAAAGCATCGGGGGTGAGTGGAGAGCAGGAGGGGGGAAAAAAGGATTATACTGTGAAGGAGAGAAAATGGGCTTGAGTGGATGAAGGTGAGGAGCTGGGGGGAGGTGAGAGGATGAGATGAGGGGGGAAATGAAAGGCAGGGTGATTTGGTGAATGGGGAGGTAGCAGCTGGTGCGTGAGGAGTCAGACTCTACCACTCGCTTCCTTCTTCCTCCCTAACCTCCATTTTCCCTCCTTTTTCTGTTTTCTCCTGTTGGTATTTTCCCATCCTTATCCCCCTCTCCTTATTGGCCCTTGTACTCCCAGTGGTTCGGTCTCACTCGCCACTGTTTCTTGTTATGCGGTGATTATGTTCCTCTGAGCCGGTGCAGATGTACTTGCCGTCAATGATTTTGTACCAGCATGACTGTCCTGGTGTCTGTTTCTCTATTCTTGTCTATTCCCAGACCTGCTGCATCATATTGCAACAGACTCTCTTGTCAAAGTGGAACCGGGTTCTTGAGAAGTTAATGTTCCTAATACTATAAATACAAATTCTAATTCAACATATGATATGTGAAGATTTTTGCACTGTATCGTGGTAGGAAAATAGATACAATACCACATGATTTGACGAAATAAAACAAGGAGCAATGCTGTATGGTACTTAACAATACATTACATTAAGATGCAAAATTATTCAGTCCTATACCAAACCAAACAGTACCCTGTGTATGACACAATGCAGTACATTATATTAGGATACAATTCAATAAGCTATTGTCCAATATTATTAAAGATACAACGCAATACAATATGATACGGTATGATATAATACGAAGTGATAGGGTATAATATAAAGCGATGTGATGAGGTATAATACGTTACAATGTGAAGAGGTATGCTATGATATATTGTGGTTAGGTATGATATAATATGACATGATGAGGTATGCTATGATAAGATGTGATGAGGTGTGATATGACATGATATAATGAGGAATGATATGATACGATTTGATGAGGTATGATACAATATGATGTAATGAGTTACATATAATAGGATGTGATGAGGTATGATATAATACAATGTGATGCAGTGCAATCTGTGATGTGATTCTAAACAATACAATAGTATATGATATGATATGATACAACACAGTATGAAATGATATGATGCGATACATTACAACATGAATCAAAACAATATGTAACATAACATTATGGTACGTTGTACAAGGTTATGACACGGCATTACAGGACACGTCACATGACAATATAAAACAATAAGAAATGATATGATACTATATACAAATCTATGATGCAGTATGATATAATATGATACAATAACATACATAGCAATATGAGATAATGTCATACGATACAATATGATATACTTCGAAAGGCTACATTATGATACAATATGATACAATATGATATGATACATAACAATGAGATGTAATACAATATGATTTGTTTCACCTGGCTTTGATACAGTACGCCACAATATGATACAATATGATATGATACATAACAATATGATACAAAATGATACAATATAAGATGATTTGTTTCACCTGGGTATGATACAACATGCTATGCTACACTACTATATGATACAAAATTAAGCAAAATGAAACTAAAGAAATGATTTGACACTTCACATTTTCATTTAAATACTCCCTCAATGTCAGTATTGAGAAATACTCTTAAAACAATCAGCATTTAACTATCTGCTGTACCCTAATGTGTCTTTAGTTCAGTGAATACTTCTCTTTTTCCTGTTTGAAGGGAATCTCAGGTATCTTTCCAGAACCTCAGAAAGTCCCAGATTTACCTGCACCTCTAAATCACTCCTAAACTGTCCGATTGTTCTCTCAGGAGTGTTTGGGGGAAATCCCTCCACGATGTGCGTTCAGTTACTTTTTTAACACAATGAACTCGATTGTAAAGTCCCCGCCTTCTGAAACCACAACAAAGAACTCAAGTGAAAGTTTTTCTTTCAGTTTCGAAAACAATCAAACTTTTCAATACGTCGATTGAACACTTACGCGTGTTTGACTGAGCGGCTGCTTGAAGCGGAGATTGGATGTAGTCGGTGAACCTTGTTATTTTCATTTTTTATTCATTTCTCCAGATGCAGATGCAGAGTAGAGCTACATGTAAGTGTGCAGATGGCACCGCTAGACCCTGAGGGAACACACACACACGCACATCCATGCATCCATACTGTATTTAGTTAGCTTCATGACTGACTTTTGTTTACGTACCACCAAACACGTGACTCTGATGTGCTTATTTTTCTTTTTTTTTACACTCTTTCTTTTCCTGAGTGTCATTTGCATCCACTGAATGCGGTTTCACTTTGATTCCAGCGCTTCCCTTTTTGTCATTTCACCCTTAAAAGCGCAGAAGTATCCAAACTCGTCTTTTGGCTGATGTTGTTTACAGTCCTGCTATCTCTCTCTCAAAATTCGGAGCTTCTCCCGGGATTTGATTAATAGCTCACATCTCACACACACACTGTGCACATTACACTCTCATGCCTTCCAAAAATGAGGCAGCTGCCGCCCACGCACAAAAACGCACACTCGATAGCTCAGTATAACAACATCAGAAAATGAAGTGCCCACCCACCTACACACAGTCACTCGCTCAGATAGCTCCCCTGCTGTGGGCAAAAAGCACACACAGAAGAGCCGTGCCAGGATTTCAGTCTTGTCGAGGACTAGTGAGCAATAGGTCTGCGCACACAGAAGCACAAACGCACACATGTGTGTTATGGCAGGATCACTTCTGCTCAGATTAAAGATGAGTCACAGAGCAGGAAAACACAAACACACACACTGATGGATGGACTCATAAACTGACCGTAAAAGCATGTGTCGTCCGCCCCGCGGAGCGTAAATAGCACATATTGTTCACTTCCTCACACACACAGAAAGGACATGTAACATATTATCTATAACCTACTTATGCTAATGTTCACTCACCCACTCTGCGTCTCCCACACACTCACAGTGACACACACTTTTACGCTCTCGTACCCTTCCACACATGTGCCGGCAGACTGACGTTAATTCATCGATACTAACGCACGCGCACGTAGATGTGGCGGCGTGGGAGGTCGTCAAGTCGTAAGTAGGAATGGCACAGGCTGGAGAGTTTGTGTGTGAGTGTGTATGAGTGTGTGTGTGTGTGGAGTCTTGGCGATCTTGTCAGCAGATTGTGTTGATATTTGGCAGCTTTGGGCATCTTCACACATTCAATGTTAGAGGCGTACGAAATGTTGAGTCCTTCAAAATAAAGGTCACAGAACCATCAGAGCTAACCCACTTTCTCCTGAAGTTGAAATTTGTTGCTTTTCAAAATTTCACGTGGATCTACATCTGCCAAATCTACATCTGCGACTCCTCCCCGGAGATAAATCCGACCATTTGGGAAGCATCTTGTCTTATAATTAACGCAGTGACTAAATAAAGATCGCTAAAATGACATTTGCTTCCGCTCCCTTCTGTTTGGTTTGGCCAAAATGACTTCCTGACAAACGCTGACATACGAGAGTCTAAAATTATGATTACAAGAAGTCCTCAGCATATTGACTTTGCAACCGTTTTAGGCTTTAAAAATGGCAATAAAGACATTGCTGATCTTCACATCTTAAAAATGGTCGATTTCTCGTTCTTGTTGTGAACAGAAAAGTTTGTCAATCGGTAGGTTGTATAACCCAGAAGATACCTGAATGTGTTGCGATCTCCATCTCTAAGGACCTATATCTGTCATACTCGAGGACGTTAAAACATTTCCAACCAAGTAACAAAGTTTTGCTAAACACTGGATGCCCCACAGTGGTGCAGTAAACACACATCAAAGATCTAAACCCAGAAGATATGCCCACAGTGTTTTGAAAAAGAAACAACAACAAACCAACAACAAACCTCTTCAGTTAAAACTGCAGTTCCTCAAGTGTCCACTTGGGGCTTGCTCCAAATGAAGAGGAGACCCTATTGGAGCCCATTTATAAATCCCATAATTAAACATTATAGTACAGCAGGGGTACAAATTCTGTTTTGGTCACTTCTTTTTTCTTAATTTGTGAAAAAAAAACTGCAAATATATTATTTAGATAACATGAATTTTGATGATATTAAAGCTAAGAGTTTTGCATGATGACATTATCTTGTCATGATTATCTTCTTTCTTAAGATAGTTTCCAACATGGCGACCTAGGGCTGGGCAAGAAACCAATACCCAAACCGAAAATTTACGATACCGAAATTTACAACTAAACCCAACCTTATTTTGCCCGTATAGGTAAATTCAGTGTCAAAAATAAATAAATCAAAGTTTGTTTTGGATGTGTGTAGGTAGGCTATGGTCTCATATCCCTTTATGACGCTGTTCTATGTCAGAGACGTGACTCCACCCCATCCAGTCTGTAACAAAGAGGGAAAGACAGGTGAGGAGATGGAGGACGGTTCAAAAGTTGTAGCGGCTGAAGTAGACGAAGTTAATGTCCATTTATCGTTATCAAGGTAGACTGCTCAATATATTGTCAAATTGATTTGAGGCCGTATCGCCCAGCCCTATGGCGACTTCATGTTTTGGCCTTCAAAGTATCTCTACAATATCAAATGGAGATAACACTTATAAATGATAACAATAATAATAATATTTACGACCGTTTCTCCAGAAATCTCTCAGTCAGCATCATGAAAAAAAAACTTTTTATCTTTGCCACAGGAAAGACAATTGCTGTGTTATTCAGCTTTGGTAAATGGGATATAAATATAATTTCCACAGTGTGGGTAATCTTAATTTCATGGACAGACTGTTTCCTTATGACTCACATATAAAAATGTATTAAAAGATAGCCGGCGACAGAAGCCGTTTGGCAGAGGAACCAGACGAGCGCCATAAAAAGAGGATAGATGTGAAGGAGAAAGACTGAACACACAGAGGGCAGACTGGACCGGAATAACACAAAATCAATCCAAATCCTTTGTTGGAGGAAGATGGAGGTCGAGTAGAAGAAGTGGGGAGGAAAGATTTTAACAAACAAGACCTAGCGTACGAGCAAGATATGCAGGGGCTGGTGCTATAGGATGAGGCAGACGCAGATTGATGGATCGCCGGAGGAGAAATGGAGGCGAAGGGAATGGGCAGGAGATGAGAGGCAGATGCCGAGAAAGAGGGTTCTGCTTTATGTTGGCGGATGGCGGTGGACAGCTTGTGTAGCTGGGAGAGATAAGAAACTGGGGGGGAAATGAGGAGTAATGTGACAAAAAAGCCTGCAGACACAAAATCTGGGCCTGGAAGAGGTCCTAATGTGTTGTGTCAGTGTGACGGTGGGACTGTTGTGAAGCCTGTGATACAGATAATCACTCGATCAATCGGTTTGTATTAAAATGACACCGATTGAAAGTTATCAGACTCAACAGTTTTCTCCTTCACTCTTTGGAAAAGTGGCGAGGATATTTTGTCCAAGAGCTGGTTTTGTGGACAAAGTTGTCACTCTGGTGCTGCGTTCCAGTTACCTTAGAAGTTAGATGTCAGAGCTGGGAATGACGTCACACCTGAGTTAACGGCGTTCCAGTAAGCAAGTCAAAAAACCAAGATGGACGCCTTTGTTATTAGCTGTTGTTAGCCGTTGTTAGCTGTTGTTAGCCGCTATCAGCTGTTGTTTGTTGTAAGCTGTTGTTAGCCGTTATCAGCTGTTGTTTGTTGTTAGCTGTTGTTAGCTGTTGCCAGCTGTTGTTAGCCATTGTCAGGTGTTGTTAGTTGTTGTTAGCCGTTATCAGCTGTTGTTAGCTGTTGTTAGCTGTTGTTAGCCATTGTTAGGTGTTGTTAGTTGTTCGCTGTTGTCAGCCGTTGTCAGCTGTTGCTAGCAGTTGTTAGCTGATGTGAGTTGTTGTTAGTTGTTGTTAGCTTTTGTCAGCTATTGTCAGCGGTTGTTAGCCGTTATCAGCTGTTGTTTGTTGTTAGCTGTTGTTGGTTGTTGTTAGCTGTTGTTAGCTTTTGTTGGCCGTTATCAGCTGTTGTTAGCTTTTGTTAGCCGTTATCAGCTGTTGTTAGCTGTTGTTAGCTGTTGTTAGCTGTTGTTAGCCATTGTCAGGTGTTGTTAGTTGTTCGCTGTTGTCAGCCGTTGTCAGCTGTTGCTAGCAGTTGTTAGCTGATGTGAGTTGTTGTTAGTTGTTGTTAGCTGTTGTTAGCCATTGTCAGCTGTTGTTAGTAGTTGCTAGCTGTTGTTAGCTGTTGTTAGCTGTTGTTAGCTGTTGTCAGCTGTTGTTAGTAGTTGCTAGCTATTGTTTGTTGTTGTTGTTAGCTGTTGTTAGCTGTTGTTAGCCATTGTCAGTTGTTGTCAGCTGTTTGCTGTTGTCAGCTGTTGTTAACAGTTGCTAGCTGTTGTTAGCTATTGTCAGCTATGGTTAGCTATGGTTAGCTTTTGTCAGCTATTGTTAGCTGTTGTTAGCCATTGTCAGACGTTAGCGGTTGTCACCGGTTGTTAACTGTTGTTCAGCAGTTTTCAGCTGGGATCTGAGTGGGCGGGGCTGCTTTGGTAAGAAGATGCTGATTGGCTGCCTCGATTTTGCAGACAGATGCAGAGGCGGAAAAACACCAGATCAAACATAGTGAGTGCTCCAGGTTTTGGACTTTAGAAAAGACTCTTAAGTGCATTCTGATATGTTTTACATCATAGGGGGTCTTTAGGTTGAAACTTTGGCCTGAATTGAACACACAGGTGGACAGCTATCTGCCTCGAACTCACAGGATCCTGTCACAGAGGACGAACAGACACCAGCTGGATTGTACGTCTGCTTCATTTCATGTCTAATCTACCATAACAGAATATTCTGCCGCGAACCAAACGTCTGTTTTTATCATCCAGCGGGCGCATTTCTACTAATGTCTCATTTAATTATAGCCCCTAACTTACTAAGCACTTCTCCTAGATTGCCACCAAAGCCCCGGTGTACCCAAAAACCAGAACAACAAAAGCAGATGGAGAGATTAAGAAAAGACTGGAGGCGAGGCCATTAGCTGATGAAAGCTAGTTTAATGATACATCTCTTCACCTTGGACGTGAAGGTGAGTTTTGGATCTATTCTGGTCCTGTCTGATTTGATGCGCGGTGCAGATGTGAGATGAAAGATCAGAGGAGGTAAAAGGCGCGTTTTCAGAAAAAACAAGTTTATTTTAAGCAGGAGATAAATCTGTTTCTATCTTTGCTTTGTCTTATTCTTCTCGAATCCTGACGAGAGAAAAAAACAAAAAGCAAAACAAGACCCGACAGACTGAGCTTTTGTTCTTGTTCACATGGGAATAAAAGAGCGTCAGACTGAATGAATCAGCAATGCACACAAAAAAAAAATCAACATATTTCTGTATTTAAGGAGCTAAAAATACTTCGCTGCCCTTTTTGGGTTCTCTTGCACTCTTACATAACATTATAGACGGCGATATTATACATCCTAAATCCCCAAAGTAATGAGGTCTGTGGACAGGGAGCACCAGTGAAAGACATTAATGCCTGTAAATGAGCATTTAACCCTGAGTTTGAGCTCTGTATCCTCCACAATCTCTGATATAATCCGGATGATTTAACCCTCACTGCAAAGAGAGGTTAAAGTCAGAATATGAGGCTGAAACTGATATGAAATCTATGAAATTTTGATGATTTTTTCACTAGTTTTTGTTGGATATTATGGACAGAAGGGAGAGATTCAAATAGGATGCTGTGGATTGTGACCTAAAAAACTCCCTTCTGGAAATACGTTAAAATTAGTTTGATTTTTACGACACCATCTCGTTGCAAAAGAGTTGGAACAAAACACTTTTCGAAACAGTTAGAAAATGTTTTCTGGGTGTTTATTTAACATTTCACAACTAAGTGGGTTAGTGTGCAACAGGTTAGTAACATGACAGCGTCTAAAAAGAGCGCTCCAGAGAGTCTCTTGGAAGAGGTTCACCACTCTGAGAGACTGCCAAAGCAAATAATCAGAGCAGCAGTGAGGCAATTTTGGTTTGTGTTGATTTTGTTTTGTGGATGTGAAGCTTGTGATGAATTATAACGCTGTCTGTGCGAGTTTGTGACAGAAGATGATTAAAAAAGGGTTAATGTCAATCATCTGGTCCTGTTATTCTTGTTGCTGATGGTTTGTTTGATTTTGAATCATCTTTATCAGTTCCAGTCTGTTTCTCCATCAGATTAAAACTCCCTACAACACCTTTTAAACAGTTTTGAAATATTGTCCCTCAGTGTAGACTTTGTAAAGAACTTCAACATGATATCTTTAAAAAGAACAGATGTGGCTTTGTAGTGTAAGTCACCGCATGGGCTCAAAATCATTGTCAGTGTGAAGGATGTTTCTTTCACTCTGGTTACTCCTTGAGCAGTGTTGCCAACCTAGCGCCTTTTTGATAGATTTAATAAAAAAATTATTTTCAAAGAAGTGCCTAGCAACAAATCTTGCAACTTTTAAGGCCCCTCTAGCAACTTTTTTCTCACTCTGGTCACTCCTTGAACAGTGTTGCCAACCTAGCGACTTTGTTGCTAGATTTAGCTACTTTTCAGACCCCCCCAGTGACTTATTTTCAAAAAAGCATCTCGCAACAAATCTAGCCAATTTTCAGAACCCCCTAGCGACTTTTTTTTAAAGTGCCTAGAAGCAAATCTAGCGACCCCCCTAGACCCCCTAGCGACTTATTTTAAAAAAGCATCTAACAACTTATCTAGCTACTTTTAAGACCCCCTTGCTACTTACATTCCAAAAAAGGACCTAGCGACAAATCAAAATTTTTTTAGGCCCCCACGACTTATTCTTCAAAAAAGGCGCCTAGCGACAAATTTAGCGACTTCTCAGATCCCCCTAGTGACTTTTTTCAAAACATTCCTGGCAACAAATCTAGCGACTTTTCAGACCCCCCTAGCGACTGTTTTTCAAAAAAGCACTGAGCGACTAACGCTGTGCGACAGGCCCCCCCTAGGTCCCGATTTTATTTAAAAAATAGCGCCTAGCGACAAATCTGGCGACTTTTTCTTGGTTTAGAGACTCTAACATGAACGCAGGTATTGATGTTACTCTTCTTAACAGGTAGCCGGTGCTCCCCCTCCTCCCAGGGGTGGGGGGGGTCGTCGTCATTGCTGAGTTTGATGGAGAAATTATACAAATTAGGTGACGACGTCATCTAGCATCTCCTAGCGACTTTCCTTACTGAGGAGTCGGCAACACTAGCTACGTTTACATGGAGCCAAATATTCCGAATAGAATCGGAACAGAAGCCCAATCGGAATGAAAATGCTCCATATAAACACCTCATTCGGAATAAACAGGCCCATTCCGAATGGAATTTCATTCCGATTCACAGGGGTAGAATATTCCTTTTCCCATTCCGATTAAAAGCAAAATCCTGTCATGTAAACGGTGAATCGGAAAGTTGTCAGGCTGGGTTCTGTCTGCGCATGCTCTGTCCTGATGTAAACAAGCAGTGACGTATGACTCACATGGTGGGACATCATGTGACAACATCACGTGACAACATCACGTGATGTTTGAAGGTATCACATGTCTGTAAATAGCTGTTCCGATTGAATGCCGTGGCACATGTAAACACCAGATCAGAATAGATCGCTTCCATGTAAACAGTTCGCCTGGGAGCTTCAATCGGAATGATTATAATCCGAATGAGAAAAAAGTCTGCATGTAAACGTGGCTACTGTCTTTAAGTCGTAGGAGGGGATCGATCCAGAGCAGGACCTGATTGGCCCGAGTGAAGCCAGGTGTGGGAGGCTGATATAAGTCATTGAGCTCCAGTGGAGAGCGCTGACTCATCGTCTCGTCATCCGTAACACTTACAGGCTCTCTCTCTCTCTCTCTCTCTTTGTGCTCCTTCCAGTTTCGACAGTGTGTCCATTTCATCACCTCACACCTTTTAAGATTAGGACTCTGTTGACTCTTCTTGGTGTCTTTGCTTTTTCACTCTTTTCAGATAAACTCCTCTGCATCTTTGCCTGTTTTTTCGTGAATCGGTTAAAGAATGATTCCCTCAAAATCTGATTCTGTTGCAGTTTCAACACGACCTCAAAAATCACAGTTTTGGAGTCACGTTGAGAGTAAAACAAGCAAATCAGGAGCTTTACAAAACACTCGGAAAATAAAAGAAAAGGACTGAAACTCAGAGGGAATTGTTTATTAAGTCTGTCGAGTTGTTCGGGTTTGTGATTGCGCCGCTTCTCAAATTGCCGAGAACTTCGCCGCTGTGATATTAGTATTCAGAAGCAGCCTGGCTCGGTAGCAACAGTTTCTAATCAGAGTCATGGGGAAACTTCTGGATGATGTGCTGTATGCTATGAGTCAACACACTCATCATCAACAGGCCACCGGCATAAACTCTCTCCCCGGGTAACAGTCGACACACACACAAACACAAATCTTATCAGCGTTTGTCCAAACTGAGTTCAGAATCCATCCAACACCGGGAGGGGAGAAAACAAACATGTACACGGAGGACGGTAATTGTGCTTCATCTGATCAATATGCATGAACGCTTTTACTATTAGATTCGACAGAGAGAGATGGAGGGAGGTGGAAAATGAAGAAGGAGAGGATAAGAAAAGAGGAGCAGGAGAGCGCTAATCCAGCAGCTTTTAATATAGTGCGTATCGATCGATGCTGCGTCCCTACAGCCGCTTTAGGAAGCTCTACAAGATAAGTGATGTTCTTATTACAGAAACTTAACACTGAAATATTTTAGATTTATTCCCACGGCGCCGACATTCAGACAAAACCTCAAAAATACACTTAGTGATCGTTTTAGATCGGCATCTGAAGAGGCGGTTCTCATCAGGTTTTAGAAAAAGTAGCTTCATAGTTGAGACTGAGTCAGAGGATGTTCGATCTGATTCCTCCCACCGGCAGATGATATTTGTTTTTATTGACGTAACTTTTTTCTTTTAGTCATAAATCATTAAAGAGACTTGCCAACCGTAATCCTAGTGGGCGGTAAAAGATGGCCAGATGATCCCGAATCTGAGACACAAACAAAGTCCTCAGTCCGAGCAGTAGAAGTGCAGACTACATAGATGTACACCTCAATCATCAACTACATGGCCACATGGAAATATTAGATTCTGCACTTTGTGACAGTTGTATATAAACTTTTTTTAAGCACCAATACTTAACAAATGTCCATTGATGAGTAACTTCAGGGACCCTTAGCTAGTAATCTAAGATAAACGTGAAATAACTTCACTTTATCACAAGCTTCTTAGCTTGTTTTGTGTTGTAAATCAGTCACATCTATCGTATTGTGCGGGTTCTATCAGTAGACATGTTGTTATGATACTTTTGCACACAAGCTATCATGTAGTGTGTTGTTATCGCCTACTATTAGCTAGTGTAGCTAGCAACATCAACCAGCTTATGGCTAAACAACTTTCAGATTTGTATCTGGAATGTGAATTAATTTCTAACTCTAGTATCTAAAAAATGGAATGCACCATTAACGACCACCAGTGAAGTGGGCGTGGCCTGTTTTTTTCTCTATAAATCATTTCCAATGGGCTGAAACGGGCTGAAAATGACGTCACACCTGAGTTACCAGCGTTTCAGTTACCAAATCGAGAAAAAAAAGCACAATCGGCTGCATTGTCCGAATAAAAGGCAAGCACTCAAATAACTTTCGTAGATGTAGCCATCTTGTATCAGGCCTCTGATTTAGCTTTTTTCTGACTTGGTTACTGTAGGTGTGACGTCATTTTCAGCTTGGATCTGACTTCTGAGGTAACTCGAATGCAACATAACAACAAATCAAAAATTAACATTAACAGATCTGAACTTCTTCCATGATTTCACTTATCAGACAAAATCTCCCCACAGTCCAAGACGACTGAAAATATCAGTTGCCTTCCAAAGAGTAGAGATATCTGTTTTTCTGCCTCTAGCAAAAGTGCGCCGCCAGTTAGTGACACAACACTTGATTTGTCCCGATTTGAACCGTCATGGCATTTTCAAAAATTTTCAGCAGGCATTAAAGGAAAATTGGGTCAAATATTTGGGCTGTGAAAATAAGGGCCTGTGTACACTGAATGCTTTTGTTTGCCTCAGTTTTAAGGCGTTTCTTGCCTCTACTAGCATGAAAGCTGTCCTGGAGCTCTTCTACTTTAAATGGCAGTGATCGGAAATCTCAGTCCTCATTTCTCAGTTCTCATTTTCTTTCACAAAATGGAGATTAACAAAGAAAGCATGAAAACAGTTGTTACAAACCATGTGGTATCATTAGCGGAAATGTGACTAAAACAATTTGATTGATTGATGATTAGCGTGACAGTGTTGAGCTATTTTGAACAGGTAAAAAACAGCTGATCCCACAAGCTTGGTTGTATTTACGACTGTGAGCCTTGAATGCAGACAGTGGAAACAGGCCCTTAGCCGTTCTACATACTTTTCCCATTCTTCTTAATTCTCCACACTTATCCAGATTTTCAGCCTCATTTTTAAACCTTAGCCTCAAATAGAGGAGCAAACCTTTAAAAGAAACAGTGATGCTGCTTATAAACCTTTAAGTGTGTAGAAATCTGACCTCCTATGCAGATAAACAACACAGACGTATTAAACTCCATCATGCTTAATCAAAAGTGATGAAGTGTGTTCGGTTTAATTTCTCTCTTAAAGTATTCGCCAGATTGCTCTGCCTTATTGCCCATCCATCCTCATGTTAGTAGAGCATTAGTCTGCTGCACCATTGTGCGAGGAAGGAAGGAAGACGCCTCAGCCTCGCTGGAGTCTGCCTGCCGGTGTGACTGGCATGCTAATCAAGTGTACGACCATGCTAGGGGGGTATGGCCCACATACATTCACCTTGGGTTCACATACACACCGTTCTTGCTTTCCAGCCCCATCTTGAGACTTAACACAATTTCTCTCCTCAATGATTGATGCTCCCCCTCTCTCCTCTCTGGAAGCCCCGCCCCTTACAGCAGCTCATTGGTCGTCGCCGAACTGTTCGAGGGTCATGGAGGAGAAGCAGAACAGACTGCAGAGCTTTTTTATGACTCACTCTGTTCTGCAGGCAGGTTGAGCTTCTTTAGAGGGGACTAAGTGGTGAAGCCTTAGGTGTTTAGTGGTCTGGCAAAGCAACGCCAACAGCTCTCGAAACTGAAATAATGAGATATTCATGAGTTTCACCTCCTCAGCATCTGCAGAACACTGCTATGCTGAATTGTTTCCTGATAACAGAGATAGAGAAACAAGAAAATGTTCACTTCAAACATTCATTCTCATTCTTTTACTCTATGTTGTGTTCATTACATGTTATTTGCGAAGAGTACCACCATCTTTTTTGCATACTTGGCCCTAAAGAGGAGTGTTTTGCAGAAGAAGTTTTTGTAGATGCCTGAAAACTGTCAGTTGACTGTGAGTCGTCCAATGTTGTGAAGCAGTAGCCGACTTTTCTGGGCATCAGTAGCCAGTAGCTAACAGTACAAGACTTCCAAGACAAGACTTCTTTTTTTCCATGTGTTGCTGTTGTTTACAGTCTGACTAGCAGCTTGAGGAGATAGAGCGGACTTGGTGTTGAGAAAAACAATGTCTAATCGTGACAAATTGGATGCTAGCTAAAGCTAAATCTGCGCCATAAAGCTGCCAATGACTTTCGCAGTTGCATTGCAGTCAAGTAACTCCACCCCTTTTTGTAGATGGGCTGTTTTTCCTCCTTTGAGTCAATCACATTGGAAGACTAATTGAGGATACTTCTTAGATCGTGAAAACCAGAACACTTCTGATACCAGAATTTGGTCCACCCATACAACAAGATGAGTTAATGCCTGTATGTGAGATATTATTAAAAACTGACTTTGTCTTTAAACTCTTAACTTGATGTTTCCAGAAGAATAATGAAAGAAACCAGGTTGAAATGTACGAATTTATCCCAGCGTTTGAGTAGTTTGATTACTCAATATGCTGATGACTATCTGCTTTATGTTACAGATTGTAAATTTAGTTTTCCTTTCTTTTAATTATGTTCGGGCTTCTTGCTTTTGTTTGGTAGAAGAGCTGGAAAATAAAGATGAGAGAGAGGATGATGACTAGACTAAAAAATATCTACAGTGTACGATATAGTTTAGATATACTGTAGGCTACTGTTCTCCACGCCGACAGGAAGACTGACTGATCATATCAGTAATATTCCACGTATTTATCATGAATGAAACTCGGACCAGAAAAGCGTTTTTAATCTTAGTCTCCGCATTTTATTTCTGGAAATATGGGCGAAATCGACGAGTTTTGGCCGATTACCGATTAGTCTTAGATTTAATTGTCTCGCCAATGAATCGGTGGAGCCCTACCCGTGATGCGTCTTTTTTCCCCCAGAAAGTCGCAATATTTCTGAATATTTCGTAATTTTGCATCGTATATTTTCGTCATTCCCGGTGTGTAAGGACCTTTAGTGTAGCGTTGTTTGAGATTGTTATTATTATTAGTAGTAGTGGTGGTGTTTCGAATTAAATAGACCATTTATATGATAATTTTGATTTCACTTACATGTTTACCAGTGTTCACTAATGTCCTGAACATTAAATATGTTATTCTTTAAAAAAAAAAAAGTAGGTTGTGTTCAATGAAAAATCAAAATTGTTTTTTTTTTCAACCTAGCATCTCAGACAGTTCAATAAAACATTAAAAAGCTGTAATTGAAATTTCACAATGATATTTTTGTTTAAAACTATTGTCCAATTAAAATCACATCCCAACCTTTGTTTATATGAACGATGGGGCGCCTCAGTCAAACCAGCTTTCATCAAACTGATTATCTTTGATTGTGCTAACAGACGACAAAGGCTGATTTTATTGAACATTCTTGGCTGCAGCTCTTGTTATTATCTCAAACCTTTATTTTTTAACCAACACTGACGGCGTCTGCACTCGTTTGACCGCAGAAGAAGATGATTGGATAGTTGCGGTTGCCTTTACTTGATGAGTAATGATTCTGCGGCGCATTATGACTAATACATAGATTTCATAGCAAATAAAGACAGGGAGTGTGATTGTGTTTCATGCAGTTATAGACTCACAGTTAACTCAATATACTGGTCTGCAAAGCTAACAGGGGGTTTTCATTTGTGCACAGTTTAACAAATTACAGATATGAGGTATGAAGCACTCTCGTACGTTCGCCGAGTTCGTCCTCCTGCCGCGCCGTCAATCACTTCCCCCCGTTTAATAACGCACGCCGGGAGCTTTAGATCTGTTTGCGGGGAGGATCACGCTGTTTTTGCATGTTAATTCAAATCCGAGATGAGGCAAAGAAATGATTCAGCGCCGCTCCTCCAAACTGTTGACATCTTCACAGGCTGTCTCCACTCAAGCCCAGAGCTATTTTCAGACTGTTGTTAGTGAGGAGCCAAACGCTTGTTATTTTTTCTGCCTGCGATCATCCGCACTACGAGATATTGTCACTCGCTCCCTCCCTCCTCCGCCATTCTTTCTCTATCTCGCTCCGTCTTAACGCGGCCTGTTTGTGCGCTCTGGATTTCATGCACAAGTTAATTTGAATGAACATATTTGTCCTTTCTGGCTCTCTCTCTGTGTGTTTGTGTTAGTATATACTGTCTGTGTGTTTACAGTAGAGTGTCAGGGGGTCAGCGTGTGGAAAATGCTGATAAGCTTTCTAAGGAGCTCGGGATCAGACCCCCCATATCGCACATATATAAACGGAAAAGTCTCAAACATGTCGGTCGTCGGTATTTGTTCGTCTGTTTTAAGGCTTTTAAAGTAAGCGAGTGTGTTTTTATTCTACAAGCTGTTGCCGTAAACGTAGCAGGATCAAAGTGACCCCCGTAAAGTGGCGAATAAGTGGATGAAGTGGGAATATGGTTTTTGGCCGACTTTGCTGCGAGTGAAAGCGCACAAACACACACGTGGTCACCTTCTGGTGTTTGTTATATCCCCGTGTTTATGTTTGTTTGTTATTAACCCTCAGCGACGCCGGCAGACAGTAAAGCTGAGTGAGTGAGTGATGAGGGTTTTTCTCTCGGAGTAAGAGCCTGTTGGTGTTCAGGTGTTGCTTTGAGGTTTCTTTGACAGCGGGTTTTTACTCTGTACTCCGGTTTGACAAGGCCAGGTGTCTTCTTTTGTTTAAGATTACAGGATAAGACCAAAATTCAGCTTAAAAAATCCACAAAAATACAACCGAACAGGAAAGAAAGTGGGATGTAAATGCCCTTTAAATTTAGGGTTGAAAAGACCGATATCAACCAAACACTAATATCTGATTATTTGTCCACTTCTTCTCTTATTGATCCTTAGATACTTGAAACAAATCAAGTTGGCTAATTTTATCCCACTTTTATGATCTCTTTATATGTTTAAATACAGATGCTTAAAGCTCCTGTAAGGGACTTTAGTTTGTGTTGAATTTGGCGCCCCCTGTGGACAAAATGTACCCTTTCGAGAAGTGTTTGAAAGGCTCAAAAGCAGCCATTTGTTAAAAAAAATGAATATGTTGATATATTACTTAAATTAACAAAATTGTAAAAAACAAATTTTTTTTTAAATCATCTGATTAATCGGTAATTGGATTTTTTTCCTCCCTAATAATCGGCATCGGCCCCAATAATCCATATCGGTTGGGCCCTACTTTAAATATCGACTCCTACCCTCCCTGCAGATTCAGGTATCCAGAATAATTACATAAAAATAATTTGTCTTCATGGTAATTTTTTTTTAATTTTTTATAAGCAGCTGAAAACTCCCTACAGGAGCTTTAATTTAGGCCTTTTTAAAAGTTAGATATTGACTCCCTCCTGGGTTTCATGGTACTAATGGATGTTTTTCAGCATACCTGATTACTAAGAATAAGCCCCCTTTAACACCTGCATGTCTCTACGGCAACACAGAGTGGACAAACTACTAACATATGCTTTTTTTAAATTAAGTGTAGATCTGTGTGAAAATGCTATAGTCGGGCAAAAAAAGATGTTTTGATGATTAAAAATTGATAAATAGAGGATCTTGCTTATCATGCATCACATAAGCTTCTTGACCTTGAAGGCTACTGTAGCTTCTTTGACATGAGGGGTGAGTAAGGGAGCGTTTCAACTTGTACGAAAACATCCGGTCCAGGTATGGAATGTTGCAAGTTAAACACCGCACATCAAACAGCATCTCTTGATCTTTTTTCTTTCCTTGCTTTTAACGCAACATTTCTAATTGAAATCGACCTAAAAATGTGACTGAACGTGTCTTTAAGACAGCGGATCCTTCTGTTCTGGAATGAGGGGGTGTTTGGCAGGGCTGTGCGTCAGACTAATCCACGTTATGGAATGATAATGAGTTCGGAGGAGAGAGCAGAGGAGGCGAACGAGAAACAAACGGTGAGACTCTCAGTCTTTCTGTCAGCGACCGCACCGGCGACGCCATTGATCACAATTACCAAAGGGAGGAGGGGACGCCAGGTTACTTAAAAGAGGAGATGGGGCGGGGCTGCTGTGAAAAGAAAAGGAGGAGGAAGAGGAGGGATGAGGACGGCAGGAGTCGTCTTTAAGTGAGGGAGGAGAAAAGAGAGCTGAGGAAGATGAGGAGATGAAGGGTGATGGATAAATCTCATGATAGAGTCAGGGTGAAGTATCAGAGTGAGAACAAGAGGGAGAAAAAAAAGCCGAACAAACGAGGGGACATGGTGTGAAGGTTGTTGAGAGGACCGCTTTACTTCCTTACTGAGCACTTAACACAATGTTGTGCTTGTATGATACAGGAAGGTCAAACCTCCCTTGATGGACTGTCGTCAAGGGAACCATAGGAACCGTCTTCTTAAAGCTACAGGCGGTCGTACATTGACACATATCTCACACCCTGCCTGTAAAACCTCTGATGTGGATTATATGACGCTTTAATAATCCTAAACACAGATTAAGATTCTGGTACAGCAGATAAATGTAAATCTATTCAAATACTGGAACTTGTCAAGCTTTAGGCGACTGGGCGCAGCAATGCTAAATTTGCCCGATTTAAGCATAGAAAGCAACTATAAAATATGTAAGTTTGACTGACACTTTTTGGGGTATTTGGTCTTGTATCGAAGTGTTAAAAAGTCACAGAAATAATTGTGGTCTATCCCAAATTTTACGTCAATCCATCAAGCAGTCGGTGAAATTTTTGCCCACATTTTGCCGTGAAAACAGTTGGAAATGGGAAATTATAATGAGGATGTTCAGGCTAAATTGGAAAAGGTTTATCGGATTAAATCTGAGCAGGAAAAGGCCGAGGCTAACCAAAATCTGTAGGGTTCGAAACAAAACTGAACAACAATGCCAGAGGTCTGGGCCATCCACGTCAAAGCAAATTCTCGTAGGGCTAAGCGATAAACCGAAAATTTACAGATACCGAAATTTACAACAATAACCAACGTCATTTTGCCCATTTCAACATATTCAGTGTCAAAAAAATAGATAAATAAAAGTTGGTTTTGGATGTGTGTAGGTAGGCTATGGTCTCATGTCCCTTTAAGATGCTGTCGGAGACGTGACTCCACCCCCTCCAGTCCATAGCAAAGAGTGAAAGACAGGTGAGGAGATGAAGGACGGTTCAAAAGTTGTGGAGTAGTTATCGTCCATTTATCGTTATCAAGGTGAACTGCTCAATATATCGTGATTTTGATTTGAGGCCGTATCGCTCAGCCCTATATTCTTGTTTTAACCACAATAACACAGTTCTACTACTTTCTGAAGGCGGTGAAATTTAACAGAGCGAACTCCTAGACATAAACGTTTCTAGATTTCAGATCAACTTTAAACGTCGACTCCTGAACTCACCGATTGGCTGATTAAGAGTCAAACTCCAGGTCCGCTCTCGTCCACCGGCTGCTTTGTTTGTTTGATGTGTGTTTGTGCGCACGGCGGCCACATCTGTTATCTCTGACAGACGCGCTGCCTTTGTTTATTCAGAGACTGGCCTTTTCCGAATGTCAGAGGTCAATCTTCCCACAGACATTATTGAACCGTTCTTTCATCCTCCCATGCAAATAAACAAACAAGCAGCAGTGACTGCTGGGAAAACACCAGGTGCTACCAACCAGAGGAGCATTAAACATTTATATACAGTGGGGCAAAGAGAGAGAGAGAGAGAGAGGACACGGTTTTCTCATACAGATGTCCTGTTAATCTAGTTGAGCTGTTAACCCTCAATTTGACACTTTATCCTAAATTACTAATCCATTTCTGAAAGTCTTATTTGTGTCTCTGCATTTCCTTTTTTCTGTTAAATATCTATTAAACCATCTCTTCTTGTGTGTTTGGTAACACCAACTATTAACCCACAAATCAGAGACTGAGATGACAGTCCTCCGCTTCTGCCAGCTCTCTTTGGCTGACCTGCTACTTACTGCTGGCTGGTGTTAAAACCTGTGATTTTTGGGGGAGAATGTGTGAAATTTATATGACTCAACACTCAGTTTGTGACATTGAGATGCAGAGCAGCACGAATTTGAAAAAAAGTGTGACAGTGATAAGAAGCAAGACAAGTAAACAGATATTAAAGGGCTAAAAAACTGGTTTTCTGTTGCTCTTTGTATTTTACACTTTACATGTGTTTGCAGTAAGGCCGGGCGATATCAGCTAAAAAGTTTTACCATTCTGGCGATAATGATAAAAGTTATGATATAAAAAAACTATATATTAATTTCTAGGGGTGGGAGAAAAAATCGATAATTTCGATATTTTGTGTGGTGATATATCGTATCGTCTCATTTACGAAGTATCGATTTTTTCAAATTAATGGAAAAATAAAATCAACTATTTTTCCGTTGAGGTTGGCAGAGATGACATTGTAGAGCAGGAGAAAGTTCGTACGATAAATAAATATAGGGTTAGCAAGATGTGCAACGTGAAAATAAAACACAGCGCAAATAAGGCTAACGTAAAGGAAAGACGAATGTTGAATTAGCTAAACAGTTATTGCAATATATTGTATCACAATACTAACTGTATTGCAAAATGTTAAAAATCGCAATAATATCGTATCGGGGGCCAAATATCGTGATAATATCGTATTGTGGAACCACTGGTGATTCCAACCCCTAAAAGTTCCTATCCATGTTTTTGACTCATTCTGTCTTGAGAACCCCACAATCGTTGTTCTTGGACGGCATTTACCAGTGTGCATAGTCGAATAAGATACTTAACCACAAGTTTAAGTGGTAGCTGATGGAGAAAACTGAAATGTGAAAACAATTAAAAAATTTATTCAAAACTCTTATTGCAGAGCGAACAGCAGAAGCAGATCCACCTTCCGGTGTCGGACATACCTGATTTCACTCGTCTAAGCCCCGATCTTGAAGGACAGTTTATCGCATTTATCCTGAGATGGCAAATATTCATCATGAGGATTTTTGTGAAGATAAATCATGAACAATAATTCATCGCTCATCCATAGTTTACAACATATTAATCACTGGTTAATCTAGGGTTAGCTAACAGCTAGCTAAAGCTTGACCTGACTGTGTAAAAGCACGGCGATGATACCGAGGCCTCCATCCACAGGCAGGGTTCCTACACAAATGTGGAAAAGTATAGAAGTAATTTGATTAATTTAAAAAGTATGATAAATAAAAAAATAAAGTATGGAAAAATATCTGTGTCAACAGACTATAATACCACAGTTCTAAAATACTGTTTTCTAAAATAGAAAAGTAGGGATTTCCAAAATAATACTAAAAAGTAGGGTTAGTATGGAAATTAAGTATGGAAATTCCAACAGTGTAGGAACCATGTACAGGGTAAAATGTACATGCTGAAAACACTGATAGTATAGCAGCAGGTTTTGCAATGTCTATATAGCAAATACTCATAATAAAATGTTATAAATTTGGGATATATTGTGCAGCCCTATCAAGAAGTACCATAAAAAAACAGGTTTAAAGTGAATTCAAATCAAACAAAGTGGTTTTAGTTTTAGGTCAAGTTCTGTTATCTCTTTGTTTCCTCTTCTTTGGAGTTAAAATCCAACTCACACTAAAAGGGAAGTGTAAGTATGTCAAACGCCTGTGATGCGTTTTCATCCAGAGAAGTTTTCATGTCCGTTTTCCCTAAAGGAGTCTGTTTTTTTGGAGCCTGCAGCCATTAGAGGAAGTGCAACTTGAAGCACTCGCACATGGCCTTTAAAGCTGACTTGTGGTGGCTGCGGCTTGGTCCAGACACAGTCGATCGTTCAGTTTAAAAACAGGGAGCGTGTGCATCTCTTATGTTTTATTGATCATGTGATGTCAAGCACAAAGCCGCCCCTGTGATCCCAAAGGTTTCTGCGGCTCTCTATAAAACCGCCGAAAACCTTAAAAAAAAGACCCCGAAAAAGATCCGCCACTCTTCATCTGAAGGGTGAGGCCGCTAACAGGACGAGAGGCAGGAAGTTGAAACATCCGCAGACGAGCTTTTCAAAGTCAGTTTCTTTTACTGTTGAGCAATTAAGACTCGACGCCTTGACTCGAAGTCGACATCCCCCCACTCAGGCTGGAAAACGACCTCACAAACAGCCCGTAAAAACAGCTTTTATAGGAGGAATAAAACACTTTAAAATTAGTTTTTCTTTCACAAACAAACAAAATAAACAAATCATTCAACAGCTTAATATTTATAATAATTCTCTCAAACTTAATCCGACATAAAAATACAAAAACATCCACAGATTAACAAACTGAAAATAGTCCCAATATGAAATAATCCATTATTTAATCCTGATTTCGTGCTCTGCTTCTTTAGATGAAAAAAATATATATTTGGAAGTTTTTGTTTAAGATTTAAGATTAAGAGAAAAGGGAGAAGGTCAGACACCGTTTTGGGGTTTTTAATAGGATTTGTTGACAGTATGAAGGACAAAGAAAAACACCAGATTACAGGATTTCCTTCAAAACTTTGAGTATTTTCATTTTCTGACGATGTAATAAGACGTAAACTCGAGTTTCTACTCTCTACATAATCTGTTCCTCATTCTGGAGTTGTGAAATATAAAAACAGACACAGTCAGCTGTATTAAAACGTAGATTAACAAAAACATATCCGACCTTTTGACTCTCGTGGATAAAAGCGTCTCATCAGAGTTTTTGTTTTCTGGAGCCTGCTTGAAAAAAAGAAGGGTGTTGTTGTTGTTGTTTTTTTGGCTCCAAGAGATTCAGATCCCACTGGGAATTAATCAAACTCGCGGTTTCGCTCGTCTCCTTAAAAAAAGACGTATTGGTTCGGGGCTTTTTTCCCCCCATTATGTGTCGCAGACTGTAATTGAATCCCTGCTATTTTGGAGCAGCTGCAGCAGGTTTGTAATTATTCGTGTGAAAAATTGGATTCTGTGACTCCATTTTTACGGCTTTAATTTCACAAAACAAAGACCGCTGCCTCGCTTCACGCTGCTCCCTTTGGATCCCGTTTGATGTTAACGCGAAGCGACCGTCCAGATGTGATGACAGGCTGTCAAGACGTGAGAACGCGACCGGAGAGGAGAGAGCGTGGTCGGCTGTAGTGACCTTAACCATGTGATTACACCGGTTGTCACAGTGCTGCTGTCAAAACTGGAGATGGTTCTTCAAGTATTTATCCTGTCCGGGGGTTTATAGCGCTGGTGTGTCGCTTTGAAGGTGCGCTGACAAGTTGGAGTCGGAGAATCGTGAAGAAAACACACCAGTCAGGGAGCGTTTTTGACCGCGATACCTATTTTCTTGCTACACCCGCCTTGTTCTACCTCGCAGTTTTAAATCTAAATAAGTGTACCGTATAAGTGTAGCCTGTATAAGTGAGATAGTTGAAAAATGCAGATTTATTTGTTTCAGACAAAAGGAACAGTATATTTGGAAAGACTGTCTGGATCCAATCCTTCCAAAATTGAAGGTCTTCTTCTACAATTGTCTATTCTTCTTCTTCTACATTTTCTTTGATAACTGTCTTTTCTTATTCTTCTTCAATAACTGTCTATTTTTCTTCTACTTTTTCATCGGTAACTGTCAATTCCTCTTCGATAATTGTCTACTCTTCTTTGATTAATGTCTATTCTCCTTCTTTAACTTTGATAACTGTCTTTTTTTCTTCAATAAATGTCTATACTTCTTTGATGACTTTCTATTCTTCTTCGTCTTCAATAACTTTCTATTCTTCTTCTACTACTTCTCTTGGATAACTGTCTATTATTTTTCTTTGATAACTGTCTTTTCTTACTCATCTTCAATAACTGTCTATTTTTCTTCTACTTCTTCATCGGTAACTGTTTATTCCTCGTCTATAACTGTATACTCTTCTTCAAGAACTGTCTTTTCTTCCTCTTCCACTTCTTCGATAACTGTCACTTCCTCTTCGATAATTGTCTATTCTTCTTATTCAATAACTGTCTATAAATCTTTGATGACTTTCTATTCTTCTACTTTTTCTTTGATAGCTGTCTGTTCTTCTTTGACAACTGTCTACTCTCCTTTGATAACTGTCTATTCTACTTCTTTAACTTCTTCGATAACTTTCTATTCATCTAATTTTTCTTCAATAACTGTCTATACTTCTTTCATGACTTTCTATTCTTCTATTCTTTTTCAATAACTTTCTATTCTTCTTCTACTACTTTTTCTTGGATAACTGTCTATTATTTTCCTTAGATAACTATCTTTCCTCTTATTCTACTTTTTTTGATAACTGTCTTTTCTTCTTCTTCTTCTTCTTCTTCTTCTTCTTCTTCTACTTTTTCTTCTACGAGCTAACTATGCCAGAGTCTAATAAAGGACTGTACCTATATCTAGAATTTCTCTTCTCAGCGCTCGTAATAAAATCAGAGTCGCTGATGGAGAAAACAAACTCTCACTCACATAAAAAATTCAAGGAATTGATAAGAAAATCAATAACTGATTAGACCGATAACAACATTGGTATCAATACAGTCTTATCAACTCCCATTGAGACCTAGATACAGTATCAGTATATAATGAGACGATACGTGTTAATCTAGAGATATGACCCACTAGAGATTAGACTCACACCGATTCATCAGGTACACAACACTTCGACTAGTTAGAAGTGTTTCTCCCAAGTTTCAAAAAATAAAACTTTATTAGCTAATTCTGTCTGTTGACTGACTGACACACTCACACCTGAGAGTGTCTGATCTGAGTCCTCCGGCTCGCTAACATCAGAAGGACAGGATCGGTCTGTACCTGCTCAGTCACAGAGTGATCAATCACAGACAGGATGAGACGGTAAATGTTTACGACACCACGGGGGCCTTCATCAGCAGACATTATGGCTGCAGGTTAGAGCGTCAGGAGGGACTTAAATCACCGCTTATCCATTATGAATCAGAGCCTAAATAAGATGTCAGAGCCTCAAACCTGAAACCAGATCATGACGGTAAAATCTGTAAAAGTCGACGCAGAGCTTCAAGTTTCCTGCAGAATCGAGGTTTTACTTTCCTCTATATTAAGAGGATCATTTAGTGTGTGATGTTTTCTGTGAAACGCTGAACAAATTCAGAATTTCCCTTGAGATGAACTTACAGTAAACACCAAGGGTGAACTTTTAGGATGCAAACACCAGTGGGAATTTCTATTTCAGAACAGAGCTGAAAAACAGGTTTTTGTGGTCCGATGTTGTGTTTTTGATTCTCCAGCTCTCCGATCCTCTCTGTCTTTGTTTCTCTGAAGTCAGTCTGACTCACTTCTTAATCACCGTCCATTTTTTACCCCCTGCCTCCCTAATGGCCGAGCTCAGGTGCTTCACTCTCATCCTAAATCGACCTCTGGCTCCCGCCCCCTCCTGCCTTGATTCATCCACTCACGTCCAGCAGGTGTTCACAGAAGCTGCACTTAGCTGCCTTTTCTATCCGAGGGAAAAAAAATTGATTTGTTTTTATTCATAGCTTCGGCCTCTCCCGGACGCTGTGATATTTCAGAAAGCCTCGGGACATCGGAGAGCAGCAGCTGCGGGCGTTTGTCGCTGACTGTAACAGCACTTGCATCAGCGGTCGGGGACACTTGTCCATTTGACTGCTGGGATGTGAGCGCTGAGAGAAAGATGAAAGACTGTGAGTGTGTCGGACGACGGTCCAGGTGAGACGAGTGGGAGAGGAGGACGCAATTTCTCTGTCCACTCTGTCTGCCTTTAATCTTTGGAGTCGTCATTAAAGGTTTGGGTTGAGTTTCAGCACTTAAATCTAAGTCTGGGATATTGATCTTTGTAACGCTTTTAGCCGTTGTTTCTGTTATTGATCGGGTTTTGTATTCTCAGGGATTAAAAGGAGATTCACAAACACTTTTAAACACGTCAAACTAAACAGAGATCAACAAATTAATGATCTCATTTTGGCTGAGTGATGTTTGGTGATATTGATCGCTGAAGTCGGTTCATGTACACGATGCAAGAATATACAATTAATCGCATTTATCCAACTAAAACTGGACTTTTAAAATACGTCGTACTACATTAGCCCCACATGTCGGGCTTTGAGCAGTAGCGCTGTAAAGTCCTAGTCAACTGGTCGACTTATTGGTCGATACGTGCTGAGTGGACCACAATTCTGATTGGTCGACTCGATTTTTTTTTCCGCTTCAATTCACAGTCTATGGTTAATTCATCAGGAGGAATATACCAAGTGCTTATGGGGGTGTTTTCAGAGCACCCCCGTTTCATAGGTAACAGCCTGTCTCAGAACACCCCCCTTGATTGGCCCAACCCACTAGAGACCAACTGGAGACAGGGAAATTCAAGAGTTTCCACGTTAATCAACATCCGGTGGTTTGCTGAATACTTAGCCTTTTGTGTTTAATTGCCTTCTTGTGTTGATATCTATATATTTTCACCCCGCCAAGCTGCGTAGGGTTTGCTGTCAGAGTCAGGACCCCACCACCATTAGTCGATTTTTGGTAGAAAATTTCAAGGTTTTAGGCGACCGAGGATTTCTTTTGTTGATTACAGCCCTGTTGAGCAACATAAATGTACAGCAATAAATCCAGGTAGTGAACAAAATCTTAAGATGTCAGAGCTTGAAATGTAACAACAACCCGAAATGTAATTAAAAAAAACCTAGTAGAACCCAAAATGTAACAACTGGTCAGTAATGTAACAAACTCTGATTCCAAAATGTTACAACTTTTTGCCCAAAATGTTGCAACTTGTAACATTTGTTACATTTGGGGTTTTCTTACATTTATTTTGTAACATTCCAGGTTTAATGCTTTGTTACATTATTGACAAATTATTACATTTCAGGTTTTATTACATTTATTTTTTAACATTTTGGGTTTTATTACTTTTTTGTTACATTTTGGGATTTATTACATTTTTTTAATTACAATTTGGACTCAACAATTCATCACATAATTGAAAAATTATTACATTTCCGGTTTTATTACAGGTATTTTTTTTTTTACATTTTGGGTTTTATTACATTTTTTTCAAACATTTTGGGTTTTATTACATTTCTTTTAACATTTCGGGTTTAATGACATTTTTTTTCTTAATTTTGGGTTTAGTTACATTTTTTTAATTACAGTTTGGGCTCAACAATTCATCACATTATTGACAAATTATTACATTTCCGGTTTTATTACATTTATTTTTTTAACATTTTGGGATTTATTACATTTGTTTTTTACCATATTGGGTTTTATGTCCTTTTTTGTAAATTACAGTTTGGGCTCAACAATCCGTTACATTATCGACAAATGATTATATCCATTTTCATAACATTTCGTGTCATTGTTGCATTGATAAAGTTAGACTAGAACATGGTCTGAACAGAGCTGTAAAGTTCACAAACTTGTCTTGCACATCCATTCATTTCTTAATTTTCTGCACACTTCCTTATTTTTCTGCTGACACAGGCCAAGAAATGGGTCAGTTACAGATTCATCATTATTCAGTCTGTTCAGATCAGACGTTAACTTCTGATTTTACGCTCTCACAGTCATATCAGTACTGGAGAAATACTGCATTCCTCTTCTTCTCTCAGTAACTGAAAAAAAAAAATCATCTTTTTCTTTTTTTTAACTTGCGTTGTCAGACGTTTAATCTCTCTGTGTCAGCTCCTGTCATCCCCACATCTCTCTCCTCTCCGTCGACGTGTCCCTCAGTTTTCCTCTCCTTCCCTCTTCATCTCTCCTCCGTCTTCATTTTCCGTCTGCTCGCTTCTTTCTTCCTCTCTGTATTCATCACTGTCTATCCGTCTCTTATCGTTTCCCTCCATCTCCTTCGCTGTCGTCTTTTGTCTTTTTTTCCCTCTCCGGTCCTTTGTTAGCCCGTCTGTCTCTGCCTCCTCCCCGCTGATCACTCTTTGACATCAAAGTCTATCACTTTTCACTTATACTCCCTTTGTCTTCGCTCAGCAGGCTCCTGCAGGTCTATTTTAGTGTTTTACTATCTGCCTCTGAATCCCTGAGGGTGAATTATTGAACAGACTGACCCCTGGCTCCACAGCTGCTGTTTGGGTGTGGTTGTGTCTCGCCTCTCCAAATGTAGATCACTTTTTAAAAGCCTGATGAAACCCAAATCCATAAAAGACTCCAAACTGTGAGATCAGTTGTTAATCAAACAACGATTACATAACAGGGTTTTGTTATTAAGGTTGTATTTCTAGGTGTATTTGTTCCTCTTCTCCTGTGTCAGTTATTCTTTTGTTCCTGTTGTGTTTTTGGTCTCTTAGTTCTCAGTGTTTTCTTTCTCGTTGTGTGTCTGGTTTAGTTTGACTTTCTGTTTTATTTTGTAGTAGTCAATCCTTGTGTTTCAGGTTTAGTGTTACTTCTTGTGTTTTCCCTCCTCACTGATTGTCTGCACCTGTGTCTTAATTACTTGTTACCCCGTCTATTTAGTCCCTGTTTAGTCTCTTCCCTCCTTGTTGGTTCATTGTTTGTGTTTCTTCATGTCTTTGTCTCAGCCTGTTGATTCTGTGCGCAACCCGAAACCGTGTTTTTCCCAGTTTTTTAAGTCTTAGTTTTTCATTTGGATTTCAGTTGGACATTTGTTTGAGTTTAGTCTTTTACTTGGGTCCTCCTTTTTCTGTTTGTTAACACCTGACAGATAACAGGAGGGTTTAGCTGAGCGATAACATAGCACTAGCTAACACACTTTAGCCTAGCTTAAAAAGAGCATCTCAGCTTAGTCTTTTAGCTAACTGCTAACTATGATGTATGTTAAAAAAAGAAACTACTTGTCTTAACAGTTTTTTTTACCGTGATTCTGACCATACCAATCAAGTTTTGGAGGAGAAAATAAAGGAAATTTTACAACGCCACAGACAAGTCCTGTTCACTGGTTGGTGGGTACTTAGCACGCTAGTGACAGAGTTTGGTTTTAGGAGGCAAAGTAATGTTTTCTTCTTGTTTTATATTATAAGACAAGAAATTTACGGCGAATACTAAAACAGGAAGAGGGGTAATATACGGTTGTTTTCCGGTCAAAACAGGACGAATCTGACTACAGTGCTACTTTGAAGAGTTGTTTTGTGCTAAGTTTATGCTAGCATTTGCATCAACTCCCTAACCCAAACCCTATAACCTGACAGGTAGCAGGGGAGTTTAGCTAAGCGATTACCTAGCACCAGCTAACACACTTTAGCCTAGCTTAAAAAGAGCATCTCAGTATCTCTAACTCCCTAACACTAACCTTAACACGCAACACATAGCAGGGAGTTTAGCTGAGGGGTAAGATAGCACTAGCTAAAACACTTAAGCCTAACTTAGAAAGAGCATCTCAGCTTAGCCTTTTAGCTAACTGTTAACTATGATGTAGGTCAAAAAAATTATTTGTCTTAACAGTTTTTTTTACTGTGATTCTGACCATTCTGACAAGTTTTGGAGTAGAAAATGAGGAGTCGTTTTGTGCTAACTTTATACTTTGGTTATGGATAGGAAGGTGGGCATTAGCTTTCTTAAAAGGCACACATCAGTTGACCCCAATGCTATTTTGTAGAGTTGTTTTGTGCTCTATAGTAATGACCATTTCTATTTTCTGAAACCTTTTTCTTCACATTTAAAGGTTTTTGATGCTTCTTGTGCATTTCACCCTTGTCAAAAGACTTATTTTATCGCAGTAAGATATATTTACGCAAGGAGAGCAGCAGCAAAGACACCTGAGGAACATAACAGAGCAGAGCAGAGATCAGTGACACTTTGACACCGATGAGGCGTAAAAAGCGGAAGCTGGCGGTGGATGTGGTTTGGGGGCAAAGCAGGAAGCAGTTTACATATTTCAAACATTTACCAGTTGGGTGCATTGAAGGAAATCGCCTGAGCTCACTTTTGAATACTTCAAACATCCGTCTCTGTGAGTTTTGTGCCTTTTCGAGTTCAGGGTCGAGATGAGGCGCGGATACTTACAGCTCCTACTCTTTTCTTCAATGTGTCTCAGATGGAAGACAGCCAGTGTGTATTTTTATACGTGTTTGTTCGCTGACGCAAGTGTTGGCTTCTGTTGGAAAAAGGACACTTTTACAGAAATAGCAATCTGTTTTCAGTCCAAACGTGGGCTGAATTAAGTCTTTTTTTCTTTCTTTTGTTCTTTACACAAAGATGATCTTGAGGTCTTTTCAAGTGTCGCTTTAGTTTTCTTGGTTGATGATCCACTGGAGAGTCAGAAAGTGGAGATGACACATAATCAGTGTTACAATGGCATCATACTTTAGTGGCAGCGTGGTCAGCTGAGTCATCGATTTACCACACATGACCCAAGTCTATCAGGCTCGTTACTGGATTGATTTCAGCCAGGTATACCAGATAAACTAGAAAATAACCTGTTAATACTGAAATACTCAACTGTACCATGGTTGTTCTTCTCATAATCCATAATTGTTCCCATCATGATAAGACGTTTCCTCTGTTTGTTGCATTAATTAGCAGAGGTGGGGGCTTGACGACTCGACTCAAGACTCGACTTGGACTTGAGTCTCGTTTTTGACTTGCTTGATGAAATCAAGAAATGACTTGGACTCGCTTGGGACTTGATTGCTGAAGACTTGAGACTTGACTTGACTTGAGCCCAGTGACTTGAATAGTCAAGTCTTTTCAAGTCACTTAATAGTTTATCTGATTATTTTTTGTATGACATGTAAAATAGTTTGTTTAAAGCTGCACTATGTAACTTAACACAAACAAGAACCCTTGTTTAATAATAAATGCAAATAGTGAAAAATGCTCATGATTTATGTAAATCTTTACATATAACAAATGGTTCATGGCTCTGATATGACTTGTTTTTGACTTGAAAGAAACTGTAAGGACTTGGTTCGGACTCAATGCAAAATTCCTAGGACTTGGTTGGGACTCGAAACAAAAAGTTCAGGACTTGGACTTGACTTGGGACTTGTCTGTGTTGACTTGGACTTGACTCGAGACTTGAGAGCAAACGACTTGGACTTGCCTCGGACTTGAGAGAAAGACTTGAGACTCGACTTGGACTTGCAACATAGGGACTTTCCCCCACCTCTGTTAATCACATTCCAGCAGTTTTCTGACTTGCCAGGTATCACTATACGTGGATCATTACATCTCCTAAGCATCCTCTCCTTCTCTTTGTTTACAGGCTGTTTAATCTGACCCTCAAGAAGCTGATCATGCTGAAGGAGCTGGATAAAGACCTCACCTCTGTCGTCATCGCCGTCAAACTGCAGGTATGAGACGTTTTCTACAGGAAACACGGCAGCAGCAGCAGCAGCTCGAGGGAAAGGTTCAGGGTATTGATTCAGTTTTATTCACAAATACGTCTGTTAGAAAAATCAATGAAACATAATTGGAAACGATGCTATGATGTGTTGAAAGAAAAACGTGATGGAGAGACGTAATGTAGTTTAAATTGTTGTTCGATTTCACCCTAAAACACAGAGATGGTGTATGCAGCCTGATAAATATCCAAGTCATCGCAGTCAAACAGGAGAAAAAGGTGTAAAGATTAAAACCCGTTTGACAGCATGGCCGAGTTTTGTTGGTCTATTAAAGGCACTGTTGCAAAAAGTCATTTAAATAGTCATTAGTCTAGACCAGGCTTTTTTTATGAGGGGGTTATTCAGTATAACTGAGCTTTAATTTCTGCAAAGTTTATTAAATGGAGTCATTTCTTGCAAGGCCGTCTGTACATAAGATTCAATCCAAGTCAATTCAGTTGACTCTAAACTGAATAAAGTAAGAGTCACTTCAATTCAGTTCAATTCAAATCAGTCAAATCAAGTCCAATCCAATAAGAATTCGTTCAGTTCACTTAATTGCATTTAATTAATCCAATTCCATTTAGTAATATTTAATTAATTTCAACTCAACTAAATTTAATACAGTTGAATCCAATCCAATCAAATTCAGTTCACCTCAAATCAATTTAATATAATTAAATTTAGTCAAATCTAATCCAATCTAATTCAGTTAAATTTAATAGACTTGATTTAATGTACTTCACTTTAAGGCAGTTTAACTGAATTTATATCAGTTCTATTCAGTTTAATTCAGCTCACTTCAGTTCAGTCTAAAGGTCCTTACACACTGTGGCCGACACGAATATACAATGCAAAATTACGAAATATTGACAAAAAAAAAATATTGACGTCCGAAATAATCGCACGATAAAAACTGTCCCGGTGTGAAAGGATGTTAACTAATTTTTTTTTTCAGTTTATTTTAACTGATCTCAAGTCAGTATTATTCAGTTTCTCTTGAAAAAAAAGGGCCATCAGTTAACATGGCAAAGTAAAAACTTTTATTTCAACAAAATATTGGAGTAGCAAAATTGCTGTGTCAGCATAAAAAAAAAACAACTCACTTTCCGATCATATTTTTTTGGATACGCACCCATGTACTTCAGCGCAATTTAGTTAATTTTCAATAATCAACATCTTTTTAAGTTAAAACCTTTAAAATGTTAAAACCTTTGCAATGACTGTTTTTCATAAGTTAGGGTTGTGTTACGATAATAAACAATTTTTAGTAAAAATCAAGTTTTTAAGAGTAGGTCAAACATCTGCTTGTGTTACGTGACATTTTCTTTATCAGCACTGTGTGAAGCATGGAAATCAAAACTAAAAGTACAAACCATTTTAAGCGTCTTTTAGCTGATTTTACTGCTCTGATATCAAAGTTGTATTTCTGATGTTGTGAAAACCTCTTCTGTTCCTGTAAAGCTGTTCAGTGTTTTGCTGAGTCAGCTGATTGCTTTTAAAAAAAAGCACTTCCTTCTCTTTGTTTACGGCTGAAATGCTTTCTTTAACTCCTCCACAGCTGCGCGCCGTGAATTACTTTTGTTTTTGACAGCAGGGAAAGCAAAGCCGGCGTCGGTTTGTTTGACACCAGCGAATGAGCGAATGTCGGATTTGGTCTCGCTGTTTTTCCATTAAACACATTTAGGGTAGAAATTTCAGAGTTTATCCACATTTGAGTTTGCTCATGCTGTTCTTCATCCCTCCTCTTGTTGCTCTTCATTTTGTCCATAATTGGAGAACGAATTTATTCAAACGAAGCACTAAAGGAAGTCTGAGGTGTTTTAATTCCCCTTAAACGCTCTGGCTCCTCTCCCAGTTCCTCCTTCTTGGCGTGCTTTCTTCTCTCATCATCTCCATCTTGTTTTCTATCTGAGTAAACCAATAAAGTCTCTGTTGTTCCTGGCACATAATACACTGTAAGCTCTTTTAATTCTTCCTCCATGCTGCCGCCGTATACCCAATCTCTCCTCTCCTTTCCCCCTATCTGTCAATTCCCTCCTCTTCCCCGACCTCCTCTGCTCCCACGCTTCCCTCGCTGCGTGCGGTTGATGAGAGTTCATTGTTTTTGACTCTGCTGGTGTCGGGCTCAGCGTGGTAACAGTCATCTCTCCCGTCTTTGCCCACTTAACTCTTCTACACTCATGACGTTCTGGCTTTTGTCTCCTCTGTGTCGCCTACTCAGGGCTCCAAGAGGATCCTCCGCTCCAATGAGATCCTGCTGTCCTCGGCGGGGCTGACAGAGACTGACCTGCAGCTCACCTTCTCCCTGCAGGTAAAGATTCGGCCGTGGTGCCTGTCAGTCATGAGCAAACAGAGGCTTTGTTCTGGGGCGAAAATAACAAGCCGTTTAACTATGAATAGCTGTACCCACGTCGAATCTGAGAGGGAAATATCACGATGGATAAATGATTCAAAAGGTCCAGCTGCTCTGATTTCATCTCCACCTTCGTCGACTTTAAATAATCTAGATCGTAGCCATCAAATGTTATTACAAACATAAGTGAAGCATCTTAAACCCAAAACTTGAAGATAGTCTTGTTTTTAATCAAGATCATCTCACCATTTCTTTCTTTATTTACATTAATTGACATGTCAGCAAAACCATCAATGTAAATTTGTCGGAGTTAGCGTAAATGCTAACTTTAATCCTTTGTTGTAAAGCAGATGTTTAAAAACGTTGAAACGGTACATCACATATACACAATACATGATGACAAACAGATAAAACAAGCAAGATTTTACATCCGCTAAGTTACTGTAGTGTTTTTGCTAAATGCTAGCATCATTGTACTAGCTAACTCAAAGACCCGGGAATTGCACTAGGTCCGGAATGGCTCCACTCCAGACCAGCAGGCAGATCAAATATGCAAGCATGCAGCGCCCACCGGATTCGGTCCACCGCCACAATCAGAGTAAAAGCGATCACAAGATTACGATATTTCTCGCGAGACTGGAGGTGATCTCATTAGATCGCGATTTTTGCTAAATGCTAGCATCATTATGCTAGCGAACTCATAGTTATGACGCTAACGCTTCAAACTTTTAAAGTAACCAGAATTCAGAAACACAGCTTGATATTTTGACTTCCTAAAACTCTCTAATCACTGTTCATGTAAATGTTAAAGCCACGATTTTAGCAAGTCGAGTTTAAGGTTTTTATTTCTTAAGCACTTACAAATAACAAAAACGGTACAATGGAATAAAAACAAACACAATTTCAATGAACAAATACATAAAAATAAAAATGGAATAAAGGATAAAAAGGATGTCAATGTGCCCACTCTAAAAAGTTCTAGAAAAGTCATTCAAAAAGGTTAAAAAACTTTCTCGATAACATCCTCAGGGGACCATGAAAGTACAAAGTCTAGTTGTCATTAGCTGGGGAAACATCTTGAGCTAAACCAGATCACAGACTCAAACTGGCACCAAAGTAAAAAAAGTTGGCCAAAATAATTAAAAATAAATCTTTGGGGTTCATCCATTTGGGACTATGAATGTCAAACAGCAGGTCTTTTAGAAGTTGCAAATTTTAAGAATAAATCATCTGGAGACCCTGAATAACTCTGACAAATTAATCTACATCATAATTAATAAATTCATAGTTAAGCTTGACTAAAAAAGCTGCAATAGAAACTACATTTTTGGGTTCATCCTCTGGAGAGCATGAGTTTTTGCACAGATGTTTGCGCCCAAATACTTAATAGTGAAAAATAAATTTAGTCAAAAGTAGAAATAACAGTCAAAGTTGGGGGGTAGAAGAACTGGCATTTTTGGGTTTATCCTCTGGAGAGTGTGAATCTTTGCACAGATGCCCATTGACTTAATTGTGTAAAAGATATTTTGATCAAAACTAGAAATATCAGACAAACACCGTAAATGGGCGCGGAAGAATGGGGCATTTTTGGGTTCATCCTCTGGAGAGTGTGAATTCTAGTAGAAGTGTTTCTGCTAAAAAAATCACTTAGTCACTTAAGAGTGTAAAAAAAAATTCAATTAAAACTAGAAATATCAGCCAAAGTTAGTAAACAGATGTAGAAGAACTGGTATTTTTAGGTTTATCCTCTGGGGAGTGTGAATTTTAGGAGAAATGTCTGTTCACTGGAGATACCATAGAAAAAATACAGTCAGGGAAAAGAGAAGCGCTTCTTTACGTATCTCTTTCCAGTTAAAAAGTTCTCTGATATTAAGTGTGTTTGTTTTCCCATCTTTAAGTGAAGCATTTATATCTGTCGGAAACTCCTCTGTGTGCGATGAATTTGCAGTAACATGAAAAACGTGGCCTCGGTTCAGAGGTGGTGTGTGCAGTAATCATCATCAGACCTTTATTGAACGTTCACTTTCTCCGAGCATCCAGGCGGAGTCTGGTTAATGTAATTCCCAGCGAGGTCTCTCCTGCTCTAATTTGCCTTTTTCAATTTCCATGTTTCTAAATGCTGCTGAAAGGTCAGGGAGTTTCTCTCTCTGGATCTGAGCGAGTGCAGCGAGCCAGACGTTATACATTATACACTAAACTTGTGACAGCGGCAGCACTGTGGAGAGGAAACCTATTAGAGCCCAGCGGCAGGACCATTTCACGGCTTTAAAACGCCGTACAGGAGAGCTGGTGTTTGTCCCGTTTCTGGTGCAGCAGGTGAGATCTCTAATGACGGGTTATGTCAATGTTCTTATGTGACTAAATGGTTCGACACTTCAGGACGCCAGAGACGGGTCAGCGGGTGTGGATGTCTTACACAACGCCCCCTCAGGAGGGCCTCATTACTGCCACCTAGGAAACGAGAGTCACCTCTTTAATCGTCTGTGTTTATGTGTACCAACAGTATCCACACTTCTTAAAGAGGGACGCCAACAAGCTTCAGATCATGCTGCAGCGGCGGAAGAGGTACAAGAACCGGACCATTCTGGGCTACAAGACCCTGGCCCTGGGACTCATCAACATGGCAGAGGTATAAAAACATGAGAAATCGAAACTTAAAGGGATATTCCGTGTAAAATCACCGTAACAATGAGTTAGACACCCCCCCAAGAGATGAATGTTGCCGACCGCTTGCTTCTCTAGTTATACCAACTTTAGTAACGACCGCACGCTAGCAATACACAGCGGTCTGAGGAGCCATAAACAAACTCAACCAAAACGCCACTCTAACTTCTCACTTCCCTAACTTCATCAACAGTACATACAGGGTCCCAGTCATAGTCCTAGCCACCAAACATCTTTTTAACTTTGACTAATTTCTTTAGCGAAGAGACTAAACACAACTCACCGTCTCTCTTTCAGCAGCCGCTTGTTTGTAGCGAGACCTCAGGCCAGTCCATTATGGTACAGCGGGGTGACACAGCTCAAGGAAGAACGGACCCCTTAAAGGGCTTTAACAAAGTAAGGCAAGTGTCTTCTGTTACAGACACTTGCCTTACTTTGTTAAAGCCCTTTAAGGGGTCCGTAAGATCCCAAAATGTTCCCCATCGTTTATGCTAATTTTGACCCGGCTTGTTATCCGGTCTACCTCCTTTTTTTAAGCGCCTGTTATTCCGCCAAAGTTTCCGGTATTTAATTCGTTTTCTTGCTTGTGTTTTGCAGTCGTGGCCAAAGGAGGATTCAGACAATTTTCTGTACTTTCTGGTTGGTTTCTACTGTCCGATATTTTGGCACGCTATCTTTTGGTGCGTTCAAGTTACCTCGGAAGTCAGGAGTCCGACCTGAAAATGACGTCACACCAGAGTTCCCAGCGTTTCAGTTACCAAGTCGTAAAAAAGCAAAATCGGAGGCCTGAAACAAGATGACTACATCTATGAAAGTTATTTTAGCGCTTGCCTTGATTTTGCTTTTTTTCCGACTTGGTAACTTGGGCTCGTGAACGACACAGGGGAGCAGCATCTGCCTCACAACCAATCAGGTTGGGGGAGGTGGAGAACAGCTTTGTTTACAGTCAGAAAGAGCGGGCCTCTCAAAAATTATAAAATGTTGACTACAGTGATGTAACAAAACACAGCGATATCATTATATTACCAAATGTCATCAATGACTAATAGCTATTGACTGATATTTAAAGCTTTTTTGTTTATACACCGCAAAAAAAGACGCTTCTTTAATGGAATCCTGCCTACCCCACCTTTAAGACTCTGGTAAGAAATACTTTACATTTAGGGCCAAATAACAGAGTTTTAAACATGCAATTCAAAGCACAATTAATCGCAGTTAACTCTGAAGATTCTGCGATTAATCGCGATTAAAAAAACAAATCTTCCAACATCCCTATTATAAATCATCAGCTGATTATCTTCATGCAGACAAGTTCTTGAGTGTATTTTCAGCTCCAAGCACGTCCAGCAGAAGCAGATGGAGGTTTGAGCCGCGTGTTTGAGGGTCAGCTGTGAGCTGTTGAGTCAGCGGAGTCTCAGCGTCCCGGCAGATCTGAGCTTGACCCAACAAACGAGCGGCCGCAGACTCATTTCCCTAAACTCGCAGCCTCTGCCTCCTGCATCTGTCCAATCTGAGTGTAACCTTATTTTAGATTCGGCTTTCTCAGGCAAATCTAATCCTCCGGGTTCCTTCTTTATCTTTCGGAAACTTTGATTCAAACTTATTTAGTGCTTACCTTCCTCTAACCTTTATCCAGACCTCATTCAAGCGAGTGCACTTTAAATCTCAAAGTCAGACTCGGATCTTTGGCCCGCCGTTCTCTTCTCAGTCGCCATAAATGTCGCCATAAATCAAAACCACCAATTAAATTTTAGCATCTTTTGCCAAAAGCGTCCCGCGCTCTCCGTCCCTAACAATATGAGACCTTTATAAAACGGGCTGTGATTTATGACGCGTGTCTGTCCGTGCGCACATGTGGATGTTCCTGGTGGCTTTGTCTGGGCTGATGTCAGAATTATTTACGGCGTCGAGCACCTTGAACAAACTGGCTCACCTTAAAATTCTCTATTGAGGGAAAAGGACATAAATGAGGACTCAATCAAGAAACAGGTCCAGTTTTTGAGCATTTCTATACAATCAGATTTCATGAGCCTCTATTGGCGGACTCTAAAGAGGTCAAATGCAGACTCACATGCATGAAGGGTTCAAACTCACTTCCTTTTAAAGGCACAATAAAAGTCTCTGATGGCGGACTTGGCCCTGAGCTCTGTGTGTGTATGTGTCAGATGAATTATCCCCTATAGGGGACACGCTTGGCTTTTACGTCATACATTTGTATCTGAAATGGCGTTTTGATGGCGCCGTGCTTCTTCAATACGACAGGCTCCACCGACCCAGCAGGTACTGTCGGGACGAACTGTTGAACCTGGCTGAAACTCAAAAGTTCTTCAACTGATCAGTTCAGAGGTAAAGGACCGATTTTGTCCGTCTCAGAGCAGAAACATTTTCTATGTCAGAAAATCAATTTAAAGCTCCAGTAAGGAGTTTTTCTCAAGTATGAAATAAACTGAAATGTCGTCCTGTACTTTTATCAAAGTGTTCCTAATGATTTTACTCTCTTTAAATGGTCAAAAAATATCACTACAGCAGTTATATGTCATTTAAAACAACTCCATAGATTTCGGCTTTTTCCGAAATCAATCACTCAATCCCTAACCCCTATATGGAATTTCACTATATAGCTGACTATGTTGTGAACTCAATCACCATATTTCGGATACTACATGGCAAGACGCAATGCATGACAGGATGCCCACCACCGGTGAGTGACCATCGGATGGTCACTACATTTTGCAATGCTCTATGGGAAATTTTTCAGTCGCCTACATGGGGCATTGGAATTGATCACTCGCGCTAACCAGGGATCCATTTCGGACACAGCCTTAGTCAATGTTATCTTGACTTGGGAGCCCTGACGAGTTGATCACCGCGTGCAGTGGAGTTTCGCAGCTCAAGGAAGAACATTTATGATCATTGCTTCATGGAAATACAATCAGACCGAGACGCTAAGGCAGAAGAACTACAGCGTCTGCAGTATCATGATGATCATACTTCATGGAAATGATCCGCTGCACTCGGTAGTTGACTCGTCAGGGCTCCCCCATGAACAAGTGGCTGCTGGAAGAGAGTAGGTGAGTTGCGTTTAGTCTCTTTGCTAAGTTGTTGATGAAGTTAGGTGCTGTTCTGAGCATTATTTGTAGCTATAGAGTGGCATTTTGGTTGAGGTTTGCGCGTGGATACGTAGACCGCTGTGTATTGCTATCGTGCGGTCGTTACTAAAGTTGGTATAACTAGAGAAGCAAGCGGTCGGCAAAATTCATCTCTTAAGGGGTTGTCTAACTCAGAGTTATGGTGCATTTGACCCTAACTTAAATTTAAGTTGGAATATCCCTTTAAAGCATTTCTGTCAAACATGACTTTTATTCAACTTTTTCTCTATTATAACTTGCAATCGCAACACTTTCAAGTTGATTTGATTTTTCTTCTCCTCTCCTTCAAAGAGAGCGTGTTGCTGCTCGCTGATCAAAAGGAAAATTACTCGCACTTAAATTTGATTTTTTAAGAAATCACTTCATGTCCTTAAGTGCCGGTTTGCTCCTTTTTTCGGATTTTAAGAAGCATTTTGCAAAATGAACTCGCAGAAAAAAGTCCCTCACTCTGTCCCTTTAAATATGTATGTTTGAAACATTTGCATAATCGCCTCTCTGTCTGGAAAAACGCTTCGAACTGAACAGCAGACAGGTTCGCTGACTCTCTGCCAAGCACGCTGATGTAAAGCAGTAACATCTTTTTAATGTGTGGCTGAAGCTGCCTCCATAATAAGCTGCTCAGACTCCATTAACTCTGAGTGTGACCAGACTGCTGAGACAGGCTGGATGTCTGTCAGACGAACACATTCACACACACACAGAGAAGAAGTGATGCTGCTGTTTGTCGCTGCTGCAGCTGCAGAGAGATTTCTGTGTTCATGTTTTCTGCGTCGTCGTCGTCGGTGACAGTGTCTGCTTTGTTAATCCCTGATACTGCTATTTTTGTTTACTTCTGCAGCCTCCCCCTCTCTCCTCGTTCCATTATCATCCTCCTCTGAACATCTGCCTCACGTCTGAATTCATTTCTTCTCTCGCTGCTCTCTAACCTCCCTCCCTGTGTTTTCCTCTGCCTACACGGCCCCCTCTCTTTCGGCACTTCCTTTGAAGCTTTTCACATCACGTCCGGTGTTTATCCTCTCTTTTCTCGTATGAAAGAAGGGCAACAGCTAAAAATACGGCTTTCTAGAAAGTTTCTATCCTCAGGCGTCGTGGTTATAGTCCTGGTCTCATTTGCATCTTAATGACTTTTTGTCAGTAGATGCATTTCTGATCGGGGGTGATGTGAGAGGGCAAGTAGTTATTTCCAGATGAACTGTAACGTCATAAGCATGAGTTGTCATCCTTTCTGCGTCTAGGTAATGCAGCATCCTAGCGAGGGCGCCCAAGTCCTGGGGCTCCACAGCCAGCTGAAGGACGCTTCATTACCCGTCGCAGAGGTCCGCGTCTACTCCCTGTCCAGCCAGCCCATCGACCACGAAGGCCCCAAAGCAAAGATGTCCGGTAAGCCTGCCAACGCGCACAATCTCTTCAGTCTCCAACTTTTTTTTCTCTACGTTTTTGATGTGTCCCCATCTGTGTCTCTGAAGATCGATCCCCAGACATCGACAACTACTCTGAGGAAGAGGAGGAGAGCTACTCTTCAGAGCAGGAAGGCAGCGACGATCCCATTCATGGACAGGTGTGTTTGAAGAAGAGCAAGTGTTGATTTAAGCAGCCAATTACTCTCAGAGATACTCTTACTCTCTTGAGTCAATTTGCCAGCTGAGGATGCTGTGTCATGTTATATTTCGCTCACAGTATTTCAGCTTTCTAGTGAGGGTACACAGAAATGTCATTCTTTGGCTAAGGACCAAGCTCGTGCTCCTTTGGTAAAGGGATTGAACCCTCCACCCCGTACTCCCGGAGCACCCCCCACAGGATTCCCCAAGGGACCCGGTCGTAGGCCTTCTCCAAGTCCACAAAACACGTGGACTGTTTAGGCAAACTCCCATCTCCGGTCAAGAACCCGAGCGAGGGTGAAGAGCTGATTCATCGTTCCATGACCGGGACAAAATGTATTGTTCCTCCTCGATCCGAGGTTCAACTATCGATCGGACCCTCTTTTCCAGCACCCTGGCGTAAGCTTTCCCGGGTAGGCTGAGGAGTGTGTTCCCCCCTGTAGTCGGAACACACCCTCTGGTCCCCCTTCTTAAAGATAGGGACCACCACCCAGGTCTGCCATTCCAAAGGCACTGCCCCTGATTTCCATGCAATGTTGTAGAGGCGTGTCAGCCAGGACAGCTCCGCCACATCCAGAGCCCTCAGATACCCTGGGTGGATCTCATCCGCTCCTGGAACTCCGTCGCCACAGAGTTGTTTTACTACCTTGGCGACTTGTACCCCAGTGATTGGATGGCTATTTCAGCTGTTTAACAATCAAATACTTGATTTTTGTTTGGAAAGCGTAAATTATGTTCCTTATACACATGTTTACCAAGGCTTAAATTTGAAAAGTCAACTAGTCTAACAGGTCGGTAACACTCAACATCACAGTTTCCTAGTAAATTATGTTTGTTTGCCGTTAGCAGATCTAGCACCACCAGCCTCCTTGCAGGTTTGAAGCATTACCAGAGCTGCCAAGCCTCACGCTTTGAGTGTGACAGTCACGCAGTTTCAGTTCCATTCTTAAACCACATGCCAAACTTGACATTTCTCACACTTATATTTCCCGAGTCAATACTCTGTATTTACTTTTTTTTATGATAATAAACTTGGCTCGCCGTAGTTCGAGTAACTCTGATTGACGGACCAAGATGACCAATCCATCAGTGCCTAAATCTAACCAAACATGGAAGGCACTGATGCATTGGTCTGGGATTGGTCATCTTGGTCAGTTGATGATCACACATTAGAATTCACTGAGATCAATGAGAAATTCATTCATATCATGACATCACCAGACACTGAATATCCTTAAAAGGAAGAACGCAACTTTGTTGCATTGCAGCAGTAAAAGAGGCTTCTAGAATGCTGGGGTTTAGAATGCTGGGGTTTAGAATGCTGGGTTCCGGAGTGGGGAAGACAGCAGCCTGAAATATGTTCAGTTTGTTTGTTTAAAGCCATCTTTAAAGATTCACAATTTTCACAATATACATGGGAAAATCGATCCCTATCTGGTTTTTTTTACTGAGTGACCTCCTTTACTCATGATCCAAATATCTCGAATGTAAGAAACTCAAGGAGGAAATCCCATCGTCTCTCGTCTCTCCTGTCAGACAGCCTTTGGTTAATCTTGAGAACACATTCGAGGTATTTGACTCTTTTCCAATTAACTCTCTCTCTCATAAAAACCCACATATGGACATCAAAGCTTAACAAGGTCAAGTCAAATCAATTATGTATCCTGAGTGTCCTCGGGAAGTACAGCCTGCTGCATGCCCCCTGAAGAGGTCTTGAGAGGAGGGAATTATTTTTGAATTAGACCCTGAGGTGCTTGTTATAGTCCGACCTCTTCGCTCTCTCTTCCTCCTCGGGGACAATCAGGACAAGAGACCTGCTGTTCCTCTCCAACTCCAGGTTATTGGTTTTGCTGGTATGGAGGTGACTGTTGATGAAAATAGTCTCTGTGACGACGGTATGATTCATGCCGGGTATTAGTCACTTGAATTCTACATGTCAATGGGAGAAATGATCAGTACATGTATTATATTATGGAGAAGGAACATGGGCCTATATGTAACCGGCGGTGGCAGTTCCAGTTTTCACTGTGTGTGCCGACGCTTCGCTTATGAAAGAAGGTGTGAGAGAGGATGTGGGGGGGAATCGGTGCCCATCGGTGCGAGAGATTGGAGGAACGAGTGAAAGGAGCGAACAGACAGTCGGGAGAGATAAGGAAGGAGTCACAAGGCAATGGAGGTGGGATTGAAAAGACTGAAAATAGGGAGGCTGAGGAGTGGGGGAGGAGTGTGAAGGTGAAGGGTGAGGGAAGCTACTGAAGGGCAAGAGGAGCGAGGAGAGGCTGAATCAAGGATTGTTAAATTAGATTTTTAATTTTAAGACATTGTGAGACACCTGTAGGGGGGACGACTGCACAATATTATGTCATCTTGATTAGAGTGTTATGGAAGAGGATTAGGGCCAGTGGGAAAAAAAATAAAAGGTCCAATATATTTTTTTATTATTATTCTAAGTCAGAATAATAAAAAAAAATCTGATTTTTGAGTTTAAACTCCTTAAACAATTGAATCTCGGAATTTTGACTTTAAACTCAAAATACGTAAAATCCCGAAATTCTGACTTAAATCTCGGAATACTTAAATCTCGAAATTCTGACTTAAATCTCGGAATACTTAAAACTCAGAATTCAGACTTTAATCACGGAATTTTAAATTTAAACTCAGAATACTTGAATCTCGGAATTATGACTTAAATCCCGGAATTCCGTATTTAAACTCAAAATACCTAAATTTGGGAATTCCAATGTTTTTCTCAGAATTCTGACTTTAAACTCAGGTTTCTGACTTTAATCTCGGAATTCTAACTTTAAACTAAAAAAACTTCAAACCCAGAATTCTGACTTTAATCTCGGAATTCTGACATAAATTTCGGAATTCTGACTTTAATCTTTAAATACTTAAAACTCCGAATTCATACTTTAATCACAGAATTCTGACTTTACACTCAGAATTCAGACTTTACGACCGATATATAACGCTTATAATTTAATATCATTCCAGGCTCAGAACAATCTAACAAATGCACTCCAAGTTTAGTCTGTCGGAAATGGTTTGTTCCATCAGAGGCTCAGAGCGTCCAGAGCAACAGCTAGCTACGTATCTTTCTTTAAACGAGCTAGCGAAGCCATTGTAGCTCATTTTTCACACAAATGGTGAATTTTTATTTAAACTTCTGTTTCATGTTGATCCAGGCTTTTGTTATACATAACTTTTCATAGTTAGGGGTGCAGCTAAGTTGGTAAAAGCCCACCTAAGCTTCTCATATTTGCCCGTGTCAAGGTTGATCAAAAGTAGCTTGAGTTAGCATTTCCAATGTAGCGCTAGCTATTTTTGGACTTATCCAGAAACCAGTAGTTAAAGTCATAGAGGCTATATCCATTTCACAGATTGTGGATGTTTGTACGAAGTGTTGCTCATGTTTCTTGCCCTGCTTGACCGTGTTAAAATGTTAATCCCAGACCATGACTTTTGATTCCGGTCAGAAATGCGAAATTCGGGTTCGGGTTAATCTTCATTTCCAGTTGTGAACAAACATAATGACAAGTTATTTCTATTTCATACTCAAACTTTGTGTCTTTGCTTTTTTCCATTTTTTTTTCAGTATTTGTACGACGAAGAAGACGAAGTGAGGAAGAAAAAACCGAGGCGCAAGCTTCCTTCGAACGCTGCCATTACCAGAGTAAGAAAACCACTCCTCCTGTCATTTATCCATCCTTTAACCCTCTATCTCGATCCGCCTCGTAATTTACTGCAAACCTGCTCATGAAAAAAAGCCCGGAGTGTCCCCTCAACCGCCTCCTGCCTCACCTCATTCAACCTCGCCTCGTTTCTTGGCTCCTTATCAGTCCTCAAACCTCCCCTCCCTGTTTGTCACTTTGTCTATAAATCCATTTTCTCCCTCTCACCCTGGAAACATGTATTTCCTTCCAATTTACCGGGGGACAAGTCAACACATGCACAGTTGATAACACTACCTCCTTCCTGGGATGCAAGGACACGCATGCCCACACGTACACAGACGCTTGTGCACAATCACTCAGCGGGAGCAGAGATTAAAACACGAAATTGTCTGCAACCCTGAAAAGTTACAATGACCTGCAATTTCTCTGAAGGAGAGCATTTTATAAGTCAGTGTGTGTGTGTGTGCGCATGTGTGTGTTAAAGAGTGTGAGGCTGTGTGTATTTGTAGATAGCAGCAGGAGTTTGTCTCAGCAGGTTATTAATGGAGTGCCCATGCGGTGGTCTCAGAGAGATTGTCCCCGCCGTTCCTCTAACACCACCGCCTGTGGGCAACACACAAACACACGTACTTGCAGTTATGTCAATTTGAGGACTCTTAATAACGCCTTACCTTAATGAGAATCTCATTCAGTACCTCAGTCCTTACACAAACCTTACTTAAGCGGAAATTTCTTCATTTTTCAAAAGGTCCTCATTCGGCAGAAACTTAGACATGGTCCTCACTAAGATAAGAAAACAAGTTCAGTCTCAACACACACTAAAAAAAATGATCATTTCTGTGAGGCTCAGGTACATGTGGGACAAGGACACACTTCAAACCCATTACCCACTGAAACCTCCGCCCTGGACTAACACACAAACACGTTTAAGTGTTTTAAGAGGGACATTTGACCCCGGGATAAACACAAAGTTGATCCTCTTCAGTTTCTAGTAAAAATTTAGGAAACAGCCTCCAAAGACACTTGACCTCTTAACAGCCTCTCATATTTACACTCAGGATGCTGATGAGATTTTGTGCTTGTTGTTTATGTTCTCCACCGCTTTCACCTGTACTCACTAGTGGCTAATGCAGTTTAGGATTTTAGCTTTCCTGTGCACTCAGTTTGAAGTAGTTCAACTTTGGGAACACTAACACACTCCACACTGTTTCCTCTCCTTTAAGAAAAGAAGAAGTAGAGGATAAAAAAACAATCAGACTTGTACTTATGAGGGTTTAGTGTCCAAGTTGAGCTACTTTTAACCCCTTGACATGGTTGCTTAAGTTGAATAAGATATTAGATTATGTTAGATTCAACTTTCTTGTCATTACACTTGTTTAGAACAATGCAACCAAATGCAGTTTAGCATCTAATCAGGAGTGCAATCATGCAAGTATCAAATAGTATTAACAACATAGATAAAAATATATGCATACCTATATATAAATGTGTGTATATATATAGATATATATATATATATATGTATGTATGTGTGTATATATGTATATATTTATATATGTGCATATATATGTGTGTGTATATGTGTGTGTGTGCAAATATATTTACAAATATATATACATATGTGTGTATAGAAACAAATATACGTGTGTATGTGTATATATGTGTGTATATATATACATATATATACATATATGTGTGTGTATATGTGTATATATGTATGTAAGTGTGTGTATATGTGTGTTAGGTGTATATTTGTATATATATGTGTGTAAATATATGTATTTCTACACATATATACATATGTATATATACACATATAATTGTGTGTAAATATATATTTATATATAGATACACACACATATATGTGTATATGTATATATATATATATATGTACACATATACACATATATGTGTACATATATATATATATACACACACATATATATGTATATATATGTGTGTGTATATATATATATACACACATATATGTGTATATATGTATATATGTATATATATATATGTGTGTGTATATATGTATATCTATATGTATATATACATATACGTAAGAGATGGTATGAAGTTGCTGTCAGTATTTACATTAATTACATTTAACTCACTTATTTAAGCCTCCAAAGCAACTTGGAATAGACTTAAAGGGATAGTTCAGTATTTTTAAAATATATAAGTAAGTGTCTTAGCCACAATGGATACCAGCTAGTTCTAGCTAGAAAATACCAGGAGCCTCAAAATGAAGCCCATTTTGAGAAACTGGCCCAAAGACTCGTAAAGGGGCCAAGCTGATCAGCATTTATTTTGGATCATGCAACATTTAACTTGTACAACCCCACTTTAAAAACACTGAAATAGCCCTTTAATAGATACTGCTACAAGAGGCAAAAGTGGACACAGGCCCTCGTCCTGCATTTTGCATTTTTACAACAAATCTACTGAAACCCAACAGTGCTGCTGGTTCATTTTTGGTAAATATTGACTGATTTCCTCCATTAAAGGAAAACCACCTTTGTGCTTATTCAGAAAAACATCTGCAGACGGAGGTGCGACCTGCTAACATCTATAACACATACCCTCAGTTTGATAGAGTCACAGCCTGGGGTGTGATGAAACACAGACACAGATAACACATTTCACCATATATGACACGCAGAAAAATGTCCCGCTGCTGCATCCATTAACTGCTGTTGTTTTGAGTCGCCAAGCGTGAAATGCGAGCTTGGAAATCACCGCTCCATCCTGCTCCTGTCATCTCTTTCTCAGCCGTACGTCCCCTCCCCCTCTGACACTTTCTGAAATATATATTTTTCTCGAGTCTCACTTTCTCCTCCTTCTTTATCTCTTTTCTGTCTCGCAGCAACCGAACATCAAGCAGAAGTTTGTGGCCTTGCTGAAAAGGTTCAAAGTCACCGATGAGGTGGGTCACACATCCACTCTATGATGGAGGTTTCGGAGAGCGTGTGCAGGAGTCGACGTGTATTTTCAGTTCTGGTTTTGAAGGCGAAGAGAGGTGTGTGTGTGGGAGAGATGTGGCAGAACAACTGAGATACAGCTGGCAGCTCGAAGAAAAGAAACACCAAACATTGTCAGTGAAGAGAGAGCAGAAATGTGTCTATTTTAAGGTGTTTATTTTCCTCTGGAGAGATCACATCAAAGCACGAGGCTGACAGATTTTTCATGTCTTATCAACACCGGCTCGAGCATCAGGACTAGTTTTTATTTTCCCTCTGCATGTGTCTGTTGTTCACATGTCTTCTATGTGTCTCGTCCAGGTCGGTTTTGGCCTGGAGCACGTGTCCAGAGAGCAGATCCAGGAGGTGGAGGAGGATCTGGACGAGCTCTACGACAGTCTGGAGATGTACAACCCCAGCGACAGCGGGCCGGAGATGGAGGAGACCGATAGCATCCTCAGCACGCCCAAACCGAAGCTGAGGTAGCATCATAGACACAGACATAAGTGTAACAGCCTTTCAACTCATACTACTACTTTGAGTCCTGTTATTAAAGCTCCTGTAAGGGGTTTTAAGGTAGTTATGAAACTTTAAAGTCTCTAGTTTTCAGGCATTAAAACTTACATTATTATAATCATTAATCTTTCTCCTGATCATGAACAAGCAGAAATGTGAATATCAGTCCATTTCACGAATGTTGAAAAAAAAGTCCTCACAGGAGCTTTAATGTCCAAAATCACTGCCAGGGGGGTAGATGTCAGATAAACAGAACAACAGCATGTTGTAGAAAAAGACTCTTAATGAGTGATTAATTAAACTGTTCAAGAAAGTTAAATAAAATCTTGCACATCTACATGACAAAACTAGCAAAATTAACCTGATTTAGACGGCCAATTTTGACCGAAAATGCACGCCATTTGAACATCCGATTTGGAGGTCCACAAGACGTCCAAATTGGGCGTCCATATGACATCAGAAAAAGACTGCACTTTCATTCTGCACCTTGACGTCGAAAAAAATAATAACTTAAATAGATGTCATTTCGACGTCACATTGGGCTGTAGGGTTAAGAGGCATTACTTTGTCCACTATATGTGCTAAAATTAAAGGTTCCTTACTGGAGCTTTAAATACCTGAAAGTTATTTCCCTGAGTAGATTTTTTTTAATCAACTTTGAAATAAAAAATATATGGGGGTGACCATTTTTATTTTTTAACTGAATTTTTAAGCCCAAGTTGATGATTTTAGTACAAGTCCTGTTTCTGACGAGGCAAATGGCCAATCATAGTGCAGGAATCTTTAAAGGTGGCCGACCAAGGGTGGGCTGGTGCCCCCACTGCGCCACTCTTTGGATCCACCCCTGTGTATATAGTATATGAAACACCAAATTTGGATTTTGGTCCCAAGTTAGACAAACATTTGCTCTTGACAAAAGTGTGTAAAATTAGGTAAAAACTAAACTGAACAAATCAGTATTTTATTTGATTAAACGTACATTTTTTACATAGTTTTTAACAGGTCAGAATAGTTAAATTTTTTTTTGCCAATCTCAGCTTCATACATATTGCAATTGGGTCATTATATACTGGTTTGTATGCAAAATTTATGTCAGTTTTTTTGACAAATGTTCAATTATGTTTGTAAAGAAATCTAATTCCAACAAAATGAAGTTACATTTTACTCAAAGAGAAGTTGTAAAAAGGAAAAGGAAGTAATCTTAGTCCATCTTTTCACAAGAAAAAAGGAAGTAGTCTTAGTCCATCTTTCCACAATAACAGACTACACTCCCATCATGTCTCTGAAGTATCTTTGTTATTTTGTACAAAAGTGTCTTTTTTTAGTTCTTCTCGTACCATCGACCTCGAGACACCGCACAGAAAAGCCTGTTCCTGTAAAGTGTGGGTGCTGCGTTCTCACTGTTCCTACATTCAGAGCCTGTAAACACAGTTTCTCAATGTTCCTCTGATAATTCAGAGCTCCCTCTGTTGGTGGAAACAGAGCATTGCAGTTACATGTAGCAGAAATTAGTCAGTTTATTTTGTATCTATCTAGATTATTATTGGGGATCAGAGAGTGGCAGAAGAACTATTTTTAAGTCGTTCTTCAAATCTCATTTTTTACACCTCCCTTGTGATATTTTCTCGGTTTCTTTTTTTCCCCTTTTCCTGTTTTTTGGTCTAATTCTCAAGTCTCAGAAAGCAGCCGATTTTGACTTTACTTTTTAATATTTTGTGACTAACCACTAAGTTTCTTTCCAGGCCGTTCTTTGAGGGGATGTCTCAGTCCAGCTCTCAGACGGAGATCGGCAGTCTGAACAGTAAAGGCAGCTTGGGGAGAGACACCTTCAGTCCGGTGAGTAACTCAAACCTGCAGGGGAGGAGAAGAAGCAGGAGCAGCTGCAGCATCAGCAGGAATTTCACTGCTGTGAGCTGCAGGGCGTCCAAGAAAACCTGAACTGTGTTGTCTTTTTTTTTCTTCTTTTAATCCCTGTCTCACCGGTCGGTCTGTCGCTGAGTGCAGTAAATATTTATTGCCCCTAAAGGGCGTCTGACTCTACAACATAAAAGCCTCCTTAGCAACTGTGTTTAAAAGAGCGGTGTGGGGGTGAAGCGATGACACAAACCTGAGAGGTTTTCTTTAGAGAAGTCAGCGCTGAATTGAAGATTTTTCTTTGAGCTGTCGGAGGAATAAGCAGCTTTTCGACTTTATATTTCATCACCCTGTGACACCCAGAGGGGATAAATCAAAGAGGTTACACGATGGTTGAGAAAACACGTTTTTAACAGAAAATATTTGATATTTCTCTCTCAAAAATCCTCAAAATGAGCTTTTTATGAGTGAACTCCGTAATTCAAGTCCATTAAAAGTGTTAAAGGTGATTGGATGGAGAGGCAGAGCAGGAGATTGTCTCTTCTGCTGGTCTGCTGCTGCTGCAATTAAGGAGAATTAAATACACCTGCTGCAATCAAGGGCAATCAGCTACACCTGGGAGTGTGGCTGGCTATCAGGAGTATTTCTTTGCTGTATGTGATTGAGACTTGGTAGTTTTTTGTGTATGAAGTGTCAGTAAAAGATACAACCCAGAGCTCTACACCCTTTCTGCCCTCCGTCCACCCTGTTTGTAGAGGTGTACCAACATCTAAAACCTTACAAAAACATGTATTCATGAGGGTTCATCCACACTTTCTAGTCGACATGATAGTTAATAATGTAAGAAAGTGGCAGAAAACTGTGAAGAAAACACCATCAATCAGAAACCAGCAGGGTATTGATCGGTGTGGTAAATAAATGTCCTGAATGTGAAGCCCATAAAAATCGCCCAGCGGGGGGGGCTGGTTTGTGAATATGAAATTCATGAATGTGTCACACTAACGTTTCCTGAACAGAGACCCAATCCAATACATCTCTGCTGAATGAAAACAGTTCAATCCGAGCGAGCCGAATGGATTTTACTGGATGTGTTTGTGCTGCAGCTCCTTCTGTTTTTATCGCTGCGCTGAAACGAGACCTTTTATGACGCCGCTGATGACTGCACTTTTAAAAAACATGCTAGAGTCGGAAAAGTCTGTTTTTATTAACGTAAACACTCACTAAAAAGATGAGTTTTGTCTAGGGTGACTATATTCTGACTTCCCAAACAGAGGACACGACTACTCGGGGGCGGAGTCATTGAGTCGCACTAAGTTAATTTGAACTGAATCACTAGAATCAGTTCACTAAAAAGATTTGTTCAAAAGATTCGTTCACTGAACAGTCACTGAAGAATTCACACTGAACTTTGTCACATGCTGTGTCCTGTTGTATGTAAGTTGTTGTGGTGGCAATTTAGCAGTAAAATATTTTAAAAAAGGTAGTTTTGTCTGACAAAAATGATTCCAGAGTGTAGTTCAATACGTGATTCGTTCACCAAGTGATTCAGGTGTCGGTGCATTTGGTGCCTCGTTCACCGGCTGCCCTGCTGACAGCTCAACTGAAGTGAGAAATCAAACGAATCACTTCCACTAGTGATTCGTTCGATTCTAAATTCAGCTCAACTGAAGTGAGAATCAAACGAATCACTTCCACAAGTGATTCTTTTGAATCTCAGTTCAGCTCAACTGAAGTGAGAAATGAACGAATCACTTCCACAAGTGATTCTTTTGAATCTCAGTTCAGCTCAACTGAAGTGAGAAATGAACGAATCACTTCCACTAGTGATTCGTTCAATTATCACTTCAGCTCAACCGGTGAGAATTGAATGAATCACTTTCACAAGTGATTCTTTTGATTCTCACTTTAGCTCAACTGAAGTGAGAAACGAACGAATCACTTGAGGAAGTGATTCGGTTCAGTACGTTCACTCAAAAGATTTGGTCCTTTTGAACGAATCGTCTGTGAACGACACAACACTAAAAGAGGACGTATGGTCACACTAGTTTTGTCTTCACAGCTGCTGCATGTAGACTGACTGTAGTTCCCTCGTCTCTCCAGCAGGGGGAGCAGCATCCTCTGGAGAAGATGAAACACTCACGCAGCCGCAACCTGGAGGAGGCGCTGTCTGAGACCGACACTCTGGTAAAACTTGTGTGTGTGTGTGTGTGAGAGGAGAATAAATGGTGTGTCAGCATCTTCGTTAATATCACTGTGAAGTTTTTTCGCTGCCATCTGCACCGCAAGAGAGACAGATTGAGAGTGACGGAGACGATCAAGAGGATCTCCTCTTTGTGACACTGATAGTCTGTCTGTCTGTGTGTGTGTGTGTGTGTGTGTGTGTGTAGGAGCTGACAGATCAGGAGCTGTTCGCCGAGGTGGGCCCCTGCATCACGGTGTCTGTGGCTGAGAAACCCCGTACGCCCTTAAAGAGCAGCAAGAGTGAAACCCAGGCCATGCCGTCACCTAGGTAACGATCGGCAAAAACAGACCGATATCAGATGTCGATATTTCTGAGTAACCGACGATAAAAAGTCACTTCTCTGACTTTTTTCCCAGGTTGGATGGAGGCCACACCCCCCGGCAGAAGCGGATCAGCACGCCCATGAAGGAGCGCCAGCTTTCCAAACCTCTGAGCGAACGCACCAACAGTTCCGACTCGGAGAGATCCCCGGAGCTGGGCCACAGCACGCCGGTGAGTCTTTCCAGGATGCTCTTCTAATCTCCGACGCTGAAATAAATCTTCACATTGTTGTCGAGCGTTCCCACCGAGGGATTTACGCTGCTGCCGCTTTTGTTCTGCCGACTCCTCCTCCTCCTCCTCCTCCGCTGATCATCTCTGACTCGCCTGAAGCTCCCAGATGAATTATATATGCGGCGATGAGTCATCAGCGGAGTAAACGTGTCGCTGCAGGGGGGGTCACACGCTTAAATTTGTGTGTTTGTGTGTTTTTTGTGCGCGCAGCTCCTGAGGAAGGTGGTGTACGACCAGCTGAACCAGATTTTGTTATCGGATTCTGCGCTACCTGAGAGCCTGATCCTGGTGAACGGCACAGACTGGCAGGGACAGGTAGGACTCGGAGTGTGTGTCTGTGTGTGTGAGTGTGTGTGTGTGTGTGTGTGTGTGAGTGAGTGTGTGTGTGTGAGTGTGTGTGTAGAGTCTTCTGAGCTGTTTCCTCACATTTCTTCCTCCTCCCGTGTCACAGTATGTCGCCGAGCAGCTCCAGGTCCAGAGACACCCGGTGGTCTGTACGTGTTCAGCCGCTGAGATCCAGGCGGTGCTGTCCGCGGTGCTCACTCGCATCCAGAAGTTGTGAGTGTGTTTTTTTAATTTTGGTGAAGTAAACACACATACGCACACAGACACACACAGTCAGAGTTCAGGCCACCCTTGTTTGGCAGCATGACTCATCGTCTTCGTCCTTTTCCTGCTCGAAATCGTATTTTTCTGCTCTCTGCCTGACCTCCTTTTTTTCATCCATCCTCCACATCTCTCCTTCCTCCTGGCTCCATCTCTATAAATTCATTTCTTTTTGTGCCGATTCAAACTTTAGAGTCCCCTCTGGTCAAAAACGTCTCCTCCTTTTTCACCCCTGACCTCTTCTTATCCTCTCTCTGTGAGTCTTTAAAAGATTAATACGGATAAAGGAGGATAAACTCTGGTCAGACTGTAGAAAAAGTTTGTGTTTCATGTTTAAATCACAGCAGGATAAAAGTTTAGAGCTGTTTTAAATTCAGGGGTTTAAACTAGGGCTGGGGCGATAAACTGAAAATTTACGGATACGGAAATTTACGACAATAACCAACGTCATTTTGCCCATATCGGTATATTCGGTGTAAAAAAAAAAATAGATTACTGAAAGTTGGTTTTGGATGTTTGTTAGGTAGGCTACGGTCTCACAGTGTTTCCCCTACAATAAATTGCGTGCGCCGCTCCTGTAATCTCACATTATCGTTAATATTAATGCGCCACTAATGATTCCTACTCATACTGTGTTAGCGCAACAACACATGACGTTAATTCCGACTTGTTTTGAGTCATCAACGAGCGCATCAGATCCTGTCCGACCCTCTTCTGTTATTGTGAAAGGTAACGTTCAAGGTTATTCACGGTCTTTAGCAAGTAGCATTAATAGCATTAGTAGCATTATCAATGCGCACCGCTAATGATTTCTACGCACACTGTGTTAGCGCAACAACACACAACTTTATTTTTGACTTGTTTGAAGTCATCAACGAGCGCATCAGATCCTGTCCGACCCTCTTCTATTAACACGAAAGGTAACGTTCAAGGTCATACACTATCTTTAGCGATTAGCATTAATAGAATTGGTAGCATTATTAATGCGCACTGCTAATGATTTCTACGCACACTGTGTGAGCGCAACAGCACACGACTTTATTTTCGACTTGTTTTGAGTCTTTTACGAACGCATCAAATCCTGTCGGACCCTCTTCTGTCAACGTGAAAGGTAATGGTATACACAGTTTATATAGCGAGTAGCATTAATATCAATGCGCCACTAATGATTTTTACTGCACTGTGTTAGCGCAACAACACATGACGTTATTTGCGACTTGTTTTGAGTCTTTAATGAGCGTATCAAATCCTGTCGGACCCTCTTCCATTAATGTCAAAGGTAACGTTTAAGCAAAGCTATATAGCGAGTAGCGCGGGTAACGTAATGTAATGTGAACACAACAGCGTAGCTCCATGAGCGGCAAGAGAGTGAAGGTAACAGCGAAAAACAGCAGAAAAAAATTCTAGGGGAAACACTGGTCTCATGTCCCTTTAAGACGATGTCCTACGTCAGAGACAAAGAGGGAAAGACAAGTGAGGAGATGGAGGACGGTTCAAAAGTTTTAGCAGCTGAAGTAGACGAAGTTAATGTGAGAGGGGGTGAGCAGCTTGTGGAGTAGTTATCGTCCTTTTACCGTTATCGAGGTGAACTGATCAATATATCGTGATATTGATTTGAAGCCGTATCACCCAGCCCTAGTTTAAACTATTAAGTCAGTGGCTGACAAGTTACAGCCACGGTCGATTCTTTTGAAATATCTCTTAAAAAAGATGTAAAATACGTAAATTTTGAGGTTTTTGACGTGTAGGAAAACACTTGTTTTTCATTTTGATACGACATCTTCAGCGTCTTCAGTTTGACGGTTGAATTTCCGGGTTTATTTTACAGGTGGAGTTGCCGCAGCGTCGTTTGTTATCTTGTCTCCTGTGTGTGTGTGATGGATGAGACTCTCCACTCACCTCTCTCTCTCTCTCTCTCTCTCTGTAGCTGTAACTGTAACTCATCCATGCCCCGTGCGGTGAAGGTGGCGGCCGTGGGCAGCCAGAGTTACCTGGGCGCCATCCTGCAGTTCTTCGTCACCCAGCTCGCCAACAAGACGTCTGATTGGCTCAACCACATGCGCTTCCTGGTCGTGCCTCTGGGTAAGAGAGTCTCCGTCCTTTTTTTTGTTGCTTAGTCATCCTCAAGTACTGAACGCCATCTTAATTTCACCTTCTTCTCCAGGTTCCCACCCTGTTGCCAAACACCTCGGCGCCCTCGACAACCGCTACAGCTCCTCCTTCCTGGATGGCGCATGGAGGGACGTCTTCAGCCGCTCTGAGCCGCCACAGACAGGTACCAAACGGCGCCGATCCTTCTGCTTAAACGCTCGTTTTGACTCTGAAGTTCTTGAAATTCCTCTCTTGTTTTTTTAATTCTAGATCAGCTGGACGTAGCGGGAAGAATCGCACAGTACATCAGCGGCGCCACCGTCACCCACCAGCTGCCCATCGCCGAGGCCATGCTGACCTGCAAACACAGGACGTGAGTATAAGCAGGAAAAAACACGATCTGGACCCCCTAGAACCGGTTTAAACGCTCTTTCTCTGTGGTCCACAGGCGAGATGAAGACTCCTACCAGAAGTTTATTCCCTTCATCGGGGTAAGATTTCACTCTGGACAGAAAAAAAGCAGATTTTTATTTTAAATGCGGATCTGTTTCTAACATCAGTCCTTGTTCTTCATCATCAGGTGGTCAAAGTGGGTCTGATCGAGTCCGGACAGTCTCCCACAGGTGAGTCTTTGAAAACTCGTCCTGTGTGTTTTTTCTGAATCTGCTCAGTCGATTGTTGACAGTTTCTTTGTTTTTTATTTTAAAGGAGACACAGAGGAGGGTGTGGCGGTGAGCTTGGCTGTTCCCTCCACATCCCCTCCCTCCCATGGCTCCCCAACAGGGATGATTAAAGAGGCGGCCACTCCCCCTTCCTCCCCCTCCATGGGCAGCGTCCTCACAGTACAAGGGTGAGCGTGACTCAGTGACGGCACTTTGAGTTTGTTAGTACAACAAATATAAAAATAAGGTTTGCAAAATGTGCTACGTAAAAATAAAACACAGCGTAAATAAGACAAAATAAAGGAAAGCCAAATGCTAAATAAGCTTAACAGTTAAAAATTTGTATGAATGACAATAATTTTGTATCACAATATTCACTATTGCAAAAGGTTAAAAATCGCAATAATAAGTATCGTGATAATATTGCATCGTGGCCCAAGTATCGTGATTATTTCCCATTGTGGCCCAAGTATTGCAAAAACATTGTATCGTGGCCCAAGTATCATGATAATATCATATCGTGGCCCAAGTATCGTGATAGGATTGTATCGTGGCCCAAGTATCATGATAATATCATATCGTGGCCCAAGTATCATGATAGTATTGTATTGTGGCCCAAGTATTGTGATAATATCATATCATGGCCCAAGTATCGTGATAATATCACATTGTGCCCCAGGTATCATGATTATATTGTATCGTGCCCCAAGTATCATGATAGTATAGCATGTCAGCCCAAGTATCATGATAATATCGTACCCTGGCCCAAGTATTGTGATAATATCGCATCCTGGCTCAAGTATCATGATAATATCGCATTGTGGCCCAAGTGTCGTGATAATATTGTATCGTGGCCCAAGTACCGTGAGAATATCGCATCATGCCCTAAGTATCATGATAATATTGTATAATGGCCCGATTGTCGTGATAATATCGCTTTGTGCACCAAGCAATGATATCCCAATCGTGGCCTAAGTATTGTGATAATATCGTATCATGGGGACACTAGTGATTTCCACCCCTACTAGCAAACTGATAATTCTTGTTTCAAAGACTTTAATCTGGACTCAAAGTTTTAAAGTTTGGTTCTGACTGTCTGGACTGGGTTGAGTCTGTCGCCTCTGGCGCCACTTTGTTCGCTCAGTGAACCGGTTCCAGGAAGTGAAATGACTCTCTGGTTCCTCTGTGAAGGTTTGATTCAGTCAGAGTTTCTGCTCTGCTTGCTGCAGTTCCTCTGCAGAGCTGACAGACTGCAGCTGTTCCTGCTCTAATATTTCCATTTCAGCCTCTGCAGAGGACCGATAGTGTGACTGTCGAACATGATGTACCAAATTTAGAAGTTAATCTCCTTTTTTTTAAACTGCTTCAGACAGAAAAGCTCCCTCTCCTGTGAATGTGGTCTCAGCAGTTCTCAGGGATTCTCCTGCTTTTGTCGTTTCATAATGTTCCTACATGGATCTCTGTCCTCAGGAGTCCCAGCATGTCTCACGGAGTGGACGCCATCGGCCTGCAGGTGGATTACTGGCTCGCCTCGCTGGCTGAGAAGAGGCGGGAGGGCGAACGCCGCGACACGGGCTGCAAGAACACGCTGAAGAGCGCCTTCCGCTCGCTGCAGGTCAGCAGGTTACCAGGAGGGGGCAGCAGCGACCCACAGGCCCAAGTCAGCACCATGGCCATGACGGTGGTGACAAAAGAGAAGAACAAGAAAGGTGAGGCGAGGATTTAAAAAAAAAACTCAAACTTTTCGTGGAAATCTTTAGAAAGTTTTAAAGATTTTTCAGGACTCTTAATTTGAAATGTTGATAAAAATTCTGTGAAAGTTTCTGAACTTTCAGGTAAAAATGTAAAACTTCTTTAATCACAAACTGAATTTTTTTTTTCAAACCTCTTAATTTGAAATGTTGATAAAAATTCTGTGAAAGTTTCTGAACTCTTAGTTAAAAATGTAATGCTTTGTAAATCAGAAAATTAAAAAAAAATTGAAAACTCTAAATTTGAAATATTGATAAAAATTGTGTGAAAATTTCTGAACTTTCAGGTAAAAATGTGTAACTTTTTTTAATCTGAAACTTGAATTTTTTTTAAAACTCTAAATTTGAAATGTTGACAAAAATTCTGTGAAAGTTTCTGAACTTTTAGATAAAATTTTTAACTTTTAAATAAGAAACTTAAAAAAAGATCAAAATTCTAAATTTGTAATGTTGATAAAATTCTATGAAAATTTTTGAATTTTCAGGTAAAAATATAAAACTTTTTCAATCACAAACTTAAAAACATTTTCAAAACTCTAAATTTGAAATGTTAGATGATTCTGTGAAAATTTCTGAACTCTAAGGTAAAATTTTGAGACTTTTTTAAATCAGAAACTTCTCATCAGCGTTTTTTTTTTTTAATCATCAAACTTAAGAAGTTTGAGAATTAAATAAAACATGAACAATTTTAAAACACTTTTAGATTTTTTTAAGAATTAAGCAGCTCCCCCCATGGAGACGGCCATGTTTCTACAGTAGTACAGAATGGACAAACTTGATTCCATTCAGGCCTTTGGACGTTTTTGATGCTAAAAACATCACAGATATATGATCATATTGATGATGAATCACATCAGCTTCTTGTCCTTAAAGGCTAGGCAGGAGTGAGCAAGGGAGGATGTCAAACTCTCACCAACAATCCTTTACTAAACTTCCTCTCCGTAGTTCCCACCATCTTCCTGGGAAAGAAACCAAAAGAGAAGGACGTGGACTCCAAGAGTCAGGTCATTGAAGGCATCAGTCGCCTCATCTGCTCCGCCAAGCAGCAGCAGACCATCCTGAAAGGTAACCAGAGCTTCCTCCATGTTTGTTGTTTTTTGTTTTTCTCGTCCTGTCCTCTAACGTCTTTTCCGTCTCCTGCAGTGTCCATCGACGGCGTGGAGTGGAACGATGTGAAGTTCTTCCAGCTGGCCGCCCAGTGGCCCACACATGTCAAATACCTACCTGTCGGACTCTTTGGTTACAGCAAACCCCCCTCCTAGGGTCCGAAAAACCCGCCGACTCCTCTGACCACGACCGTCAGCGCGTCTGGAGCTGAGAGAAGACGCCAAGCAGACAGACTTTTCTTTCCCTTCGGTTTCAGTTTGGCCACAGTCGTCTAGTTTCTCTTTTGGCGAGGAGGACGAGGAGGTGGAGGAGGAGGAGGAGCGCTGTTACTAGTCACTTTAACGCCCCTTTTGTGTGCGTGTGTGTGCGTGTGTGTGTGTGGCGAGCGCATGCACACGTGAATGTACAGTATGTGAGCGCGTGCGAATGTACGAGCGTGTGTGCGCACAAGGGGCTTTACAGCACAAGTTCAATAGTTAACTGCCATTTATGTTTCCGTTCTATGGAATGCAACAGCATGCGACAACTCACCGATTTCAAACGTTAAGACCCGCCCCCTCTGAGGCCCCTCTGCTCACCCCAACACCTGATCCACATGTGCATGCTCTGAACTTACACTTACACCACTCATGTGCCGTTAAAAAAAACAACAACAAAATAAAAAAATACAACAGAAACGCATCAGGGCTTCAGTTTTTGCATGAGAGAAAAAACACAAAGAAAAGTCTGTCCTGCTCGCGAAAAAACGCAGCGAATCAAAGGCGTGCATGTGACGAATTTCACCTCCACATCGACAGCACAGATGCCCTAAAAAAAAACAGGTTTAGTCGATTTAATTTCAAGGGCTTCCATTTGATTCAGAAGAAGTTTTCTGTACTAAAAGAAGTCGTTTGGATGTCTTAAAAAAATGACGAGAAAGCGCATCTATTCACGGGGAAGTGTCTCTTTTTATCGTGCTCCAGTGATCAATTGTAAAAGACTTCCCTTTAAAGGTGTTTTTGTGACGCATCGTAATTGTTTTCGTGAGAGATTTCCAGGATTTCAGGGCGGCAGTGCGGTTTTCTTTAGCTTCTCGTTTGCTATGCACTTATGAAAACACACCGGAGTGTTCGCAGAGAGCCAAATAAATGTGCAACAAGACGACTGAGACGACAGGATGCGTATTAAAACGGATGAGAAAGGCGTGTTTTTATCCTGCTTTTCCACGGGGATGTAAACCGCGAACACGGCGGTCGAACCCCCTGCAATAAAGCACAACGTTGTTTGAAAGGAAGCCCTTAAATATCTTCTTTATCGGCAATATTCAGGCTGCAGACCCGCGCGGGAATCAAACCGTTTTAGAGGTTTTCTCTGCGGGTTCGAGTTCTCGCGGCGCAGGTCTGCCACATGCTTTCTCTAGATTATCGTGAGGTGAATAGTGAGTGTTCAGTATCTGGTAACGCGTGTGTGTTATTTGGTGAAATTAATGTAACGTGGTCACAGACTTTATAAAATATCACTTATTGAGATGATTATTTTTTCCTACCATGTGACAGAGGGGACATGCATTTAGAGTGTGTGTGTGTGTGTTTATGTTTGCTGGCAGTGTGTGTTGCTGATGCGGTCAGTAGAGGCTGCAAACGCTGCAATATGTTTCGTGTGTTCGCTGTAGTTTGGCACAAGACAAACGCTTCAATTTTTAAAAGTTGGTGAAAAGGTTCAGAAAGTTTGTTTAAAGTCAGCTTGTCTCTGAATTTAAAGGGATTGTTGTTTAAGTTCTGAAAAAATGAAAATAAAACTGAATGTTTTAATTAAAGGTAAAAGTCAGAATTCTGGATTTAATTAAGAACTGCTGTTAAAAGGGAAACTCCCCACAGGCGCTTTAAGTGTGATGATGATAATCTGCCTAAATTCATTATCCATAAAAAAAAAAAAATTGAAAAAAATTTAAAACAACAAAATTTTAGTCTTAAAAACTTGTCCACAATCATCCTCTGTAGAAATCAAATCAAACATGAGCCATATTTTGTTGTTGTTCAATTTGTGATGTCACAAATTGTTGAATCTCCTTAAAAGAGCGTAATTAACGTAACACCCAATAGAAACGTCCGACCCTGTTTTTTTGGTCCCAAGGATTTGCAGCATCGGATATGGGGTCCAAAACATGTGGCCATTACTCATAATTTGTCATTTTCAAAAGGCAAACGCTTTATTCTTAAAAGTTTGGTGAAAAGTTTCAGAGTCAGGCACGGAAAGTTTGTTTAAAATCAAATTTTCTCTGAATTTAAAGTCAGGGATTGTATAAGTTAAAAAAAAAAGAAAATAAAACTCAATTCATGTCAAAAGTTAGGAATATTGTAAGTCAAGATAAAGGTCATAATTCTGGATTTAATTAAGAACTGCTGTTAAAAGCGAAACTCCCCACAGGAGCTTTAAATGCAACATGATAATTTGCCTAAATTCATCATACAAAAAAAAATAACAAAACAAAAAAATTTCAAACTACCTAATTTTATACTTGTAAATTTGTCCACAATCATCCCCTGTAGAAATCAAACATGAGCCATTGGTGAAAATTAGTGAAACTCCCCACAGATGCTTTAAGTGCGATTATGATAATCTGCCCATATTCATCATCCGTACAAAACAAAAAAATCTTTAAAAAAATATTGTAATAAATTGAAACAACCTAATTTGGACTAATAAATTTGTCCACAATCGTCCTCTGTAGAAATCAAATCAACTCAAACATGAACTATATTTTGTTGTTGTTCAATTTGTGATGTCACAAATTGGTGAATCTCCTCAATTGAGTTTCACTAACCTAACACCAAACTGAATCTTCCCGCACTGTTTTCTGTTCCTCAGGATTTTCAGCATTAGGTTAAGGGTCCAAAACATGTGGCCATACCTCATAATTTGCTATTTTGAAAAGAGAAACACAACTGGCAACAGTGTAAGAGTCTTCTAGAGAGATGGGGGTGCCCCAAAAAGAGAATAAAATTTTTCAAAGTTGCCAGCCTTAGATAGGAAAAAATTTCAAGCTCTTCAAACTCGTCACCTGTGTAGCTCTGCCTTGTGCCACCTACATCGTAACACTGTCCATCTGCAGTCAGGTATTAGCGAAACAGGTTCTTCTTGCAGCGTGAATTCAGTGAGACTTCTGTTTGAATCTAGATCTAGAATCTAGTCGATGTTCCAGTGTTACAGTTGTGATGTCAGCAGCACGTCTTAAACTCGCCTCATTTCTTTGTTTCGACAACAGCCGAAGGGTTTCAGAGCTCGCTTTGCTTGTTCACTCTCTGTTTGCTTAACTCTCGTCACCCAACAACAAACACCCTGTTGGTGCCGGCGAGCGTTAAGTACTTCCAAATATTTGAATGTATTGAATTAAGTTTACACTTTTTTGTAACTTTTTACAGTTCATGTGGGATATTAGAAATGTTTCACCAGTGCAGTACAGTCATTTTAGACAGACAGAGACAGCGGGCCGCTTGAATGCACCCTTCTTCAAACCTGTAACCAGTTAAGGGCTTGACAGACTGACCGACCACGTTATCGGTGAGCTTTGATGTACCGTAGTTTGATCATTTCATTCCAAATTTACCCACATTTATGGAAAACTGCTCCCAAAAAGTTGCTTTTAAAGTCAAAGTAAACATAAACTGCTGTTATAAATAAACAAGAATCATATTCTCATCATCATATCTATCATCTTTCCCTCACTGTCATTAAAATATGGTAATTTGACACTTTTGACTTCCTTAAAGACGATTACAAAGATCTGCTGTTGTGCGTAAATGTCAATAAATTTTGGGTTGCCGAGTTTTGAGGGAAAATTTTTGCTAAGTTTACCAAAGGTTTGTACATTTGGTAAACTTCGCAAAAATTTTGTGTTAATATTTTGTGTTTAAATAAAAACATCACTGCAAGATTAAGAAATGCAGATAAATGAAAGAGATTCTGTGGCAAACCCAAAATTTATTTACTTTATGTTACGTAATAATGTCTCTAACTTTTAGTCAAAACTCAAAAAGGTGACTCTAAAGCTCTTGTGGGGGTCTTTTGACTTGTGTCCATTTTGGTTCCCCCCTGTGGACAAGCTAGTCATTGCTTGTCATGTCTCCTACATTAAGTGGAAATTTTTTTCATTCAAAAAAACTATCCTGCTGACCCTTTGACCTTCATTTGTGTCATTTAGTGTGAATATTTTGTGTGTAAATTGTAGAGGCAGGGCGGACACCAGGGCTATCTTGTCGCTGATGGTCTTGTTTGATTTTCGACATCATGAAAAGTCATCAGTATGAATTCCTCACAGGAGCTTTAAAGAAAGCGTAATTCATAAAAGACACCAAATCATTGATTTCAAAATAAAAGCATCTTTAAAGAATTTCTACCGTGTTTTGAAATTAAATATTTGATATTGAACTGAAACTATAACCGTGGGTGATCTTGTGTCTGCTGCTTATGGACGACCTCACTAACACAAACTGCTCTTTGCCTTGTAGTGTTGTTTGTCTCATTATTGTAGTGATGTGATTTTAAAATGGTCCGAAATTGTATGAAGTCATGATTCGCCTCTTTTATTTTGAAGGGAGCAGGTAGAACTGAACTTTCTTCTTGAAAGAGAGGCATCAAAATAAAATCACTGCCAAAACCACAAAGTGAGGAAATCGTGATCATAATCTGAGACATTTGTGGATTTGTTTGATTTCAGTCGGATCAGTGAAACTCGTATTCAAGTCAGCATTTCAACGTGTGAAGGAGGTGAATGCTTTCCTTTCATTCTGAGCGTTTACACGTTTTTCTAAAGTCTCTGGTTGTTCCGTGCGTTCGTCTCAAACTCGTCCCTGTGTGTTTTTTACCTGTACCTCTGTACCTGTGTCGACCTGTGTTCGTGGCGGTGTCGCGGTGGTTCCTCTGTCCTTGTGACTCGTAATGGTTAGAGATTAGTAACTGTTTGGTCCGTCAATAATCTCCATCAGTGATCAGCAGTGTCTCTTCTCTCCTAAATGTCCCTCTGACGACGATGAGAGTCTTCTTCACCGGGTTTCCACAAGCTTAGCTTTCTTAAACAGCACGGTCTCTATTCCCTCACAGCTTGTAAATTTGCTGTCTGTCTTCATGGGGACGAAATTTTCCTGTGATCGCAGTAGATTTCGAGGTCTCGCTCGGAGCAGGGCGTCTAAGCTTGTGGACTTGTGGAGAGTATTTTGCACATGCCATCGTTTTCTTCAGCAGCAGTCTTCAGCTTTTTTGCCTTTTGCCTATAACAATAATAATAATAATAATAAACTATAATGCTTGTACATATCAGAATAGTACTTGTTATATTGTATTCCAGTTTTTTTGTTTTTCTTAATTTCGACATGTTTTGTAGTACTGCTTTTTCATGATTACGTTTGTCAGTTGAAACAGATGTGGGATGAAAAGTGGAAGTGTTTATTGTTTCATTTGTTTTTTAAAATAAAGATATTCCTGATTTGTACTTCAGGCTGTTGTTGTTAATACATAGCTACATATACATACAGTTGAAACCAAAAAGTTTACATACACTGTATAAAAACGCACATAATCTTTTTTTTTCTCACCGTCTAACATTAAATCAGATTAAACTTTTCCTGTTTTTGGTCAATTAGGATTAACAAAATTATTTTTATTTGCTAAATGCCAAAATAATGAAAGAGAGAATTTTTTAGACAATTTTTAATTATTTTCTCGAGAGTCAAAAGTTTACATACACTATATAAAAACGCACATAAACATTTTTTTTCACCATCTTACATTAAATCAGATTAAACTTTTTTCGGTTTTTGGTCAATTAGGATTAGCAAAATTATTTTTATTTGCTAAATGCCAGAATAATGAGAGAGAGAATTTTTTAGACAATTTTTTATTATTTTCTTGAGAGTCAAAAGTTTACATACACTCAGATGACTATGCCTTTAAACACTTTGGGAAGGTCCAGATGATGATATCGTGTCTTTGGAAGTCTCTGATAGATTTATTGACAACATTTGAGTTAATTAGAGACACATCTGTGGATATATTTCAGGGCACACCTGAAACACACTGCTTCTTTGTGTAACATCATAGGAAAATTAATGGAATTATATCTCTTCCACCAGCTCCTCCGAGGGGATTCCTGGGCATCCTTTTGGCACATAACCTTTTGGCCAAGGTTATGTGCCTTTTTATATAGTGTATGTAAACTTCTGGTTTTAACTGTATATACATTTAATAGCGACTGGAATCAGTTATGGAAAAGTCCAGTTTCTTGTCAGTTATTTCAGTCCTGAAAAGAGCTCAAATCAGCTGGGGGGAGACATGTGAACTGTGTTTTTTCAAGTCCACAGTCAACAAAGCCCACCAGGAGATTTTAGAGCACTGTATGTTCCCATCTGCTGAGAATAAAGTAAAGAATAGCCCCTTTTGTTGCAGTATTACGCGTTAAAACTGGTACACGCTGTATGTAACACAGTGATAAAGAGTCGCAGTGTAAATAAGGAGAGCACATGATGTTTCTGAAGCAGGTCAGTGGTACACAGAGGCCCTTTCACTGCCTTCAGTCCCCCTTTACTGCCCTATACTCTTTGAATGGAGCCTCTGCTGACATCAGAATTCAAAGATGGTGTCCACAACAAGAGGATTCACGTCAACTCACATCCTGTTCTGTGAAGAAAACCTCTTAATTTATTAATTAGGCGTTTATATAAGAGTTAACACGCACAAAAAGCAGATTAGAAGCCTAACATGGTTCTTGTTTTGTAAATCAATAAACACAGGTGAAATTGACATACACTAATGAATAACAGCGATACAGCTACACGCATGCGCACATTAACTTCTGCAGCTAATCAAAAAGAGCTAGCTGGGAATCATCTTGACGTCTTTCTTCATCTTTGGCTGTGGATTTCAGGGAGAATGGCCACTTTTCCGTTTCCCAGCTGTCAAATTTGAGGCGTATTTTTGATTAAAAAACAACGAAACACTTTTTTTGGTTTAAAACGACCTAAATTTTTGTAATAATGACCAGTCATTATCCGTGAACCGGATAAAGAGTTTCCTTGCCGCCTTCCTCCGTTGCTAAGAAACCATTTGGGTAAGTTGAAACGGACGTTAGCTGTCGTTGTTGCTCGCTTTGGCAGCCGGAGTTCAAATTCTAAGACTTTACTCGTGATTTTAATTTTATTAGATTAAACATAGGGGTGTTGGAGCTATTTTGGGCTGATAGTGTGCCTGCCAAAATAACATGTACGTGTAAAAGGGACAACAGGTACTCTAACGGTTATTAAAGGCGTCGAGCGACCTTCAAAGTAAAAGTAACGGTTTTCAAAGGTTGGCTTTTTATTGACTCGGTGTTGTCATAAAAGTCTCGTTTCGTGTATCCAATAACGTAGCTTTCACCTCCTCTTTGTCGCGGTGTTTTACTCCTCTTTCTAAAGCGCCTGAATATGTCGTTTTACACATACATATACATATAAACGCTAGATGGCTTACGCACACTGTTAGCCAATGGAGACCGGCGGCCATTTTGCTACGGGACTCTCGCCCACTCATAACATTACAGTCTACGGTGAATGTAGCATTTAAATAACCGTAGATTGCTCAATTTTAAACCAATTTTCTAACGGTTTAGTTATATTCCTGCAAACTCAAGAATAATTTTAATTAGCGGTGAAACAACTCATGATTCTACTTTTTTTTCTCTCAAAGAAAAGCAGCCGTTTCAATATATCCAAGCATCCTGACTCATAGCCACGTTATTAAGGTCTGTAATAAAACCGTTTGTAAATCTGTCAATATTTCAGAGAGTTAAGAGTATTTTTAATAATGCAGATTACTCAATTTCCGTCAGCTTCCAAAGAGCGTACCAGAACGGAATATGGAGTAAGATGGCCGCCGTATGACTCAGCCTCGTCATCTAGCCTTCCTTGTAGATATCTATGGTTTCACAGTCAAATTAGCAACCGACCTACTTTGCTTGATTTTATTTTGAAAAATCCAACCGGAAGCAGTTTATTCTCTATTGCTAGTCTTGCTGGCTTCTCAGAGCATCACAACATTGTCCTACAGCTTTGTTCGAGGGACAGAAAGCGTCGCATTTGTCTTCAATGAAGGTAAATAAACGGCTTTTCTTCGTTTTAATGAACATAGAGTCACAGTTTTGTAGTTTAATTAGATAATTTTTACTCTCAGGATGTAAATTTTGTCACATTCTCAGCGAGGCTCGTAAATGTGTCATCTGCAGGAGCACGCGTAGGTGATTCTCCATGAAACAGCACTTTCGGGACTTTCTCATGATATTTTCATGTATCTTGTGGTACATCGTGTACACTTACGCGCATGTGGTTGAGAATCATGGGTTATTGTGCCGGGGCCTGTTGTGTTTACAAACAGGTATCATGTCGGACACGATCATTTGCATTGGATTAGCATTATTGAATCAGTCTTGTCTTAGAGCTTCGTCCTTATTACACCGTCCTCTCTCTCTCTGTCTCTTCATGATCAGTCACCTTGATTGATACTCCGCCAAGACAAACCCTTCCGCCCCTCCCGGCTACAGGCCTCATCCATCCATCCAATCATCCATCCACCCATCCATCCACCGGCGTATTCTTTTATTTCACTGTCTTTAAATCGCCAAAATAAAAATGCGATTATTAAATTCGTGATGATACTTTTTGACATATCACGGCTCCTGTATTCTGCACGGTTATAGAAAGGAGTTTGGATCTTGGTGCATTGCAGTCGGTGTGTGAGGCGGACAGGAGGGGGGTTAGGGTGGATGAAGGGAGAGAGCTAGACAGACAGAGGGGGAGCTGGTTGGGGTGAGGTGGGGGTGCTGGAGAGGAGGACAGGTGCGCCTCCTCCTCCTCCTCCATCAAAGCAGGAGAGGAGGGAAAGTCACGATGCTGCACAAATGGCTGCTCTGTCCTCCTGCTCCTGCTGCTGCATCGGTTTCATTTACAGCCGTCGATATGGAGAGTCACAGTGCGCATGCTCAGAGAGGAAAGCGCTGTTTACAGAGCCAGATGTCTCTCCTTGGTAGATCTATGTATATCTATGTACTGAGGACACAGCTTCAAGCTACAATAAAGATGAATCCTGCTTGGTCTTCTGTATTTTAGCCACATCTATGAAAAGTAGTCATGTCTCATTTGACATGACTCATAATTTCTACTGTTTATTCACTTTGTTCCTTACACATAATACTTAAAATGATCAAGTCAACTGGCATTAGATTTCAAGGCCTGTAATATGAGAGGTCAGCTGCTGACCAATAGCTACAGTGGATATAAAAAGTCTAAACACCCCTGTTCAACTGCCAGGTTTACATGATGTAAGAAAATGACAAGATAAATGTTTTCACAACTTCTTCCACCTTTAATGTGACCTATAACCTGTACAATGTGATTGAAAAACAAACAGGAATCTTTAAGGGGAAATATATAAAATAGAAAAGTTAAAATAACCTGGTTGCATAAATATGAACACCCTTAAACTAATACTTTGTTGCAGCACCTTTTGCTTTTATTACAGCACTCGGTCTTATTGGGTAGGAGTCTATCAGCGTGGCACATCTTGATGTGGCAATATTTGCCGACTCTTCTTCGCAAAACCGCTCCAAATCTGACAGATTGCGAGGGCCTCTCCTCTGCACAGCCCTCTTCAGATCACCCCACAAATGTTCGATGGGATTCAGGTCTGGACTCTGGCTGGGTCATTCCAAAGTCTCAATCTTATTCCGGTGAAGCCGTTCTTTTGTTGATTTAGATGTGCGCTTTGGGTCATCGTCATGCTGAAAGATTAAGTCCCTCTTCATCCTCAGCTTTCTAGCAGAAGGTCGAAGGTTTGGTGCCAACACTGACTGGTATTTGGAACTGTTCATAAGTTCCAGTTCCAGCTGAAGAAAAACAGCCCCAAAGCATGATGCTGCCACCACCATGCTTCACTGTAGGTATGGTGTTCTTTCGGTGATGAGCAGTGTTGATTTTGCACCAGAAATACCTTTTGCAATGATGCCCAAGAAGTTCAACTTTTGGTTAAGCTTTGTAAGACAAGGCTTCCGTCTTGCCACCCTACCCCGTAGCCCAGACACGAAGAAGACAGCGGGAGATTGTTGTCACATGTTCTACACAGCCAGTACTTGCCTGAAATTCCTACAGCTCCTTCAGTGTTGCTGTCGACCTCTTGGTAGCCTCCCTGACCAGTTTTCTTATTGTCTTATCATCAATTTTGGATGGACACCCTGTTCTTGGTAATGTCACCGTTGTGCCATATTTTCTCCACTTGATGATGATGGTCTTTACTGTGTTCCATGGTATATTTAATTCCTTGGAAATCATTTTGTAGCCCTCACCTGACTGATATCTTTGAATAATGAGATCCCTCTGATGCTTTGGAAGCTCTCTGCGGACCATGGCTTGTGCTGGAAGATGTGTCTACAAAGATGTCAGGAAAAGCCGACTAGAACAGCTGAACTTTATTTACGGTTGATCAGAGGCACTTTAACTGGTGACAGGTGTGTGCTGACTCCAATTGAACCTGAGTTTGAATGCTATTGGTTAAATCTGAACACAGCCACATCCCCACTTATTAAAGAGTGTGCGCACTTATTCAACCTCATGATCTCCAGTATTTCTCTTCCGTCACTTAACAGGAAGTATAAAATTGACATAATAGCAAAAGCACAATACACTGACTGATCAGATCTTCCTGTGACGCTTGATTCTGTCACCATCACCTGACTCTGAATCAGCGTCTCCTTGGAAACAGCAGGTCCAGTCTCAGTTTAATTGGCTGATCTGATCACTGGAGGCTGCTGCTGCTGCGTCACTTTCAGGCTTAGAGGAATCCTTTGTAATCTGAATGGGTTTAAACACACACCACTTTCCCACACTCGTGCGCCTTATCTCCGTCAGACTAGCCTCACGACTTCAGGTTAGATTATCTTGATTTTACATAATACACAGAAAAAGACGATCTAAAGGGTTGACTTCTGCAGTAGTTTACTGCCTTTTTCTGATGTAGACGCTCCAGCTGTACTGTTTTAATCTTACTGAACATCATGTTTCCGTCTGCTTGAGGACTGAAATGAATTTTTAATGTGAGGACATGTTGTACATGTATCTGAAGAGGGTGAACATCATGGTAATGTAGGGGTACTTATTTAGCTATTTTGAGTGCAGTCTTCTTTCATGCTTATAATCACAGTATAAATGTGATATATTGTGATTATTAAACATGACTCATGAGCGTGTACTCACCAAGGCCTCTCTCATCGTCCCTTGGGTTTTCAGACACTCACTCCTGCTCCTCTCCCTGCTCTCCTCTCTTCATGATATTTTTAGAGACCAACATCATATCATAATAATATTTTCTAAACTCATTGAAATAATAGATTTATCTATGATTGTTCTTTTTAGTTTATTCTATTTTATTTTTTCTGTCTTTTATTGAGCGATAGGACGGTGTAGAGATCAGGAAACTAGAGAGAGAGAGAGAGAGAGAGAGAGAGAGAGAGTAGGGACTGACATGAAAGTCAAAGCCAGTCTGCTCCCTTTGAGGACTCTTGCCTCTGATCCCTGAGTTCTCATTTTTGGCTGCTGAGCTGAAAGCCAGCGCCCCACTTTGACCCACTTCTTCATCAAGTATCTCTTCACTGTCTCAGTCCTCAATCCATGTATCATCCATCCATTTACAGTTATTCCATTCAATCTAGTAAACGAAAAAGGAAAAACGAGTCAATATTTTGTTTATTTGTTTTTCTGTATAACCAAAAAGTAAAAAATTTGTGTTTGTTTTTGTATTTTCAGCTCAAAACAGAACATATAATAGAGAAGGAAACGAAAACTTTTGAGTGCGCCTGTTTTGAGCGTACGTGCATGGAGGCTTCATTGGCCCTTGATCCTCAGCGACAGTTACCATGGCGAAAGATGCGACAGAGCGGCTCGAGCGCCAAAATCTTGCGTTGAGCTCTGGTTGTAATTTTTTCTACTGTCATATCGTCCTCCTTCAGCGTCCATCTCCATGACAACAGGTTAGCCTTTCTCTACCGCTCTGGCCTGGAGATTTTGGTCCACGTTGTTGGCTACTTTGTTGCGAAATGCATATGTGCGAACAGTAGAAAGGCACCGTGGGAAATATGGTCATCAATAACCTGAAAACAAAAAGTGGATTTATTATTTTGTTTTGGTTTCCATCTCTATTATATATTCTGTTTTGAGCTGAAAATAGGAAAACAAACACAAATCTTTTATTTTTTGTTTATATAGAAAAACAAATAAAATATTGACTCGTTTTTACATTTACTAGATTGAATGGACGAATAATGCACGGACCATCCTCTTCTATCTCTCTCTCTCTCTCTCTCTCTCTCTCTCTCTCTCTTTCTGTCTCTCTCGCTCTCTCTGACCAGCTGATGAAGGATGGGTTAGTTCTTCACTGTGGAAAGGTCAAATGTGACGCACGCTCAGCAGAAACTCCTCTGATAAAAATAGGACTCCTTTCTTCTCATCCTCGTGTTTCTTCTTCTTTTCTCTCCGCTCAGTGTGTATGAAACCAGGAAATGTCCACTATGGTGTATCCACGCGAAGAAGCCCTCGAGCGACTGAGCCAGGATGAGATCGTCCTCAACACCAAGGCCGTCATGCAGGGCCTGGAGACGCTGCGCGGGGAACACGCCCAGCTCCTCAACTCGCTGCTGGACTGCACGCAGCCTCCAGCGGCGCAGGAGAAGTCTGGGCTGCTACGCAAGAGTCTGGAGGCGATCGAGCTGGGATTAGGGGAGGCACAGGTCGGAGATTGAGTCACGAATTTAACACAACACAGAGTCCATCTTCTACACTTTCACGTTAAAAATATGGTTTGTGTGTTTCCTGTTCCTCCAGGTGATCATCGCCCTGTCCAGCCACCTGAGCGCCGTGGAGTCCGAGAAGCAGAAGCTGCGCGCTCAGGTGCGCCGCCTCTGCCAGGAGAACCAGTGGCTGCGGGACGAGCTGGCGGGGACGCAGCACAAACTGCAGCGCAGCGAGCAGAGCGTGGCCCAGCTGGAGGAGGAGAAGAAGCACCTGGAGTTCATGAACCAGATCAAGAAGTTCGACGACGACGTCTCCCCGTCGGAGGAGAAGAGTCAGAGCTCCGGAGGAGGCGGCAGCGGGGGCGGAGGGAGCGGAGGAGACACCTCAAAGGACAGTCTGGATGATCTGTTCCCGAACGATGATGACCAGGGACCAGGTATGAGACCTCAAACGGACCTCAGATCTGCTCAGATGAGAAATGAGTTTTGACTTCCTGTCTTGCGTTTTGCAGCTCAGCCCAGCGGTGAGGTGGCCGCCCAGCAGGGAGGCTACGAGATCCCAGCCCGCCTCAGGACGCTGCACAACCTGGTGATCCAGTACGCCTCTCAGGGCAGGTACGAGGTGGCTGTGCCGCTCTGCAAACAAGCCCTGGAAGATCTGGAGAAGACATCCGGACACGACCACCCCGATGTGGCCACCATGCTCAACATCCTGGCCCTGGTGTACAGGTAGAGGACAGAGAGGAGGAAGTCTCACTTGAAGCTGGAATCAAATCGAAGTTTAAAGGATTTCAGAGTGCTGTGTTTCTGTTTTCGGTCCACAGGGATCAGAACAAGTACAAAGAAGCGGCTCACCTCCTGAACGACGCTCTGGCCATCAGAGAGAAGACTCTGGGGAAGGATCATCCAGCTGTGGCTGCGACCCTCAACAACCTGGCTGTTCTGTACGGGAAGAGGGGCAAATACAAGGAGGCTGAACCGTTGTGCAAGAGAGCGCTGGAGATCCGAGAGAAGGTAACAAACACACACAGAAACAATAAAGAGCTCCTCTGTCTGAGTAACGTTGAGGTTAACCATCAAACAAATGTCCGCAGGTTCTGGGGAGGTACCACCCTGATGTGGCCAAGCAGCTGAACAACCTGGCCCTGCTGTGTCAGAACCAGGGCAAGTACGACGAGGTGGAGTACTACTACAGACGGGCTCTGGAGATCTACGAGTCCAAACTCGGAGCGGACGACCCCAACGTGGCCAAAACCAAAAACAACCTGGTGGGTTTCTGCACATCTTGAGTCTAGATTTCAGATTTCACTCTTTGGTCACTGAATCCCAACTTTTGAAGCTCTGAAGAGTTCTGTCAGGGGTAGCTTGTACAGGACAAAATTGTCTACAGGGGGCGCCAGTATCAACATAAACCAAAAGTTCTTCAGGGTTAGGGTTGAGTTGTCCCCCTCTGGTCATTACAGAAAATTCAGGTTTAAGGCTTTAAAATGTTGGTTCTACATTTTAATCTTGAGGTTTTAGTTTCACTTTATGTAATAAACATTAATTAATAGTTAATAAGACACGTATAAGTGGATAATAAATGTGAATTAAAGCATGTGGAAAACATTTATTATTGTGTATAAGACAGAATCCACCTTTTATTTTGGCGGTGTGGAGGGAAAGAGACCCAAAATGACTAATTCAGAAAAAGAGAGGTGCTCTACGTGGACTTAGACCCCAGACTACCTGAGATCTGAGTCCCCGTCTTTCACTCTAATCCATCATCAGAACCCTCTGTTAGGCATGGATCCACATGTGACAAAGCTACTATAACACTCAGGCCGGATACTCATTACGGGCCGGTCCATTACGGACTGCTGTGGGGTGTCGCAGCTCAAGGAACAACATTTATTTAACCTTTTATTCATGGAAATGCAATCAGACTGAGATGCGTCTGCAGTGCAAAATGATAAATATGATGATTATGACTTCAAGGAAATGATCATAAATGTTCTTCCTTGAGCTGCGTCACCCCGCTGTAGTCTGTAATGGACTGGCCTTAGGTGTCTGTACACACAAGCAGCTGCTGGAAGAGAGTAGGTGAGTTGTGTTTAGTCTCTTTGCTAAAGAAATTAGGCAAAGTTAAAAAGATGTTTGGTGGCTGGGACTCTATATGTCCTGTTGATGAAGTTAGGTGCTGTTCTGAGCATTATTTGTGGCTATAAAGTGGCGTTTTGGTTGAGGTTTGTTTATGGCTCCTCAGACCGCTGTGTATTGCTAGCGTGCGGTCGTTACTAAAGTTGGTATAACTAGAGAAGCAATTAATTTTACGTCGGAATATCCCTTTAAGGACTTTGGTTTGTGGTTTGGAAACATGAATTTAAAGCTGTTCTCTCTCTCTCTCCTCAGGCGACGTGCTACCTGAAGCAGGGCAAGTTCAAAGACGCCGAGTCTCTGTACAAAGAGATCCTGACCAGAGCGCACGAGAAGGAGTTTGGCTCTGTGAACAGTGAGTACAGCTGCTGCTTAACTCAACCGTCTAAAAACAAAGTCCTCCCCCTGGAGGCAGCAATGTTTGTTTTTCTGGACCGGGGTTTGTCGCTCGGCCACACCCTAGACCCTGCAGCCATTCTCGGTCCTCTCAGCAGGTCAGAGGATTACTCTCATGCTCTCGGGGTGTGTGTGTGTGTGGAGCAGCTTAATGTCCACGTTCCCCTCCCGCTGGGGTTAAGCTCATCAAACCCTCATGTGTCACATGTCCAGCACGAGGCGAAGCGACGGCAGGAATTTGGCGCCGCATAATGTGATGAAATCCAACATGGGGGGGGGTTTAGAAACCAAAATCCCAAGCAGACTTTTTTTGTTTGTTTGCAGATGACAACAAGCCAATCTGGATGCACGCAGAGGAGCGAGAGGAAAGCAAGGTCAGCCTAAACAGACAAATGACAGAGAGCAGCAGACTGAACAAACACCATCAGGGACATTTTCAACATATTTGCTCTCTTCTCATTTTCTCATTGTTGCCCTCAGGGGAACCGCAAAGACTCCGGCCCTTATGTGGAGTACGGGAGCTGGTACAAGGCCTGTAAGGTGGACAGGTGAGAGACACGTTTGACTGAATCAGTAAAGTGAAAATGTCCTGAAAAGTGATTATCTTCTAAAGTCAAAACCTCCTTTTCGTCCTGCAGCCCCACAGTGAACACCACCCTGAAGAGTCTGGGAGCTCTGTACCGCCGTCAGGGCAAACTGGAGGCCGCAGAGACTCTGGAGGAGTGCGCCAGCAAGACACGCAAACAGGTAACACACTCACGCACACACGCATTCACACACTCACGCACTGGTGAATTGCTGCAGTCAGATTAGTTGTCTGCACTCTTAGGTCAGTTACGGATTCTGGTTGGTTCTGTGTCTCACTCCCGCTGTGATTTAAAGGCCTCACGCCAAACTGATTTAGGATCAGTGGTGAAGGTGATGTGTGTAAAGATCACTCTCTGTGTGTGAACGCTTTTTAAAGAGTTTAAATTTACTCTCCGCTGACTTTAATCGCCCTCCTCTACTCTCTCTTTACTTATTCTCTCTCTCTTTTTCAGGGTATTGATGCCATTAACCAGAGTAAGGTGGTGGAGCTGCTGAAGGACGGGGGAGCTGGAGGGGGCGACAGACGGCACAGCAGAGAGGGGATCAACGGGCCGGGGGGACAGAGGGGGGAGAACGAGGGGGACGACTCTGCAGAGTGGAACGGGGTCAGTTTATGGACACCAAAGTGCTATAGTCTATAGGAATCAGACCTTAAAATCAGCCCACTTATCTGTACCGTGTGCCCTGATTAAGTTTACATGTTTTGTTTCTCCTTCCAGGACGGTAACGGGTCTCTGCGCCGCAGCGGCTCCTTCGGGAAGATCCGTGACGCTCTGAGGAGGAGCAGTGAGATGCTGGTGAAGAAGCTGCAGGGCAGTGGACCACAAGAACCCCGCAACCCCGGGTAAGAGGACAGTGATGATACGGCTGTCAGTCAAGAGTGGGGGTTCTAGGTTTTTAATGTATACTGGTAAACTAAAATTATAGTACAGTAACACACTTGAAAAGGTAAAAACAAGAGTTCAGATAAAACTTTATAAGTATTTTAAAATGTAGAGGGCATGAAGTCAACCTTTCATGTTCGTTGCTTCCTTGATAATTGAGTTTTATCACAATTAATCATGATTAATTAAATATCATAATTTACCTTAATCGATCATGATAAATCATTATTACTATTAATCATGATCGCGATTAATCATGATAAATCATTATTAACTGCAATAAATTGTGATAACTCATGATATATCACGATTAATTTTGGTTAATTGTGATAAAATCATAATTAACTATGATAAATAATTATAAAACAGGATTAATTTGCTCAATTATAATAAATTATGATTTATTGTGATTAAGAAGGATAACTATGAATCGCAATTACTCATGATAAATCATGATAAATTGTGACAACTCATATGTTGTGATTAATCATGATTAATCGTGATAATTCACGATAAATTGTGATAATGATATATTGCGATTTATTCTGATAAATCATGATAAATTATGATTAATTGTCATAACTAATGATAAACTGCGATTAACTTTGATTAATTGCTATAATTCATTATAATTTTTGATAACTCATGATGTATTGCAATCAATCATGATTAATTGTGATTAATTGTGATAAATTGTGTTAACTCATGATATATCGCGATTTATCATGATTAATCGCTATAAATCATGATTAAAAAAATATATAATTACTTTTTTTTTCTGATTGTGTTTGTTTTCCATAGAATGAAGAGAGCGAGCTCCCTGAACTTCCTCAATAAAAGCACTGAGGAGACCACACAGGTACTGATGTTTATCTGTCACATGACGTTGGTCTGTCGTTGCACACCGACACTTTTTAACCTGTACTGGTCTTACTTTTAGGACGCCAACTCCGGATTCTCAGACTGCCGGGGGCTGAGCGCCAGCAACGTGGACCTATCCAGACGCAGCTCCCTGATCGGCTAGACGGACGGGTAGGGGAGGCGTGACTCGGTGGGACAAAGATGGAGGACAGGCTGTTTGCAACTTAGTTTGATCAAACCAACACACCTAAAAGCTCGAAGTGAGATCGAACACGTTCATCACCTGCAGCTCATTTTTTCAAGAACACTCAAACTAAAAGTTCCGATCACTTAACACCATCCTGAAGACGATAGGTTTGCTGCTGCTGCTTCTTCTCCGCTGTACAAAGCGCCTCCCTCCATCACAATAGAAACTATTTAGGTACACATTAATCAGCATGCTGCTAACTAGAAAGAGGAATGTCTGCACCTGAACGCCTCGTGAATCTTGACTCCTAGCACAGTAGCATCGTGTCCACGTCTCGACGAGTCCGTCTCTTAGATCCTCTCTCACTCGTGCAGACACTCAAACTCGGTTTCAGCTTTCAGAGGAGCGTCTCACGCTGTATATTCCACCTGTAGCATGAAGTAATAGCTTATGCTAACCACATATTGAGTCCATATCATAGCCGGTTGATTAACAGTATCCGAGTTTAAAACCAGAACATACGCTCACAGTCTTTGGGGGTTAAAACAGATGTTAGCACTAACCATTTAAACCTCACTTTTTGCCTTCTTGTTTTTATGTATATACAGTTTTAAATTATTTCATATCTTCATTCTTGTATATAGCGCACATGTGTTTTTCTTTGTCTTTCTCTTTGGTTTACACTTATCCGGGTAATAGAAGGAGAAAGGAAATGAAGGAATGAGGAAAGGAAGGAAAGGAAACGTTGAAAAGATCCGAACTGCTGAAAAGTTTAGTACCTCAGTCGTTAAAATCCCTCAATCTGAGTGTTAGAGCACTTTGTGTTAGCTTTTAACGTGCAGTCTACTGGCGAATATTTAAATTAGAAAGAATATCAAACAATGAAAAAGCCTCGTAATCATAAAAACGACCTTTTCCAAATCGAAGGAAGTAAAACAAACACTTTTATCATCAGTTTCAGGTACTTTTTTTCCCACTTTTGCAATGAAAAATGTGCGATTTCAGGATTTTGCCGGGCAGTAAAAATCCTGAGTGTAATGAAGAAAAATGCTGTGAAAGACGTATTTAAATATGATTTGTTTACAATCGTTAAAACAGGATATTTCAGGCGTAATCAATCCTGTTTGTGAGATATCAATAACTACCTTTATCATTCCTCTGTTTTATCATGTGTATCACTGCGTATTCATCGGTCTAAATCAAACAATCCCAGATATCCGACTGATGATTTCGTCCTCTGTGAATGTGAGTCTACTGATGCTTTTATTTTGAAGGGGAACTGCACGATGATCATTTGAATGTCGATTTTTTTCTGTTTGTTTAAACTGGATTTATTTTTGTGTTGTTTTGTTTGCGAATCAGGAGCTCAACTCCACCAAAACGAGACCAATACAAAGAGGAGCGTCCGCAGAATGTACACGTTACGTGCGAAATCAGACCGAGCGAGAAATACCGAAGAGTACTTACCTTTCTTTGCTTTCTTTGTGAGATGTTAGAAAAACACAAGAAAGCCAGAGGAAAGGACGTACTCGGTTTGGTTTTAAAAACGGTTCGACAGAAGGGTGTTTTTAGAAGGCGATGGTGCGTCCACACCAACCGCCACGATGCCAAAATCATCTGTCGCCGCCGTTCTTAAAACCAACCGTTTCTACCCGAGTCTGAAAAAGTGCTAATTCTTCTATCAGCGTCTGAATGTGCGAGATGGTGAAGCGGTTTGAGACGGTGAAACGGTTACGGCGTGAAAGTTTCGAGGAAGTGATCCAGAAAAGAAAAGAGTAGGGACGATGTTTGCTGAAGGAAATGTGCTTTAAGTGTCGTTTGCAGCAAATAATGTACAGAATTATACAACCTTTATATACGTCTGTGTAAACTGTGAGTCACTACATGTATAAGAGAGGCGGGAGAATCTTTAGTTGTACACAATCTTAAAACCAATGTAGTGAAAATGTAAGAAAATCTCTCTTTTCCGATTTTGATTGTTGGATCGTGAACACAACACGATGTTGGTCAACCCTGAGTGAGTTTCTGCAATTTCTCAAGCGGTATGAACCACAAACTCCATGAATATTTTCAAAATAAAACAGCTAAGAGTAAATTTATGTGTTTTTCCTGCTAGGTTTTAGTCAAGAGAAACACTGAAATATTCATGGAAATCAAGAACGATGGAGGTTTTGTAAGTTTGTGTGTGCGTAATCATCTATTGCTGATGATCAGATGGGTTTTATTGTGAAAGGGCCACCATGATGGGAAATTTGTGGACGATTCAGTCAAAATAAACACCACTTTTCAACCTGATCCCGTGTCTCCTTCATTTTCATTTTCAGGATCGCTCAATTCAACATTTTCCTGGATCTTTGTGACGACTTTAGAGTACTGTGTGTATTTGTGTGCGTGTGTAATCATCTACAGCTGATGATCAGATGGGTTTTATTGTGAAAGGGCCACCATGATGGGAATTTTGTGGACGATTCAGTCAAAATAAACACCACTTTTCAACCTGATTCTGTCTCTCATTCATTTTCATTTTCAGGAACGCTTATCTCAACATTTCATACATCTTTCAGACTACTGTGTGTGTTTGTGTGTGTGTGTATTTGTGTGTGTGTGTATTTTCACAGCCACTGTCGGGCTGGAGATGTTAACCATAAACTGCACCCTTGCTCGCTCTCTCGCTCGCTCTGTTACTTCCTGTCTCAGCGCTAAAAAGGAAACCAAACCCACCGAAGTTCATCATGAGAATCGGCGACACAGTCCGACGTCGATCAGCTGTCAGATCGTTGACAGATCCTGCAGCGGAGGGGAACAGATCGGAGCTTGAATGAACCAGGATAAGAAAGTAAGATTACACTCATTCAGTATCTGCAGATGTTGAAATGATGCTTTTATTTAAACTTTATTTAAAAAACTGTGTGTTATATTGATATATATTCATGTTTGTGTTTGTCTTGTTTTCTCTGCAGAGGTTTGTTTGTTTTTAAGGACAAGAATGTATTTTAATTTTATCTCTTTTTTTTTAACTCTATTTTTACCTCAAACTCTAAAACCAGAACATGTTAATTATGCTCCTTTTTCCTGAAATACTAACACACAATCTGGCCCAGGATCTGTCTCCATGTCCACGCTGGCTCCCTCCAGTCCCACCAGCGTCACAGTGCCGGCTCTGGTCCACTTCCAGCTCGGTCTGTTCAGGGAGATGGTTCAAGTCCCGGGGAGCAACCTGAGCTACCGGCACGCCAAGAGGCTGGCGGCGGAGATAATAGAGCGCAAGGTAATCAAAGACTTCCACGGCTTAAAGGAGCATTTCACTGTGTTGATCTAGATGTTTAAATGTTGTTTATGTTTAAAGGATGTTTTTTTTTTTTTCTGAAGAAAGCCTCAAAAGGGATAAAAACTGATGAAGTGGACAGGCTAACTTTGAAAGGAGAGGTTTATAAAGATGTTTTGGATTGCGTCTCGACTCGACTCGAGACTCGACTTGGACTTGAGTCCCGTTTTTGACTTGCTTGATGAAATCAAGAAATGACTTGGACTCGCTCGGGACTTGATTGCTAAAGACTTGAGACTTGACTTGACTTGAGCCCAGTGACTTGAAAGGTCAAGTCAAGTCTTTTCAAGTCACTAATACCTTACAGCAAGTCCAAACTGTTTAAAAAGTGTCGCATCAACTAATAGTCAGGAATTACGGCCGTTGGTAACGCCTTGTTGTTTTGATATGACTTGTTTTTGACTTGAAAGAAACGGTAAGGACTTGGTTGGGACTCGAAACAAAAAGTTCAGGACTTGGACTTGACTTGGGACTTGTCTGTGTTGACTTGGACTTGACTCGAGACTTGAGAGCAAAGGACTTGGACTTGCCTCGGACTTGAGAGCAAAGACTTGAGACTTGACTTGGACTTGCAACATAGGGACTTTCCCCCACCTGTCAAATCACCTAAAAGCTCCAGAAGGGGATTTATAGCTGGTTATTAAAAGGGACTGACATTAAAACAGCCGCCAAGACCAAGAGAGGTGTGAAGTTCAGTGCGATGTTTCTAAACTCTGCTGAGCTACAGGTAAAATATGTTTCCTAAAAGTGGTTCAAGAACAGTCAGGGTGAGGAACGCAGCAGAAAAGACCAAAAACTGGTTTTATTGAGCGCTCGTTGATCTGTGATTGAAAGTCTGCTCTTCCTCTCACCGCAGTCCCTCTTGGAAAAAGTTCAGTAGATTTTTTTTGAGCCTCTCAAAGTCGTCCGGAAGTGGACGTGGACTCATAAAGGTCACCCTAAAGGTGAAGGAGGACTGCGTGGGTTGACAGGCAGCTGTTCGAGAAACCACCGGGGGTGTTCCCGGTGACCGCCGAGTGTGTGCGCTTCTGTGTTTCAAGGGTGTGTGTATCCTGTGCGCGAGACTACCGGGTCAAATGTGTGCATTTTAAAAACACACTTAAGTGGGTTTTAAGACCGAGGTTTCACCCAGCTCTAACCCTCATTTCTGGACTTCTTATAGCCAAACTTTTAGGATGATTTCAGGACTTCATTAGTGAGAGAATTGGGCGATGAAAGGAGGAATAATTTCAAATGTGCAGACAGCAGTTTGAGTGAATTTTGTGGTTTTAAAAGAAGGTTAAACTGCAGGTGTTCTTCTCTCACTGGCCAGCTCTTCATACAGCCTCGTCTAGTCGACCACTCAGAGACTACGTGGTCGATGAGAGCGCAGCAGAGTTTCCAACCACAGCCTCCTCTCGCCCTCGTCTCACACACACACACACACACACACACTCACTCACTCACACACACACACACACAGACACACACACACACACTCACCTCAACTTTGAAGTTTTCTCGAGTTTCCAGGCAGCAGGTCGGCCGGCTGTGAACAATGCGTTTGTCTGTCTCTCTCTGTGTTTGTGTATTTTAATGAATCATACTGACTCTAAGGACTCTGTTACTGCTGAGGGTCTCCCTGATTGTTAAAGCTCCAGTGGGAAGTTTTTGACCAACTAAAACTGTTGTGATTGGCGCACCAGTATCCTTTCACCAGCAGAGTGCAGACCTGGAAGAGAGAGTAAGGAATTCAGGGCTTGACACTAACTTTTCTCACAAGGAGCACATGTTCTAAGTTGAAAAAGTAAGGAGCACACAGGTACACTTATTACCAGGTTATTAACAGGTAATTACCTAGTAACGACATGAAATTATCTGGTAATTACATGATAACTACTAAGTCAATACTGTCTAGCTACCAGGTAGGTAACCTTCCATCATCATACAAATTTGAAGACGAATTACTCTGGTATTTCCAGGATTTTCTCCGCTTCCTGGAACCACCACTTGCGCAGTATCATTGTACACATTCGGTGGGTGAGTTGCCGTGATAACACTCGGCTCAAACAGCGTATTGCTATGCAATCTTCGCACACCCACAGGCTGTATCAAATGTCAATCATAGAAAATTAGAACCCCAAATACAAAACAAATCATTTTTCTGCAGAGGTTTTGTCGGCTTTCTACCAACTTGTGGGGAACTTTTGTTTTACGTCATTTTTGGCGCCCCCTGTGGACAGAGCAGTCTTCACTAAGCTTGTTCTTGTTATTGAAGTCGTGTTATCTGACAAAAATCTAATTCTGACAGTCAGATGTTTAATTTTTTTAAAGTAGTTAATGTAAAAGTTGTAAAAACATCGATAAAGCTGTTATAGAAAAATAACCGACCTGTATTGAGTAGAAATTTCTATATTTGTGAAAACCAGGACACTTAAAAGGTAAAGGATTAGAGAGTGGAGTCTGTTTTATATCACAGGCTAAACTAGTTTGAAACTCTTTTTTTTGTGTGTGTTTCAGGCTCCAGACGTCAGCATCGTCGGCACCAGTGAAAAGATTCTTCTGTTCAGACACCAGCCGGCCTCAGAGCTCCTCCTCTACCATCTCACAGAGCAGGACCAGCTGCGGGATGGAGACCTCATTGAGGTGGTCATCGCAGGTCAGACAGGAAGAGTCGTGTTTGGTACTGTTGTTTCGATTTCACACTCAGGTTATCTGAGAGGTACAGGGACAGTGGTTCTGTTTTTACACTGATAAGAAAAGAAGAAGCTAAATTTGAACCTTCCGGCTCATTCTGGCTCGTCAGGTTTACTCTGAGCTCTCAGCCATGAAATCTGAATCGACCGTGAAGACCACATGAAGAGCAGCTCTACCAAAAGACTAAGACTTAAAAATAGGACGGTTCCTTTTTTTGAGTCTGAAATAGCAGGTTCAGTCGCACTTATCACTTTGCACATGCATGTAAAATTTCCCTCAACAGCCCAGCCTACACTGACAGTCGGTGCTGCTGCTGCTGCTCGCCTACAATGACTGACTTTGACTGTTTATAGCAGATATTTTTAAACACACAGGAATTTGAAGACGACTGTGTCAGATTGTCACCTTTTAAAGACGCGGGTCGTTGTTTTCTTTGTAAATAAGAAAAACAACAAAGATTAAACATGTTTGAGAAAAACAATGTTAAGAAATGGGGACATTTAGTGAGATACAGAGGACAGATTATTGACTAAAGAGCCTCCTTACTGACAGTGAAGGTCCTGTGGTGCATTTTAGACTTTTACCGTGGAAAAATCTTATCAGAACAATATTTTTTGTGCACAACCACCATCCTTCTTTCTTTCTTTTGCAAATTCACTAAATTCAAAAAGGTGCTCTAGTCTGTCCATTCTGTGCCACCATAGCAACATGGCAATGCAAGATGGGGTAAAAAGATGGAAAAAAACAACAGATTTTTGATTTCATGTGATAATACACTAACTTTAACACACTTATGAATATGTTTTTCCAGTCCGATCCCGTTTGTTCTGAAAAAAAGGTGCCAAAAATTACATACTGTACCTTCAAAAGATATTTTAAACAATAAAATGAATATTTGTATGACTTTTATGTTGTATGAAAATTTCAAAAACTATTTACAAAGATTTGTAGTTGGAAGTTTTTTAAGGGTGTTGAAATTTTCACTTCACTGTCAGTAGGGGTGAGTAAGGGGGCCCTTCTGTCTGAAAATTTTTTGAGGGTTCCATTGAAAGTTTTATAAAATTTCAAAAAAAAAATTTTTTTAAGTTTCAGTTTAAAAAGTGTGTAGATGTTTGGAAATATCTCCAAATTTCTGGGTAAAAATTTGCAATTTGTTTCCTTTTGTTCAAATAAAAAAAATTCTAAAAAAGTTTCAAGGGGCCCAAATTTTCTGATGGAAAAGTTCCCAAAAATTATTTGAAAAATTTTACATACTGACATTTTTAGTGGTCTGATATTTTGTGTTTTTTTTGTGAGTCACGACCACATGGTTGTTTTTTTGTGTTTCCTTTTTTTTCACTTTAGTGTGAAACAAAAATGAAACTAAAAACTTGCTGTGTTGTTGAAATCTGAGCTGATGACACTTCTCGGTCTCACTCTGACAAAGTGGCGTTTTCTCTGACTCTACGTCATCTTTCTTTCTTAATCTGACTCAGGATCAGCGTCGGTGACAGAGATGAGGGTCCGTCCTCACTCTCTGGTGGTCTATTCCTACAGGACTCCCACCTTCTGTCACCACTGTGGAGAGATGCTGTGGGGTCTGGTCAGACAGGGTTTGAAATGCGACGGTAAAGTTACTCTCTCACCACCTCATACTTCTACAGCCTTAAAACTCATGTTTTTATATTTTAACTTGGTCCTTCTCTCCTCTTCAGGTTGTGGGTTGGATTTCCACAAACGCTGCGCCCTCCTGCTGCCCAACGACTGCAGCCGAGCCCGGCGTCAGGTCAGCACCAGCCTGTCCCTGTTTCCCCCCCGAAGACCCCGCACACACTCGCTCTCCAACCCGGCGGGAGGCAGTCTAGAGGAGGTACCTCTCATGAGTCCGTAAAACGAACCTTTAAGATCAGATGTTTCACCCTGATGACTCTAACCATCCGTCCCTCACCAGATCAGCATGTCCAAGCCTTCATCCAGACCCCCGTCGTGGGCAGAGCCCCCGGTGTGGCTGGAGTTCGGGTACGGGGACAGGAACAAGGCTCAGGTCCCTCACACCTTCCACATCCACAGCTACACCAAACCCACCGTGTGCCAGTTCTGCCACCGGCTGCTCAAAGGTCTCTTCAGACAGGGGCTGCAGTGCTCAGGTGAGACAGGATGGAGGACTTACTGCGGTCCTCTTTGACTCTACCAAATTTGTGCCACCTTAGGGCCCTCAGATTGCAGCTATCGAGTATTAGCTTGTCCCTTATGGTCGAATTCTTCAAACGTGATCCCAGAATCGTTTCTGTCGTCTTCAGAGGGTAAATATTTTCAGAGTTTGGACGCTTTAATAAAGAAAAGAAATGATCCTGAGGTTTATTAAACATTTCCAGTCCGTTATTGGCCCTGATCATAAAGAATTATTCATGTTTTATTACAGAGATGAGTCACCCACTATATTAAAACTCGACCTTCGACTGCGCACGTTTCCAGACGCACGACTTTGACTTTGAAAAGCCATTTGTGGATTAATGTTTCAAAGACATAAACCGGCTCTGCTCGGGTGTTTTCTATTTCTCACACGTCTTAAAGTCACCCTCAGGAAGTCACCCTTCCGTCTCTCCCTCTGTGATCGTCCGTTTCTTTTTCAGACTGCAGGTTTAATTGCCATCGGCGCTGCGAGCAGCACGTCCCCAGAGACTGTCCCGGGGAGAAGAGAGGCGTCAACGGGGAAGGTGAGCAGAGCATACCTCTACCCCCCTCAGGGTCTGGTTTCTGTTTTAGATTTTGGACTTGTAGTTCTCCTAGATCGTGGTCCTTTGAAAAAGCCCCCCTGCTGTGATGTTCCCATAACCCGGTGATGAGTCAAACTGACTCACCTTTAGAGCTTTTGATGGAGTCAGGACTCGTTTAGACTCATGGAGATTCATCATCAAAGAAGGAAGGGGCGATGATTCAGGGTTAACAAGCAGGGGCGTTTCCAGATCCTTCTGACTGGGGGGGGCCAACCTTAAACTGCATCAACACGGCTGGGATCTTTTTAATGTTCAATTTTTAAGAGTCTTGATCTTGGAAGTCAGAAATTCAGAGATGCTTGTTCAAATTATCATCCTGAGGGCGGAACTAGAAATCCAAGATGGCTCCTTCCCATGTCACCAGTAAAAACGCTGTAGTTTGAATAAGATAAGATACTCCTTTATTAATCCCACAAAGGGAAATTCCCATTTACAGTTCATCCTTTCCAAGAAACATACAGTAGACAGATGCATACAGGGCGACAGGAACAGGAGAACTAAATTTCCCAGCCGTCTGGTAACAGGAGACGGCCATGGAGAGTTCTGATCCAGAAACAAATTTCACCAGAGAAGGAGGGTGGGGGAGGATAGGGCCGAGCATCAGTCTACCTAACATCCAGCAGAGGAGATATAACAGCCTTCCAAGGCCGCTGTGGGGGAGCCAATGAAGAAAACAACTGATTTGGGACAGGCAGACTTTGTCCCAAATCAATTGTTATCTAATGATCTTCATTCTAAGGCTGTAGGGGACTCGCATACAGAAAAATTGAAAAGACAAAAAAGTTAGATCCATTTTGGTGTTTCTTTGAGTTCTTAGCCAGGCTGGAGAGCTTAATGAGACACACCTGGAGCCTTTAATCAGACACACCTGGAGCTCTTAATTACACACACCTGGAGCCTCTTACACAGAGCAGGTAATTAAGCCGGGGTTTTATCCAGGATGCTTTGTCACACATGACGTCATAGCAACACAAAACTAATCCATGTGACTCACTATGGACCCTGACTCTGAAATATAGAATATTCTATTATACTCTATTTACATACATAAGCCATGGACCTACATCATTTACATGAATGGAAATATATGGACTGGAGATGGTGTTAGCTAGTAGAAACAGACATTCACAAAAAGCAAGCCATTTCTAATTCTTCATTTAAACTAAAGGGTATGACGTGTTGTAAGGTTAAAAATGTATTTACATTCACATTGTAGAAGTGGTGGAAATCTTGATCAAATGTCATGTCATGTGTGACAAAGCATCCTGGGCCACACCCCGGGTTGATTACCTGCTCTGTGTAAGAGGCTCCAGGTGTTTCCAATTAAGGGCTCCAGGTGTGTCTAATTAAGGGCTCCAGCCTGACTGAGAAGAACTCAAAGACACTCTGACAATAGTCGACTGAGACCGAAACGTTTGCTGCTTATTTGTTTGATCCTAGTTATAAAATGGATCCACTTTTTTTTGTGAATAACTTTTTATTGAAGCACAGCGAATACAGCAGCATCCGTACAATTTTTTAAACATAATACTTTTATTTACTTTTTTTACAGGTTGGTTTTTTAAAGCTCCTGTGAGTAACTTTTAGTTTATGTCAGTTTTGGCGCCCCCCCTGTGGACAAAGCAGTCTTTGCTTATCTTGTCCTCTACATGCGTCAGTGGTGACTTTGGCTAAAAAGTATCTCATCTGCTGATTTTGCCGATGACTTAAATATCGTAAATCTTGTTGCTTTACTTTTGGATGTCATGAAAAGACATCAAAATGAATTTCAGTTTATTTCATAAACATGAAAAAACTCCTTATAGAAGCTTTAATCAACAATAACAACAACACAAAAGTGGTTTTATGTTGAAAGAAAGCAAAAGTTGTCATTTCTTTAGTCTTCACAGCTCTTTTTTAGTGGACCAAAATCTTGCGTATCGTCAACAATTACTTAGAAATCTAATATTTATTTTCCCATGATGCACCTGTGCGCTCCTCAGGCGTGTATCACAGACTCCCAGTGGACTCTGATGACACCGAGTCGATGCTCAGCACCACGACAACACTAGAGCTCTCTGACGATGAGATGTCCACTGACGGAGACCCGACCTCTGAGGCCAAGGAGGAGGAGGAGCCGGCGAGGGAGCCAATGAGGTCAGAGGGTGTTAATGTATGCAGATGATGTCACCTTTTTAAGAGGTGACTGTGTGGGCGCACGTAATGTCCTGATGATGTCAGACATTTGACACCTGAGACACTCTCATCCAGCGCTGTTACTCATCACTGAATTCATCTCCATGACAAGCATGTCTCAGTGAACGAGTTGGCCTCTACTGCCCCCTAGAGGCCGTTACACATGCAGAGAAAAGTGTTTGTTACCTCTAAACGGGCCTGTCTCTGTCTCTGTCTCTGTCTCTGTCCTCTATCCGTCCTTCAGCCCTTGTTTCAGCAGCAACATCCCTCTGATGCGGCTCGTCCAGTCGGTGCATCACACTAAGAGGAGAGCAGGTGGGATCCTGAGGGAGGAATGGCTGCTGCACCACACCGACACCGACACACTGGTGAGACATACAGCGTGTCATAAAGCTGCTCTGCTCTGTAATCACTCCATTTTTAACACCCAAACGATAGAAATTTGGTCTTTAAAAGTGTGAAAGAATTATCCAAAGGACAGTCTGAGCCGATCGTAACACGAGCCGTGAGACTCTCTATTCTCTCTTAAACCAAATGGTCCAATTTTCTCTTTTATGAACTCTCTCTACCCCCTCAGAGGAAACGTCATTACTGGATATTGGACTGGAAGAGCATCACTCTCTACCAGAACGAGAGCAGCACCAAGTACTACAAGGTGAAGTTAAACTATGAAACTATTACAATAACTTATGTTGCAGGTAGGGCTGGGCGGTTTGGGAAAAAGTTTATCATGTTATGTTTTTTTTCGTGTCAGACGATATCGATATATATCAGGGTATAAAAAATGGAATTTAACAGTGGTTATTGGTAGCATGATTGGTTCAGCATGAAGGGGACCCAGGGCAACTCCCCTTTTCATTGGCTATTCGTACAGTCTACCAAAACATGGTGGAATACCGACTATCAAAAAGCATATTGACCATGTTTTACGCTGATATTGAAGGTCCTTTCACACTGGGAGCGTTTTTTTTCGTGCGATTATTTCGGAAGTCAATATTTTTTGTCGAACCCGTATCCTGTCAATACAAGCGTTCACATCAGCAACCCGTTTTCCCGTTCTGCGATATTGCAGCATTTATTTTTTCAGATCACGGCCGATTTTTCTAAAGTTTCGCATACTGTGTGTCCACTTCTGACCAATCAGATTTCGTGTTGTTGCGATGTCCGATTTACCGGTATATCAAACATGGCCGACCGGCTAGCTGATTACATGTCGGACAAATATTACAAAGATATCGACCTGAATGACAACATAGCGTCGGATTTCTCATATGACGATGGTTTGTGTGCTTTAACAGTTTGCTAAACGTCTTTGTTTTAACGTTCATCTGTGCTAGCATAAGCTAACGGTTGTTACCATAGTTTCATGCGCTTATCTCATCGTCTCTGATTGGCTAATAGTGCTGACCGTTTGGCTTGAGCGTGTGATGACGTTTCCAGCTTTTCTAGCCAATCGGAGGCGAAGGAGGCGGGACTTTCTACCGGAAAAGTCTTCTCTGGGACGCATCTTTTTCCTCCCGGAAAGTCGCAAAATCGCATTGGGCTTAATGTGTATAGTCAAGCGTATCAAAATTCGGCGGCCCCGGTGTGTAAGGACCTTTACATGAAAAAATCTGATATGTGTCACATGTGGTTAAAAAATCGGAATTGACCTGCAGTGTGAACACAGCCTAATAAAGGGCTTCTTCTTAATATATGTGGTCTCAGTTTGTATGTGGGTTAAATAAATCTTTATTAACATGTTTTTAAAGTTCTCATGTTCCATCTGTTTACATGGAGGAGGCAGACTATAACCCGTGCATGTTTCAGCCTCGCTTTTGGGGAGCTTTTTTCGTTTTTAACTCATTTTGATTAACCGTAAGTATTGATTACATTTCAGGAGATCACCCTGTCCGAGGTGCTCCAGGTCCGAGGCCCCGCCCAGCTCTCTGTGCCCGTGTTGCTGGGCAACATCGCCCACTCCTTCGAGGTGGTGACGGCCTCACTGGTTTACTGCGTGGAGGCCGGAGAGAGTGGGCCGGCCTGGGCCAGCGCCATCCGTCAGGCGTTGATGCCCGTGCAGAGCAGCGGAGGAAAGAGCAAGGAAGAGGAGAAGCAAGGTGAGCTGGGAAATGTAGTTTTTTAGAGTTTAGTTTTTTTCGTTTCAAAAATTACAAAATAAAATAAGTCTCATTTTTCAAAAAAAAGTTGAGTTTTTTTGTCTCGTTGTGGTTTCAGACGATGCGTCACACAGAGACAGTGTGGTAAGAATCATCTTCAGTTTTCATCCAATAAACTTCTCCGTTTAGTTTGTTGTGTTGTTGTTCTGGTTAATGTGCGTTTGTGTGTTTTAGGATATCAGCTCAGTGTATCAGATCTCCACAGATGAGGTTCTGGGCTCCGGTCAGTTTGGAGTGGTGTACGGAGGTCAGCTGATCAGAAAGACGTTAAGTTATCGTAGCTTCTCGGTGTCAAAGGTCGTTAACTCTTCATTTGGGTTTTTTACTCAGGCACTCACAGGAAGACGGGTCGCTCAGTGGCGATCAAAGTCATCGATAAGACTCGCTTCCCCACCAAACAAGAGAGACAGCTGAGGAACGAGGAGGCCATCCTGCAGGTGCTGACTCATGCTTGGACTTTTGATGAATCAGCGTTATTCTCTTTATTGGTTTATTATATATACGTGTGTGTCAGCAGAATCTGTCTCACCTGGGAGTGGTCGTCCTGGAGGACATGTTTGAGACGGTGCAGCACGTCTTCGTCGTCATGGAGAAGCTCCATGGAGACATGTTAGAGATGATCCTGTCCAGTGAAAAAGGACGACTCCCTGAACGCATCACACGCTTCCTGGTCACGCAGGTAACTCTAACGCCAAGTATCTTTATTGGTTAATCGTGACCTCCTTCATATTTTTCATCTTTTCTTAATTTTTGCGTAGATCCTCGAGGCGCTGCGGTACCTCCATCTCAAACGCATCGCTCACTGTGACCTGAAACCCGAGAACGTTCTTCTCGCCTCAGCTGACCCTCTCCCTCAGGTGTCTGATCGTCTTATTAACTCTTTCTCAGTCTAATCTCAACATCAACGGCGTATTTGAAATCTTTCTCTGTGTTGAAGGTGAAACTGTGTGACTTCGGCTTCGCCCGAATCATCGGAGAGAAATCTTTCCGCCGCTCAGTTGTGGGTACGCCCGCCTATCTGGCGCCTGAGGTGATCAGCAGCTGTGGCTACAACCGCTCTCTAGACATGTGGTCTGTGGGTGTCATCATGTACGTGAGCCTGAGTGGGACGTTCCCCTTCAACGAGGACGAGGACATCAAACAGCAAATCACCAACGCCGCCTTCATGTACCCACGACAACCCTGGGCCTCCATCTCTCTGGAGGGTACGGATTAACTTTTTACCTTGTCAAACTTTTTAGTTTTAACACAAGAGTTTTTGAAATCTTGTTCATGTGGGAACAGGTTAGTGAAACCAGTCGCTAATATTTTAGTAAAGATGTTCCCATAATTTGGGAACAAGTCGTCATTTTTTTGGAACAAGCTGTAGGCTTTGGAGGGTTAGGGTTTTCATCCATTGGGAACAAGATGTCTTTTTTTTTTTTGAAATAACCTTGTTTTTTTGGGAGCAAGCTGTCTTTTTAGGGAACAGTTTGGATTTTGGAAATAAGTCGTCATTTTTAGGGAACAAGTTGCAACTTTTAGGAAGATAGTGTAATTTTTGGGAACATGCTTTAATCTTGTGGAACAAGTTGTTATCTCTGGTAAAAAGTTTTTATTTTGAAGGGAACTAATAATTTAAAAAAAAAGAAAAGTCATTTATTGGGAACAAGTTGTCGTCTTATATAGGAACAAATCGTCTTTTGGGAACAAGCTGTCGGGGAAGTTTTCATCAAATGGGAATGAGATGTCAATGTTTTGGAAATAACCTTTTGGTTTTTGGGAGCAAGCTGTCTTTTTAGGGAACAGTTTTGGATTTTGGAAATAAGTTGTCATTTTTAGGGAACAAGTTACAACTCCTAGGAAGATGGTGTAATTTTTAGGAACAGGCTTTAACCTTGTGGAATAAGCTATCTCTGGTAACAAGTTTTAATTTTGAAGGGAACTAAATTTTGTTTGACTGAAAAATCTTTTATTGGGAACAAGTTGTTGTTTTTTGAGAAGAAGATATCTTAGGGGAAAATTATCTCCTTTGGGAAACAAGCTGTAAATTCAGCTGGGGACAGGTTTTCATATTTGACAGCAAGAACATTTTGGGGAACTATTTTTATTTACTTATTTTTTTTCTATTTCATTTTTCAATGCTTGTTCCCAACAGTTTTTCCTTTTGAGAACAAGTAATTCTAAAAAAAAAATTTTTCTTTTTTTTCCATCTGCTTTTTCTGATATGAGATATGATTTTTTTTTTTCCATGGTTCCCTAATTTTTTTCTTCTCCGTTGCGACGTCAAATGCAGCTTTAAGCTAAAATCCAACATCTTGCACTTCCTGAATTTCTAAAGTCTCTCAAGGTTAAATGAAGGTTGTATTTCACAGCACTGGATAGCACCACTTATGTTTAGATGATAAAAAACTGTTGCATGTAAAGAAAAGTCCTGCTCAACATGTCCTGAGTCTACTCCTTTTGGCCACTGGGGGACTCCATAGACCACTATTCAGTCTCTCTCTCTGTCTGTCTCTAATTCTCTGCAGCTGTGAGTCTCATCAACAACCTGCTGCAGGTGTCGGTCAGACGGAGGTTCAGCGTGGGGAAAGCTCTGGGACACACATGGCTGCAGGTCAGTTACACACGTGCAGCTTATCTTTTAAGGCCTGTCCTGTTTCCCAACAACTAAAGTCAATATAAAAAGGAAATCTGGGGTCAAATTTAAAGAGAGTCATCCTTCATTTTCGCTCCTCCTCCTCCTCTTCCTCCTGCAGAACTTCCAGCTGTGGTGTGACCTCCGAGAGTTTGAGCTGAAGATGGGCTGCAGGTATCTGACCCACCAGGGGGACGAGCAGCACTGGATGAAGTACGCCCAGGAGAGAGGACTAAAGTTCCCGTCCAGTCTCTGCTGGTTGCTTGACAACAATACGGACATGTGACTCACGAATGGAGGTCAAAGGTCGGACAGTTTGTAGTCTTTACAGCTCACATTCAACCTCGCTGATGATCCTTTTTTTTACTTTAATGTAGCAGAAAAACAAGCACAGTTATCCTTCACTGTGTTTATATTAGAGATGATAATAAAAACACAAACAACTTCTGTTTAGTAATATAATTTTCCTTTTTTATTCCAAGTTATGGTTTTTAAAATTAAACTGCGTGTTTCAGTGGAGGTGATGGACAGGGGGGGAAGTTAAGGATGGGGGGAGGAGGAGGAGGAGAATGGAGCATGGGTTAGAAATTCAAAACCTCGTCTTCCTGCCCTGAGAGGAGTTGACCGGCACTGACGCTCATGGCTGGATGATATGAAACCCTACTTTCATTTCTCGCTGATGTGGTCCCACATGTGGGTCCTGTTTCTCTCTCGCTGCTCGGCGCTGCTCCCTTTCAAGGATTTCGCTGATTTCCGTGCGTGGGATCGTTCTCTCAGTTTGTCTTTCTGTCATCGCTCTACAATCCAGCCATGTCCCTCTCTCTCTTTGACTTTATTTACCCACAGTGCTTTGCTCTAAGTCGCTCTCTCTCTCTACCTGCCATCTTCAGTGCTTTAAAAGTTGACTTGCTCCCATTCGCGCTCCGTTTGTTTTTCCTGAGCTTAAGGCTTTAAGATCATCTCTGCAGGTTTTCACAGTGCTGTAGTTTCTGCGTTTCGACATTTTAGCACCCGAGTTTTTTTTTTTTTGTGAGTTTGTGTTTCAGTGAGATTAAGAACAAGTCAGAGACTCACAACGACAGCCTCTTCTTTTTTTTAAAACTTCAACATTAGCATGCATGTGCACAAATACACAACCAACCAAGCCAACTGACCAACCAGCTTTTTTTTTTTATATCACGTCTTCTTCTTTAATTACCCTTCTACAAAAAAAATATGTCATCTGGGAGAGAGAGGGGGAGAGCGGGAGGCTTCGCTCGGTATCTCTCCCTCATTTCCTCCCTCATTACCTCCTTCCTGTCGAAGCAGGTGGGATATGTACGCTGCTTACATAATTCAGTGCAACACCCGGCACGTTCCTGCTTTGGTTTCTTTTCTTTTTTTTAAGGCACTCTGAAAGAAATGAGGGGATTCCTAAGATCTGAGCAAAGTCTCCCACTCTCCCCCCTCTCTTTGCGGTGTTTCTGGGTGAGAAAGGAGGGAGAGGAGGAGGAGGAGAAAGAGGGAAGAAGGTGGGAGAGAGATTTCAAAGAGGGGAATAATGACAAGAAGAAAGAATATAGAAGGACAGTGGAAGGGGTTCAAATCGCTCTCTCCGCAGAGGAGAGGCGGCGGGAGCTGGGGAGGAGGAAGGTGAAGAGGAGCGGCTGGGTTTATAAGTCGCTCTCCCCGTAGAGGGCGCTGGAGAAGGAGATGTAGTCCAGGGCGCCAGGAGGGCTGTCCGCTCCGATGTACCTGGTCATGCGGCTGATGCAGTACTCGGCCTGCTCGGGTGGGAGCTCCCTGCGAAGCTCGTCCACTGTGATGTAGTTCTGGGAAAGAGAGACAAAGGGAGGTGGTTGGCTCCGCCTTCCGCCATTGTACAGATTTGGTGTCTGATGGTGGTTGAAGTGACTCGTCCGCTCACCTTGTCTGAAGCCAGAATCTTGAAGGAGGCCATGACCTGCTCAGCAGTGTCGGTCTCGGCGGTCTCACGAGTCATGAAGTCGATGAAGGCCTGGAAGGTCACCACGCCCGTGTTGTTGGGGTCTACCAAGGTCATGATGCGAGCGAACTCCACCTCACCCTGTTGGGAAGAAAACAGCCGAGTCACGTCATTGTCGGCTAAAACACACGACAAACAAAGAGGTGTAATTTCCTTTCCCGCTCACCAGATCGTAACCCATGGAGATGAGGCAGGCACGGAAGTCGTCTGGATCCATCATGCCGTTTCTCTTCTGCGGAGGAAAAACAGAAGAGCGTTTTCACTTCACCGTTTGAGACCCGGGTCTCAGAGAAACTCAAGGACCTGTCCTCACCCTGTCGAAGTGGTTGAAGGAGGCTCTGAACTCGTTCAGCTGTTCCTGGCTGATGCCCTTGGCGTCGCGGGTCAGGATCTGGTTCTCCACCTCGTTGATGGTTCTGGCGATGGTGGTGAGCAGCTGCTCCCAGCCCACGCGCACATGCTGCAGGAAGAGACGCAGAGGAAATGCTTTTTAACAAGAGGAAGAGGAGGAGGATCTGATTACTCAGCAGCAGAGCTCTGCGTACCTCCATGGAGTAGTTGGTGTGCTTGTTGTCGAAGATGAGGGACTCCTGGCTGAGCTGGTGGTCGCCCTCCAGCTTGTCGATGTTGGATTTGTAGTTGATGATGTTCTGCTCGTACTGCTTCAGGCTGTTCATCTGTTCCTCCAGAGAGCCGGAGATGTCCACGGACACGTGACCGATCTCCTGCAGGAGCACAGAGGGAGGAGAACACATGAAGGACTCGTCTGGTCCTGTATTTTTAAGTCTCTCTAAGACTCATTCCTTCTGTACCTCCATCTTGGTTTGAATCCAGGGTCCAATGATGTTGGCCTGAGCAGCAAACTGGCGCCTCAGCCTCTCGTTGGCCTGCTGTCTGGCGACCTCCTCCTGAAGCATTTGGTCTCTGAGGGGAACAAGGTGCTTCACCTGCAGGAGGGAGGAGTTCATGTCACAGTCGCCCTGATCTGATCTACGTTTGCTCTGATTTCATTTCAGACAGAAAAATCATCTCCATGTCTGGATTGGACTCACAGTGTCCCACTTAGTGCTGATGTCCTGGGAGGAGAGGTTGGTGTACGGGTTGATTCCGGACAGCTTAATGCCGTAGGTCTGGGCGATCTTCAGGATCTCGTTGTGGATGCCCAAGGTGGCCATGCGCTCCTTGTCGGCCTCGGGCAGAGTGGCCTTGAACTGGTCGTGAGCCGTGATCAGACTCTGGAAGGAGGAAAAACAGATTCTTTGTTTGTTGTAATCAAGATTTCTAGATTATTATTTTTAGATCTATAGAGGAAAAAAGACACTCTAACTGTCTCCACACACCAAGCGCGAGTGAAATCATTCGCGCGACTGAATTACATGTTAAGTCAATGCAAAGGCGCGACTAGACGCTCCTACTTCTCTGGCGGTAGGAATGACGCGAATTTGGCGGAAGATGAAAATGTCTCAATTTAAGGGAACATTTGCGTTGTGATAACTAATCAGCACAAAGGTTGCTGGGTGGCATACGAAAACAAACGATTGTTCACTGGTATCTAAAAGGGAGGGCAAACTGTTCGCGCCGAATTATACAATACCTTTTCTTTCAATTACCGAAACTGGAATAAAGAAGGAGCCAACTGGAGGTAAGTGAGTGAGGACCAGATTACCTGGTAAATTGTAAAAAAAACCTTGGTCTATCACTTGATTCCGCCGTTGAGTTGGCAGGGTTTACCATTGAAATTAGCATAAACGTCTATAAACGCGTGAATTAAGCGAGTAATGCTGTGTTCGAGTTACCTCGGAAGTCAGATGTGCAAGCTGAAAATGTCGTCACACTCGAGTTCCCAGTGTTGGTAGATGTCGCCATCTTGTAGCAGACTTCTGACTTCCAAGGTAACACAAACGCAGCATAAATACTATTCATTCATGTGTCTAGATTTGCGCGAATTAAGCGAGTTGATGATTTTACTCGCGCTTGGTGTGAACGCCCCATTACAAACACACACTGACACACTCCCACAAACACACTGCTGAGTGTACATCTTTGTACCTGAATCTCCTCGATGCTGTGGACAATGAACATGTCCTGCAGGTCCTCCATGGCTCCATCCATCCAGTTGTTGAAGGGCGCCGCCCTCTTGGCGAACTCCAGGTACAGCTGGTCGATGGTCTCCCACAGCTTCTCCACACGCTACAGTCCCACAAACACACGGTGATGAGACTCACAGTGGAAATTAAGAAAATAAAGACAGATCTCTTCGCGGTTTTTCCTGGTGTTACCTCCAGGGCGTCCCTCCTCTTCTGGGTCAGGGTGCCCAGGTTGTCCCACTGGTCACAGATGCCCTGGCAGCGGGCGTTGACTGTAGCAGCGTCATGGTAGTCCAGCTCACTGGAGAAGAAGACAACGCCTTTTTTTTACTCATGAGTAACAACGATCAGACGACATTTCTGGATTTATCGTACATTTGTCAAATTAACTCCTTCACAAACACACGATTTTCATCCTTCATTCAAGGAGTCATCTGACAAGCTTCTCCGTTTGAAGTGATTAATGATCATTTCTGTGGTGTGCATTCATATTCAGCTTTACGGTATTAAACCGCATACAGCATCAAAGAGATGATCTGAAAACTGAGAGTGAGGCCTGAGGAGTGGTGAGGAATAAGGAAAAAGTGAGATCAGAGGTTCCTGCTCTTTCATGAATCATCCTTTCATCTGTTTCATCTCGCTCATTAAAATGTCCTCTCCTCATCTGAGGCTGCTTTTGTTCACGTCCCTGTCTGCTCACGACAAATCTGTGATTGTCCTGACGTTCAGGAGGCTGAAAACACCACCGTGTCTCTTCTCTCTTCACTCCTTCGTCCTTCAATCTCACATTTTCATTTTATGATCAATTTTAAAGACTTGATTAAACCCTAAAAAAGAAATAAAACGGAACAAAAGTTTAGGGATGTACTTCAGCTCCTGGGCGATGGCAGCGATCTGCTCCACTCTGTCCTGGTGAGCGGCAAGGTCGCTCTCGAACGCCTCGTGCTTCCTCATCAGGGCTCTGATTTCCATCAGAGAGGCCGACTCGTAGTCCTTCTGGGACAGCAGGTCCTCCTTACCTGAAAGACACAAAGAGGGTTTGATCTAGGTCTGAGTCATCCCCACAGATTAAGACCCTAACACCCTTCCTCTAATCATGTCTCTAGCCAACGACAGCCTTTAGTCGTGGTTACGGTCTTCATCGCCTTCTGGTTTTCTCCCTACCTGAGGTCCATGACTCATGCATGGCACACTTCTGCTTGAACTTCTCAGCCAGGTGGTCGAGTCTCTCCAGGCGGCGGATCTCGGTGAGCAGCCACTCCTCGTAGCCCTTCTCCACCTGCTCCAGACCCTTCCAGGCGTTGGCGATATCCTGAAGGAGAGAAAAGCTTTACTGTCACCGTACGCAGAGAAGAGTTTGAACCTTTTGTCGGATCTCTGGGTCGCAGAAGTCGCTCACCGACACCATCTTGCCCTCAGAGGGCATGAAGGCGGGCCTGTTGCTCAGCCTCAGCTTAGTCTGCAGGGTGTTGAAGTTGATCTCCAGCTGGCACTTCTCCTGGACGCGGGGTGGCTTGTGGATGCGGCGGTAGTCGCGGAAATCCTCCAGCTTCTGCTGCATGGCGCGCATGGTCTGCTCGGCCACGCGGTTCTCCAGCCAGGGGATGGTGCGACGGATCCATTCCAGCAGCTACAGGAGGAACGGAGATGGAAGAATCAGTGAAGATATTCGGTTTACCCTCGACTAGGGATGTCCCGATACGATGTTGATATTGGATATCGGTTGAATATCAGCCAAATAACAAATATGGAATTATATCGGCCTGCATCTAAAATCTTAGATATCAGCAGTTCATTCCAGATTCCACTCCGGCACCTCTAGCTAGCAGCGCCTGGATCCAGTATGCAGAACCCATGTGATTACAACAACATTGTGTACCAAGGTACTAACAAAATAGCAAGAAGTAGGAGTGATGTCGGCCATGTGGAAGTATTTTTTGTTTAAGTCCAAAAAAGACAGCTAAGTGCAAAACTTGTCATGCACAAGTTTGTGCCAACCTTGGACCAATATCGGTTTGGCTCAATACTGAAGGCTACAATATCGGTATTGTATCGGAAGTCAAAAAGTTGTATCCGGACACCCCTACCCTCAGCTTTGATGAATGTTTTAGACCCACTTTGATTATTTTATTTCTTCTTCCACCCGACTGGGAGTTTATGGCTCACATGGAATAAGTTCAATTTGACGAATTTCAACATTAGTGGTTGACGTGTGCTCTGCTCACTTCAGAGCCCCGTTACGTACATGTGATGAAACTTTCTGCACATGTGGAGTCATGTCAAGTTCATTCACTCTGGTCTTTATGTTTCTATTTTCTTTAATCCACAAAAAAGAGCTCGAAAAATTACAGACGGTGGCTGTACTTGTTTGTTCCAACATTTCTTCTCACAATCCTACTTACTTTCACAGTTTTTTGGTTGTCTAGTAATCATACTTACATAAATACGGCAGATTTGGGCTCATTCTCAACACCAAACTGACATCAAATTAAAGAAATTTGGCTTTAAAATATTGCAGGATTTCAGTTAAAGTGTGAATCTGTATTCTCTTTTCAAAGTTCCCCTAACTCTCAGTGTTGATTCGCCTGCAGTGGTTTTAGAGCCGTGTCACAAAAAGTCAGCAGGAGGAGGATGAAGAAGTTTAAACTGCTGGAACATTAAAGTGTTTCTGCAGAGGAGGAGGAGGAGGACGGAGGAGGACAGACTGAGAGTAGGAGGACTCGGTTGCAGCGGTTTCTCACCTCGCTGGCTAGCTTCTCGTACTCCTCCATCAGCTTCTCGTTCTCCTGGTTGACGGCCAGAACCTTACAGATACGGTTGGCAGCGGTCTCAGCCTGAGAGAGGGAGGCAGAAAAAAAAGACAATTAGAGCACATCGACGGCGTAGATCATGTCATTTAGAAGTTCGAAAGATCGGGTAACCTGTTCAGCTCCAGCAAAGGCGTGGTAGAAGCAGGACACGTAGGTCATGATGGCCTTCTCGTCGGGCTTGGGTGTGTTCACAATATCTAAGAGCGGAAAAATCACAAAAATTTAGGGATACAGCACATATAAGTTCAGTTAAACTTAACTGAAACTCTGTTCTGACCTTTCAAAATAAAAACCTGTTTAATCGGAAAAGATAATCAAGTTTCTTTACTAATTTTACTTCATGATTTAGTGCCACAGCTTTTATAGCCTCACCTTCAGCATCAAGCATCTTGGGGATGTCCAGGAACTTCTCTGCCACCTCGAAGGCGGTGTTCAGGTTACCGATGGGGTCATCCTACAGACGGACACATTTGCTGTTTGTCATGAAACCCTAAAAAATTTACCTTCAGAAACCGACTGAGATCATAAAAGCAGAGAGGAGGGAAACAGAAGGGATTCATACAGTGTTTTAAATCAGTTTTTATGAAGAGATACAGGCTTTGGCAGGCGAATAAGCGTGTGGATCTTTTCTGTTTCCTTCCTCCATTGTGATTTGATCCAGCGTCAACATTTTTTTGGACGAGTATGAAGCTTTCCTCTTTGCTATTTGACCGCTGAGAAAAGAAACAGCTCTGCGGAGAACGCGCAGAGTCTTCTGTTCCAATTTGGAGAATGGAAAAATGAAAATATGGAGCTCGAAATATCAGAGACAGTGTTGGCATTAAGATCTATTTCTCGAAGATGTAGATTTGAGACAAACAAATTAAATTATGTGCAATATCAATTGATCTGCGGTGTCCCACAGGGGTCAGTTTTAGGTCCTCTGCTTTTTATCCTCTGCTTGTTACCTCTTGGAAATGTCATCAGGAGACACAGCATCAAATTACTTATCTATGCAGATGACATACAGCTTTATTTTGCCGTGTCTCCTGATGACCCCGAAACAGTTGGTATTATTTGAAAACCTAACCCAAACCCGAGCCCCAACCTTAACCCTAACCCTAAACCCAACCCTTACCCCAACCCTAACCCTTTTGAAACCTATCCCAAATCCTAACCCCAACCCTAACCCCAACCCAACCCTAGCCCCAACCCTAACCATAGCCCTAATCCCAACCCAACAGTAATACTAGCCCCAACCTTAACCCTAACTGTAGCCCTTATCCCAACCCAACAGTAATCCTGACCCCAACCCGAGCCCCAACCTTAACCCTAACCCTAAACCCAACCCTTACCCCAACCCTAACCCTTTTGAAACCTATCCCAAATCCTAACCCCAATCCAACCCTAGCCCCAACCCTAACCATAGCCCTAATCCCAACCCAACAGTAATCCTAGCCCCAACCTTAACCCTAACGGTAGCCCTAATCCCAACCCAACACTAACCCCAACCCTAGCCCCAGCCTTAACCCTAACCCCAACCCTAGCCCCAACCCTAACCGTAGCCCTAACCCCAACCCAACACTAACCTTAACCCCAACCCTAGCCCCAAACTTAACCCTAACCCTATTCGTAGCCCTAACCCCAACCCTAACACTAACCCTAGCCCCAACCTTACCCCTCACCCTGAACCCAACCCTAACCGTAACCCCATCCCTAACCCTAACCCCAACCTTAACCCTAGCCCCAACCTAAACCCTAACCCCAACCCCAACCTTAACCTTAGCCCCAACCTAAACCCTAACCCCAACCCTAACCCTAGCCCCAATTTTAACTCCAACCCTAACCCTAATCCTTACCCAGGTTATGGACGGTAGAGAACTTTTTACAGCTCATGCTAACATAGGGGATCAAGAAGAGACAAATGAAGCTTAAGGGGATGAGAGGAAATGAAAAAGACAGGAAGGACAGAGCACCTTTCTCAGTTTGGAGTAGTCAATGAGGTCAGGTCTGTGTCTGTGGATGAGGGCGCACAGAGCCAGGCCGTCCTTCCAACTGAGAGGAGGAAGAGGAGGAAAGAGAGAGAGGAAGATAAGAGAGGGGAAGATGGTAAATGTCGAGTAAAAACAGCACATGAAAAGAAGTAAAAATGAGAGAATGAGGTAAAAAAAAAAACGGGAGCAAAAATGAAGGTGCAGTTTCTCCGGAGTGCCACAGTCTGGCGTTGTAGACTCACCTGATGTGGAAGTTCTGCACGTTGACGTTCCTGTAGGGGGCAGTCTTCCTCTGGCACCACAGCAGCAGACCCTCCTTGGCAGAGGTCTCTGAAAAAAGACAGGGAGGAGGATGAAGAGCATGAAGATACATGAGCATTAATTGTACAAAAAAAAAACAAAGATTTAAAAAGAAAATAGACAATCTTTGACTTGAGAGAGTGGACTGAATAACAAAGAAATGAAACAAAGAGCATGAACAGAAAGCTGCTTTACACAGCACAGACAAAAACCTTAAAAAAACAGTGCTTTAAAGGTCAAGCTAGTGCAGTCAGGGGTTTGAAGACTAAAGGAAAGAGGAGGCATTATGACGGGGCTTAAAGGAGGCAGGTGTCAAACTATAGTGGAGCAGGAGATATTGAAGATCAGGAGCAATAAAAGTGGAGTTAAAGAGGATGACTTGAAGGTGAGGGTAAAAAGTGTGAGGGAGGACGGGGTAAACAAGGTCCCAGTCTTTATAAACAAGATTTATTGTCGGCTGATCGGCGGGACGACATGAAGCTTTTAAATAAATGACATGAGGAGCAGATAAAGTTGAGGAAAGTTTGTCAGATGTAGTTAATCAACGGAGGATCTTTTTTATGAATCCAACTCGCCGCAGTAAATCTGGAGGCTGGCTGGCCTGAGACTGAGACTCCACTCCAAGATGGGGCTTATATCAAGACAGTGTTTAAGATCTGGAGGTTTAATGAAGGAAAAGAGCTCGATGATTTAAATTTGTTTGTTTTTTAATTCATTTTTAATTTAAAAGATCATTTAGAAATGCTTTTATTCAGTCTGTAACTGTCCAAAGTTTATAAGTTCATAAAAATAAAGCTGCCTCAGCATGTAGACTAGAAAGAGCTAAAATAACTGACAACAGATAAATTTACTTATTTTAAATATATTTAAAATATTTATATTTAATATATGAATATATTTAAAATAAAATGAAATATATTTTAAATATATAAATAAAAATAAAAAATAAATCAAAGTAAAAGCTGCCATAGCATGTTAAATAGAAAGAGCTAAAGTATTTTTAAACAAATAAATAAATAAAAATAAAAGATGCCTAAGCATGTAGACCAGAATGAGCTAAAGAAAATTAAGAATAAAATAAAATAAATAAAAATAACAGCTGCCTTAGCGTTTTAAATAGAAAGAGCTAAAGAAATTTAAATTAAATAAAAAACAAAACAAAAGCTACCTTAGCATGTAGACTAAAAAGAGTTAAAAAATAAATAAAATTAAATAAATATTTCAAAGCTGCCTCAGCATGTTGACTAGAAAGAGCGAAAGAAAAAAATTTATATAAATAAATAAATAAATAAAAGTGAAAGCTGCCTTAGCATAAAGACTAGAAAGAGCTAAAAAAAATCAATTAAAAATAAAAGCTACTTTGACACGTAGACGTAAAAGAGCTAAAGAAAATTGAGAATTAAATAAAATAAATTAAAATAAAAGCTGCCTCAGCATGTAGACTAGAAAGAGCTACAGAAAAAGGGTGACATGTCTGAGGTATGTACATTATTGTTTAAATGGTAAAGGTTTGAAGGGAGATGTGTAAACTCAGACATTAGTCTTGAGTCATTTGTGCATGTTGTTTTTTTAAACCTTATTTTTCAGTTATTAAAATGCGCTGTTATGGTTTTCAAACTGTCTGGCTGTCAATCAGCGTGAGCTTCCAGCACACCTGGTTCTTCTTGTGCTTGGACGGAATCTACTTTTAAGTCGGAGATGAAAAAAATAAAAAACAATAACAGAAAGTTCCTCTCAGAAATGTCAGCTCCAAAAATAAACATGCGAGAACACGCACCTTCCACAGAGATGTCCTGGATGGCGAAACGCAGGATGATGGTCCAGATCATACCAAGGGTCATCTTCACGTTACCATCAACAATTTCTGAGAGAACACAAAAAAATACACACATATGATGTGAAGATAAACACACGGCTCATCCTAAATCCAGCCTGTCAGCCTCCTCGGGGGTAAAAGTTCAGAGTCTGAGGACTGCTCGGCCTCTCAGAGTCCCGCTTTTGACGCTGATTGAATTTCACACTCATTGCGGGCTTGAAGGGAAACTTGGCTGCAATTAAAGTGATGAAAATCAAAGTTGTAGAAAATTCACTTAACTGCTTTTGAAGATCTGTAATCTGGAGCTCTCGGCAACTTTTCATGAACTCCCAGTCGGAGCTGTTTTTTCCCTGCTGAGCGTTTATTCGGTTTGACCTCAAAGAGGCTGAGTCAATGTGGGGGAGCTTTCCTCCTCATCGCTGAATCGCTCTCAGGTTCAACTTCTGCTGTGATTGTTGTTTAGCAGAACCAGTATGTGTATGTTTACCTCTTCAGCTCTCCTACCGCTGTCTTCTTCAGTTTAAAGCCCTTCTCCTAAACTCAAATTAAAGATCTATCTTTAGATGATCATCATGTAAAAATTAAAGGTATAATTATTGCTTAATACGGTGACTGAATGCAGCACACAATCAGTAAATTAGAGTTAAAGAGGAGTGAAAAGCAGCTGTATCCTTGAGTTTATTACCACTTTAGGTAAATCCGTCACTCGTCAGACCATCTGCTGCTTCTTAACACGTCAAAGAGAGTTTAATTCTAAGTGACCTTGGTTCACACTGTTCGAAGAAAAGAAAGAGAAGATGTGTCGCAGAAGAAGAGTGATTAAAAAAAGGAGAATTCGTGAGTCAAAGCAGGACACTCACCCTCAGCACCAATAGACACCAGCTTGACTCCCTTGCTGCAGATGAAGTCCAGAGCTTTGTTCACGTTGGCAATCTTGTGGAAACGCATCTTGCCTTTGTCGGGTTTGGGCAGCCTCTCACCTGGAAGACGAGAAAACTCATGAAAACTCGTGTCTGTTAATTTTCCTTTTCCTTATTGGTTTAGTTTTCTTTATTCTATTCGTTGCACTTCTTGTTTACCTTTTCGGATCTTGCCTTTATTGCCTTTTATTTTTGGATAATTCTGCCTGATCTGACCACCTTTTTGTGTACCGACCTCTGCGACCTCTGCCTGTGTCTCAAAAACCCTGTCTGTTGGACAAACTGATTCGTTGTCTTGCCGTTCTAACCTCCTTTCTGTGCCTTGTTTCATAACAGATTATGAAAACTCATGGCATTAATATCTGTAAATTAGAGGTTATAAAATTTAACCCCAGCCCAAGTCAAGTGTATGCAGAGAAATCAACTACTGAGACTATAACCTGTTTTTGAAAACGCGCTTGTTTTTGGCCTTTTTTTGAATGGGTGTGTATGTGGCTGCCAGTGCTTTTGGAGACAGCCTCTAGTGGACACTCAAGGAACTGCAGTTTTCAGCACTTCCTTACTTCTGAAGACCAGAGGCATCCGCTTAGTTTCAACAAACAACCCAGAGAGATGTCATGTTGTTCGGCTTGTTAACACAGGTGTGGCTGCTTAACCAATCACCTCGACAGGGGAGAAAATGGAACATTTCTATTGGTCAAGATTGAATTGTTCTTCTTTAATTTCAGGAAGTACTGATAGTATAGATGGGTTTCTGTGCGATGTCATCACAGGTATGCGCGCAGCCTTGGGGCAGAAAGTGGGACATTTCTTATTTGTTTACTAGCGGAGTCGACGAAGAAAGAAAACGACAAGTAGCTATTGTGCTGTAAACTGCACGAATCGGCAAAACAAACCATCGGCGAACATTACGACCCTGCTCCTGATATTAGAAACATCGAAAACAACGTTACAACCTGGTAAATCGAGCAACATTCATGGGCATTTCAGCAACAAAGCGATTTTTCAATGAAATGACATTTTATTCCAATTGTGTCGGGGAGGACTTGTAAACAATACATTGATATCAGTTCACTCTGGAGCAGGCTTTTGCCTCATGGTTGCGCGCACCTAGTATTGTTTGAACAAGAAACCCGTCTATTTGGTGTTGTAAAAAGAAAGGCAAAAAAAAGTTAAACTGCTTTATGATCGACGGCAAAAACCTTTAAGGTACATGACAGTTATTCTGATGGGCGAGCAAAACCTTGTCAAAAATATGATAGAAATGAAAACTGCATCTTTTTCTACTTCTAGAATGTTTTATATTGATATCAGGAATTGTATGAATACAGATCATCAGCTGTTAGTATAAAAGAAGTCAACAGAAACTGTGATTTTGTGTGTGTGTGTGTCCATGAAATCACCTGAAATGACCTCCAGCAGCAACATGAGTTTGAGGCCATTTCTGAAATCCTCTTCAATGTTCTCGATCTGTGTCCCGGCCTTCCTCAAGTGGGAGTTACACCAAGCTGTGAAGGTCTGAGAGAGAGAGAGAGAGAGAGAGAGAGAGAGAGGGTGAAACAATGTCACCTGTCAGACTGCGCCACATTCTCGGACACTGACATCAAACATCACAGTTTCACCTGAGTAGCCGATACACACACACACACACACATATAGAGTGTAAATGTACACACTGTGTGACGTTTCCCTTCTGAGTAGAAACTGCTGAGTAAGACCTGTCCTCTTCCATTTGTGACATTATAATCAGAGGGTTGCTGACGGTGAGAGCGCACATTCACACACACAAACACACACTTATGTCAGTTTGAAGGCCACAGATGACTGGATAGTAACACGACATAACTCCAGTTATATAACCGTTTATGTTATGAACTGAAGACGACCATATTGAGATACATCAGGATGATAATAAAACACAGTTTGAGTATTTTTATCACCTTTTGTAAGTTGTGTTTTTAGCTACAACTTATATTTTCTAAACTTTTGGATTATTTTGTTTGTGACAAAATCAACGATCAGTCTTTTCAAAATCAAGGATACAGTTCTCTAAAGTCTTAGTACAGAGAAATAATCATTCTGAAGGATGTTATGATGAATGAGTGAACTGAAAGGGTGTAATGCAGTGATCGATTTTCAATTTAGATTTTTTATTAAGCGACAACTTCGACAAACTTCACTTTAATAAAACATTTTTTTTAATCATCTCTCAGAACAAAACCGCTGAAAACTATGTAGTGCATATGCCAAGCCAGTAAGTGGTGCTGTAACGCAGCACAGGAAACTAACAAAAGACAGAAGAAGAGAAATTATCGCCTTCTTTTGCAAACGCCATGTTTTTTGTTACACTGGTGTGTGCGGGATTCGGGGAGCGCTCCCACAGGCAATTTTTTTTTTTTTTTGTAGGATGGTAGGGAAGGTCCCGCCCTCCTTCGCCTCTGATTGGCTAGAAGTGCTGTGCTCTGATTGGTTATTCCTTATGGCTGTGAAATGTCACCGTCTGTCAGGTTAGGGTTCTGTAATGTTCTGTTCGATGTACAGAGCGGACAGCTCGCGTTTGGCTTGAGTGTGTGATGACGTTTCCAGCTTTTCCAGCCAATCAGAGGCGAAGGAGGTGGGACTTTCCCCTACCATCGCCTCCTGCAGGAAGGGGGAGCCTATAGTAGCTTGGAGGCGCAAGACATGATAAAGAGGGAAATTGATTTTACGATTTGAATTTTTTTTAACATCGTCATTATCAAATCATCCGATTACGACATAAAATCGATTTATCGTACAGCCCTAGTGTGTTGATGTTCGATCAGGTCTTTAGCAGGTCCTGTTCAGCCTCTCAGTCCTGTTTCTGGGCTCGTGTGGAGAAGAGTAGGTGCTGTAGCTTTCAGAAGGCAGGTCTATCATTTCAGAAAGCAAACTGGTCATTAGCGGATGCCACTGTGTGTGTGTGTGTGTGAGTGTGTGTGTGTGTGAGTGTGTGACGTGCAAAAAGCAGTCTTGGTGTTAATGGCTCTCAGCCTCTGAGTGCTTACTTTCAGCCTGTCTGGGAAATTGCCTCATGCATCGGTTGCGCACATTCGACTGGTTCCATCAGGCCACTCAATCAATCACAGTGTTTTTTTTCTTTTTTCTTTCAGAGGCTTTCATGATGTTTAGCTTCAAATATGAGTGTAAAGACGTGTGAGTGTGAACTGCTGCTGCTGCTGCTGCTGCAGAGCCCAAACTTTGCCAGGGTTTGGAGGATGTGTGGGTGTAGAAACAGAATAAGTACATGAGCTGAATAACTAACTACAGATGACAGTGTGGGCGGAGAGAGAGAGAGAAAAAGAGAGAGAAAGAGAGAGAGAGAGGAGGTTTGTGCTCAGCAGGTGAAAGCATAAATTACCGTTTCAGCCAAGTACATTAAACAAGCTCGAAATCAAAAATGCACATGTCCCTGTACAGCGTGTGTGTGGGTGTGTGTTTGAATCTGTGTGCGCTTTCATGTCTGTTGTCTGCACTCGAGTACGAACCGCATCAGCGACTGAGCGACACAGGAAACAAGAGAGAAGAAGTGAATCTACAGATCTCTGTATGACTATTTAACCACAAACATGATCATGATCCTGCTACGTCAGATATAAGGGATATACAGCAAAACAGTTTCACCAAAGGCTTAATGAGAGCGTTTTAGAAACTTTTCACTTCTTTATCATTTTTTTACACCATGAGAAAACTCAATAAGTCGATGATAATGATGCTGGACTGAGAAATACCACAGCAGGGATTTTAGGAAGAGGTGAAGGCTGAAAGCATGTCCAAAAAAATAGGGCTGAAGATTATTACCAAAGATAAGATTAAAATATCAGATTTGAGTGATCTATTTTAGCTTGTATCTATTATTTTATAATAGAGGAAAAAAAAAAAGCCCAATTATGAGACACCTAACTCCACTCTTGGACAGTAGCAATTTACTACATGTGCAAAATTTCTTTATTTGATTATAAGTTTGAGGGATCAGATAATCTGAATCCACTGTTTACAGGCGCAAAATAAAAAAATAACTATTAATTCACAAAGGAAAATAATAAGGAAATAAAAATTCACGGGAAATAATATTAATAAATAAATTAATGAATTAATAATAATAATAATAATAATGATAATAACAATAAAATAATAATAATAAATGATAAATAAATGGATAAATAATACAAGAAAATAATAAAAATAAATAAAATAAATAATAAAATAGTAATAATAATAACACTAATAATTATAATATAAATAAATAAATAAAATAATGATAAAAGGTGTTTAGTCCATTTTGCGTACCTCGTGCCAACTTATGTTAAGCTAGTCTAAAACAATCCCACTGGTGTTTTCATTTCTAACCACAATGCAGAGTCACACTGGTTACGTTTACATGATGCATTTTTATTCAGATTATTTGTGCCCATGTAAACGCAGCTATTTAAAACCGTTGTACCGCCTTGAAACACTATTTGATTCCAACTGTGTTCGAGGACCTCAGAGACACAGAAGCAGAAAGAGAAAGAGTGAGGCGGCGAAGACGAGAAGAGAGGAGTGACAGGAATGCCCAGGCCCCGGTGTAATTTGATGTACGGGTCTGCTGGAGAGGAGAAGAGGCCGCCTGTCCAACCAGCCGGGGTCCCAGCAGGTGCTTGTCTCCTTTGCCATGCATGACCAAATTTAGACAGGCTCCTAATCCAGCGCACACAGGCCACCGGGCCAAGGCGGAGGAGAGGGGAGACGAGAAGGTGTGTGTGAAGGAGCGAGGAGGAGGAGAGGGGAGGGGAAGGGTGGGGGCTAAATTAGGTAGAAGAGGAGGGGAAAGGAGGAAAAAAATGGATGGGGGCGGGGCTGGAGGAGGCTAAATCGGGTTGCTATGGGACACCAGCGGACAGCTGAGAAGGCAGGATTCCTGAGGTGAACTGTAAGAGTCCAAGACGGAGAGGTAGAAAGAGGAGAAGGAAGGAATGGATCGAAGGATATGACGTGCATTAAATAATAACCGGAGAAAGTGCGAAGGGAAGATGAGAGGGGTGGAGTTACGCCAACATCAAAGAAGTTGAACAGGCCGTAATTGAAATAAAGGAGATTTTAATAAAGCTAAATACACACGACCCGGCATTCATGAACGCTAAAACGTCGGACTGAGCGCCGCAGGATCAGAAAACTATTATCCGACATACCTGTGGAAGCTATGATTACGATCCGCCTGCTTGTAAAGCTCTATTATCTCATCCTGTGGGTTTGCTCTAATGCCTGTGGTGGGAGTCCACCAGCATGAAGTCACCCTCCATTCTGGAAACCAGACCCCCTCCCCCAGTCCTCTCCTCTGTCTGTCCACACCTGTCGGTCTGGCCCAGCTCAGCTCGGCCTTTTTACAGGTCCTTCCTGTAAAATGAGGTCACGGTGGTCCAGCTGAATGCTTGTCATGACTAAACCCCCCACCACTGCCACCACCACGACCACCGTCCTCAAGGGGAATCAGGGCTGCTGACCCTCGGATACAGCTGACACGCACATACACACATGTTCTCACACACACACAGACTCGGAGCTCCTTATAATAATGTCAGCAAGCTCGTCCGTCGGTCAAAAGGCTGATGCAACTAAAGCAGAGTGTGGAGTTACAGCCGTTGGCCTCAGAGGGGAAACCTCGAGCAGCAGATCAGATCAATATCTACACCTCATGTTCCACCTCTGCAGAGCTCTGATACAAAACAGTAACTGTGCAGAAACCTCTGTCACCAGTGTGCTTTCCCAGATCTCATCTTTGGGCACTTTTACCCCTTGCCTTTGTACCTTTGTACCAGGATGGACTTTTTAAACACAATCAAGTCCATCCTGAGGTTTTGTTTTAGGCAAGAGGTCCAAAAAACTGACAGGTGGGAGATATGTGAAAACTGACTGATGAGCAACAAGCAGAAAATGTAAAGAAATGAGAAGTTTTAGGCCAGGTAACACAAGGAAATAGAGCTACAGCAATTTTCAAGTACTGACATTAATATGTGCTTAAAACCGTAACATCATGTTAGTTATTGGTTCATACTCGGGAGGAAAAAGTCGCACTTTTTGATAGTAACCACCTGAAGAAGACACTAGTTAGCGGTAGCAGCCCTGCTAAACTCTGATTAGGTGGTTAAAAAATGACTTGTTTTCTCGTCATCTAAACAAAAATGCAAATTCCAAACAGTCAAAATAAAAAAAGGGTGACTATTATCTTTCATTCATCCCTTTTCTACTGCTTTTTCCTGTCGGGGGTCGTGGGGGGGGGGGCTGGAGCCTATCCCGGCATCTTTGGGCAAAGGCAGGGGACACTCTAGACAAGGCGCCAGTTCATCGCAGGGCTGACATATAGAGATGAACAAGCATCCACGCTCACATTCACTTCTACAGGCAATTTGAAAGTGGCCAGTTAACCTAACCCCACTTCTGCATTTTTTGGGGTGTGGGAGGAAACCGGAGTACCCGGAGTAAACCCTTGCACACACAGGGAGAACATGCAAACTCCACACAGAAACGCCCTGACCTAGATTCGAACCCAGGACCTTCTTGCTGTGAGGCGACAGGGTTAACCACTACACCACTGTGCCGCCCGTGACCATAGTCCGAATCCCTAAAAAAGAGGACACTACTACGCGGGGTGGAGTCATTAAGTCATGCGCAGTACATTTTGAGGGTTTTTTGGGTCGGGTCGAGTGTTTTTTACGCACTTCCAACTCAGTAAGTCCACGCTACACAAACTCAAAACTTCCTTACAAAACTGCAGACATTTGAAGGATTTTATAAACTCCCCCGGACAAGGCCAGACAGCCACTTTAAAAGAGCACATGTCTGGGTAAAAGAGGACGTATGGTCACCCTAAAAAAAAGCACATTGTGTTTAACATGGCAAAACATGAAATCACACAGTCTGTGGGTAAACAACCCCGACTTAGTTTGTCCTAACAGGTGAACATCCACATACCTGTGCTAGCGTAGAACCTTGAACCTGAACTACAGCCCAACCCAGGTGGTGGGTAGGTGTGCTTGAGCTTTGATACAACATATCACCAACATCTTAGGAACACAAATAATCTCTACATCAAATCATAAACCGAAGCAAAATAGGCCACTTTTGTTGATTATCTCAGTGACAACAGGTACAAAGGCATGGGATTGTGGGAGTTGTTGTCCTCAGTGTCTAATCACCACCAATATTCACAGAATCTCTCTTTCTTTTAACACTCTGACTTACAGTTATGTACCACAATGTCTTTTCATTTTGATGGATTTGAGATGACTGATATCCTTTTTTTCAACCATTTAAAAACTTCTGGGATAACAAAGCAATATCACCTGAAAATTAATTTGACCACAGCTTTACTTTTTAGTCTTTTTAACGGTAAACAAAACGGTTTTAAAACAGAGGAAACTCTTAGAGGCTGAAATATAAAGGTATGAAGTGTTCCTTTCATCGTCTTTCCGGTTCGTCTCTCTTATAAAGTCCGGGAAACACTGCCATCTGGTTGGAGACGGTCTCAGCTGACAGGATTACAGTCTTTCTAACCTGTGATCTAACTCCTACTACAGTGTGTAGGCACAGAGTGGCCCCCTGTGGTCTCCCTGTCTCGCTGTATTATTACAGGTAAGTACCTCCAGCCCTCTGTGGTGCCAGTCCAACACATTTCATAGCGATACAGTGACCTGCTTATTAGACCTGAGGGAGTCCTGCTGAGTCAAGGTGCTTCTCATAGTTAGAGCTCCGTTTCTCAGTCTTAGTCAAGCCTCCGACACAGAAATAAAGTTTCAGACCGAACACTTCTGCTAATGAGGAATGGATAATTACATAAACCAGCAGGACTGTCTACATTCACACCCGACCTCTCTGCGGTTTCTTCCTCACAGGCGTCCAGCTCTTCTAGAGACGAGGCTTTGATTTAATTACACAGGTCTTCAGTAGCTGATTTCCCTAATTAGCACCCTCAATCAGAGACGGACGATCTAATTATGGAAATATGCTGCTGGAGTGTTTCTCTGAAGTACATCCTGCATCCAGATCGGGCTTTCATACGTCCATCTACAGTTCCCAAATACTTTCTTATTACCAGCTCAGTACTCAAGGGCTACAAGATATTCGGGGCATGTTACACGAATTTTTTTTTTAAATAAAATGGAAAAAAAATAAAATAAATAAAAATAATTTAAAAAATAAATAATAATAATAAATAAATGAATAAACAGATTAATGAAAATTTTGTGGTAATAATAATTCAGGAAAAAAGTTGTAATATTACAGAAAAAAAATCAGGTTTTAACAATAAAGTCATAAATTAAGATGTACATATATGAGAATTTTGTGGTATTAACTCAAATTAAATAAAACCAAATTTATAAAGAAAGTTATAATTATTTACACATTAATTATTAAGGTCACATTAGGGGTAAAAGAAATGTTTGAATTTTTACACATTAATTCCGAGTAAAACAATATCAAATCCTGAATTTACAAGGAAAAAAAGTCATACATTTATAAAAATAAGGTTGTAAATTTATCAATATTTTGCTGTAATAATACAAGAAATAAGTTGGACAGTAATTATGATGCTATTCTCAGTATCACTTTTATTTAACCCTTTATTGCCTTTTTTATCATATTTGATACATACTTTTAAATATTTCTATCAAATCAATATGATCAACAAATTACTTAAAAAACTACCTGAATACAGTCCGATTAATGATAAAAAAGTCCTCTTGTGGTTTATAATTTTCCAAAAATATCTAATATATTAAAAGAGATAAATAAACATATTTGTTCAATTTTTTTTAAGGAAATTTTGATTTTTTTTTTTTTTCAGCAGTTAGTGGAAAAAACATTTCAGCTACAAAAAAAAAAAAAAAAGAAATTTCTGGGCATAATTTGTGGTTTCAGACATTAAAGGGTTAATCCTTTATTTGTATTTTTAAAAATACAGACATTGTCAATCTGCAACTAAAATAAAGCGTTTAATACCTCTGACTAAATTGATATAACTATCTGAGATTACCGTTAAAAATAATGAATATTTCAGAAATTATTTGGCATACTTTTGTAATTTTTATACAATTTTAATATCATGAATTTATATGTACAATAAATTCTAAACTCCAGTCTCTCTGGATATCAGATTTTTGTCTTTATGATTATTTTTATATCTACTCAGAGTTATTACTTTAAACATTTTATCTTCCTTTTTACTGTCGTTTATTGATCAGAGTACAAATCAGAGGTTTATGGTGCAGAAGAAAAGGAGCAGCAATTTGTACAAATGGATTTAACCTTAAAAAAACTCCTTCTGAATTATACTGGACCAGATCCAGTTAAAGAAACAAGAGTCTTAAGTTCCACAGTATGAAGCCTGAACCATCAGTGTGAAGTATTTTTACATCAGCTGGTCATGGACTGAGACAAGTTCCTTTTAGTGGATCTTTTAAAATTAGGCTTATAACCTCATTCCTTCACTTCCTGTTTGATTCAATTAAAAAGTCCTGATGTAGGTTTCTGGTTATGCTGTTACATTATCAATTATCAATAATATAAAAATAAGTGCAATTTAGTATTTTCAGTTCTGTAAATATATCAATATTTCAACTATCACTGAGTGTATCATGATATTATCTTTATCCTGTAAGCTCTGAAATTCTCCCTGCTGATACATACAGCATAATTACACAGTCAATGTGCCTTATCTTAATTTAACAGAGGTATTTATGTCCCACTGCCAGAGTAAAAATAGTCCCCCTGCAAGGTTGACACGGCTGACTCCATTTACACCTGTCCACTACAGCCACCTCGGTCACACGCACACCTGTTCAGAAGTCGTGTCCCAGACTCTGACATGCACACGAGCACATGCCACATAAACAAATAACAGCCAACTCATGTGCATCCATAAAGTTCACAATGAGAGAAAGACATAAAAGCACTGTGCTTCACATCAGGGCACAAAGACACGGCATCAAAGTTCATGACACAGGATCGAATTTATCACAGTTTTAATGAGAAGATCAGACATATTGCTGTGGTCTTCATCTCTAATTTCAATAACTTAAAAAGCATTAGATCATATATGGTATGATAAAAATGTCATAGTGAAGGATGTTAAAAAAATAATTGTTCAGTAAGATAAAATATCATACAATAGTTTGATAAAAATACCACATAACAGTAGGAAAAACGTCATAGTAGAGTATGTTAAAAAATATCATAGTAAAGTATGATAAAAATATCAAAGTATAGTACAACAATAATGTCAGCAAAGTATGATAAAAAATATATAAATAGTATGATAAAAATTTTATAGTGTAGTATAATAAAATATCATTGTATGGTGTGATAAAAAGAAAATAATATGGCATGATAAAATTGATACAAATATCATAGTATAGTATTATAAAAAAATATAGTACAGTGTGATAAGATAATAATATAGTATAATAAAATTGTTCTAGTAAAGTATGATAAAAACATCATAGTATAGTATGATAAAATTGTCATAGTATAGTATGATACAAATATCTCTTCCTAATATCCTTTCTCTCTGAGGGCCGTTTTCAGAGGAGGGGATTTCACTGCTGAGGGAGGAGACCTGAGGGGAGAGAGGCCAGGTGAGATTGGGCAGTGAGTGTGCGAGAGGGGGGAGGGGCAGGCTCTGTCACCTCTGCTGGTCTGCTGCTGCTGCAATTAAGGGGGATCAGCTACACCTGCTGCAATTAAGGGCAATCAGCTACACCTGGAAAGGTTGCTGGCTACCAGGAGTATTTCTTTGCTGCATGTGATTGAAACTTGGTAGTGTTTCTGTGGTTGTTTGTCAGTAAAAAGCCAGAGCTCTGGAACCTGTTGTCGCATGTTTTTTATTCCACCATCCTGCTCGACAGCCTTTCTGCCCTCAGTTCATCTTGTTAGTGTTAAAGGATTACAAACATCTAAAACCTTACAATGATGAAAAATATTATAGTAAAGTATGATAAAAAAAAAAAAAAATCAAAGTACGGTGTGATGATAATGTCATAGTATAGTGTGATAGAAATGTCAGAGTATAACAAAAATGTCAATGTACAGTAGCATAAAAATATGAGTGTAGTATGATGAATATATGTCATAGTAAAGTATGTTAAAAAATCATTGTAAAGAATGATAAGGTGTGATAATATAGTATGTTAAATATGTCACGGTATAGTATGTTAAAAATTTCAGAGAATAGAAAGATATAATTTCATAGTATACTATGATAAAAATATGTCATAGTAAAGTATATTAAAAATCATCATAGAGTATGATAAAAAATGTCATAGTACTGTGTGAAAAAAAGCCATAGTATAGTATGTTAAAAATGTCATAGTATAGTATGATTAAAATGTCATAATATAGCATGATGAAAATATTATTGTATAGTATGATGAAAAATGTCACAGTACAGTATGATAAAAATGTCAAAGTATGGTAAGACACAAAATATTTGTAAAAAATATTTCAATTATCATAGAATAGTATGATAAAAATATCATAGTATAGTATGATGAAAATATGTCATAGTATAGTATGTTAAAAATCATTGTATAGTATGATGAAAATATTTAATAGTATAGTATTACAGAAAATGTCATAGGATAGTATGATAAAAAATGTCATAAAATAGTATGATAAATAATCGTAGTATAGTATGTTAAAAAATTAAGTATAGTATGATAAAATATAATTGTATAGTACGATACAAAATGTCATAGTTCAGTAAGATAAAAATATCACAGTATAGGATGATTAAATTTTCATAGTATGGTATCATGTCATTGGACAATTTGATTAAAAAAATAATTGTCAAGTATGATAAAAAATATCGAAGTAGCTATATACACTTATCAATGTTTTATTTTTAAAACATCTTTATCCAGCCAAGAATACAAAACAAAATACAGAGCTAGCATCAAGAGAGGCCAAAACAAGTTCAGTTCTCACAGCCTTGAGCCACACAGTAATTATAGTTCTGTGGTTTTATTTTGAACTCATGCCAGGAAATGTGCACCTCTCAACCACAATGAAAAAGAGATAACTGTCAACAAACCAAAGGTCAGGAAATATTTAAAACACTCGACAAGATTCCATCTTATGTGAAGGTTTTGGATTTTCTAGCCACAATAATCTATCTGATCCAACACTGTAACACTGTTTTTACATTAACATAACATGGTACTGGCATTGTCATAAAGTTGTTGCCACATTATCAATATTTGGTAACACTGGCACACTATCGTTGTAGTTGTCATAACATTGTTGCAACACTAAAATAATGTAACATGAGCGTTACACTGTAGAGAAATGGTCATTACACAGTTAAATCAATGAAACACGGTCATTTCAGGAGTGTAACATTGTTATAAAGTTGTCGTAATAATGCTGTAATGCTGTCTTAACACTGTTGGAATATTGTCATAATGTTGTTGTAGCACAGTCATAACATTGTTGTTACATAACACTGAAAAATTACCGTAATATTGTTGTAATGTCATCATTACATTGTAACATTAAAAGTTTGACACTTTGTTACATCGTTGTTTTAAAATTGTCATAATGTTTTTGTAACATTGTCGTAATGTTGTCATTACACTGTTGTATCATTAAAGTGATTTTGTTGTTTTACTGAAACCTTGTTAGATTGTTTTAAAGTCATCATAACATTGTCGTAACACTTGAACATCACACCATTAGACACTTGAAAGAAAAGCCACACTTGTTTTTTACTTTGATAATCCATTAATAAAGTGTGATATCTTATCTGTCCGTTTCATACACATTGGGTGACAAGTGTTAGTTTGTCACCGTCACTGCGCTCTCTTACAGTCTCACTGAAATGCAGTGAACAGTTCAAAACTAAAGCGAAGTATGTTTTATACATCCATCAGCACACATCGGAGAGGAGGAAAAGAGCATAATTTGCTCATCTGTCAGGGCTGACGGAGAGCTACAGCTCTATAACTGAGCTCCTCTTCAGCTGTTACCTCATTTCAGTAAAATCCCACACTCAAACATACCAAATATCTAAGGACGACGCATCTGCTGCTTCCACAAAAAGTGGGATGTCAACACAGTTCAAACACAGACGTCAGGAACGCTCCGCGGCAGAAAAGCAAACTCTCTAAAAAACAGCTGACATGAAGTCGTTTTTCTACCTTCGCTCACATCAAAACTGCGCGTGTGGACAAACCAACAGTGTGACTGTACTTGCGTAAGAATTCAACCATAACACTTCTGACAGATTCATGTGACACCATATCAGCTTTGAGTGAACAAACAACACTCTCGTCGAGACTTGTCATCTCAAACGTCAATGAAGAAAAACAAAAACGGAACCACAGAGTTTTCGTGCTTGTAGAAAATTGACAAAAAGAGGGAAGTACTACTTTTTGTACTATTACTGAGTTAAACTGTGTCTTCAGAGGTTACTATCAAGCGATTTCAGTGTTTGTTTTCCCGACTGACTGATTTCAGCACTGACATCACGTTCTTGCGTCAGGGTTCTCCTGTAAACAAAAAATCGTCCCGAGGTTTTGACAGCCGATAAAGTGACAGGACCGAGAGGGGAGAGGAGTTACGACACCCAACAGGTGGAGCCGACATTTAAGAGCTTCCCCCTGCCCCTCCTTTTTTTCTCTCCTTGTGGGCTTTAAATACCCGCTCTCACCCCTCTCTTAAACAGACCTAGAGCCCTGAACTTGGGTGCCACAGGGACGATTTGGGACAATGACATAAGAGCTAAGAGTTGACCTCTCCTATAAACACACATCACTCTAACACACACCTCTTAACACACCTCTTACAGGTCAACCTAAACTCCTCTGCCCCAAGGACTCACCTCTAATCCTCTCAAAGTGTCTGAGCGACTGGACAACAAAGGTCTGTTGTGACTAAGCATTAGAGGTGGGAGAAAAAAATCAATTCACATAAGTATTGCAATTTTTTTAATTTTTAAATCGATTTTTTTCTAGTGTAAGAATAAATCGTAAAAACTGACTTAAATGTGATAATTAATTTTGGGGGGAAATATGGTTCCTGGGATAGTCAGTAGACAATTATAATCATTCAACAGTTTCATTGGTGCTACAAATGAAGACTAAAAATCGAGAAAATAGACAATATCGTAGAATCGCAATTTAAATCAAATCGGCATCCAAAAAATTCAACTGTTTTAAGGGATGAGGTTTTGATATTTATCGTTATTTTATCAAGAGAAACAGGAAATTGATATTTTGGTTCAAAACTTAAGAAATACACACACTGGAAGTCTGCAAAAGTACAAAACAAAACTTTAGAGGCGGCACTTCGTAGAGTTTTTAGCATCGATTTAAGCTATTGTATAGACTTACGGGAGCGATTTTTCGTGTGATTATTTCGGACGTCCATATTTTTTTTCAAACCCGTATCCTGTCAATACAAACGTTCATATCAGCGATGTTTTCCTGTCCTGCGATATTGTGGCATTTATTTTTTCGGCTCACGGTCAATTTTTCTAAAGTTTCGCATACTGTGTGTCCACTTCTGACCAATCAGATTTCGCGTTGTTGCGACGTCAGATTCACTGGTATATCCAACATGGCCGACCGGCTGATTGTTTACATGTCAGAGAACAGAGTGATTTTTGATAAAAAACACAAATATCACAAAGATAACAACCTGAAGGACAACTTGTGGAGAGTCATAGCGTCGGATTTCTCATATGACGATGGTTTGTGTGCTTTAACAGTTTGCTAAACGTCTTTGTTTTAACTTTCGTCTGTGCTAAGTAACTTTAGCTCGTAAGCTAACCTGTTCAGATACAACATACCATATGTATTTTCTGTCACAGCACCATTAGGTCTCGGTTGTTACCTTACGTTTATGGATTATAGTTTAATGTGCTTATCTGGTACTGGCCCCGACTCAGTACATGCTATCATGACAGACAGACATCTCAACACTAGAGTCTAATCAGAACTGAAAATAGTCAGTCTGCTGTTGTGTCAGTCTTCTCGCTTCCACCCCTGGAAAGTCGCAAAATCGCATCGGGCTTGATGTGTATAGTCAAAATTCGCTTCTGAATATTTAAGGACCTTTAATCAAATTTTTTAAAAAGACAGCAAAGTAAAACTGGTAAGAAAGGAAACAATCATCAATCAGGAATCGTTATTGTCATCATTGTCAGGAGGTTTAACTCTGAATGAAAACAACCCCACTCAGCCTCTCTTTCGTCCTCTTCTTTATGAAGGATTTACGGCTAATATCCCAGAGACCCTGCTGACAGCAGAGCCACTGTGGACCTCCACAGCAAGGCCCGGCTCCAAAACCCCCCAGGATTTATGTTAGTGTTTAGGGGGATAAAAGGCCTAGGACCAGTCAAAGTGTGCCAGATGCCAGACGGATAAACTTCAGGCTCGGTGGGGGGGGATTTCAGAACAGGTGGAGCAGGTGATCAAGGTCAACAGTCCTCCTATCTGCCCACGAACATGATGGGAATAATGCTGACGCTCAAACAGAATGAGGGATTGGGATTCTCCCTCCATAACCACGCCGTGTTTACACACCGCCTGCAGCATCTCAATGCGAACACCCCCTTTTGATTTGCAGCGCACACACCCACTGAAAAAACAGCTTGACTACAACTGCTGTCAATCACGCACGACATCATCTCCACTTGGTTTTCCGTCCACGGCTGAATGACAGCAGAGAGCGGATGGCTAACCTGCTTCAGTCGCTCACTTGTTTTGACATTACCATCTGTCTGCATCCGCACATTAATCGCTCTAGAGAAACATCAGGTGCTGTTCTGCTCCATCATGCTGCCTTACATTGTGTTTCAGGTTGCAGCGCTACCAGAATGATGATGCCTGTCGAAACGCCTTCATGATGAGTGTCCGTGTGTGCACTACAACGACTAACAGGGATTAAAACGCAAGAAAACAGGCCAATCTTTGCTCAAGTTAGCATTCTGTTAGACTGGCACTAACAATCCCAACATGCTGATAAAAAGCCACCCATGTTCACCATCTCAGACCTCTAGCGTCCACCAACGCATCCAACTAGCCATCAATTAAACCACGCCCCTAATAATGTAAGACTTTGAGCATTTATATGGCTAAAACTAAGAGAAAACATAGAAATTCATACTTTGTATATTTTGCATTATTAATAAAATAAGCAATAAAGACCGGATTTTATTTCCCAGCACTTATGGCACTTTCACATCCCACATAGTCTCTTTAAACAACTCCCTAATGAATGTTTTCATAATCGTGTTTGGAGCAGACATCACTCCTTATTCTCTCTGTCTCTCTCTCTAGGGCAGGTGTAATGTGAATACGGCATCCCTGATAGGGCTGGGCGATATGGCCTCAAATTAATATCACGATATATTGATCAGTTCACCTCAATAACGATAAATGGACGATAACGACTCCACAAGCTGCTCACCCCCTCCCACATTAACTTCGTCTACTTCAGCCGCTACAATTTTTGAATCGTCCTCCATCTCCTCACCTGTCTTTCTCTGACGTAGAACAGCGTCTTAAAGGGACATGAGACTATAGCCTACCTACACACATCCAAAACCAACTTTTATTTCTATATTTATTAGACAACGAATATACTGACATGGGCAAAACAATGTCGGTTATTGTGGTAAATTTCAGTATCGGTAAATTTTCAGTTTATCGCCCAGCCCTACCTCCATACCTCCTGTAATGTCATGAAAGCAACGTAAAAGGTCAGATATTTTTCTTGTTACTGGGTCTTTGTACATATCAAGAGTACGGGCTCAAGATAACGTTATTTTGTGAATTGGTGCTGAATAAACTCAGATTGATTGATTGAGATTGAATGTAGGGCTGATCGATAAACCGATAGTGAAATTTACGACAATAACCAATGTCATTTTGCTCATGTCAACATATTCTGTGTCAAAAAAACCAAATCAATCAAAGTTGGTTTTGGATGTGTGTAGGTAGGCTATGGTCTCATGTCCCTTTAAGATGCTGTCCTGCGTCAGAAATGTGACTCCACCCCCATCCAGTCCGTGAGGAGATGGAGGACGGTTCAAAAGTTGTAGAGGCTGAAGTAGACAAAGTTAATGTGGGAGGTGGTGAGCAGCTTGTGGAGTAGTTATCGTCCATTTATCGTTATCGAGGTGAACTGATCAATATATCGTGATATTGATTTGAGGCCATATCGCCCATCCCTAATTGAACGCTACGATAACTGTCAAAGGTAGACTAGACTCATCAAATCCATCAGAACGGCTAACTAAAGTCTGGATCAGGTCTAGATTTCCATGCATCAAACTGGACTGCAAGCATCAGTCATTCTCATGACAGGAAGTGACATGAGTGAGACGCGCACCGGTATTTTACTTTTAGCAGAAAACAAGTCAAGAGCGTTTCTTTCACGTCGTCTCTGTGACTTTAAATAGTCACCGAGGTTCGATGTAATAACTCAGATTTTCCGCTTGCACAGCACACACTCAGCATCCTTGTCTTTCATTGTTCGGTCTAATAGCGCTATCGCCCCCTTTACTTGTTACAGCGGTCACTGATGAATTGACTGACTGCATGATCAATGACGGAGAATAAAGGTGAGTGAGCGGGTTCATGGTCGGTGTCGGCGGCATGCAGAGTCTTTTGTCGTTTAATGAGCTCTGGGCTGAGGAGACTGACGCGGGGGACATAAATTGGTGTAAGTGGTTGTGGAGGATTTATGAGTGTGGCTGGCTGAGACAGAGAACCAGTTGGGGTTGACGAGGAGGAGAAGGAGGAGGAGGTGGTGGAGGAGGAGGAGGGCGGCTGTGTCTAATTTCAGAAGGCGAGTTCTTTCCCTGAAATAAGAGGCAAAACCGTCCTCGCAGATCTGGAGTCAGCTAATTCCAATTTAACTGGAGCTTTGATCGAGAGGGACTAATGTGTGTGAAACTGACGTTAGGCCAGCTACAGTCGCTGCCAGCCCGGCTTCATTACCCAGAATTCAATGAGCCAGGAGGCGAGTCAGCGTCGACCTTGCGAGTCAAACTTCTGCGACCACTAGAAGACCACAAAAAAGGTTATTTAAAGCTCGTGTTAAGTGATCCGAACAACTCTGATTTCCATCTGTTATTCGAAGATTGTGAAACGGCGGCGAATCCAAAGTGACCACATCTGACCGCCGCAACTTTGTTAGCGAAGAGAGACATAAATGCCAAAGGTAGGACCAAGACAACGGCGAATAAAGACGAGGAAAACTTTCAATTCAAAGTACGATTGAGCCGAAGAAGCGTGGTCTCTCCTGCTGCTTCTTCTTTTGAAGCCATTATAAAGTACATAATGATATCTTCATGACCTCAGTCCTATTATAAGAGACCCATCATCTCAGCAGACTTCCAACTGACGACTGTAACTTCTGCTGCCACCTGCCTATAAATATCCGCCTCATGCAGCCGGCGTTCAGCCCCAACAGTATGATCTTAGACAGATGGAGTTCGTCTCATCATGAATGGACGTTATAACTCAACATTTGAGACATGAGGTGTCGTTTTGTAGGTGTTCAGCCATGTTTCCTCTATGCGTCATCTGTTACCGAGGTCACGAGCTTCTGGCGGCTTGTGGCTTTCTGCTTCCTCATAAACACGAGTCTCCGTTTTCAACACCAGTGACAAGTCGCCGATGAAGAAAAATGGCTAACGCTGGACTCTCGTTCTGGGTGTGCTCTACCCGCCTCAGGCTTTGGAGTCCCACAAACTCACGTGGAAGGGCAGGGAGCACACTCTCTTTGATTTGACTGAACCGTAGTGACCCCGATTTCAAGAGCGCAACTTTTCCAACCTCTTATTTTATTTGGAGACCCACAGGATGGCTCTGATCAGATCAAGATGGCCGCTCTCACAGCCTCATCAATCACCATTTGTACTTTCACCCCGCGAATTCTGACACCAATCTGTATCGTGTGTCTTCAGACTGGTGTCCCAATCCTCAAAACGACCCACAAGGCTCACAGGAAACACACTTTCAGGCTATTATAGTACGGCGTATGAAGAATATGACACACACACACAGACACACACATAGACTCCTCAGCCCTTCTTACGGCCCCCCAGGGCTCCTGCGCAGGCACTAAAGCAGTTTATAGAAGCCTCCCTACATGGACACGGCTTCTGGAATAGCAACTGCTATTTGATCTGACTGCAGGCTCTCTCACCTCTCCACTTACGTTAAACCCTTGTACACCTTCTCTCCACAAGTACCGCACAACACAGACGGAGCGCAGCATTAATTAATGCCGCTCTTACGGCGCACCTGCCCTAAAATGTAAAGATTTGACGGTAAAATACTGTAAAGTTTCACAAAACAAAAACATCTCATATGTAGAGTCTTGAAAAGTGTTTTATCTCTCAGATTAGTTCTTGTTTGTTTACCGGCGTTAAATACTGAGAGAGGAAATTTAGAGTAGAGAGGAATAATCGTTTTAATCTCTCAAATGTGTCGCCATGTGCTCCACTGGTCCTGAGGGGGCAAATATGTCAGTTCAACCGGGTAACTGTTACTGCGCCGAGATCACATGACTCTGACAAAGTGAATCATGGGAGGGAATCTAAGAAGACCTCCTCCCTTTTTTTTCCCATGGTACTGGGGTACAGTAGCAGGTCTAATGGGCTGAATAACTAATGGATCAGATAGAGACAAAAAGGATGAGGAGTCACCACCACACTTTATATCGTCACATTTTATCCGCTAGAAAAATGGCGCCTGACTTGTGTGAATACATTCTGTCTCAGGTACGAGGAAATATCACGCTACATTGTTATGTAACAGCGAAGGGAACATATGGAGAATTCATGATCCTCGGATTTCACTTCATCACTGCAGGCTTTACATGAATCTCACTGAGCATCAGAAACTTCCTGATGAAAATCTCTCTTTTTTTTTCTACTTTACACGACATAAAAACGACATTTCTATAACGCCAGATATCTTCACACTAAAGTCACAGGTAGACTCCTAAACGAACCGGGTAGAAGGTGCCATCAGTGACCTCATCTGCCTGCTGAGCTACTGTATGATTTATTAAAGCGCAAAATGTAATCAGACAGGAATAGATTTGATTATGCAGCACCCTGAGATCTCCGCTCGCCCACGCAGACACACACATTACATTAGGCTGAGTGGATAATATCACGTTACTTAATGTTTCTTTATTAAAGCCGGCAATCATCACTCTTTTGGACACTTTATTCGTTTTACTAGAGGTGGGAGCTGTTGGAGATATTCAAACTGTGTCAAAAAATAATAACGCTTAGGATGAAAAAGGATTATAATGAATCTTTCCATAAGAGTAATTATGTGTAAATAATCACTAAATTAAGTCTGACGCTCCTGCATTAGCGTGATCTGTTGACATTGTTATTGAATTTAGATTAACTTCGACACAAGGCTGGGTGATAATTAAATGTATCATCAAAGCCTTTAAATATACAGTGACAAAATCCCCCCGTTTATTGAACAGGCCAGAGTGTATATGTGGCTAATTGAGGGATTTTTAACTAATCTAACTTCATTATAACTAAAAGACTTGTAATGGTAGTATTATTAGTGGGTGTAAAATCAACAATGTCTGTATTAGCACAACAAAACAATGACGAATTTTAAACTTCTAATGGAAAATCTGACTAATAGATCAGCTAAGTGGATAAAGAGCTTGATAAATCTGTTATGACTATTTCTAGGTCTACTTTTTCCTTTCTTGTTTTTACTTATTTCTGCAGAAAGATTGCAAAGCATCCTCAATCTATCAACTGTAATATCCTTTTTTAAAACAATCATCAATGTGTTCAGTCTTAAAGATAAAGTCAGGGATAATCAGTCAGAGATAACAACGATCCATCTCTCATAAATCTATATTTCTCATTTCTAGGATTTCTAGGATACACAATCTTTAATTGGACGAGTATCTGGGGTAAAAAAAAAAAAAACGCCAAAATTAACGACCCTGTCCTTTTCTTTCGATGCGTTACGCCGGATAGATAATTCAACTCTATTTTGCTGACTTGTGAAAAAGATTGAAACTAAAAGCACGGATCGGTTCGCTAGCAATCGACTAAATCTCCTTGATGATATATATAAACCAATGTCATGATGTACAGTTAAGACACGCTCTATTTCTAATGTCCGGGATCAGATTCCGCCGCCGAGTGTGTTGACAAACATTTTACTGGTGAGTCAAATGTTGAGCAGCTTTTTCCACTGAAATTTCAAGGATAGAAGGGAGGACAGCTGGTGCGAGGATTTCCTTTCATATTCATTTCATCGCAAAATGATGCAGCGGCTATATTTATGGACTGATATCAGCTCCTTAATCTAGATTTTACATGCCAAGAAGAGCAAAGGGGTACGATGACCTGCTCCCCTGAGAGGATAGGGAGGCGCAGATTAAGAGAGAGGCTGTGGGAGGTCTTTTTAGGGGTCTAATTTATCATTTTAAACACTGACAGGTTGATGATAAGACAAAAAAAGAAAATAATTATTGTAAAGAACAAGACAAAGGAAGTGTTAAACTGAACTGAGGAAATGACGGGAAAAAAAAAACTCAAGAGGAGGTGGCAGAAAAAGAGGGAGGGAAGGAGGGAGGCTCGAGCCAAGCAAGTTGAAAGTATTTTTAGTTTGATGTTTATTTGTAGGTCTGTGAAACCAACCCGGGGTGTATATCTACCAGCCTTGCCATCTCTCTCTCTCTCTCTCGCTCTGTTACCATCTGTTGAGGTCTCTCAGCCTGTCACAGAGCTCTGACTCTGAAGACTGGGAAATCTTTGCAATGACAGAATAATTCAGCAGATTTGGACACAAGGTATAATTTCTACAAGTCCTTGAAACATGCTGCTGTTTCACTGCTCTACGCCGTAATATATCATAATAAAGCACATAAGGTATTAACAGATCAAAGTAGATCAATTATCCCTGTAGGAAAACTGAGAATACAGCAAATGTCACATCATTTGAAATAAGAATGAGTTTATCTACAACTATTGGTGCACTGATAGCTGTTCAGACATAACACTAAGAAATTTGACTCGTTGATAAAATGACATACTTACTGTTAATGGTAAACATTTCAGTGATAAAGGGATTAAATTAAAAGTTTTAAAAGCCAGTATTAGCTTCACTTTTAACTCTTTCCTTGCTTAAGGATTGTGAAAAACACAAGAATAAAGTAATGACACTATGTTGTCAAATAAAGCACAAGGTAATGCACTAAACTGACAATAATTAAGCTTTTTTCCTGATTCTTTCTGAACCATCAGTTTATACTCTGCCTGAGAGTGATTTAAACCATTAAAACTTAATTAACTTATGTCAACTAACCCATACTTACAAGAACATATTTCAATTTAAAGATGGTATTAAAAACTTCAGTTTCTGAATCAGTTTAAGGTAGCTGCGCATCATTTTATCAATAACTTTGAATCTATTTTTAATTACGTCCATTTAAATGTCACGAGTCTACTCTTTTATTCCAGAATTAGAGATTTTAAAACGTCTCCATGATAATAATTATTGTATAAAGACATCTAAGTATCCTACTTGTCTTTGCTAGCACTCCTACTTGAATGTTAGCCAGCTAGCTAGCTAGCCAACCGCTTAAGCAACTTGATCGATTCATTCAGACTGCGCCAACAGTTACACTCGATTTTTTTTTAGGTGCTCCCTCTCTTTAATTCCACGTAATAACTTTCTGCACTTTTAAAAACATGTAGAAATGATTAACCTGTCAGCTACTTGAAGCTTTAACCCTGCTTTGGGATTAGCGGCGCTACGATACAGAAACTGGACGAGCTACTTTGTTGTTAACGGTCATCAAACATGGCGGCCATGACACAGCAATCTGTAAAGCCCACGATAAGCTAGCAAACCAAATATAGACAATATCTTTATATTTTACTGACTAATTTCCGTCAGTTTCTGTGGTCTAACAACAGTAGTCTCTGTTCGGGGTGTTGTTTTGTCCACTTTTTGCGGTGTCAGGCGTTATTTTGCTCCAACAGCTCATTAAACGCAGCTGTCAGACTCGTCCTCCGAGCGGGACAAGACCAGCTGGTTGCCGAGGTAACCGCTGACCTCTTAGCCCGGGTTAGTTTGATATAACAACAAACTAAAAGATATTTTTGATGTATCGTGTGAACAATTTATTATTATGCATTTTTAAGTAGAAAAATCGATATAAGTAAGGACAGAAATACACAGACGTCTTAAAATCTTCACTTCAAGTCAGTTCAGGTACGTTTTGCATTCACGCTGTTTCTAACGTTTTTATCTCAACCCAAATAGTTTAATGCTATGAGTCATTTTCATACAAAATGTGGTCCAAAGACTCAGGAGGGCGGTATTATATTTAGACAGTCTTCGCAAGGCAATCGGGGGTAACTGAAAGACAACACTGAGAAAGTTCCTCGGCCTAAAATATCTGCCCACACAGCTTCCAGCAGGACTGAAGTGCCAGGTGCGAGGACAGCTAAAGCGCAGATGCCCAGCTTCATGTGAGATTTAGACTGTTTTAGACCTACAAGGTTGGAGGAAATGACTGTGATTCTGAAACCATGTTATATTTCGTACAAGAATGCATAAAAATGACACTCCTTGATGGCACAAGTGCTTGGTTCAATCTGTGCGTAATTGCGCACAAGCTCCTACCCACACCTACCTTCCTCTGCTGCTTCTCCCAGGCAGGGTCCAGCAGCAGGTCCCTGTCCCAGTCCTCCTCCTGGGTCATGTACGCTTCTTCATGGTGGATCGTGTAGGAGTTGCTGTATGTTATTTGGGTTTCGACAGCTGTCATCGTGCCGCCTCTGTCAGGACTTCACGTCCCCCTCAGCTTACAAGAAGAAAAATTAATCAGCAATTGAAACGACGACGACGCCGTGAGGGCAAGAACCTCGCTTGAAGGGGGGGAAGACAGTAAGGGGCTGCGGAGACTAGACTCCACTGGTGCGAGGTGCCTGTGCGGAGGTGGTGCTCCCACTACCAGAAGACCCTGCTGGCCGGTGCTCCTTTCCTGGTCAAAAGTGGCACACGTGACCGCACCCCAATAAGTATGGGAACCGACCGCTTGGGTATCAGGTTCTGACCCTAAAAAGGTGTAAAAGGCGGGGTAGTCTCCCGCGGGGCAGGGTTAACTGGCCCGTGAGTGGGGTAGAGAGACGTCAATTACGCCTCCTTGCACCAGGGAGGATTTTATGACTTGTGCCATGCACCTGTTGCTGTAAGTGAATCTCAATGGCAGGCACAGGCTTCTGTGGATTCAGCCCACCTCTACAGGAAAATTTGATATAAGGACTGAATTTCAGGTAGTTCAAAAATGACATTCAATAAGTTTTGGAAAGTTCCTCGCTATAAATACAGCTCTGTAGCTTTGGAGGCAAAGAAGCTCCTAGTCTGACAAAGTGATAGCACCTCAAACTGTCTTTAATACACATCTAAAAAAACAATGCTGCAGGTAAATGCACACTAGAGGCAGTTTTTAAACTCCAAACTGAATGATTTTAGTCTATCAAACCTGAGTTATATCAGGCATTGCTTGACTTTTCCCTCTGAACGTGTGTAAAAAGAGAACAAAAGAGATTCACACTTTTTAATGTGAAAAATGAATTTATTAATGATTTGCATGCACACTGAAAAACGCCTTGCATTATAAGAAATACATATTAAAAAGGCATATACATATATGCACAACTGTACAGTATAATATATGTTTATATAAGGATTTGTCATTCACAGTAAACATTGTAATGAAACATTTTTATCTAACATTCATCGGCTAATATCCCCCCTGCAGCCATCCCATTTGACTTTCCTTGAAACGAGCGGGTTGCTATCTTTTCACGGTGACACATTATTCAGCCAGCCACCCTGGATGATGTATCTTTGGGAACTAGAATGGTTTGTATTATAATTAATCAGGCGTGTAAATGTAACTACACTATTCTTGGTCCATTAACCTACTTGAAGACGCTTAGCTACTGTGTGACTATATGTGGTTACCATTGGGTACATGACTGTGCTGCTACTGAAATAAGGGGATTAAATGGGTTGATCACTGTAAACATTATGGAACTATGAGAGTTTTAACATACACATTCACAGGGGGTCAACAAAGTCATACGAAAGTGTTACCCACGGCATTAGAGATTCCCATTTGTTTTGATTCTGGAAACAAAACCTTAAAAAAAATAAAAGGTTATGTCTTAAACTGCATTCACCATATTCACTCCAAGGCCATTTTCCTCAGTAGTGCCTCTTGTGTGGTGTAAGAAGTTGCTGTTTTAATTTCATACAACTTGGTTTTAGGATTGCCAATCATGGAAATGCAGCAAATCTGACAGATAATAAATTGATAAACCACGGGAGGTATAGAGCTGGGAGATTATAGTGAGCGAAACAATTCTGGATAAACTTATTTCTCTATCCACACCCTGTTCGTGAGTAAACTTTTTGAAAAAGTAACTCTGCTTCAGAAGCTCGTTGGTTCACGTTGCTATTTAATACTGTCTACAGATAAAACAATTTTTGATTATTTATCCAATTGGCTACGAACAGCAAAGTCAAGAGGCTGGCGTAAGAAGTCACCCACTGAGCATTTTTTGGTCTAAAGAAGGTCAAATAGGCATCTAAATGTAGCCTAGATGACTGGGCTAAAATTAGGCTACCACAGATCTAAAAATTCAAGTTTTTTGGACATCTAAATTTAGACCAAGTTCGGACCAAAGGTGTGTCCCAAATCGCATACTTCCATACTAAATACTTAAAATTTTGAGTATACTCAACTCAAAATGGAAAAAGTATGGATAGTATGCAAAAAATTGACTATGCAAATGACGTACTCAAATCGGTCAAGATTTTGAGTATGCGACTATGACATTCGTCTGCACTCATTTCATCAGTAAGAATGGCTGCAGACGGCTGTGGGTGCCAGTGGGTATTTAGTAGTATTTAGTATGGAAGAATGTGATTTGGGACACACCACAAGTCTAAATCTGGGCTATATCTATACTACACTGTAAATTGCTCAATGGCTATCATAATTATTTTGGTTAAGTACTTGGAGATCAGTTATGCAACTCACAGTTGCTGTTTGAAATAAATAGTTATCAAATGATGGGTTAGAGTGCGACATCCAAATTCCATCTAAAAATAAACAGAATCTAGACGATTGAAATTAGGTCTAAAAAAAACTAGACGTCTAATAGCTGTCTATTGCTCAGTGGGGAAAGTCAATGCTAACATTTCGTTAGGTAAAAATCTAGGCCTTTCCTATTGTTTTAGCCACATAGGGAGCTATGCTAGCTAGGAAGAGGTTGAATGCCAACACTTGCCATGGTCCAATTTGTCCGATTTTGATACAAACTACAAACTCAAATATGTTTTAAAATTCAAACAGCATTTTAGTTCCTCACCTTGAGCACATTGTCAGAGGGAAATGGCCATCGTTTGAATGTGATGATGTTTATACTTCAGGTATTCGAGTCGTGCACAACCCTTGTGTATGAGGTAATAGTTGAGGTATGACTCTACTGCAAATGTCTCTCTGTGGAAAGAAAGATTGGGCAAAAGTAGAGTGATAAAATCTACGTGGTTTCACATTTGTGCTAGAGCAGCTAGAAAAGTCACGGTTACATTTGATACTGAATCTCAACTTGCAAACTCAAAAAAGGCAATATGGTTTAGAAGTTGTGCTCAAACCAATCTCCACCGGTACCTGCTGCAGGACAACAGATGGACCCTGTTGAATCCCATCAAAACAACACAATGCAAAGAGATGTGTGCTTAAAAGAGCGTCTGCATTAAAGTTATTCAGCAGTCCAAACCACAGACGGTGAAGGGGGAGTCAGGGGGGGAGATTGGGTGAGGAAGTGGAAATAAGGAAGAGGCTGCAGTGGGCTTTGGCTGTCAGAATACTGAAACTGAATTCAGAGCAAGGGAGGTTCAGAGATGCGTGGCTGCATTCACCCAAGCACATGAAGCCCAGCAGGCTCACAAGCGACTGAAGAAGCTTTCATTTAGGAGTTAGGGGTGTGGAGGTTGGACGAGGGGAGAGGCGAGAGGAAGAAAACTAGGGGTACAATGTGCACTGATGACGGGGGCTAGGAAGGAAGTTGGTACTTGATGCTATTAAACTACAGCTGCATTGTTGTTTGGGTAAAATTGGCTTGTGTGCGGGGAAATTCTCTTCTTATGCAGACGATACTATCCTCTTTCTTTGGAATATCTATTCAATAATGTTAAATTTAAACACAAACGGATAAAATGTATCCAAGGAAGTAACGTTAAGAGTCAAAGCTGGATCGTGAAATGACTATTTTACCAGTACAAGGATCAGGGTGTTTTCAGGATTGTCCAAGACCAGCACTGGGTTGCTCCAGCTATGCCAGAGTTCAAATGAAGCCTAGCTTGAACGTATTACAACTCACGCTCTTCAAGGGTTCAAAAAACACCCCACTGAGAAATAAGCTGTTCACAATGATTGGTTAGTCTGGTTAGTTATGGCTTTAAAGTTGAACTGAATTAACTAGTGCCAACATATGGTTTAGTGAGGGCTTAAGACACAACTTAATCAGGGCTGGTGCAACAGGCCACAGAAAAGTAAGATTAGAAAGCAGCTTTGGACAAAAGGCCTCTCCGCTACCTACTCACCTTATAATCATCTTAACTATTCAATCCTCCTTCTTCCCTTTCTTTTGTTCATTAGGCCGCCAGAAGGCCTTCCTCCCCTCTTTGTCTCGACTCCATCTCGCAGCTGTCAGAGCGACTCATTCGGCACACTTGAAACTCCTGAGCGTGGGATTGTTGTGGGGTATACCAAGGGTACAGCTCTCTATCTCAGCACATGGGCAATCTTAACAGGTAGAAGCACACAATTCACTCAGAAGCACATATCCAACCAGTCCAGTGGATCCCAATTTTGGAGAACTAGAGCTGCCGTACCAGAAAAGTCCTATAGGAACCCTGAGATTGATGAGAATCTACAGGTTAGACTAGCCTCATACCTAGGCCTATCTTATAGGATGTTTCTGATAGGCACGCAAGGCTGTGAGGGACCCAAAGGTAAGAAAAGTGTTTGAGGCCGATTGGCAGCTTGAGACGTAGAAAGAGGAGTTAAAACTCTTCCACAGCCATGCAGAACAAACCCAGCATTCAAGAGTTCTAGCAAAGCGACTCGTCCAACTTCAAAGTCTCTCTGCGTCATGTCACTAAGTCCAGTGGTGCCTCTCTGCTAACAAAGCAGGGCGGGGAGGTTGGGGTCAGGTGGGTGGTTCTGGGCTGTGAAGTCCGAGCCAGAGCCACAAACTCTGATCCAAAGTGGCGACGGCGGTGGCGGCGGGAGAAAGCGCGTGTGTGTGGGTGAACGGCGGAAAGTAGAGGCGCATGGGGACAGTAGGGTGGGAGCTGAGAAGGAGGGGAGGGAGGGAGGTAGGGAGGGTGGGTGGGAAGAGGGGTGAGGGCGGCGAGTACGGCGGTGGAGAGGAGTTGACTAGCGGGCAAGGGGAAGGGACAGGGTTGGGCCGCATGTGCCAAGCCTCACCAATCAATAATCACCACCCAAGAAAACCTTGGCCATCCATGCTCTCTCTCTCTCTCTCTCTCTCTCTCTCTCTCTGTTCAACACACACAGACACACACACACCTCACACACACACTCGTCTCTTTATTCACTTGCTCACACACCAGCAGGACAGAAAGGACACAGTCAGTCGCCTTGAATGCTGATGCGAGACAGGACTCAGTCTTGTGGAAAGGGTCCTAACAGCACTCCACCCTCCCCATCCCGCCCCGCCACCGCCACCGGCGGCGCTGCCATTGCAGCAGAGGAGGAGTTACGGATCAGAAAGAAAGGGGAGGTGGTGATGGCGGAGGAGAGGAGGGGGGTGGGGAGTGTTTTGTCAAGGCACAGTCAAAGGAAGGTGCGGCAGGGTGGGGAGAGGAGAGGTCAGTGCTTTTGGTTTTGGTTTCGTTTTTGTCATTTACCTTGGTGGTGAAGAGAGAGAGAACAAGTTCCTGCTGTGGTGGCGCGGCGCTAAAAGTCCTCCCCATGGCTCACGCCGTTAGCTCACGCACGGCTGCACACTGGCCGTTCCGGGTGGCACGGTGACCTAATTCAGTTGAGATAGTTAGTTCAGAGCTGGACTGTCGCGGGGGTATTGTTTTTTTTTTTTTTTTCTTGAGCGGCAAAGTTACAGATTATCATACATGCAAGTTTTGAGAGTAGAGTGAACACAGAGACACACGGAAGGGGAGAATTTGGTGCAGCAGGGAGAGACCAGACCAGACCAGACGCACACCCATCAACCCCAGGAACAGGACTGCTCCACAGATCAAAATGCACCCAGGCCATTCTATCTGTGTGCCTCTCCCCAGCTCTCAACATTGCTTCACAGTGTGTGTGTGTGTGTGTGACAGACTTTCTCTGTCAAATTTAAAAAGGACTGTGCCAAAAGTTTCTTGCCCAGATTGCACACTGATTTTTGTCAAGTGCAAACCTCCTCCATAAATCTGGGGGTTGCACTCATTTTTGAGAGGCTGGAGAGAGATAGGAGCACCAACCCGAACTTACCCTGACCAAAGAGAGCAAAGCTGGGCCAGCATCTACACCTGTCTCCCCCTGGGTCCCCAGTCAAATGGGTCTGGTGGTCATTTTACACAAGAGAAACAGAGAAACATAAACAAGAAGGGGAAATGTCCAAACCCTTTGCTTTCTTTTGCCACAGTAGTCAGCCAAAACATTCTTTATTATAATAATGATTATAGAATACATATTCTCAATAAAAAGCATGCCGATTTTTACTTTCTTTTTTGTCTTTTCCTAAAAAAAAGGCAAAATTAAAATATTCATCTAAAAAATACGGTCTTAAACATGGCAAACAAGACATTTCGCAAACCACAGAATTCTACAAAGGATGCAACTGGTATGTGTCTGTATATACAACACAGAGAGATTACACTGTGAGATGCAAAAGTCACTTAACCACTAAAAACCACACAGGGATAGGGGAAGGGGGGAAACAGCGAGGCAGTAAGGTGATTTCAGAGGGTATGACTGTGTGTGCATCAGACTGCTGACAGAAAGTAGTCGCAAGAAAGATCCAGGTAACTGTTTTAAATGATTGTAGGACCAAATAGGTGGAATTAGGGCCTGTGTCCATCAAACGCCTCAAGTGATATATCGACAGAAATCAGAGTTCCAAGAGTAAAAATAAAGTTTATTTCTAAGTGAAATGAAGAACGGAGACTTCTGATATCACTGTATAAGCAAAAATGGAGGACAAACAAACCACACTTTTTTTTTTTTTTAAAGGTACAGTTCAGCACAACTTAACCGTCACTATGTAGAAATACAGGGATTTGACGAAACCATGAGGCAAACTCAAATGAAGCCAATATGTTCAAAAACAACTCTAGTCTAAATATTCGTTCTTTGATTAGAGCCTACTACATTGGTTTAGATCTTAAGATATTAAAGCTCCAGTGAGGGACTTTTGGTTTGTGGCGCCCTCTTGTGGACAGAGCGGTATTTACTTATCTTGTCATGCTTAAACATGCTTCAAATAAAAGGACTATTTCTGCAGTCACACCGTTTTCAGGCATTAAAAATCATAATGTAGACATCGTCAATCTTGTTGCTGTCGCTTTTGGATATCATGATAAGGATTTCAGTCAGTTTCATTGACATAAGAAAAGGAAAGAAACTCCTCATAGGAGCTTTAAAGTTCAGAGTTTACTATAAGTAGGGAAATGGCTCTTAGCCTAGATCTGTTTTTACTAGATCTGTTATTTTTTCTTTTTTTACAGTCTATGGATGGAACTTTAGTAGCCAAACCACAGCGCAAAAAAATGGTGTTGATGGACACAGGCCCTTAATCACTCAGGGTACGTTCAAGAAAGTCCGACTTACACCCCACCTGCTTGATCCAATAACTGGATTAAAACATCACTTGCATAATTCTGCAATTACAGTCTGAGGCAAGTCCGGTATTTGAAAAAAAGTAGGAAAGTTGGGCGACTAGAAGACACTGCCCCATCTCTCACTTCATTGGTGCTATCACTGTCGTTTCTGCTTCAAACCAGCGGCTAATTGCGAACCCGTAAAGGCTCAGTTTGTGGCTTTTTAAAAACGCTATGATATGAAAAATATCTAACATGTGTGCAAGTCCACGACAAAAGCTTTACTGCTCTGAGCCCTGTGGATGCTAAGCTCCGCTGGGGCCACGATAAGCCTCCACCCCCCCCACACTTTGAAATGATTAAAAAAGTCAAAAGCACTTAAAAAATGGGAGACGACTCCTCTTAATGCACTTCACTCAAAGCTTAAAGGCACATAGTTTAAGCTTGTCACATATCATGAGTCCAAGTAGGATGCAGTGTAAAGATCATTGTAAACAGCTCATTCAGTAGTCACACATGGGTTTGTTTTTCAATACAATTCATTACATCCCAGTTTGACTAGTAAAACATGAAGAGAAACACTAAAACAAACGAAACACATTAAGTATCTATGAAAACAAGGCCTCTGAATAAGTAGGAGGACTCAATACGGAATATCTACAAAAGTCATTCTCGCCAAAATCTGGCCTCTTAAACTGCGTCTCCTGTCTGTACCTTCACAAGGCGCATGAAATCAACTCATGACCGGTCTGAAAGTGTGAAATAGACTACACTGAAATTAACTGTCAGAGGTAGGCAGCTGTAGTTAGAAAGAGAGATGAAGCAGTGTCTTCCAGTGTCGTAGTTAAAGAGTACAGGGGGGGAAACGGGGTCAAGGAGAGATCCAAACATACAATACAGTACGTATAATGTGTGCTTTGAGTATTTTTTTCTCAGCAAGGCGCAGTCGTAGCTGCTGCGTTTGTGCGCTGCAAGGTCAGAAGCCCGCACGTGTCTCTCTTTTACACTCGCTCACGCACACTACATCCATGTCACGTTCAGGACAAACACCCCCAACCCTCCCGTAAAACAAAAACCTTGGTTCTGTTTGACACAAAGCAATGCAGCCAGAACACAATGTGTGTTAATCTCACTTCCCATCCGACTCAATTAGAAACTCTTCAAAAATAAGGCAAAAAAGGTTTAAATTAGCTGCCCTAACTGATCATCTAGGCCTAAAGAGAATGGCTGAGAGGTTCAAAAACCAGTGTCTTCAATCGTAGGTTTGGCCGTAGAAAATCAAAACTGGGTTGCAGAAATTAAAGGCATATGGAAGGACTGACACGGTCAGCCTAATACTGGCACAAGTGTGAGACTGGCACGATACAAAAGTAAAACTGAGATGCACAAAGAATGCCCGTTCAACAGATGAGGAACTCCCTTTCTTCATGGCTGCACTGTGTGTATGAAAACAGAACCAAGGTCGGCTGATCAGGTTCCTCCTCATAAAGCAGGTTAATAAACTGAGAAGCCCCCAGTTTCAGACCTTACCCCACACACTCGTTCACACACACACCCGCACACACACAGCTGCTGTAAGGTGATCAAGTTTGGGGTGGAAGAGGAGATGTGGGGTCGGGGGTTCAGGGCAAAGAGGGAGAGGTGGGGGCAGAGAGTTGTGTGCGACTATCGGAAGGGGGGCTCAGGCGTGTGAAGGGAGAGTTCGGGGCGGCGGAGGATGGCCTCCTTGCGCGTGGGCGGCGGCAACGGCGGCTCATACACCCTGGGCGCGGCCATGGCGGCTGCCACTGCCGCAGCGGTGGGGACCACTGGCCTGAGGGCGTCCAGCGTGGCGACTGGCTGAGCTGACATCGCGGCGGGGACTGCTGGCACTCCCGGCATGCCAGCGATGGCTGTCACCGCGGTGGGCGGTGGGTAGGCATACTGGAACTGAGGGTACTGCTGCAGCTGCTGGTAGTACTCAGCATAGTACCTGAGAGGAGAGAGGAGACGGGGGGGAGGAGTCAAGGTGGGAGGGGGAAAGTGAAGCAGGTAGGAGGACAGCAAAGGCATTAAAGGGGGTTATTCACAACACATCTGGAGAGGCAAGGGCTGAGAAAACTGCTGATGTGCAAAATAAGAGCAGATAGAAGCTTGAGGAATTCACGCAAAATCCAACTATTCCACGGAGCGGCTGGTTAGTTGAGGCACTGTTGGTTAAGGTGACGGACAAAGATCATGTCCTACCTGGCCATGGGGTCCTCTGCAGCCTCCACTGCCTCTTCTGCCGCCCGACCAGCTGGTGTGGGGAGCAGGGGTCGCCGTGGCTTCGCTCTCTGGTACATAAACGGCTTCATCACTGGGTCCGGTAACAGAGGAACTGACCTCCGCAGGGGGCTACGATCCCTCTCACCAGACTTTGCCGCAGCTGCCGCCGCTGCTGCTGCAGCTACTGACTGCTGCTCGGCGACAACCTGCTGGCCCTGGGCAAAGTAATGTGCCTGCCTGGCTGCCTCAAAGATGGCTGTGGTGGGGTCGGCTGCTCCCATGGCGCTTATGTGAGCGTAGGCTGGTGTGGCGGCACCATAAATCGCTGGAGATACACTGTAGGCTGGGTTGACTGCTGCTGCTGCTGTTGGCATTTCTATTCCAGGAGCAGCAGCCAGGTAGACCTGGGGGTTGGCCACAGTTGGGGTGTAAACTTGAGTAGAGTAAGCAGCAGCTGCTGCAGCTGCAGCGGCAGCCGCTGGGGTTGCAGCCATCTGGCCATAGATGTTGGGAGTCACTGAGCTGTACATCTGGGTGGCCCCTGATGTAAGAGCTGCCTGATTGGCCACAGTTCCATAAAGCTGATTGGCAACATTGGCACCATAAACCTGGCTGGCAAGGGCGCCATAAACAGCTGGATTCACTGGGTTTCCGTCAGTACGTGTGCCTGTGGTGATCCCAGTGAGGGCAGCGTAGGTGGGATCAAAGGTGGAGGTGTTATAGACTGAATTGTGCACACTTTGTTGAACCTGGAGGGGCAGGCCGGCAGCTGCAGCAGCAGCGGCTGCCAGGACTGCTGCTTGACTCTGGTACTGCTCAAGAGACGGCTTCCCTACAGGGCACTCTCCAGCATAGTGGCCCTGTTTTCCACAGTTAACACAGGGGATTTTCCCTGTTGGTGCTTGTTTGCTGGGCTGGACCTTGGACAGCTCTACAGAGAGGGGGCGGCCCTTAAAAGAGGTCCCATGCAGAGCCTCGATGGCCTGGAGAGCGTCCTCCTTGTTTTCCATGTGGACGAAGGCATAACCTGCAGAAGAGGAATGCCTGGCTGTCATTGAGCGCAGGGACAACAATTAGGATCAAAGTGGCATCGCCACATCAACTTACTTATTACTTCTACCAGATATAGAAACAGCGCCAATAGAAACTGTGTTGTCCGGATTTACTGAAAGGATGTCGTATTTTTCTTGTTTTTACATTAAAAACTTTGCAAAAGAGTCAAAAACTTTTTAGACTCTAACAGTTTGACTTTGACGTGTATACAAAAGGTCTTAGCATCACAACATTTGAAATTAGACCTTTAGACATGATGTCTTAACAGACCTAGCTTAAAGGAGACCTACTATGCTCAAAAACAGCTCTGTTCATGAATTTTTGCTTTGGCTTCTTGTCTGCTAAAAGTGAAACACAGCTTTGGGGGTGTTACTTTTTAACACAGCTGTTTATATATGACACAACCTGAATGTGCTGCCTGGCCCTGGGTTTCAGCTCATTCTGGCCTTTGTTTACAAAGGACTCATCAGTGGAGTGGTGAGCACATACAGCGATGCCTTGGCCGTTATTGTCCTGAAAACACAAGAACTTCCCAGTGTCTTCTAGCCATGACTGTTCTTCACAACCAGAGGAACACTTCAGGCCAACTTTCCGAGACATACTGACTCAACAAAGTGCAAATCGGAGGTAAAGTCAATAGGTGAAACGGACCTTCCAGGCAAGGGAAACTTTAAAATAAGATATGGATTTGTTCTTGGAGAAGCTGCTAGGTGGGCATGTCTTTCAAAGTTGTCCTAGCTGATGTCAGGTTCAGACCAAGTCATGCCAAGTTATTAAAACAAGTCTTTCCAAAAAGTGTGAAAAAACATCCAGGGACTACGCTAGCATCTGTGTACCTTATGTTTTGAAACATTACCAGGTTAGGAATGAACATCAAACATTTAAACATTGCATAGATGGAATAAAATATGGATCAGCATACTAGGTCTCCTTTACACTTTAGTTCCCCAGGTGTAAGAGTATCTTGCCCAACCCCAAAAAGAAGGGACAGGGTGAATTTAAAACTACCAAAACAATTCACACGATCTCTACTCACCTTTGACTTTGTCACACTCAAGAACTTTCCCAAACGTCTGGAACAGCTGCTGTAGGTCTTCGGTGGTGCACATCCCACTCAGATTACCCACAAACACCTTGGTGGAGTGTAAAGGCCTTCCCCTCGACTCCTCCACCACCAGATTCCGTCCACGAAACTCCCGTCCATTGAGTTCCCGGATGGCACGCTCGGCAGCGCCCTCGCCCTGCAGGTGTACGAAGGCGAACTGTCGTAGCACGCTGCAGCTGACCACCTGGCCGTAGGGTTCGAAGATGGCTGAGAGCTCTTCCTGGGTGGTGTCCAACGCCAGATTGCCCACGAAGAGCTTCACTGTGTGGCTCTTGTCCATGGCGCTGCAGAGAGACAAAGGAGGGATGCGGTTAGAGATAAGTGAGGGGTATTAACTGTGCAGCACAGCTATCAGCTCTGCCACACATAACAACCACTCAGCAAGCCTAACGCCACACCTTCGGCTGTGCTGTAGTTACTCTAGGAGGAGGAGGAAGTACGGGAGTGCAGTTGTCTGAATACAGGGTTGGACTGCAGTACACAGAGATATAGCTGACCCAGCGATTTAGTTTCTTCTTCGAGGCTGTGAGGGAGGGGGAGCAGCCGACTACGGGTTCAAAAGACTTACGCAAGACATGCTCCATTTCTCCCACATGAGACTCAGTCTATCATCAAACGGAAACGAGGATTAAAGGTTCCCTCAAACCTAGAAATGGCAGCAACAAGAGCCCTCAGTGCACAGACGCGCTGCCAGCCAGATTTACAGTCAAGTGGCAGAAACCGCACAAACCTCACATTTGCATGTGCCTCGTTTCAGATAAAGCCAGACCAGGCAGGACAGAGCTAGGGTTTTCCCAACAAATACAGCAGCTCTGACAATGACAGCCAAATGTTTCAACATGGAGCAGAGGCAGTTTGAAGGAGATCTTGAAAGGATGTCATTCTCTCTGAAGCCCTGGGCTGTGATTACTTGAACAGCTATGACTCACGCTCATTCACAGCAGACAGATGGAGAGGAAGGAGCATTTTACATCCGAGTACTGAAGTGGGGGCACTGTGTCTGAACTCACGCTGATTTTTTCAGGTTGATAACACTTTGAAAAAAGCTGCAGCGTGTTCCCAGTTCTCTCCACCTACAGGTAAGAGCGAAGCGTCTCAACAGGTTGGCCGTAGTGTTGTGTCGTACATGAACGTTTCGTTGAATGGAATCACTCTGAGATCTGATTCGTTCCTTTCTCAGTTTGGTTGAGCTCAGCCGCAAGCCTGGCGTGCCGGTTGGGAATGGAACTGCCGACTTTGGCTCTTTGGTGAACGACACAGCCAGCGAGTGAGCGGAGTCTCGTGATATGCTCACAGAGAATGAACGAAATGTATCAGACTGTGAACGGGGCTCCGAATCACTGACTGATTTAATGAACAAATCTTTTGAACGAATCGTTTTGATGAACAGATTCTAAAGATTCAGTACAGTCAAAAGAACTGTTCTTCCCATCACTAGTTGGCCAACACCTTTCCCTAGCCAATCAGGGGCGATAAGATAAGCACATGAAACTATGGTAACAACTGTTAGCATATGTTAGCACAGATGAAAGTTTAAACAAAGACGTTTAGCAAACTGTTTAAGGACACAAACCATTGTCTTATAAGAAATCCAACGCTTTGACTCTCCACAAGTTGTCCTTCAGGTCGTTATCTTTGTAATATTTGTGTCTTTTATCAAAAAGCACTCTGTTCTCCTACACGTAAACAATCAGCCGGTCGGCCATGTTGGATATACCGGTGAATCAGACGTCACAACAACACGCAATCTGATTGGTCAGAAGTGGACACACAGTATGCGAAACGTTAGAAAAATTGACCATGATCCGAAAAAATAAATGCCGCAATATCGCAGGACGGGAAAATGTTGCTGATTTGAAAGCTTGTATTGACAGGATATGGGTTCGAAAAAAAATATTAACGTCCAAAATAATCGCACGACAAAATTGCTTCCAGTGTGAAAGGACCTTAAGTATGAACATCAGACATTGCGTAGATGTAATCAAACATGGATCAGCATACTAGACCTCCTTAACACTTAAGTTCCCCAGGTGTGAGAGTATCTCACCTAACCCCAAAATAATGGAACAGGGTGCATTTAAAACTGCAATGCGTTCCCACTTCTTTCCACCTACAGGTAAGAGCGAAGTGTCTCAACAGGTCGGCCGACACCTTTCCCTTTTTCTTGAACAACCTTTACGGCCTGCTGTAAATCAAAAGGGCAAAGTGCAACATGACACCAGGCATTTCTATTTTTTAGTTCAGGCTCCAACCAGCCAGCTGCTGCTCGCTGACCTCCACCTCTTCTTCTTCTTCTTCTTCCTGCTGCTGTTGCTCATAAAAACAGCCCAAAGAGATGTAGGTCTCTATGCAGCAGACATGTGTGTGAGTGTCCCCCCTCTTGTTGCATATGGCTGCTGCACTAACAGTGGGTTCATTTAAGGCATATCCAGGGGGGGAAGCTGGTTTTCTGATGACGCAGCACGAGGCTGAGTCAACACATTTTCCAGCTCGGGTCATTTTTAAGGCGGAAAGAAAAAAATCACCACAATAGACAATGGAAGTTGTAGCTTGAAAGCATTGTGCAGGATTGGTGTGTGGAAAAAAATGTGAATGGCGAGACTGGATGCTTGTTGGTTTCGCTCTTGTGTCAAAACACAAGAATGAAAAATAAGCCACGAGGCGAAAACACGCGTGGATTAGGAGAATAAAAGCACAATGGAAAGCGTAACAATGATATCAAACTCATACTGGAACAACTGGAGATCGATAGACAATCACATTTCTCCGCACAGGAATGAATACAGTGCAACACCGAGAGACTCCCGGGCGACAACACGGTCTTATAGTCTTTATCGCAGCGACATACCCGCCGAAAACACCGAGCTTCAAGACCAATCCGAATTAATAACCCCCCATACGGATTAGATGATCATAATTCTGCAGGAAAAAGGCGATTTAATAAAAGGATCTACCATCTTACCTAGGCGGTGCTGTATTTCAAAATGGTAGCGCCTGCTTCCGTTTGCATGACGGGCATACTGAGGCTGCAGAGGGGGAGAGAGAGAGGGAGAGAGAGGGGAGAGAGAGAGAGAGGGGAGGGGAGGGGGGACTGCTGTTTCTGCTGCTGGAGGATGCTGAATCCTCACAAAAATACACACACAACAACACACACACACAAAGACAGTGTGAGGCAGGTTTAATTTATATGAGACACATTGAAGATTTAGTACGGTGGCCGAGAACCGCCACTGCTGCAAATAAAAAAAGAAGGAAAAAGAAAAAAAAGAAGAAACAAAAAAAAATCTAAAAAAAGAAAAAGAAACTGAAGCCAGGTGCAAATAGAAAAAGAAATGGAGCAGATTTAAAAAAAAAAAAAAAAGAGCCACAATGGTAGTTAACGATGCTAACGAAAAATAAAAGAATGCAAAAAAAAAAGGAAAAAAAAATAAACTGAAGCCCGTTACAGATAGAACTGGAAGAAGTGCAGATTAAAAAAAAAAAAGGGGGCCACAACAGAAGTTAGCAATGCAAAAAAAAAAAAGAAAGCAGCAATGCCAAAAAAAAAAAGAAAAATACTTATCAATTGCGAAAATAAAAGAATGCAAAAAACGAAGAAAAGAAAGAAACTGAAGCCCGCTGTAAATAGAAAAAGAAATGGTGCAGATTTTTTAAAAAGAGCCACAACGGAAGTTAAATCTGCACTGTTTTTTTTTTTTTTTTTTATTTGCAGCAGGCTTTGGTTTCTTTTTTTTATTGGTAACTCTTGTTGTGGCTTTTTTATTTCTTTTTTTTTTGCATTCTTTTTTCATTTGCAGCAGTGGCGGTTCTTGGCCACTGTAACGTACAGCTGCAACACAGAGACAGAGAGGATGAGGTGCTGAGGAACAACAGGACACAATAAGGGAAACCACATATCGGCACGAGATTTAATGCTAATATAAGCTTTGAGGAAAAATCAGTCATGGTCATTTAATCAGTTTAAACGCCTCCTAGTTTCGACTTCGTTTACCTCTGTTAATTGACATGATTGTGTCAAAAGTTAAATATATTAAAATACGTTGCAGTTGCTCCTGTGAGGAATTTTCTTTAAGCTAGTTATGAAGTTAAAGCTCCTGTGAGGATTTTTTTTTAGCCAGATATGAGGTTAAAGCTCCTGTGAGGAGTTTTTTGACTGTCAGAAAATTGGCCGAAATCATACACAAGATATACAAGACCATCAAGGACAACATGGATTTTTTTATATCGTAATTTTTAATGCCTGAAACTGGTGTGAGGGGGTAGGTGTCAACGCAACTGGTGAAGAAAAAGACAATTTTTACATTTTGAACAATATTCATGAACATTTATACACGTATCAGAAAGATGAGATTTCTGCTGAAGAGTGTAAAATGCAAGTGAAGGGGGATGCCAAAGTTATAACTAATTGAAAAGTTCCTCATAGGAGCTTTAACTGAAATTAAAACTGGTGACTCTATAAGACCAACAAAAGTGATAACAACCATCAACAACAGGGTTTTATGCTAAAGCTAAGATAAATTTAAGACTACTTAAAGGCACCAAAATGAGAGTTTTCATCTACTTACAAGTGTACAGAACAAGATCAGCAAAGAGATTAGAGGGATGTTTTCTCCACTAGGGGGCACCAATGTCACCACAAACCAAAAGTTTCTCATAGGAGCTTTAAAGACACTATTTATTTTAGGAAAATTAGACTTCTTTTTTTTTTAAGTATATTTATAATAATTTTTTGGGACATTTTTTACACTTACTGAAAAATAATTTTCAGCAAAAACAGTCATCAATGTCACGTTATATCTGTTATGTGACTAAGTTGTAGGATTTTTGATTAGGGGGAAAAAAGGAAGAATAATATTGTTTTTTGGCAACAAGAAATAAGTTTTTCCTCTTTTCGTCATATTTTATAGACCAAAAAAATAGCGAGAATCACAATCAATTTAACAATTTTACATCCTGGCTTTCACTTGTAGGTACCCAGATTATTTGTTGCTGAAATCACTCCATATTTTTATCACTGTAGGTCAGAAATCCCAGTTGTATGTTTGAAAGCTGTGTAGTCGCCACTTGCTTCTTCCATAATGTTATATCACTCCACTACCAGGTTGTAAACAGACACGGTTTGGCAGCACTTTGGTCTACGAAATGGAGATATTACTGTATATATGCTTAAAACTGGCATCTAAACATCCAACCAGAGTGATTTGGAACCAGCATTGAAGTCCAAAGTCCAGCAACGCAGCCATGGGTGTCTCATGTAGGAGAGGAGATTCAATAAGGTTACCCGGGTTCAGTTTGTCATAAAAAAGTCAATGTTAATCTCGTTACACAGTCATACGGCCACACAGGTACACACATTGTCTCAGTATTGATGTCTTCATAAGGAGAGGGAAAGTGTTAACAGAAATCAACAGAGAGTTCTTCTACATTTATCATCATGTCAAACAGAAGGAAAAAAGAAAAAAACAAGGAGTCAATAACGTCCACAAAGAGTCGGCCTCCTCCTCCTCCTCCTCCTCCCTGCCCCGTGTGACGGTCACCAGCAGCTACGACGGAGGAGGAGGAAGCCGACACTCGGACTCCATGTTGGAAAAACGAACAGCTGAGCACACATTTCTTAAAGAGCTTCTTGCCCTTTCACTCAGGAGGGAATTCGACTCTCCATCTCTCTCCTGCCCGAGTCACTCACACCACCTCATGGATTTTACATGAACAAACTCACGCTGGAGGATTACTTTTCAGTCTTTATGTGACAAACAGCGACAAACAGTGGTCCATGTTTCAACCCTCCAAACGAGAACTAGCATTTCTGACGATAAATTAATCAGCATAACGGATAAATAACACTGATAATGTTGATTTTTCTTCTACAAACATGTTACATCTCTAATAAATCACTGCGAGGACTCACTGAACTATAGTAGCAGTCAGATGATTCCTATCTACTGATTATTAGACGTTTTCAGAGCAAATTGAAGTGCATTTATCACAGCCGCTCCTGCCAAAGTGGATCCCTCAGAACCTTAATGCACATTATTTCCGACAGCGTTGAGACAGCGGTGTCAGAAGCGTCCGGACCGGGCTAATCTGAGGTGACTTTTAAAAAGTCCCAGGCTGTTTTAATCTCTTTCAGCACTTTGAAAGTCCTCCGAGGAACCCTAAGTGCACCGGCAGGAGGATTTGATTTTATCACAAAGAGCATTTACAGGAAAATAAGGCCACTTTTCTTCGGACGGGGGGAGAATTCCCTCGCGCTCCTCTGTCCTCGCTTCATTGTTCCTCTCTTAACTTTGGTCATCGTCTCAGAGATTCAGAGATTCAGAGGTTCGCCGTCGGAGTCTCCGAGTTCTTGCTGCGACCTTGCCCGGCGATCGGCCTGTCTCTCTCCTCCCATATCGTGACGCCGTCGCAGGCGCAAATCTTTTTGGGGTTCTGGAAGAGGCTCGCCGATCGGGCGATGATCCCGCACGCCAGTCTGTGGAGAAGAAAATCGGCGTCAACATCAGGACAGCTGAGGGGAGACTGAGGAGGGAAGGCTCAGGGCAGGGAGTCAAACCAGAGAGTTAGTGATGGGCACTGCAGTTCTTTTAGATGTACTGAATCACTAGAATCAGTTCACTAAAAAGATTCGTTCAAAAGATTCGTTCACCAAATCACCGAAACATCTAGCGCTCGACGGGAGAAGCCTGCGACTCCAACCTCCTGGACAAGAAGGTCCCAAATGTTGGATATGGGTTGTGAGTTTTTTTGAAAACCCTCATTTCTGCTTCTGTCTGTAAAGCTTAATTTCATCTACTGTCTCTTTAAGGCATTCAAGAAGCCTCCTCCACTGTTGCCATGCTACACAATTGTTTTCGTTGAGCTTATTGGTGTTTCTTTGTTAAAAATTTTAAGTTATAATATATGACCATCATACTGAATCACTAGAATCAGTTCACTAAAAAGATTCGTTCAAAAGATTCGTTCACCAAATCATTGAAACATTTAGCTCTCGGTGGGAGAACCCTGCGACTCCGACCTCCTGAACTGATACACAGCTGAACGGTTCAGGATTCAGTTCAGTTCATCGCTTCTAGGACCAGGAGACGAGAGTGTTTGGCTGTGTTTCTTTGGCAAACAGATTCGTAAAAATGAACATGTTTTTAAGTCATGATGTTTTAAGTGTACTCTCCTATAGTATGCTATTTGTCAGGTCTGCTCAGTAAATTGGGCTCAGTGAGTGATTCGTTCCCTCACAGACCGCTGCAATGATAGGATGTTGTGGGTTTTAATGCACTACTTGTTACATGCTGTGTCCTATTGGATGCAAGTTTTTGTGGTGGCAATTTAGCAGTAAAACAACAAAAAAGGTCGTTTTGTCCAACAAAAATGATTGCAGAGAGTGCAGTTCAATGTGTGATTCATTCACCAAGTGATTCAGGCGTCGGTGCATGTGGTCCCTCGTTCGCTGCTGACCTGACAATGCTGTTTCGAAACGAACGAATCACTCGATGAAGTGATTCGGTTCAGTACGTTTACTCAGAAGATTCGGTTCTTTTGAACGAATCATTCGCGAACGACACAACACTATAGAGAGTCAAGGACTAAAGCATCTGTACATGGGACCCACGCTCAAAGGACTGGACTAAACTGGAACTCCAGAGTGGAGTGGGCAAACAAAGAACTTTAGGGGCACAATGAGAATTGATCAAATTATGTGTGTCTTACTAGTCGACATAAGTACTTTTATTTGAAATCGATTTTAGGTCAATTGGTCACGTGACATGGAAGCTATTGAAGGAAAACAGCCTTTTTTGAGAACGTCAAGCGGTAATTTATTGATGGTCCCTTATTCAACACCCAATGTTGACGAGTAGATTTAACTGCGCTGCTGTTTCTATTCCCGGTTATGGAGAGTGAGAAGACACTGGTAGATCCGTGGTGCATGTCTGTCAAATATCCAACCTAAAACTAACTTCACTGCGGTATTTACATGAAAAAACATTAGCAACCTCGGTGGATTTTTTTTATCCGTACATGTGCCGCTAAATATGTTTTACAGTTCGCACACATCTATTTTTGTAGCCGCAAATGCGAGTGAAACGGTCGCACAGTCGAACCCTGTAATATCTCCAGGACTTCACCTTTCTCCAGAGTTTCCAGTCTGTTTAGAGAGAGGGTGACCGCCTAGACCCAGGTCGTCCTCTCCTGCATCCACCACCAGCGATCGACCAATCACATCCCACACCTAAAACACGAACAAAAAGACATCAATGAAGCTGTTTTGATGAGAAAACTTTACTTGTTTGTATCAATTTCACCTTCAGCTGATTGTCCTCCAGTCTGAATGATGCTCGACCGTCTGGTCCAGCGACGATGTTTCCCAGATCGCCGACATGCTGAAGAAGAGAACACCGAAGACAGAGTGAATGAAGATGCAGAGGAGTGATTGAAAGATTGAAAACTATTTGTGGCTATAGAGTGGAGTTTTGGTTGAGCTTTGTTTATGGTTCCTCAGACCGCTGTGTATTGCTAGCGTGCGGTCGTTACTAAAGTTTGTATAACTAGAGAAGTAAGTGGTCGGCAAGATTCGTCTCTTGACGGGTGTCTAACTCGGTGTTATAGTGTGTTTGACCTAAATTAATTTTATGCAGGAATATCCCTTTAAATCTCTGGTACTATCACGGAGTCATTTTTCTGAATTCTGAATAAAAGCTTCGACTCTACCCTCTCAGAGTCTCCCGGGCCGCCGTGTTCTCGTCCAGAGGGGTTAAAGTGATCCCCACAGCTGTGAAGAGAAAAGAAGAAATTCAGTCTCATATCAACATAAAACAAACACAGATCTTTGCACCTGTAATGACCCTACCTGAGGCAGTCCTGAGTGAGGTCCCCCAGCGTGTGGACGTGGAGGCCGTGAGACCCCGGCTCCAGCCCGTCAACGGTCCCGTCGATCAAACAGCGCTCCTCTGAGAGCTGCAGGAAACGCACAACACCCACGATGTTTCCCTCACCTGCCAGCATGGCCACCGCTGACCCCAGGTCTGTTACAAACACACAAACATGAACAGTTTGTACTTTTAGATGTTTTTAAATGTTCCTCCAGTTTATTTAAGGAGTGATACTCAGCTTTGATGTGTCTGGAGTGTCTGGAGCACACCTCTGAGTTGATGTTTTTATCTGAAGAAAACAGACACTGACTATTTTTAACACTTTTCCTCAGAAGTGCAGACCTGCTGTCTTTGTCTGATGACTCATGCAGCTGCAAATCAGCCGAGTTTGAGGGATTATCTCTGCTAAACACGTCTGGAAAAGTTAAAACTCTGTCTTTATCTTGAACTTTTTGTTGAGCATCTCGTGTCGTAAACTGGTGCTGTAAATAATTAAAGATTCATTGATGGATTGATTTGATTTCTAAGGTTGTAAAGCGGAGTGTTTCCTCACCTTGCTCTGAGCCTCCGATGCCTTTCAGCACGGCTCTGCGTCCCGTACTCTCTATCAGAGCCTGAACCTCTGCGCTGGTCAGAGCAGACTCCACCAACACCTGCTCCTTACCGACATCAACGAATACAGACTGGACTCCTGGAAAACACAGCGACAGAATCGAGACAGTCACATACAGCTGTGTGTTGTATCCTCCTTCATGTGCAGACTGTGTTTTTACTTTTACAACTTCAGAGACGTTTTCTTGTAAAGAGCAATGGGAAAGTTTGAAATTCATTCATTAATTATTCATTTTTATTTTCTATGTATTGTAAATCACTTTGGTTTACTGAAAGGGTTGTTGTAAAGGGCTGTATAAGTAAAGAACATTTACATTTTCTCCTTAGTTGCACTAAGAAAGTGCTACAAATGCACTTTAAGTCCTTTAAAAACCTTTAACCCTTTATTGTCTTTTGTATCATATTTGATTCATACTTTTATGAAACTTCTATCAATCAATATGATCAACAAATTACTAAAAAACACCTGAATACAGTCGGAAAAATGATAAAAATGTCCTCCAAAAACATCTAATGTATCAAACCAGATAAAAAAAATACATATTTTATTTATATTTTGAGGACATTTTGATGTTTTTGGTTTTCAGTAGTAAGTGAAATAAACATTTCAGCTTAAAAAAATTGAATTTTCTGTCTGTAATTTGTGGTTTCGGGCATTATAGGGTTAAAAACATCCTGAGAACTAGATAAACCTCTAAGAGTCTGAATTTGAGACTCATTAAATCGCCTTTGAGAGACTCAAACTGCTATAAAAACATCTTTCTTTGCTTTACTGAGAAACATCAGAGACTGGGAGCAGTCTGCAGAGAAATGCATGAAGAAAAGCCAGACGAACACATGACAGACATGTGACTATGTCTGATTTTATCCCTGTTACCTTCCAGAAATCCATTAAAAACAGCACAGTTATATATATATATATATATATATATATATATATATATATATATATGAAGCTCTGGCAGTCAGTCTATAATGACATTATGTACTCAGGGCTCTTGTTCACCTTATTTTTACCTGGTTTATTCTCCAGAGCAGCTCTCACTTTGTCTGCACAGCTCTCACATGTCATCTGCACCGCAAACTCCAGCTGCATGAAGCACAAAAACACACATGAAACACCTGGAAATAACCTTCGATCTCACATTTGAGGCGATAACAGGACTTTTTCACCGGTTGTGTAACTGCGCAGTAGATGTTATCAGTCACAGTCCTCTAAAACTACACATTTTTATCTTGACAGGAACAATAGGAGGTGTTTACTGTCCTAGAATAGCTAAAAACATGAGCACAGATGTGGTAAATGTTGTTCCCAAACCTTAGTTGGTCTCTGCGTGTCCATTTTGTAACCGCACGCCGCAGTCTGAGCGATGAAAACTGAATTTAATAGATAACTGCCCACTTTCCGACAAACGGAAGCCAAACTGCTGGACATGCTAATGGGCGCCGCCATCTTTGTGAGGTCACGGTGACGCTGAGGGCACGTTACTGCCGCCGGGTGGCAGCTGGTTGTCATTGCAGCTTTCTGTTTGAGACTATGAAGAGGGCTTGTGCTTTTTAACTTCAGCATCTTCCATCAATATACGACAGAACAAGATACACATTGGTAACTCTGCAAAAACACAATTTTATTAACCAAAGATGGACAAAGATTATGAGATAATACTCTTATCAGAATGAAGAGAAATATCCTTTTATTATTATTATTATTATTATTATTATTATTATTATTATTATTTCATCCCGATAATGTCAATGTGGTGCTGAATTAAAAAGCTGATATTGTGCTCGTCAGTATGCTGAATGCCAAGACCAAATCTTGAGTAAGTTTCAGACGGGTGTTGTGTCGTTCGCGAACGATTCGTTCAAAAGGACCGAATCTTTGAAGTGAATGTACTGAACCGAATCACTTCCTCAAATGATTCGTTCGTTTCTCATTTCAGCTCAACTGGCTTTAGTCCTTGACTCTTGATAGTGTATTGTTTGTAAACGATTTGTGTAAAAGAACCGAATCTTTTAAGTGACTGTACTGAACCAAATCACTTCCTCGAGTGATTCGTTCGTCTCTCATTTCAGCTCAACTGGCTTTAGTCCTTGACTCTCGATAGTGTTGTGTCGTTTGTGAACGTTTTGTTTAAAAGAACCGAATCTTCTAAGTGACCGTATTGAACCGAATCACTTCCTTGAATGATTCGTTCGTTTCTCACTTCAGTTAAGCTGAAGTGAAAAACGAACGAATCATTCGAGGAAGTGTCCTATTGTATGCAAGTTGTTGTGGTGGCAATTTAGCAGTAAAAAAAAGTTAGTTTTGTTCTACAAAAATGATTCCAGAGAGTGTAGTTCAATGCGCAATTCGTTCACCAAGTGATTCAGGCGTCGGTGCATGTGGTCCCTCGTTCGCCGGCTGCTGGCCTAGTATTGCTGTTTCTCACTTCAGCTCAACTAAAGTGAGAGACGAACAAATCACTCGAGGAAGTGATTCGGTTCAGTACATTCACTTCAAAGATTTGGTTCTTTTGAACGAATCGTTCACGAACGACACAACACTACCTCTAAACACTTGAGTAGTCTCTTCTGCTGAAAAATCTTATCTTTTAGTCTTCTAACAATCAAATCTCTCATTTATTGTGAATACATTACAATAAATAAATACTGTCAATACTTTTCCAGCATGAACATAAACACTAGATATGTCGGGGCCAGGGCTGGGCCACCCCAGTTTAAAAAGCCTGGACACACCCCTGTTAGGCACTCGCTCCTGGGCTTTAATGTTCCTGTTGCTGCTCGGATGTTAAACCAGGACACTTTTTGATTAACTTCGCCCCGCTGCAGCGGCCGTCTGTTGTTTCCTTTTGTAATTGGAATCGATCCTTTCCGATACTTTCAAAATAAAGTTCGCTTCTCCCCTTTTGGAAGTTTTTAACAAGAAACTACAACAGAGAGCAGGTCAGAGTTAATGTTAGACGGACCGAGAGGAGGAGGAGGAGAAAGAGGAGGGGTGGTATAGTGCCTCATTTAGTACAGATAAAACCTCTACTGTTCCACAAGGGGCTGTCAACACTTCCTGTCAGCACACACACACACACACATGCACACACACGCACCACAACAAAACTCTGCGATCTTAACTTCTGCTTTTTTTCTTAATTTGCTTCTTTCTCCTCTTTTTTGTCTTCGCTTAATTTGGTCTCTCTCTGCTTTCTGTCTTTGTTGTGTATTTCTGTGTGTATATATTTCTGGTATGAGTGTGTGTGTGTGTGTGTGTGTGTGTGCGCTGATGAAACCCCCCTCTTCCTCTGAGCTCAGGTGTCACCCTCCCCTCCTTTGAACGGCGAGCTCAGCACCGCGGATCAACGCGAGGTCAAAGGTTTGAGACAGTTTCCCATGTACCGAATAAATTATCCGCCACTGTGCGAGAGAGAAAGAGACTGCACACACACACACACACACACACACCCGCACAATAGGCTGAACTTGTGTGTTTTGAGGACTGGCGCACACTGGCTCAGTCCTCTTAAAGCCCGTGGTCGTATTACCCAGCACGAAGGTCAAAGGTCGAAGCCAATGAGCCGGCAGAAACAGAAGGAGCTGTGTTCTGCCGCTCTGCTTTCTTCCCTGTAAAACATCGGCCTCTCTGTGTTGTTTGGAGGTAATGACGGCTCTGTTTCTGTTTCAGAGCGCGAGCGAGCGCGGAGAAGTATGTCACCCTCTATACTTATCATCCCAAATTTATTCCGAGGAGTTTTCGATTAATAAGGTTTTTATTTTAGCCTGGTGTGACCCAGATCTGAGACGCCGCATCGGGGTCATCTCAGACCTTCTACTTATCAAGATAGATGCTATAATAGGAAGACATAGACAACAGAGAGAGAGAGAGAGAGAGAGAGCTTAGCGGTGGTTTCCCATACCACACGCTGTAATCCCCAGATCGACTTTGCAGCAATAATCTATACACATTATGAAATTGAAGAAAGCAATCACCATTACTGCCGTCTTTGTTTATCCATACGCTGCGTCCATCAGCCTGACCCTGATGCGAAACCACCTCATGCTGATTCTGCACCGGAGCTGTACGCGCTCACACACATTTACTCAGTTTGACAGCGGTCTATTTCTGATTTCTGTTTCTATTTTGGGTTTCAGTCGCTTCATTTCCTGAATGCTGTGTAACAGGACTGAACGAACAGTTGAAATAACAGCGTCAATGTTTAGCTGATTAGTAACTCAAAGAAGCACAACGTTGTTTATTTAAGTAGTGCATTAAGGTCCTTACACACCGGGGCCGATGCAAATATAGAACGCGAAATTCCGAAATATTCGGAGGTGAATTTTTTGCGAATTTCCGGGGGGTAAAAGACGCATCCCCGGGAAGACTTTTCCAGGGGAAAGTCCCGCCTCCTTCGCCTCTGATTGGCTAAAAAAGCTGGAAACGTCATCACACGCTCAAGACAAACTGTCAGCACTTATAGCTAGAACTACACTCAACATCTAGACTCTAGTGTTGAGATGGCTTTCTGACTGAGTCGGGACTAGAACCAGATAAGCACATGAAACTATGCTAACAACCGTTAGCTTACGTTAGCACAGATGAATGTTAAAACAAAGACGTTTAGCAAACTGTTAAAGCACACAAACCATCGTCATATGAGAAATCCGACGCTATGTTGTCCTTCAGGTCTTTATCTTTGTAATATTTGTGTCTTTTATCATAAAGCACTCTGTTCTCCGACACGTAAACAATCAGCCGGTCGGCCATGTTGGATATACCGGTGAATCTGACGTCGCAAAAACACGAAATCTGAGTGGTCAGAAGTGGACACACAGTATGCGAAACGTTAGAAAAATTGACTGTGATCTGATAAAATAAATGCCGCAATATCGCAGGATGGGAAAACATCGCTGATTTGAACGCTTGTATTGACAGGATACAGGTTCGAAAAAAAATATTGATGTCCAAAATAATCGCACGATAAAAACAGTCCCAGTGTGTAAAGACCTTAAGGGTGAAAAGTGAGACTAAAACGTTACGTTTTGAGTTTGGTTTTAAAATCATTAAGATGAGGTGCAGTCCTCAGGTCTTCAGTTAAGTTGTTCCATAGATGAGCTTTAAAAACCAATAAAGCAACCTTAAAATCTGTCCTAAAAGAGACGGGGAGCCAATGCAGTAGGTCTATTTTTATCTAAAGGTGACAGAGAACATCTTCAGTCTGCTCCTCGACCCCACACGTGCAAATTTTGAATAAACCTTCCTCTGCATCGCCAGCGACACCTTCAACAACTCTGAGACGCTGAATTATTCAGCTCCTGAGGGTGGAGGTGGAGGTGGAGGTGGTGGGGGGCTGTTAGCGGTGTGAGGGACCCCGCGGAGGTCAGAGTAATGTCAGAGCCCAGCCGAGCGCTCTCCATGTCTGCTGATTGCACCCTGACAGCTCAAATGGAAGATGAAGTCAAGCGTGTCGGGGGTGGGGGGGACGGCGTCTGTAGCGGTGGATGAAGGAGGCCCTGCCGCCTCCTCCTCCCCGCCGCCGTACAGGGGTGCAGAGGCCATGTTTTTATTAAAATGCAGGGTGTGACTTTGTCCTGGATTCACTTCTTCTGGAGTCTGTAGGCAAAAAGCAGCAGAGGAAAGGTCAGGCGCTGGAAAAAAATGGACATCTACTGTCAATTTTAGCTTCAATGTGTATAACTCTTGATCAGATCTGGATTTAATTAACACAAAATGATTATAAAACATATTGTGCACAATGACACAAAGAGGCAACTGATTTAACGTTGGCCTCATCTGGATGTGCATCACGTCAAATTAAGCGGCACCAGGATGAGCGAGAGTTGCAGATTTTGCATCCTAACGCACTAATTTTCCAAAAGCAGGTAGTGATATATGGAGCCCGACTGACAAGAAGACAAATACTTCAATTTCCAGATACATCCGTCTCTGCGTTTTCCAATTAAATCAAAAAACATTAACACTTCAAAAAAGGGCGGAAGAGGAAACAAAAGGAGGCGATCAATCAGAAAAAGAGCCTCTTAAACAAATTCTGTCCATTCAGCACGCGGTGTCGTGCATTATTGCTGACCCACAAACAAGTCCGGAACTATTAATTATAATGCCGGTGGCGTGTTTAACAAGCGATGGACAAACTCTGCAGCTCATCCCACCGAGGATCAATAGGAAGAAAAAGAGACCACATCGCCCAGTCAGAGTCTACTGTTCCCTCCGCGGAATAATGACCCATGTGGAGGCGGCCGCAGTACACGGTAGCTCATTTAATCATTACACCCCAGAGTCTGCATCATTACTCAGGCAATCTTTCTGTCAGCATCCATCATCTCAGTCAGTTTTACAAACACCGAGCGAGCACAGACGGATAAAATACAAATATTACATGAAAATCAGGCTGATGAGCTTAAAAATGACACCGGGAAAAGAAACCATGGAGTCCGATAAAGGTTTAAATCTTGTTATTTAGTCGCACCGACTCAGTATAAATCACAGTAGGATGAAAATACAGAAAGGAAATTAAAATCAGCCCAGTCTCGACAGTGTGGGGAAAATGTGCTGATGCTAACCCTATAGAATAATGACATTAAACACAGCTGCAGTATGATCAGGGACAGTTCAAGTCTTTGTCTACTTTAACTGGGCTCGCTTGTACCCTCAACATGGCGCCAAAACAGGTCTTTAAAAGTCTTCATTAAACAAAATACAGCTTTGAATACACCAGATATGAAGGACAGAATGATGACCTGGAGGCTTATCATATCGTGTCGTATTGTATTGTAATAAGGGTAATTGGACAGGTCAAAAAAATCAGGCATTGTATGAAAATATTGCATGACTAACAGTCATATTGAAGTCAGCTGTATTAAATTACATCATATCATATCATAAGATCAACAGATAAACAGGTACATGGTGTTAGCTTTATACCATACTGAATTGCAATACATCGTATTGTATAATATCGTAGTGTATCTTATCATAATATATCTTCATGTATTGTATTGTTTCGTATCGTAATGTTTCGTATAATAATGTATGATTTCCTAACGTATCGTAATGTATTGTATTGTAATTAATCAAAATGTATCATATTGTATTGTATTGTATCATATCGTATAATTTCCTAATGTATCCTATTGAAATGTATCGCAATGTATCGTATTGTATCATAATGTATCTTATTGCATTGTATCATATTGTATCGTAGCGTAATTAATCATAGCGTAATGTATCATAACATAATGTATCATAATATAATGTATCGTAATGTAATGTATCGTAATGTAATGTATCGAATCGTATTGTAATGTATAGTATCATAAAGTAACGTATCATAATGTATTATATCATAATTTATTGTATTGTTATGTATCGTATCATAATGTAAAGTATCGTAATGTTTTGTATTGTATCATATCATAATATATTGTATCATAATGTAACATATGCTAATGTATTGTAATGTATTGTATCGTTTTGTATAGTATCGTATCATAATGTATCTTATTGCAATGTATCGTATTATATTGTATCATATTGTATCATAATGTAACATGTGCTAATTGTAATGTATTGTATCGTATTGAAATGCATTGTACAGTATAGTATCATATTATATTGTATTGTATTATATTGTATTGCATTGTACTGCTGTGGTCTACAGATGCTCATAGACATCAGAGTTGAACATTACAAGGTAATCTTCATTATCAAAGCCTCTCTCAGCCTTAGTCTTTTTAACTCCCTGAATGATCCTCACTCCAAGTCCAAACTAAATCCCTGCTGAATGCAACGGCTCCCTTAACAGGATAAGAAATCGTTTATAAATCCTTTGGGAGGAAATTTTGAAACCAAAAGCTCTATTTTTCATTTTACAGAGTTGGAACAGGCATAGGACCGTTGAAACACACACCTGATGGTTTTCACAAGCTGACAAGAACTGGCAAAGATTTATACGGCTTTTTATCACTTTTATAAGATAACATAGGAACACTTGTGCAGCAGCAGCAGCAGGAAGCTCGAGGAGGGGGGAACATTAGGTAACAGTAGGTAACACCAAAACACCTACTGCGAAGGGTGAGAATAACAAACAGAAGAGGCTTGACACCCAGCTTTTTTCCCCCCAGAAGTCACAGTAAGTGCTAGAAGGGCTCGTGTTTACTGTGCATTTACAATTAACCCTTTGTCTCACCATTAATCCCAAATTTGATCTTCCCAACAGGCCTACGACTGTTAAAACACACAAACCAGTAACTTTGCTTACAGGAGAGGAATCACAAACAATATATCTAATCATCACATGTTAGTTTTCACAGGTTGAAAAGGACTGGTTATGATTTATACAACTTTATATCACTTTTATAAGATAGCATGGGGACGCTAGGGCAGAGGACACCAAAACACAGGGTAACCAAAGGAGGTCTGACCCCCCAACATGCTCAATAAATGCACCCCCCTGTCTGCTGTAAATTTACATCTCATTATGTAGTCGAGCCCCGGTTCAAATTCAAATTAACTTTATTAGCATGTCTTTCACAGGGGAAAAAAGAAGCACAATGGAGACACAAGTAGCAGCTAACAATAACAACATGCAGGGAGCAGTGGTGCTAATATAAATGCCCTTAACATCCACCATATGAGGAACAACTGTTTATTCATGGTGCTTACCTGGTACAATCAGAGTGTTAGCAGTAAAGATTTCTTAAAATTGTTTTTTGTCATCTCCTCACGAGGATGAAAACAGAAGAAAATCAAACCGTCATGTTAAGTTTAGAATTCATATTTTTACAAAAATCACACATAGTATTAGGGCCACATTGTGTGACTACTGTGACTTTATTCCTGCAGTTATATGACATGCAGCTAGTTTTTTTAGTGACTTTATTCACATGTGAAAGTGTCTTGAGAAATCTGAAAAGAATCCCCCCCAAAAAGTCTTTAAAAAAAAGGGGTGATCTATTATTGGGGTTTCAACATGAATTAAGTGCTGGTTTGTCTTTGACACAAGAAACGTGAGCGTGCGTGTGCATGCCAACCTCTCTTTGAAGAGAAAGAGAGAGAGAGAGGGAGAGAGAGATATATTATAATGTATTGTGTTGTTTCATATCATAATGTATCATAACGCATGTTGTAACAAAATGTATCGTTTCATTATATATCGTAATAAATCGTAATGTATTGTATCGTATCGTAATGTAATGCATCGCAATGTATCGTATCATAATGTATCGAATCGTAATATATCTTGATGTATCATATTGTATTGTATCAAAATGTATTGTATCATTATATATCATTATGTATCATATTGTATTGTATCGTATCATATGTATCATATTGTAATGCAATATATAATAATGTATCGTATTGTAATATATCGTAATGTATCATCTTGTATCGTTACGTAATGTATCATATTGTATCAAATCGTAATGTATCATAATATACCGTAATGTATTGTATTGTAAAATCTATCGCAATGTATCATATTGTACTGTATGGTATCGCAACGTATCGTAATGTATCATATCATAATGGATCGTATCATAATATATTGTATCGTAATATATAATAATATATCGTAATGAATCATATTGTATTGTATTGTATCAAATCGGAATGTATCGGAATGTATCATATTGAATCATATTGGATAATATCGTATTGTATCATATTATATTGTATCGTAATGTATCGCATTGTAATCTATCGTATTGTAATCCATCGCATTGTAATCCATCGTAATGTATTGTTGTATCTTAATGTACTGTGTCATTATTTATCATAATGTATGGTATTGTATTGTATTGTAAAGTTTTGTAATGTATCATATTGTATTGTATCATAATGTAATGTAATGTAATTTATCACATCGTACCATAATGTATTATAATGTTTTGTATTATAATGTTTCATATTGTATCATGGTGTAATGTACCCTATTGTATCATATCGTATTGTAATGCATTGTAGTGTATTGTATCGTATCATATTGTAATGTACCCTAATGTCTCGTATTGTAATGTATTGTATCATAATGTATCATATCGTATTGTAATGTATCATAAAGTATTGTATTGTATCGTTTCATATTGTAATGTATCATAATGTATCATGAGGAAATGGTAAAACAGGGTTGACACCTATTTTCAGACCTTAAAATTCTCGGGGGTGTCAAAGTGCCTTAAGTGCTGGTTTGTGTTTGACACGAGAACCATGTGAGCGTGCGTGTGCGCGTGCGCGGTAACCGCTAGCCTCAGCAGCACGCGTCCTTGGCAGAGAGCGAGAGAGCGAGAGAGAGAGAGAGAGAGAGAGAGAGAGAGAGAGAGAGAGAGAGAGAGAGGTGGGGGCAACCGTCTCCCGGTTTTTATTGCACGCGGAGCCGCGAGGAGCTCCTGATGACAGACAGACAGCAGATCTGCCGCCTCACCGCCTGCGACACCTGAACGAGAACCACCAAAAAAACAACAAGAGGGAGAGGCAGACTAAGAGAAGAGAGGGAGAAAATCTGAAGCTGTCCCTGAACATAAGAAAAAGGAGACAAGGAGGAAAGCGGACGAAGAGAAGCCGGCTGACCGGGACACGGAGCCCTTCCTTGGGGGTGAAATCACCGCCACGACCGCCTCATCATCATCACAGCACAGCTCGGGGATGACAAAGGTGGGTGACGGTGTGCTCCCATTGTGTTGTTTCAGCATCCCTGCTCTCCATGGCGCCTTTAATCCTCTTGTTAGAGTGAACGGAGTGGGTTTTTGGAAGATAACGGGGTCGCGATATGGAGACTGAATGAGCCGCGCCGTTTTAAGCGAGAAATGACGGATTTATCCCAAGTGAGGGACACTTTGTCTTGTGGAAAATGCACCTTCACAGCAGGCATGTGTGTAAATGCGCCGCGGAGTGATTTCATCCAGGGCGACCCCAAAAAACCCAATCTAATCTGGCCCACATTTGGAGGGTGTGAGACCTTTTCATGAGGGGCTTTGTTGTTGTTTATGTCCCGTGACAAGCCTCGTATGTGTGTGTGTGTGTGTGTGCGAGGGGCAAGAGAGAGGGGGGTGTTGATCCTCTCCTTGAGGCTCGTGAGGATGATTGATTTCTCCCGTTCAGCCCAGATTATGAGCGCGCGAACACCTATGCCACACCGGCAAATTAATTAGACTGCACGAGATTATCCTCGCGAGATTATCAGACAGGACCCCCTCAGGAGATGGGTGGAAAGGTGGTGGTGGGGGGTGGGTGACAATTAATGACAAACTATTTATAACTGGAGTTAGGCTTGATTGCTTTTAGGAGTAACCCCAATTGTTGCTCGACTGGTCAATATTTTCCACGACGCAGGTTTGATTCCTCTCCATTAGCTGATTGAGTTTGTTAGATCGCGTTTCGTGTTGCAGAATCAATTAAGTTTTATGTCAATATATGATACAGGTTTAGTATTGAAGCAGATTAATCCATAAGCGTTAAAGTAAATGATGAGGAGCTTTGAGATTTAATGACAGCTGACAGATCAGGTGTTGGAATTAGTCACTGATGAGACAGATTCAAGACAAAATCAGGTCTGATAACGTCAGAATAAACTATGAGTTTATCTGAATGCAGTCGGTAAAGAAACACTTACAATTTATGGCTAGAAAATCCAATTTTTTTGGAGCTGAAATGTTGATTTCACTTACGACAAAAATCCCCAAAAATCAAAATATCCTTAAAATTTAACAAATATATTTATTCATCTTGTTTGATACATTAGATGTATTTGAAAACTGATAAACCACAAGAGGACATTTTTATCATTTATTGGACTGTATTCAAATTTTTTTTTAGTAATTTGTTGATTGTATGGATTTGATAGAAGTGTCATAAATGTATGTTTCATATATGATACAAAAGGCAATACAGGGTTAAAAATCCTGGCAGGAAAAAGGGGGAAAAAACCCTCTAATGTCCTTTTTTTTTCCGCACAGTAGAAGGCAAAAAATTGAAGTACTGATTCAAAATCAATCATCTGTTCACAAAATATTACAAAATTGGCAGGTTGAGACAATAAAAAAGATTTGAAATTTGGGAATTCACTTTTAATTTCTGAATGTAGTCTCTGTTTATTTTGTAAAATCCTCGAAGGCAGTAAAAGAGTGAGGGAAAACCATAAAAGCAACTGAAGAAAAGAAGATAGAGGTGCAAAAGATATCAAAAATGTACAAAGTTATGTATGAAAAATATGAAAAAAGTTGGATATATGGTTACCTTAAACACCTACTTTACTTAACAAAATAAAAAAATTAACAGTTGGCCTCTTAGAGTTGAAAAGTCACTTTTTATGCTTGTATGTTGACATTTTGCAGGTAATAACATTGAGTCTAAAATCCTGAAAGGCATTAAAAAGGGGGAAAAACCCACAGAGTCTTCATTTTCTTACGGATAGAATCATAAAAGATGCCGAAAGTGACTCATGTGTTGAGTCATTTTAAGAAATATGTGGGAAAGTTTGCCCGAGGTTTGAATCATTTATGATGGGAAAATGGAAACTGAAACCAACAGAGGAGTCGTCGTCTTTTCAGGAAAAATGGGAACTGAAACTAAGATGAAAACATGACGCACACGTCAGGTTTCTCTAGGTAGAAAAGGTGACAACGGTTGCATGGTTGGGCCTCTGAATTTTGGGGAATTTTCTCCCATCTTCTCTCAAGAGTTGCAGCGTCTGAGGGTTTGTCACCCTTTCAGGCAGTAAAAAGGGTGAAAAAAACCCTCAAGAGCAGCAAGAATTTGCCTTTTTTCACCAATTATGACCATGTAAAAAGATATTTTCCATTAATGTCCTTAAGTAAGGACTCTAAATTTTTGAGAATCTGCTTTCTATTTCTCTTTCCATTGTTGAGGTTCCTGTAAGGCAGAAAAAAGGGCGAAAAACCCACAAACTCCCACAGGGATGGTCCTCTTTTGAACCAAGACAGAAACACACAAGATGCTGGAACTTGCTCGGATATTTTGCCAGTTTTATAAGTAAAGAAGGCAGAAAAGGTTGTCATGTCTAGCTCCTATATTTAGAAAATTTAGTGTCTCTGGGTTACTTGTCATTTGAGGGGGGGTCCAGAAGGAGCGGCGTCTGAAGGGGTCACCCTTGCAGTAAGGGTAGACCGAGAGTGACTCATATGTTAGATAACTCAGAGAAAAAAAAGTGTTTGGTCTCCCTAAAGTCTACTTTTTCTTCTATCCCATCCATCTATTCGTCCGTGTCCATCCCTCCCCTCCTCTGTGTCTTCAGTATGTAGGTTAGAAGAAAGGAGGAAAGTGTGTGTCTGTGTGTGTGCGCGTGTGTGAGAGAGACTTATTAAACCGTCTTCTGCAGCAGGTCATCCACAAACACCGCCTGAAAAGATTTCTCAGTGATGAATGTGCGCTCTGTTCGGAGAATAGCAACTTAGGGGATAACAATAGAGGTGAAGGAGGGGAGGATCAGGGTGGAACTGTAACACACACATCTGAAAAGTACAGGCTCACACACACACACACACACTTTGGTACACAAAGCCTCTTGAAAAAGTCAATATGATAAAGTGTGTAGTGCTGACTAAGATTCACTACATCCTCGAGTTAAACCCCATCACCGGAGTCTTTTTTGGACGCAGGATGCCCTTTAAAGGCCGGCGCTCTGGGGAAAAGGGGTTTATTTATACAATTTCAGGCTATGATACACAGATCAGACGCTGCTGGCTTTACAGTGCTGCTGAAGATGGTCGCGTTCAGGCCCCGAGCCAAAAGGCCTCAGCTGTTTACTGTTTGCAAGGAAGCAACATGATTTTGGTATGTAACTGAACTTCCTCCGTTTGTCCGAGTCTCTGTTGGGCTGTTGTTGAGTCATGCTGATGGCTTTCAGATCGGAGGTTTATATACGTTATATCTCCACACCCCTGAGCATGAGCAGTGGAGTTTGGACTCTGTGTTGAACAACAACGTGATGAGCTCTACTTTGGGAATCATAAAACATTACAGATACCAGAAGAGAGTCATCATCTTATTTTTGACTGAGGCTAAATTTAGGACTGTAATAACCATTAACTGAAGTGTGTGTTTTTACACCCTGAGTAGTGTCTGCAAGGCAAAGAACCTGAGCAGACACACTTTAAGCAAAAAATTCCATTTACTTGAAGCAATTAAATCAAAACTGAGTCTATAATTAGGCATTGATCGTTAGCATTTAACGCTAGCTTTCATAGCGTTTAAATTCATAACAATTAAGGTCCTTTCACACCGGGACCATTTTTTTTCGTGCGATTATTTCGGACGTCAATAATTTTTTTTTCGAACTCTTATCCTGTCAATACAAGCGGTTTTTTTTTCTTTCTTTTTTCCCCCCGGAAAGTCGCAAAATTGCATCACGCTTGATGTGTATAGTCAGGCGCGTCAAAATTTGCCTACGAATATTTCGTAATTTCAAGTCGTATATTTGCATCGTTCCTGGTGTTTTTTGTTGTTACTGTTGAGATGTTTGTAAAATGACTAAATATTAGGGCTGGGACGATATGCTTTTCTCCCGATTCGATTCTTCTACGATTTTTTTGGATGCCGATTCGATTTAAAATGCAATTCCACGATATTGTCAATTTTCGCGATTTTTAGTCTACATTTGTAACACCAGTGAAACAGTTGAATGATCGTCTCCTGACTATTCCAGGACTCATATTTACCCAAAAATACACATCACATGTAAGTCAGTCTTAAAGATTTCTTTTTCAATTTGAAAAAGAAAAACAGAACGAATTTTGAACAAAAAAATCTATTTATCCCCTGTAGTCCAGTCTTGTGAGTTTTCAGTTTGTGTTGTTTCCCTCGTGTTCTCTGTGTTTTATTCTTTAGATCAGTTTTCAGTGTTTATCCCCTGTAGGACTTGATTCCTTGTGTTTCTAGTCCCAAGTTTTCCCTCCTTTGTTAATCATCCATGAGTTTACACCTGTGTCTCATGTGACTCACCTTTTGCTCATTTCCCAATGTATATATAATCCCTTTCTATCCCTCCGTCTTTATTGGTTCATTGTATCTGCGTATGCTCGTGTCCCCAGTTGACTCCTTGTGGTTTTTTCCTAGTGCCCTTTTGATTCTTTGGATTTTGCTTTTTGTGTTTTTTGTTGGATTTTTTGGTCGGACATTTTCAAGTAAGTTTTCGCTGCTTTTCAATTATGACGACAAAAAATTGAAACAGGAAGTCAGTCTTTCTCACCCATACAACCTCCTGTCTCTTTGAGATTTGGTACACACGATCGACGTCCATTCCTTAACGAATCTGTAGGAGCCAAATATGTTGATATGATACCATATTATGAGTTGCAGTTCACTTTGTGTGCCTTAGGTGTCGCTGTGTGCTTTAACAGTTTGCTAAACGTCTTTGTTTTAACTTTCATCTGTGCTAACATAAGCTAACGGTTGTTACCATAGTTTAATGTTCTTATCTGGTACTGACCCCGACTCAGTACATGCTATCATGACAGACAGACATCTCAACACTATTGTCTAATCAGAACTGTAGAATGCTGTAGGATGGTAAGGGAAAGTCCCGCCCTCCTTCGCCTCTGATTGGTTATAAGTGCTGACCGTTTGGCTTGAGCGTGTGATGACGTTTCCAGCTTTTCTAGCCAATCAGAGGCGAAGTAGGCGGGACTTTCACCAGGAAAAGTCTTCTCCCGGATGTGTTTTTACGCAAAATCGCATCGGGCTCGTTGTGTATAGTCAAGCGCGTCAAAGTTCTTCTTCGAATATTTCGTAATTTTGCGTTAAATGCACTGTCATGAAAAAAGGCCTCAATGTTCTAACCCTAATAAAGCTACCTAAACTAAACCTCAGACCTGAGTCTTCAAGCACAGACATAGAAACAGACTTAGCATACCTCATTAGCGTCCATGTCATGGTCTAGCTAGCGCAGTGTTTTCCAAATTCAGGGGCCCAACCCACCGGGGGGTTGCTAAGGGGTTGAAGAAACTGAAGAAAGGGAGGGAAACGGGTCAGGAAGTATTTAGATTGGACAAAAGGCTGATGATAAACAAGACGACAAGAGAAAATTCATATGAGGGGGGTCCCTACCAAGAACTAATGCGGAATAGGGGTCTCTTGGACTGGCACAGATTGGGAAAAAGTCGCTCTTTGTAGCAGGACAAGCAAGTAAACAAAGACTGGAAGACACTGAAATCAGCCAAATTTAATTGTTTTGAATCAACAGTTGATGACGAAAACTCTGAACTAGTTTCATTCAATTATCTGTCCGACTATAAATAATCTCAAGTTAGGTAACTTTTCCCGGGAGGTTCTGTCAGTCATACTTACCCTGATACTCAATGATAGCCCGGGTATCCTGTGTTGTCTAGATGTCAGGATGATTTCCACAAAAACTGACAGGATCAGAGGATCACCGCGATATTCTGTTTAACCTTTAGTGAACCAACTCAGATGAAGTCCTTACCTGACAGGAGGCATATACAGTGAAGCTTCGGATGAGAGAAATGCAAATTCCACATCAGGGCGGATGACGATGTTATTTTTTGTTCCTGTTCTTGTACTTTTAATGTAGACAGGTGTGTTTGTGTAGGTAACAAGATGATGGGATGTTTGCAAATGAGCCCGCCGGCACGAGTCAGTCGGTCGTCTTCTTGATGCACTTAAGAGGAGGTCAAGACTTGTGTTTAAGATGGGCCGCGATCCTGAGTGATTAGAGCCCTTGTGATTAAAAATTTACATCTCAGCTTACTGCAAGGGAACCGAGGGGATGTCTGTGTGTGTGTGAGTGTGTGTCTGAGTGTGTGTGTTTGAATTTATTTCGCAACATGTGGATGTGAGCCAGAGCGAGATTAATGCTCCATGTCTAACAAACCTCTTAGTTTGACCCTGGCTCGCCTACGAATACACACACACAAAAACACACACCGTCCACTTGATCTCATGCTGACCATGAGCGGTTCCTCTTGCTGAAGCATGTACACACACACACACACACACACACTCAAACATGCAAATAAACAGCGAACTCAGGCCAACTCTCAGCCGCTTTGATGCATTAATGCAAAGGTGTTTTTTCGGCTCTTCGTGGCTCGGGACCAAATTGATCATGACGACCGCGCACGCTCGTAAAGGCCGTGGATTCAGATTAGCGGGGAGATTATAGGTGATGCGTACACATTAGGAGTTTGTAAAGCTTAAAACGACCTCTCATCTCTCGCGCCGTCGCTGATTATCGAGTTGAAGGCTCCCCTGGAGGAGCCGAAGAAGAAGCAGCATCAAGCGGAGTTTTCAAGTTTTAACGAGGCTTCAAAATCGTTGTCAAATGGTGAAAAATTTATTCCAAAGCGCCCTTTATCCCCCCGTCAGAAATCTGAGAGGCTTTTATTGTGTTTGCGTGTCAGCCTCGGTTCCGACTGCGGCCGCCGGTGCCAGATGAAGACAGATGGACGGGGGGTTTTGTCGGGGTCTGGGCCCGGCTCCAGGGAGCTGCCCTTGGTGCGAACATTTTCATCTACTTGTAGATGTCGGACAGACAGAATCCAGCAGACCCAGGATTAAAACGGTCTGGGCTGGAAGATTACGGGAGCAAAGGCTGTATCTGGATGTCCCTGCTGTTTGGCAGAACACGAAATGCATTATTTATTATTAATGCTCAGTGTATCTCAGTACGGTTGTTGTTGTTTTTCTTGTTGTTGTTGTTGTCGGTTCACCAGTCAGGCATACATTTAAAGCTGGACCCTGATTTTCCCATTAAAACTGCGATTATTTGATCTGCAGTGTTTCAGAGGTGTGTTTACATCGATGAACCCAGAATACTAATACTCCCATCAAAAGTCTGAGTCACTTTAATGAAAACGGAACAGCAGCCGGGGTTTTTAATTTAGTTTACTTTGAAAGTGGAAGATGTGGTCAGAGGTGCTGAATCAATCAAAAAAAAAAAAAAGCTGGTTATTATGAAACTAACTGGTTATTATCTTCTTCATTATAAGTGTAATAGAGAAGTGTGATTTTAACGCCCTGGGTGCAGTCTGCAAGGTGGGGGAGCCTTTTTGTAGCCAGTGAGGCAAAATTTATGGCAAAGAAAAGCCATGCAAAACTATACTAATAAAAATGACATTGTTTCCTTAAAGCTATCTGATACTTGCAAGCATAGCAACAGTCTGTTCTTCATAGCAACGGTCTGCTATAGAGAAATAGAGGACTGTTGCCATGGAGTATGGACCAGTAAGAATCATAAGAGTGAAAAACATGAATAAAATGTCCTAAAAAAAGCCTCTTATTCTGAAAATAATTGGTTATTAGCTGCTTCATAATAAACGTAATAGAGAAGTTTGCTTTAATGCTCAATTTCTGAAACTGATGAATGATTTTATGCCCTGGGTGCAGTCTGCAAGGTGGGGGAGTATTTTTGTAACCTGTGAGGCAAAATTCAGGGCAAAGAAAAGCAAAAAAAACGTTGCCAATGAAAATATTACATTGTTTCTATTAAAGCTACCTGATACTTGCAAGCATAGCAACAATGGTTGTTCTTCATAGCAACAGTCTGTTCTTCATGGCAATGGTCTGTTCTTCATATCAATGGTCTGTTCTTCATATCAATGGTCTGTTCTTCATAGCAACAGTTGGTTCTTCATGGCAACGGTCTGTTCTTCATAGCAACAGTCTGTTCTTCTTAGCAACGGTCTGTTCTTCATAGCAACAGGGGGTGTGAGAAAAAAATTGATATAGCAAAGTATCACGATATTCTGTCTGGTGATATATCGTATCGTCTTATTTGCCAAGTATTGATTTTTCCAAATTGTTTGCTAATATGAAGTCAAATCTATGATAATGGAAAATAAAATCAACTGTTTGTCCAGTGAGGTTGGCTGAGGTGACATCATAGAGCAGGAGAAAGTTAGTGCAACAAATATGTTTATAAGATTTGCAAGATGTGCTACATGAAAATAAAATACAGTGTAAATAAGACAAACATAAAAGAAAGCCAAATGCTAAATTAGCTAAACAGTTGAAAAAACGATATACATCGCAAAATATTGAATTCGCAATTCTTACTATATTGCAAAATGTTAAAAATCGCAATAATGTTGTATCATAGCCCAAGTACTGTGATAATATTGTACGTGGGGCCACTAGTGATTCCCACCCCAATTAGCAATGGTCTGTTCTTCATAGCAACGGTCTGCTATAGAGAAACAGAAGACTGTTGCTATGGAGTACAGACCATTAAGAATCATAAGAGTGAAAAAAACATGAATAAAACGTCTGCAGACAGCTCAGGGTGAACAGATGTTTAAAAATTGATGAAATACACGAACAGAGCAGACTACAGCTGCTGAGAAGGATCATGTGGTATTATGAAAAGCTCCCGGAAAGCTGTTAAAAGGGCATTTCTTTTAATAAGTTACAACATTGATTACTCACACACGTCAGTCATTTGATGATTATACCACTCATTCTGATTGAGAAAATCAGATTATAGTTTTTACATAACTGTCCCTTTAATGAGATTATTGCTTCAAATGGGATTAGAGTGAATTATTGGCGTGCGCGCACACCAGATGTCATGTTTTGAAACAGCTTCCTAACCTTTTTTATGATCCGCCGTCCTGACTCGAACCTGGACCAAATTAGGACAAGAGCATGCCGGCGTGTTGATGGTGTCAAACGCACTATCAGCGCCGTCCGGTTATTTACGTCCAAGGATGGCTGAGGTGGTGGTGGTTCTGTTCCCATGAACCCCCTCCAGGAAACCCAACCTCCCCGAAGAAAGACAGACAAGGTTCACGGCACACAGACAGCATGATTAAAGGAAGTACAGTCGTCTAGGAAAGCTAATGAGACTCGAGCGAGGACGCACTGTAGGATAACAGCCACCTGATACCTTTCCTATAGAAAACGCAGCGCAGAATCGTTTTGAAACCAGATACTTGAAGGTGAATATCACTTTCAAGCGCCCGGATCCCACAGGAGACTTTCAAAAACTTCTGTATACGACGAATTTTTTTTATTTCGCCTCCTCTGAGAAAGCTTGTAAAACACTTCCTCTTTATTACGCTGCTTCATATTCCCTCGTATTGAACAGCCTACAAGGTGAACGTTGAAACGCTGCGATGAGGATTAATACGGGACACCTTGAGAAGCAACGTCTGAGACAAATTCTGCATGAGTAGAGATCTGTTTTTGCACTTTCAAGTGAAAAAATCCACTTTGATTTGATTACTTTTAAAGTGAATAATACTGCCGAATTGTTTGTTTGAACAACAAAGAGGTTTTCAGCCGCTTTCTGCTCATTTTTTTACCAAAGACAAGCTTTTTCCGCAACCTGAATAGACCGGCTTACTTTGAGATATCCGGACTATGATTAAGAGCCGCACAATCACAGCGGAGTCAAGCCTTTGAAATAGTTTTTTATTCTTTCTGATTCATTTTCCTTTCATTTCCTCAGTTTCCCCCCACACACACTCTCCGCCGCCGCCGCCTCCATCCTGCTCGGATACTTTTGCTCTAATAAACAGGAGGAGCTTAATGAGTGTGGAGCTGCCCGGGCAGGCGAGTGAAAGCCTCCGTGAAGTGCTCGAGGTGTTTCCTCTGGAGCCATACAAACCCTGCCAGTGTTAGTTAGAGAAGCAGTTTAAAGCCCCACAGGCAGGTCGACACGCACGTTTGTGTGTGTGTATATGTGTGTGTTTGTGTGTTTGTATTGTGAGTTTATGAGGTCTGTTGGCTTTATCTGTTCGCAGCAGTGTCTGGGTTCGAACATGTGTGTGTTTATGTGGATGTGTCGGGCGAGGAGGGGGGTGTTGCAGAGGGCGCCCACCCCTGGCGGTTCAAGTCTGGCCTCTTAATTAATCTGTTTTTTGGCCGGAGGGTCTCTGTTATCAGGCCATTACAGAGAGCCTGACTGTGTCTGAACAGCACGAGCCCAGAGAGCTCTGCACAGGTACACACACTCGGTTGAAACCGCTATACTAATGAGGACACACAGACTCTTTTGTCCTTCAAGAATAATCCCAGTCTCAGTGTTTTACTTTTGTTCATTCGGCTTAAACATCTCAACATTTACATACTTTATTTATCAAACAGCTTAACAGTTCAGAGTTATGATTGCTTGGTTTGTGATGATGCCTCAGAAAGCTGGACTCTTCTACTACTGAGCCACGCTGTTGTAGTTGTCTTGCTGTATTATGCAACATTAAAGGGATATTCCAGTGTAAAAAAGGTTAGATACCCCGTTGAGAGATGAATGTTGCAGACCGCTTGCTTCTCTAGTTATACCAACTTTAGTAACGACTGCAGATAGCAATACAGAGAGCCACACGCTCAACCAAAACGCCACTCTATAGCCACCAATAATGCTCAGAACAGCACCTAACTTCATCAACAGGACATATAGGGTCCCAGCCACCAAACATCTTTCTTTAGCAGAGAGGCTAAACACAACTCACCTACTCTCTTCCAGCAGCCCCTTGTTTGTATGGAGACCTCTGAGCGAGTCCATCGACTGCTGCGGGGTGTTGCAGCTCAAGGAAGAACATCTATGATCATTTCTTCATGGAAATACAATCAGACCGAGACGTTAAGGCAGAAGAACTACCGCGTCTGTGGTGCAGAATGATCAATATGATGATTATTACTTTGAGGAAATGATAAAGAAATGATCATAAATGTTCTTCCTTGAGCTGCGTCACCCCGCAGCAGTCGATGGACTCGCTCGGAGGTCTCCGTACAAACAAGCGGCTGCTGGAAGAGAGTAGGTGAGTTGTGTTTAGTCTCTTTGCTGAAGAAATTAGGCAAAGTTAAAAAGATGTTTGGTGTCTACTACTATAGCTGGGACCCTATATGTCCTGTTGATGAAGTTAGGTGCTGTTCTGAGCATTATTTGTGGCCATAGAGTGGCGTTTTGGTTGAGCGCGTGGCTCTCTGTGTATTGCTATCGTGCGGTCATTACTTAAGTTGGTATAACTAGAGAAGTAGGCGGTCGGCAACATTCATCTCTCAAGGGGGTGTCTAACTCAGTGCTACGATATGTTTGACCCTAGGTTAATTTTCCCCCGGAATATCCCTTTAACGGCGGAAAAGGTGAAATCAGCTCCAAAACCTGTCTACCGTGAACACTCATGGCGCCCTCCCAGATGTGTAATTGTCATAAATGCATTCCCATACGTTGTTAGGGATGCTAGCTTTTGACCTATGCGCTGATGCGCCTCATTGGTTCATCTTAAATGGTCTCAGTGTCTGTTTTATACATGCTTTCCTTGTTGCTTGATTTTTATTTTAATCTGTATTAAACTGTGTTCACAGACAATGATTTTTTCTAAGCCCATGTGGTGGTTTCCACCACAGAGCCACGTCTGTTTTCCTCACAAGCTCGCTCATTCAGCCTCAGTTTCCCTCCTTGTCCATTGTGCACAGAGAGTCTTTTAATGAGATTATGTACTATATTTGACAAATTCCTCACATTCTCCGCAATTTTACGCCCATGGTCGCTCTGGAATTCGCTGGACTATTTCCTCACCCAGAGTTCACTTGTAAGTCCCTCTTGAACACCGTATTTATACCCAGTCATGTGATTGTTTTTAGCATTACAACATCAGAATTTAGACTTAGGAAATATACAAACAATAGAAACTAAGGGCAAAATAGCAGCATGGTGACTATTATTGCACTTCTTGGCTGTAGAGTGGTAGTTTTAGGGTAAACACTGTTCTTTGTTATCATTAAAAATTAGAGTTTTTACCCTAAAATTTCAGTCTTAATCAGGTCCATTTGCAATCTCTGCACTCTGTTCAGCTCAAATTAAGATATTGATTTTTTAGGAGTTTTTGAGCGGACCTCACAGCTTGATAAAACATTTTGGAGCAGAGTAAAATTCACAGACGGGGGCTTAACTTCACTTTTCCTAAATTAAAGTCGATCCTTAACCAAGTCTTGACCCTTAAACTGGCTTTTTAAAAGGGAGTCCCCCAAATGTCCCTACAATCCAAAAATGACCCCAATCTAAAGCCCTCTATAAAACCATAGTCCTCACAAAGGCACATAAACAAGAGCGCACACTCATGCACAGGACTCAGTAAATACAGGTGTGCAAGCTGTCGGGTCAACACACACAGGCATACCCAAACAAAGACAGGGCACACAAATCTCATGCTCACACCTCCGCCGCCTCTCTGACCACACACACACACACACACACACACACACGTACAGTATGTCTTCTCTAAAGAGTCTGGGTTTCACATGCAACCCCTCACAGGCTGCATGTGAAACCTGATTACAGTCCAACACAGATTTCCTCAGAGGCGCGGGGGGGAGGCGGGGGTGTTGACCGCTGTTACCGTAGCATCACTCAGCAAGTCTGGAGGCTTTCAACCACATATCCCACTTTCCCTCAGTGTGTCTTTCTGTCTTTATAACCTCTCTGTAGGTTAAAACGGCGCTCAAAGCGGTTAGACGATGGCGTGAATGATCTCTGCTGATGAGCATGTTCTGCTGAGGTGGCGGTGGATAACGATCTTTAGGGAGATACTCTAAACGTTTGGATATATTTATGACTCTACTTCAGTTTGTGTAGAAGAAGAAGCAAAGTTTAGGAAAGACTTCAGCCGTCTTTGTTTCTGTGAGGAAAACCCAAAGCCTGCTACGCCAAGAAACAACAAAACGCTCAATTAATCTGAGCGGAACAAAAGAAAACACAACATTTGAATCTCCTCCGGTCTTTGTTTGCACTCTGAAAAGAGGATGTCGGCCGGTCGGAGCCCGATACAGAAGTGTTGTCCTTTTATTCTCTGTCTGGTGTTTCTGCTACTTGCCTCCGACGACCTTCTGTCCGCATATTTATTCCCACTTCAACAGATTTTCTTTATTTAGCTCTCACTCGAAAAGCTTTTTCTTCCATGCCTTGTTCTCCCGTTGCTGTCTGTGCTATCTTCTGTGAGGCAGCAGAATCCATCGCTGTAAACGCGAGCATCGGCTCTTTTCTTCGTCGCAGACTTTGATTTTGTTTTTATTTACTCAGTTTAGTCTCGATTAATTGCCTAAAAAACACATGAAAGGACATTCTCCCCTGCGTTTTAAGGAATCTGCAAATGCCATACTCCTTCCCACTCTTTCCAAAATAGAAATCTTGTTTTCTATCTTCCTCGTCTCCGCTCCACACCAAAGTTTCGCCGCAGGCAGCGTGCCATCTGCTTTTGACATTTTTAGAATGAGGAGAACTTGTGAGAACAGCGTGTTTATTGTCCCATTTCGGTAAATTATTCAGACTCCATGTTCGGAGTCGGAGCGGCCGACACAAAGCAGCACTGACACTCTGTGGAAAATCTGGAATTCCTGAATCCGTCGCTCTGATTTCATTCCGCAGCGATCCGGATGTGACAGTTGGAGCTGACGCCAGGATGAAGCGCGCCTATTGTCAGTCCAGCAGTTGTCCTTTGACCCCTGTGCTACGCCGAGTGCCAGAGCTCAGCCTCGGAGCCATCACAGCCGCTCGGGTGCGAGCTAAATATGCGCAACAAGCCAACTCAAGTGTCATACTCATAGCAGGGGGACTCTTTGTGAGTGGCTGCCGGCCAACGGAGGGCACATGTGCGGTCTTGCAAAACTTAATTCAGAGTCAGTTTTCCAGCATGAAATTAACTTCTAATCTAAATTCATTTTGTACTTACCAAAGGGCAAGGGAACGAGCCGTGAAAGAGCAGCAGTGGACGTCGGGGTCTACGGATGTCAGTCGCCATGAGTGCCAATTTGTACGACGCATATTTCTCAACAAAGAGTATCTAACATGGCGTTTTAGTGTGCAGTAAGGCTTACCAATATCCCTCTGTTGCATCCTCAATTGGAGGAAATATGATAAAAAAGGTCTCTGTTGTGTTCTTTCCACTGAAAAGGATGAAGGAAATCGCCGCCTCTCATTCGTCTTTCCTTCACACTTGAATTTGCCGTTTGCTCCAAAGACAGTCGAAATGCAAACTCCTGCATTTGTCGTTGAGACAGGCGGATCAGAGCGGCGTCGGCAGTGATGCAGACACTAAACCGATCTGTCGTGGTGAAGAAAGAGCTGAGCCGTACAGGGAGACTCTCGATTTATCGGTCACCTACGTGCCGACCCTTACCTATGGTCACCGGAAGAACGAGATCGCTGATACGAGCGGCCGAAATGGGTTTCTTTCGCAGGGTGGCCGGGCTCAGTCTTAGAGATAAGGGTAAGGAGCTCGGACACTCGGGAGGCGCTCAGAGTAGAACCGCTGCTCCTCCACGTAGAGAGGTGGCTCGGGCATCTGGTTAGGACGCCTTCTGGACGCCTCCCGTTAGAGGTGTTCCAGACATGTCCCACCGAGAGGAGACCTCGTGGCCGACCCAGGACCAGGTGGAGGGATTATATCTCTCGTCCGGCCTGGGAGCGCTTGGGAATCCCCCCAGAGGAGCCGGTGGAAGTGGCCGGGACGAGGGCCGGAGATAAGCACATTTGCTGATGATGGTCTTCTTATCTCTTCTGGTCTTTTGTAGGCAATTAAAGGACCTCTGTTTAACTCCTCACAGTGGCTTTAAGTTCAGTTGTGTTTCTCACTTTTTCACTGTTTTCTACGTCTGTGATAAATATTCAACATCACTTCCTGAACTGGACGTCTTTCCTTTCTCAACGCTCCTGAAACGGACGACATCACAACGACGTCTCTGCCTTTTAATTTCCCAATCATCACCGTATCACTCGATCAGAATTAACCTGGGACCTCTTCCCTATCAGTGTGATAAACGAGTGATTTGCTTGCTCCGGGGATAATTAACGAACTAGGCACCCAATTAAGCCTGTTTGACCCGATCATGATTGGATACGAACCAGGACGCGGCCTTGTTAAGAGCGATCTAATTACTCGTAGGATATTCCTCTATCAGCGCCGTGTTACGTTGATCCATTAGATATCGATCTTTCTTATAGGGGCTCATCATCTCATTAGCCTTTGTTGTGTTTGTAAATGTGGTAACGTGGATGTTGAACCAACAAGGGTTAGAGTTCAATGTCAGGGGTATTGGGTCCAAATCTGAGCTTAGATGCAGAGCCTGATCCCAGTTTTACATACTCATTATCCCAGTCTGGCTCTGCTGGTTTCTGCTTAAGGCTTATTGGTTTTATTCACCTCATGGCTGTTCTTGTGAGTTTTTTAATATTGAGAAGCTTCGGTAAACACAGCCTCTCCTCGGGCTGGTTATGAAGCCTTAATGAACCTTTGGGGTCGGTGCGAACGCCTGGAGGAGTTAAATCCATTTAAAAAAAAACCTCAGACATCCCCCCCTCCCTGCAAACTCCGGTGACGCACCCTGGAGGAATAACCGGAGCAGCTGCTCAGTCATCTGCAGTTACAGTACCAGGTGTGAATGCACCAACTGTTCAATCTAATCCTTTAAAGTAACCGTGCATTAACACTTGTGTGAGGCTGGGAGTTCGAGGATACATGCAGTTCGTGTCGAGTGGAAGCGTTTGCTGTTTCTTAAGCCTCCAGAGTAATAACTCCGCGCACTTACTCGCTCTGACCCATTTTGCTTTCTTGTGTTTACAAGCGTATCTGAAGCAGATTAATCTTAAGCATTATCAAAAATGAAAAAGCTGAGTTATTATTTAAGATTACTTTGAAACGGAAAGCAGCTTCTACTTTTGAGCAATTTTCTCCTCTTAAAAAAACTCTATAAAACACACCCCAGTTTGTAAGGAGTTATTTTTTATCCCAACATTTCGATGCTGCAAATTCACCAATTTGTTTTAGTTTAACTTACAAATTGTTTTAATACGCTTTGGAAATGGGAAGACGAACAAACTACACATCTATCACCACCACATGGATCCGCCCCTGCAGGGGTCAGCATCCACGAGATCCAAGACTAATCCCCCATTTCTACCGCATCCGGAATGGCAGCGAAAACGCCAATCGCAGCTGATCGTCGCCATTCAACTTGATGTGTCAATTTCCACCGGCTTCTTTCCGTTCCTCTGCGGTTCAGTGTGCTTCGTAGCCGATCGCCAGAGTCCTTTTTTTTCCGGACGCCGCAGCAGGACGCAAAAATTCAGTACAGATTAGTCCGTGCTGGAAAGGAAGTCGGGCACAGACACAAAATAAAACATCAGCCTTCTTTTCAAAATAAAACGCAGATCGTATTACGTACCATGCAAATGGGCGGGTCCAGTCAAAGGTTTCAGACTGTATTTTACTCCAACACCACGGATGAGGAGACGCTGATTGTAGAAGTCTAGAAGTGGATTTCCGCCTCTGGAAGGACACAATCTACTGCTTATATGGTTATGTGGCTGTCTCTGAATCTGCCAGTTCTTGTGAGTTCTCGCGATTCCCGCTGTCCAAATCCACCACGAAATTCCCCTCACAAACACATCCGGTTGGAATTGGTAGCCATTTCGGATGCGGTGTAAATTGAGGGTAATTCCAAAGGGGTAATTCAAAGTTCTCGAAGAGGTTTCGCTTCTCTTTCCAATGATCGAGGTGGTCAACTGGAAGTTTCTGGCGGAGTTCTTGACCTAGCTTCCTCTGGGGGTGATCCTTGGTCACATGATCCCTGGATTGAAGTGGAAGTGTTTGGATTGAAAGTGGTCCAAGGAAGGGACACCAGTGTTCTGGATCATGGGGTCACCATGGAAAGACTGTCATATGTGGTTCAGTCCAACAGAAGAGCCACTGAGTCCTCAAAGAAGGACCTCGAAGATACTGGGCAAGTGAAGGTGCCTTAACATGTCTCCAATCAGAGCTGAAACTCATTGGAAAAAGTAGAAATGTACGACTCAGATCTAGGCGGTCATCCGGAAGTTTCTGGCAGGGTTCTTGACCTAGCTTCCTCTGGGGGTGATCCTCGGTCACATGATCCCTGGATTGAAGTGGAAGTGTTTGGATTGCATCGTAAAGGGATCCAAAAACACCAGTGCAACATGCACATATATCTACGATCTACCATATGTGGTCCAAGGAAGGGAGACCAGTGTTCGGGATCATGGGGTCACCACGGAAATACTGGCATATGTGGTTCAGTCCAACAGAAGAGCCACTGAGTCCTCAAATAGAAGGACTTCGACGATACTGGGCAAGTGAATATGCCTTAACGTGTCTCCAATCGGAGCTGAAACTCACGGGAAAAAGTAGAAATGTACGACTCAGATGTCATTTTATCTGGGAAGGTATCTACATTCAGAGAAAAGTAAAGATGTTCAGAAGTTTCAGAGACGAAGAGTTATTGCTGAAAGTTAAAAAAAAAAAATGCTGAGATAAGGACTTTTCAGACTCAGGGCTGACTGAGGTGCATATATAAGATAAGTAATGAATTCAGAGCCTGTCACGGACGTCTGACTGTGTTAAAACCCTACATTCCTATGCCCCCCCCCTCAGTCTTTGTGTTTCTACGTACCGGCGGAGACCTGCCCATCTGTCACTCCACCTCTGTAAAAACTCTTAAGTCGCTGATGAAAGCCGACAAGCTTTTGATACAAGCGTCTACATACTCTGTTCTGTGTATCTGAGAAGCCTTTAATGTTCCCTCTGTCTCCAGCCGTGACAGCGTCTTTCCTTAATTGCAGCGTGCAGACAGCTCTTTTACTTTTCAGCTAAGATTTCTGCAGAATCAAAGCGCTCTAAGTTAAGACACCCCTGTTGAAAATCTACTGTAAGTTTGAGAGAAGAGAAGCCGGCGTGTTTAGATTAATAAATCTCGCTCATTTGTCATCCTGATAAAGTGGGAGCTTCTCTTTTATCTCCGGCATGAAGAGAAAAGCCTCAGCGGCGCTCTGCGGCTGAATAAACTGTCATCCAATAAAAGCAGGAACACAAAATCGGACGTGGTCCAAATGAACCTGCTGGATGGCTCAGCTCCCTCAGCTCTGCGCTGGTAATTGGCGTCCAGCTTAAGTACAGCGCGGCGGCACAGGGGGCTTTTTTACAAACCCCACAATTGAAGTTGAACACAAAAACAAAGTGGGAACCACAAGGCGGTCAGCTCGGTTGATGTGAACCCCTGAGGGCGGGTCGCTGTGGAAGATACATGAACCAAAACCAGTGATCAGGAGACAGGAAATCAGAGAAATCAGAGTCTTTACTTATCTCTTTACTTCTTTGATTTCTCTTCGTTAACTTTGGTCCGAAGAAAGAACCAGGATTCCCTCTTAGGGCCGGGCGATATGGAAAAAAATTTATCACGATTTATTTTTTTCCATATCAGTTGATATCGATATATATCACGATATAAAAAATGAAATCTAACACTGCTTATTGGTAGCTTCTCTCTCCCTCCCCCTGATTATTGAACACAACGGACTTCTCAAATGGTTTACCCGTTCATAGATGATTTGACTTAACCTTCTCAGCCTTATTTGACTCTTATTCCTAAGGGATTTGTAGTTGCTTTGATATTTTCACAATTAGTCAAGCGATGTAGGGCAGTGCTTGTACGGATCCCTCAATTGGCCCTTCAGCCTATCCTTGTTTGACCACCTAATCTCCTGCTCCTCAAGTGAATCCGTACATGAAGTTTTCAGGCTACACCTGGTCTTCAAATAAAACAATGATGGTCTTTGAACAAACATTTCAGGCCTGTCTTCAAACAAAGTTCGAAGGCGTCACACTCTGCGGTGATTATTTAAGCCGCTCTGTGTCCCTCATTCAGTGCCAGATTGTCTTTGCAACATGCACGGCTCTCCAGCAGTATTTCTCGGATTGATGTCTCGGTTTCGACTCCGACCACGTCTTCTCGTCTCTGCCCTTGGATCCCTGGTCAAGTTTCTCCACTTCCGTGAGTACTTCATGTTTCGCTGTGTTGCCGGCTCCCCGACCAACTGCCCGTCCACGACAATCCCTCGAATGCTCTTGTGTTTCAAATACATGGGCCAGACATGACCATCAAATGGTTCCGGGGGGGATCTAGCACCTTGTAGTTCCTGGAGCACCTCCAGATTTTGCATTCTACGTATGGGGTGGAAATAAAGTAACGTTGGTTCAGCACGTCGATCAAAGGTTTGTAGGTGTAAAGCAGGAAGCCTTCAATGATTGTCATTGTCAGACTTCGGAACGATCTCAGTATCCAGTAGTGTTGTAGTACTTTAGATTGGTCTTGGTCCCGGGACCGTTTTTGAGGGTTTTGGTGTCGTCTCGGAATCGAAGGCATTTTCACTCGGTCTTGTCTCGGGTTTTTGAACGAGACCGGTCGAGCTAATAACCTCACATCATTGGTAGGAATGATTCTCCCCCAGGTGTAGCTGCTAAGTTACCTGCCCAGTGTCACACAGTCTGAGTGACTGACACACCCTCTTCACACAGAGAGAGGATGGAGACGACAGGAGGAGAGGCACCCGGTGATCTCATCATGGAAGATGTCTGTCAACTCAACAGTAATTAAGTTTCCTAAACCACACAGAGTTTTATTTGTAAAGCGACATGCAAGCCAAAACACTCGGCAGTGTGCAAACAGCTGGTACGACTTCAAACTTTTACCGTCACCTCAAGAGGAAGCATAAAGACAGGTAAGCTAATGGTTACCATACAGTAGTGTTGTAGTACTCAAGATCGGTTTTGGTCTCGTCTCGGAATCGAAGGCATTTTCACTCAGTCTTGTCTCGGTCCTCTTTGGTCTTGGTAGTGTCTTGGTCTTGGTTGGTGCAGTCTTGACTACAACACTAGTATCCTGGCTGTTATTAACGCCGTGAGAGTGTGCAGAGTATAACAGAGTATGACTCCTCACACTCGGTCTCCAAACAAACTCACCTGACTATAAAACAAAGCTACTGCCCAGTTCAATTCAGCCTCCTCTCACAAATTTAGCACATTCAGCTTTTCCCATTGTCTCCCTTTTCTTCTCTTCGTGGTTTTTGATCCGAAGAGGAGAGAGAAGTAGGTCTTAGTGATCTCACAGGCTCATTTTTTTTGCACAGAGAGAGTAAATGTTATGATTTCTTCTGTTGATTTAGTTTTTCATTGGTCATTTGAGTGTGTTTTCCTTGTGTTACCGTTCCTTATTGCTCCTGTGAACCTGTCTCGTGAGTTTTCAGTTTGTGTTTGACCCCGTTTTCCCGTCACATTCTCTGTGTGTTTTATTCTTTAGATCAGTTTGAGTGTTTCCTGTTTTATTTTGTAGTAGTTGATTCCTTGTGTTTCTGGTCTGGTTTTACTTCCCAAGTTTTCCCTCCCTCGTTAATCACCTGTGTCTCGTTAGTCTCACCTGTTGCTCGTTTCCCAGTGTGTATATATAGTCCTTGTCCTCCCCTATGTCCCTGTTGGTTCATTGTATGTCAATGTGTGCGTATGCTTGTGTCCCCACTTGTTCCTTGTGTCTTTAGTTGGATTTTGCCATTTGGATGTTTTTGGTTAAAGTTTTTGTTTCTTTTATTTCATTCTTTTTAGTAAATCCTTTGTTGTTCTACATTTGGGTCCTTTTTCCCAACCGTCCCGGGCGTCTTTATTGTGCAGAATCAGAAACCAGAAGCCTGGGAGGTTAGCAGCAGATCATTAACACTTCTGAAAACACTCGGCTTACAGTTGTTTACACGACTGATCCTCCAAAATATCTCAACCCACTATAAACCGTTAGCATGACTGCGTAGTATGATTTCCACGACACGGACCGGCTGGAAGCGGCGATCTCGTCTGGTCGAGGAGCTTTAGGGCTTTGCCTCCGAACATCAAATTAATTTGGCAGAGAGGAAGCCTGCGTCTTATGTAAATGAACAGCTGAGTTGCAAAAGCACATTGAGTCCCCTGAGCGGAATATGAAAGCAGATAAAAACAGAGGAGGGAGTGATATGGTGGAAAGGGTGTTCCACCATTAAAATAACACGTCCATACGTCATGTAATGAACTGTAAAAAGAAACGCTCACACCCACGACTCACCCAAACTGAAGAAACAGAGAAACCTCTCGAGTGTGACGGCGTGCTTATGCTCCAAATAGCATTTTTATGTTTCCGTGGCGATTAAAACGCTCTGCTCATACGAGTCTCAAAGCTTAACCCCCTGCTGGAATAATTAGAAACCTCTTAAATGATGGAGAAAAAAAAGATTGTTTAAATAAATTAACTCTATTATTGTTAGATCCAGTCAAGTGTTTGTATTCCAGTTTATTCAAGTCTTGTTGAATGAAGTGCTAAAACCTGCAGTTCCCTGAGCGTCCACTTGAGGCTGTCTGCGGAATCACTGTAAACCACATACACACTCAGTCAAAAATAAACATGTTTAGAATAGTCTCCTAGAGCAGCACTGAGCAGGGAGCGAATTTTACTGTAACACATTTATTTTCAAGTTTATTAAGGTTACAAAATTGGCGAATCGGAAGCGTGGTCGACTTTACTCAGAAGTGAGCGGGAAAAGCTCGAATCTGATTGGCTGTTGTGATTCACATTTCCGCTGTGTTTCATCGAGTAAATATGCTCACAGCTGATCACCGTGATCGAACTGAAATTTATCACCATCATCGATCACGATCATATAATCGCCCGGTCCTAACCACCGGAAACCGTGGGGGCAGTGTCGCTGATGTCACTACCCAACATGCATCTCTAGAGAGAACTAAGAAGACAACGGCGGGGCTTTTTGAGGATCGACGTCAATTTAGATTATCACCAGCTCCTCCACAGTCGCCAAGTTTCTTTTTGTTTGTTGTTGTCAGAAACTTTTGACTCCGGCCTGCCCCCTGGTGGGTGTAATGGTTAACATCCATGACAACGTAAAGGACGCATGGAAGTATGTAGGCAGTGACGGAATCATCGTATGAAACAGACACCATATTTAGTTATAACACAGCCTACAATTAAGAATCATAATCAACGGTAAGGCAGGAAAGAGGAAGGAAGGAAGGTGAGAAACAGTCCGTCAAACAAGAAGCACCAGATCGAGTAAGAGAAGGTCCATTTCAGAAAAGTCAGAAAGGGTCAGGTGCAGTCAGCGAGGGAAAAGAAGTCTCAAAAAGAGTTGTCTTTCTTCAAGACATTGACCTGTTTTTTTTTTCTAATCTTAACCACTCTTATCTTCAAAAATCACTATCAAAGAAATTGTGCTGAAGTACGACACAACAGGTTTCAGTGTGGGTGTGAAGACGTGTTTGTCATTTGACTTCGCCGGAGGGTGAATTTTCTCGCTGATGTTTTCGGGCTTCCTCTCTCTGAGTTTAGCTTTAGGCGCTCGTAACAAATGCTCTCCGAGGCTTTCATCAATAAAAGCGGCTGATGTTGGAGTCTGATGCCACTCAATCAGACTCAGGCCTCTCATTTTCTCTTGTTCGCAATTTGTCTTTGGGGCGAATCTATTCTTTCAATCTTATCCCACACTCTCCTCACCCTGTCCTTCACTCACCCCCGTCCCTGCCGCACTCTCATCGCTCTCTCTGGGGGGTCATTTGGGGGGGAGATAAAGCCTGTATCCGAGGGTCCGCGGGGAGTCTCTCCTGCAGATGAGTAATGATCCAGACACACACTCAGGCACAAACCCACAGACACGCATGGGAGGGAAAGCAGTGGCGTAGACACACACATGTTTGGCTGCTGCTGCTGCTGCTACACACTCCATTTGGTTCCCTCTGTCTCTGCCTGTCTAACAGGTCCAGGAACAGGGTGGGGCAGGTGCTTAAAAAGCACCACAGGGACACGAGCCAGAGAGCTCTGTCGGCCTTCACCGCTGAGATAAAGGGTTAGAGGGGAGAGGGATGGAGAGAGAGGAGAGAGAGAGGGAAAGCCCAGCGGAGAGGTGGAGGAAGAGGAGGTGGGAGGTGCAGTTCAGATTAAAGTAATGAGGGTTGGACTTTGGAGAGAGGAGGGGCGATAAGAGAAAGAGGCAGAGGATGTGATTTTCTTTGTCTCGAAGCTTCTGAAAATCAGAATCCGCACTCATGCAGAACCGAGTTTGATAACGGCTCGTATTGGACTCCAAACATCAAATCCTTTACGATGTACCTCGAACAAGACCTGACTCAAACTTGGATGGAGTCTGAAAGACAGATAACTCACATTTTATCAGAGACAGAAGATATCAGGCAGACTAAATCCACAATCCTGTCAATCTGGACCGATTGATTAGACCAAACAGGTCGAGATTGAGTCGCTCCGATCGTTTTAAGGCTTCACGCTGCGGTACGCTTTCTAATACCGCAAGACAAGGCTTTACATCCCTGGAGAGATATCACAGCAGCAATCATTTACCCCCTGTTGGAACAATCCCAGACAAACAGTAGAAACAGAATCACAAGCTGATGCTTTAGCTGAGCTGGTAAAGTGAGGAGCCCAGGATCAGGTCTGACTCATGCCCCAGCATCCCTCGTCTCCCTTTAACTGTCTTCTCACAGACAGACTATTGCCAGAAACATAAAAGAAGAAATGTGATTACAGAACTGGGACAAGAAAATCAGCAACCATCTACCTTTGTGAGATGTAGTTGTCGAAAGGAGTTAGTTGATGTTGATAAGGATGCCGGCCTTTAGAGGTGTTCCGACCAGGTCCAACCCCGGTAAGACTCTGAACTCACTAGAGAACTTATGTACCCTACCTGGACTAGGAATTCCTTTGGATCCCACAGGAAGAGCTTGAAAGTGTTGCTGGAACGAGGGAGGTCTGGGTTGACGGAGTGTTTTATTTTGAAAAGATACTGGATGTTTTATTTTGTGTATGTGCCCGAGTTCCATCCGGAAAAAATAGAACTCTTGCGATCAGCCGTGGAATCCGGCGATCCGCAGCGGAACGCAAAGAAGCCGGTGGAAATTGGCACATTAACTCGAATGGTTACGATCAGCTGCGATCGGCGGATACGGCCTTTTCGTAGCCATTCCGGATGTAGTGGAAATTGAAGGGTTAATAATAATGCATCATAATGCAATAATGATTTCATGTAGCGCTTTATCGGAGACCCTCAAAGCACTTTACATTAGATACATCATTCATTCGCTCACACAGTCACACTTTGGTGGTGGTAAACTACCTTAGTAGTCACAGCTGCCCTGGGGTAGACTGACGGAAACGTGGCTGCCATTTTGCGCCTACGGCCTCTCCGACCACCACCACACAACAATCACAATCATACACCAGTGGAGGACACACACTGGGAGCAAGGTGGGTTAAGTGTCTTGCTCAAGGACACAACGGACAGACTTGGGGGGATCGAACCGCCAACCTTCCGGTTATTGGATGACCGCTCTACCTCCTGAGCTACTGCCGCCCCCATGAACCAACCCTGCATAAGTGGAAGGAAATTGACAGACCGAAACCTCCTATTCGAAATTAATGGTCAGGTTGTTGTTGTTGATTCTACAATTCAGGGACTAAGAGGTATTTTAGTTCCTTATAGATCCTTCTTTAGAGGAACCTTTTAAGCCCCTGCGTCAGAGTGGGTACTACCCCAGCACGAGATGGACTTTGAGTGGCCTACATGTAGGGTGTTTGGTCCAGAAGAGAGTGTTTGTTGACTGGTCAAACCCAGTACCACCAAGCGCCGTTTCTAGATCCTTCCATGAACATTCCTAAAATACTGAAAGGATTGTCAACACTAAGAGTTATGCATAAATTTTAATAATTAAGGGGTGGGTCTGTGCCTTGGCCTATGCCTTGGAGGACTTGTGTCAGCATATTTTATGCACTCAGAGGCAACTGTTTCCAGGAAGAGATAGACAGAACAATACGCTTAAGTATTTCTGTAGTGGTTTGGATAAGAAGCTTTTTTCTAAAACAGGTTTTCAGGGCTTTTAAAGGCTTACTGTTTTATGCTGCCATGACAACCTCAAACCTCTCTCACATGGTTTCCAGATATTACCTTGATCAAAGCTAACCTAGACTGAACGAGGTTTAGAAATACAGATGCTCTTCAGCTGGACCAAATGTCGAAAAATGAAAGGGTTGAGCAGCAGAGGGGGGTGGCGTGGAGCTTAAATAATTTCAAGCCTTACATCTGGGATTGATTTTGGGGATTTTAGAGATAAGGCCTCAGACGTGAGCAAACAGTATTCCTGGAAAATGGATGGATTTCCTCGATGGCCCGCAAAGCCTTAAAGGATTTCTGAGAATTCAACTCTTAACCAGCATAGCCTTCTTGGTTTATACAGCAGCACTGTGTGTTTCATAATTTAAATAAAGGTCTTAGTCTTCCACTATCCAACTCGTGAGTAAATCCTGAATTCATCAGGAAAATAGAGTCTTTGTCTTGGAGCTGTAAATCATTGGCAGCTGCAGATGTTAGCAGCAGACACAAGTCTCTGAAGCAGGCTGCAGCTGTTACCAGCACAGTCCAGAGGGTCCGTCCAGTCCTTTTTTTGTCAGTGTCACCTCGTGAAACTCTAGACATTAAAGCAAAGTCAGGACCGAGTCCCGGCACTTTGCACATAACCATAATCAGAGGTGATATGTATCGATCCCTGCTGAGAGAACAGTGCCAGGCGGCATTGGGATCAGCAGTCTTGGTCTTGAAGGGCTTCAATGTCAATGCTTCAATGCTCAAGGACTTCTCACCGAGATGGGTACTTGATCTCTGCTGCAAGCTGGTTTTACTGACTCTGGGCATAAAGGTAAAGTGGATTCGCAGGTTTTAACAAACTGAATAAAAATTTACAGCAGTTTGGATCAGTCTTGTAGAAGGCGAAGAAATAAAACTTTCTGCAAATCTCTGCAACTGCAATGGAAACCCAAAACAAAGACCTGTTTTACTTGTGTTTTATGCAATAATTCACAAGAATAACGTGGTTCATAGGAACGTTTAATGACATAAGAATTACGGATATCTTTAGAAATGTCAGAAAACGCTCGGGGGCGACTGATTTCTATGAGATAGCTTTGTGTCATAACACAGTAGCCATGTTTATGACTCACATGCGTTTACGTCATCAGATAACCAACCATGTTTTGGTGGGTGTTAGGAATTTTTGTAGAGCTCTGACCTGGGAATTCCACTGGATCTGGAACGGCTGCGCTCCACTCCGGACCGGCAGGCCGCCACCGAAGGAGAAGCTGGACGAGAAGTCACAAGATCTTGCATGTTTCCCTGTGAGACATTGAATGACACCCGCCAATCGGCGTCTATAAACGGTGGTGTATATAAACACCAACATCCCACAACCTTAGCCTCACCCATTATCAATTCAACAACAGTTCAACGTATTGAATAGAAGCCTTGCGTATCCGATCCCGGCTGCTGGAACCGATCCGCAGTGGAGCCGGATGGGGGACAGATTCTGTGGAATCACTCACATTGATTATAATGCTTGTGTATTTGATCTGCCTGCTGTGGCAAAGCGTAGCGTAGCCATTCCTGATCCTGTGGGTTTTGCCCGTTAGAGACGTACGCAGATAGTATAGTGAGTGTTTTAGCGTCTGATGTCAACTTGCTTGAAGGCAAAGGGCGTTAGAGTTCGACTCGAATGGATCAGGAGTAGTCAAGTATTTATTCAGATTAATAAAAGAAGCAGTAGGATAGTGTTTATACCGGTTAGCTCATATCAAGGACAGGCTTTTATTCATATCAGCTCGTACAGGGTCACTCGCGAGCAAATTCCTAGAAGTAGATCTCGAATTCTCCACATGGTTCATGAAAGGCAGCGGCACTAATCTGGAGTAGCCCTCAGGTCTGAGAGCTTATTGTGTGTTTGTGTACGACCGCGTTCATGTGTGTCTACACTCTTGGGTTGCCCTTGGTCTCCCACGGCAACAATCATCTTAATGCTGATGGTCGGGCTACAGGTCATCTCCCCGGTGGCCGGGGCCCTGAACAGCTGGGCGTGTGAGCAGTAGATCATGTGTGCAAATGTGTTTTTAGAGGGGAAAGGGAGGAGCGAGCCGACATGTGAGCGTAAACTATCATACGCTGTAGATTGGTGTGTTAGCCGGAGAAAAGGAGAGATTTCACATCGCCTTTGTCTTTTAAAAGCTAATGTTTGTCTGGATGTGTGTATCCAACTGAAACCTCACAGATGAGCTGAGGTATGATATTACCCCCGGGAGAGGTCAAAGGTCATCATGGGAGCTCAGCACAGATGACAAGATCATATAGCGTAACAGCTGCTGTTCTCCTCAGAGGAGTAAGCATGAAGCTTATTTCTTACGCTCATTGGGTTGTAGTCGACTGTGTGTGTGTGTGTGTGTGTGTGTGTGTGTGTGTGTGTGTGTGTGTGTAAGAAAGTGTGTTGGAGGAGAGAGAGTGTGTATGTGGTGAACATCTGTGTGTGCCTGTTTAAGTGTACACATGGGGACTGTGTTATTTTTAGTTCTTAGACCTCATACAGCATGTTTAATACGCCTGTGAGTGTGTGCAGCGGACTTATTTAAGTGCATATATGGAGACTACAGTTTTTTTTGTTTTTGTTTTGAGACCTCGTGATACATGTGTAGGTTGTGTTTGAATGTATGTTTGTGTGTGTGTGTGTGTGCATAAAAGGGTAATGAACATCTGTGTGTGTCTGTTAAAGTGTACACATGGGGACTGTAGAACTGATAGTTCTGAAACTCATGATGTATGTGGGTGTGTGCATGACATCTGTTCAAGTGCACATATGGGGACGACACTTTTTTTCTGTTCTGAGACCTTGTGGTGCGAGTATGTAATGTCTTGGAATTTATGAACAGTGTGTGTGTGTGTGTGTGTGTGTGTGTGTGTGTGTGTGTGTTTGCACAGGCAGGAGATAAACATCTGTTTGTTCCTGTTTGAGCATACATATGGGGACTACTGTCTCGGTCGTCTTGACCTTGTGGTGCATGTTTGGTTTGTCTAATGTGTTTGTGTGTCTTTGTGTGTGTTAATGTATGTGTGGTTGTCTTGTGGGGGCGGGTGCAAACATTCATGTGTAATGTTTAAAGGGATACTCCAGCGTAAAATTAAATCAGGGTCAAACACACTATAACACCGAGTCAGACAGCCCATCGAGAGATGAATGTTGCCGACCGCTTCCATCTCTATACCAACTTTAGTAACGACCATAGGATAGCAATACAGAGAGCCACACGCTCAACCAAAACGCCACTCTATAGCCACAAATAATGCTCAGAACAGCACCTAACGCCATCAACAGAACATATAGGGTCCCAGCTATAGTACTAGCCACCAAACATCTTTTTAGCTTTGACTCATTTCTTTAGCAAAGAGACTAAACACAACTCACCTACTCTCTTCCAGCAGCCGCCTGTTTGTATGGAGACCTCCGGGCGAGTCCATCGACTGCAGTGGGGTGCCGCAGCTCAAGGAAGAACATTTATGATCATTTCTTTATTATTTCCTTGAAGTAACAATCACCATATTAATCATTTTGCACTGCAGACGTGGTAGTTCTTCTGCCTTTGCATCTCGGTCTGATTGTATGTCTATGAGGAGATGTTCGTAAATGTTCTTCCTTGAGCTGCGTCCCCCGCTGTGGTAATGGACTGGCCCAGAGGTCTGCGTACAAACAAGCGGCTGCTGGAAGAGAGTAGGTGAGTTGTGTTCAGTATCTTTGCTAAAGAAATTAGGCAAAGTTAAAAAGATGTTTGGTGGCTAGTACTATAGCTGGGACCCTATATGTACTGTTGATGAAGTTAGGTGCTGTTCTGAACATTATTTGTGGCTATAGAGTGGCGTTTTGGTTGAGCGCATGGCTCTCCGTATTGCTATCGTGCGGTTGTTACTAAAGTTGGTATGACTATAGAAGCAAGCGGTCGGCAACATTCATCTATCGAGGGGGTGTCTAACTCGGTGTTACGGTGTGTTTGACCCTAAATCAATTTTACGCCGGAATATCCCTTTAAGTGTGCATGAGGTGGCGAGTTTAGTTCCCGTACCTAATGCTGCATTTTTGGTTCCTCTGTCGACATGTACGAGTGTGTTTGATGAAAAGTGTGTATAGTGAATAATTGCGTGTCCCTGTTTAAGTGTACATGTCAGGGCTGCATTCTCTATTCGGGGACCATGTGTCACGTAGTGCATGTTTAGTTTGACTGTGAGTTAATTGTTTTCTCTAAGCGTGTACTGTGTGTGTGTGTGTGTGTGTGTGTGTAACGTCTCTTTGAATTGTGAGTCTGTATTTCCGCAGAGCTGCTGTGAGAGTCACCCTGGCTTTAAACTTTGTCGGGGGAACCAAACTACTTCAGAACTTTTATTTTCTTTTTATTGATTCATAATGGCTGACATTTTGAAGATACCAAATTTTCTCCCTGCTGCAGTGGCAGCTGGATAAAAAAAAAAAAAGAGTCCGCTGGGAGAGATGGAGGCAAAGGTTGGAAGAGACGGAGCGAAAATAAGTTCAGGGAAAATAATGTTGAAATTGCCTGCAGAGAGATTTAAAGGTGGATTTAAGGATAATTCCTTCACACATTTCCATCTCGAGTCACATTGTGTTTGCACACGGCTGCAGCCACACACAGACAAGCAAAAAGACACACCGGTGCTCAGAAATAACCTCAAAACTAAAACATCAGGCCAACAGAAAGCTATTTTTTTCTGACCAGGAAAGGAAACTTTTTCACGGCTAAAGTTTGAACATTGTGGTAAAACACTGCAGATAAGTTAATGTGTTTGCCCTGAATAATCATGAATTAGATTAAATGTAAAACTCCTGTATAATGACTCTAGGAGAGGACAGTAATTAAGGGTATTATATCGTGGTGTCTTGGTAACACCGTTTTTTGATTACAGCTATTTTTGAAACACCTGGGAATCGAGATAAAAACATCATCGTACACATCTTTTTTACTTTCAAACAGTGTTGAGATTGTTTGGAACAAGTTATGACAGAAAGTATCTGTTGTTTTGAAACAGTGACCTCTTCCAACTGGGGTATACCTTGAAACCAAAGATTCGAGTCGTGTTTATTTTAGCACTATGATGCCACCACAGCTAGTGCTCAGCCACAGTATGGATAGTTGTTAACAGACGTTGGAATATGTAGCGACTGCTTTCCTTCCTCGGGGTTTACGTTCGCTTTAGTCCGGTAATTGTAAGTTAGGGTTCAAAAATAAAGAAAGGAAACTGATCCAGGTCCAAAAAAGTGACATGCTGAAATGAGGTTAAAAGGTCTGCTGTTGGGTCAGTCTTCTCGCTTCCACCCGGGACGCATCTTGTTCCCCCTAGAAAGTCGCAAAATTGCATCCAGCTTGATAAGTCGTGATCTCGCGTCATATATTTGTGTCGTTCCCGGTGTGTAAGGACCTTAAGGATAGAAAACACTGTTTTATTGATACTGGTATTTTATTAAGCCACCTTACTAATCTGAGTCTCGAACAATCCCATTGTTGATACTTTGGTGTAGATGTAATTTCAACAAAAGCGGTTCAACTTTCTACGATGGTGTGTAATGTACCTTTAGCATTGGTGCACCACTGAATGGGACTCAACTCAAGATACAACATTTACTCACTGGACCCAAACCCAATGACAACCTCATATTCATTGGGTTTTGACACCGGGACCAGGTTGACCCCTTAAATCATACTGCAAAATATCATATCTATCTCACACTAAATCTCACTGAATTACAAAATTACAGTACATGAATCCTCTGTTACATTCAAAACTAACAACTCCAGGCTGTTTCTTGAGTATAAAATCGTCGGTGTATTCTCAGAAGTCTCGTAAACCTGGCCTTGTTTCGCCTCTTAACACACATGTGCTCTGGCTCAGTGATAATCACCCTCCTACACTCTTTCCAACCATACGGGACTCGCTGAAACTTCTTCCTCCTTTTACCTCTGAGTCACAGGCATTCATGAATAAACCAGCGAATGCTCTTACTTGCAATCTTTGGCGAGTGACCGCGGTGTAAAATGGATAATCCACTCTGAGGTCTGCGTTAGAGGATTAGTCAAAACACGCTTCACATCAGGTGGTTCTTTACCTTCGCGTCATGTGTTGAAACCCTTTTAAAACAAACACCTCCTTGTGGATTATCCCTCATTTAATCTTTAAATCAATACACAGATAAGAGGAGGTATCTTATTCTCCTGTCCGTCTCCCTTTTCTAAACCATCGTCCGCTGACACACGGATCCGGTTTCCTTTCTCCGTGCCCTCATATCTGCTGACATCGTAGGAGAAACCTAATCAGATCGTTATAATTAAAGAGGCCGGAGTGCTGGTGCAGAAGGTGGAGGAAGGAGGAGGCAGAGAGAGGAGGAGGAGATAGCAGCAGATGAGACGAGAGGTCGAGTCTGTCCACTGAAAGCCACTTAAATCCCTTTCTTATTAACTCTCAGTGACATATGATCTACCTCCATCCCCTCTATGAAAGCACACGCACACACGCACGCACACACACTCTACCGGCTCCGCTTTCAACATGAAACAGTCCCTGAATCTCTGCTGCATTTCTGCTGCATCCCTCACCTCAGTGAATCAGGGTAATTTCATTCAAAACAGGTATTACAGTGACATTTCCCGATGCAAATCAGGCCTCACCTCAAGCCGGAGAGGCCGCTGTAACTGAATGTAATTGACCAGCTTGGAAAAGTTGACATTTCTTAGGGCAGTAATGAAAAGTTCACCGCGCTCTACTTCACCAAAGTGTTTTTAAAGGACTGTAAAGATGTTTTTGCAAAAGGGTATATCCGACAGAGTGTCCCATTTGTTTGTACGCTATCGCACCGTCTCCGTTTTCTTGAGTCTAACCGTACCTTTAGGGGGTCTTTGTTGTCTACAAATTGCTTGATTCACAAGAGTTGCTGAGGTAGACTCGACTTCGACCTCCTGTATGTGCCGGGTCGTTAAAGAAAGGAAAGAGCACATGCAGTTCATGAAAACACAGCGCTCAGGCGGAGTGAGAAAGACATTAAACAGCAACCGTGGCAGAAGCACATTAAAGTGTCATGTTAAAAAGGATAGACTATCCAGATCCGTACAGTGTAGAGGGTTAATACCAGAGGTGGGAGAAAGTCCATATGTTGCAAGTCCAAGTCGAGTTTCAGGTCTTTGCTGTTAAGTCCAAGGCAAGTCCAAGTCGTTTGCTCTCAAGTCCGAGGCAAGTCCAAGTCAACACAAACAAGTCCCAAGTCAAGTCCAAGTCCTGAACTTTTTGTTTCGAGTCCCAACCAAGTCCTTACCGTTTCTTTCAAGTCAAAAACAAGTCATATCAAGTCCAAGTCGTTTGCTCTCAAGTCCGAGTCAAGTCCAAGTCAACACAGACAAGTCCCAAGTCAAGTCCAAGTCCTGAACTTTTTGTTTCGAGTCCCAACCAAGTCCTAGGAATTTTGCTTTGAGTCCCAACCAAGTCCTTACTGTTTCTGTCGTCAAAAACAAGTCATATCAAGTCCAAGTCATTTGCTCTCAAGTCTCGAGTCAAGTCCAAGTCAACACAGACAAGTCCCAAGTCAAGTCCAAGTCCATTAACTTTTTGTTTCGAGTCCCAACCAAGTCCTTACTGTTTCCTTCAAGTCAAAAACAAGTCATATCAAAGCCATAAACCATTTGTCATATGTAAAGATTTACATAAACCTTGAGCATTTTTCACTATTTGCATTTATCATTAAACAAGGGTTCTTGTTTGTGTTAAGTTACTCCCGGCATTGTCGTTATGAGAGAGGCTAGAGTTTGAGACAGTGTTACCAAGTTTCGTGAGAGAAATAAGGAAACAGACCTCCAGAAACAAGCCAAAAACAAGCAATTTTTAAGCAGACTTGGCAACACAACACGGTGTTACCAACGGCCGTAATTCCTGACTATTAGTTGATGCGACACTTTTTAAACAGTTTGGACTTGCTGTAAGGTATTAAGTGACTTGAAAAGACTTAATTTGACTTTTCAAGTCACTGGGCTCAAGTCAAGTCTCAAGTCTTTAGCAATCAAGTCCCAAGTGAGTCCAAGTCATTTCTTGATTTCATCAAGCAAGTCATAAAGGGGACTCAAGTCAAAGTCAAGTCTCGAGTCGAGTCGTCAAGCCCCCACCTCTGGTTAATACCTTCCTCTGGACTCGGATTTCTCCAAACTTGTGAATGTAAAGGGAACAGAGCGAACATGTTTAAAAGAAACGTTTTATTTATTTACGAGAACCAGAGTTCAGCTGTGCTAAAACCCACAAAGACTTCCGCTAAAAGCCCATATGTAGTAGAAAATGGTTTCGGTGTGCTATTTGTAAAAGAAAAAGGACTCAGCTCTGCACTCAAAGCCAAGGTCTCGCTGGGTGAACGGGTTGATACGCTGAAATTAGTCGGGAAGTATTTCGGGGGCTCGTACTAGGAGTGTTTTTGTGGAGGAAGGTCGTATCGGGTTCAAGAGGACGTCACTTGTTTGGAAGTTCATGTGTAGCTAAAAAGGACTGAACTCATCTGGAGGTGATTCAATCGAACAACTACCTCTGCGAAAAAATTGAGATTTGGAGAATAAAAGTTAAAAAAATTCAGGTCCAGGCCTTGCAGCTAAAGAAACAGCTCCGTCTTCACATTGTTAAAAATTATGTCTGCTATTTCATGAATGTAATGGCTTTTTATTGATCAGTCTTTTGGCTTCCACGGTGCTTTGTTTTCTCTTCTGACTCCTTTATGATAGAGTGAACTAAAGTTGACCCTCAGTGCAGATAAAGGTTTGCTCAGAAACAAAAATTCATCCAGATTCCCTAAAAAGCGTGTTACGGATAAATCGAAAGCGCAGGTTGCAGCGGTGGTCGGGTTATCCGGACGCTCACTTAGTGACATTGAAAATAATTAACTTGCATCAGACCTACGCAGCTGTGTCCACAGCAGTCTGCTCATCAATTAACGGAGGAGCATTAATGTGTTGGTGCATTAGCGTGTTGTACACATTCCTACTGAGCTGAATCGCTGAGGCGTCACAATCCCAGCTGTTCCAGTCCATTTGGAGTCGAAACAATAAACGTCACTATTGATGTTTCTATCGAGATATCTAACTAGTGAGATCAGCTGGCTGATCTTTTAAAACTGATTGTTATTATGGATTTTAGTTGATTTATTTTGCTCCATTTTACAAGCAAATGAAGTAAAATAACATCTTGTGTGAGCTTTAAGGGCCTGTGTCCACCAACACCTTAATCTTAAATTTCAGGGCCCTTTTTTTCAAGCTCATTAAACTGCAGTTGTAGATTGGAAATTGTGTTATGATCAATTTCTTGGACCTCTGTGATTGTTGCTAAAGAAAGTTGACATCAGACGCCACACCTTTTGTTAATTCTGATTGGTCTGTGATAAAGAAACACACAAAATTTGAACTAATTTTAACCAAGTTTTCTGACGGCAAATACAGCTGATGCTAAGGGTGGGTTTTTTAGTGCTTGAAATGCTGAGCTGTATTAGTTTTGTGCAGAAAGTCAGCACTGCAAATGCAAACAGAAAGTTGTAACTGGACACAGGCCCTTAAAAAGAGCCTGTGTCCAGTTACAACATTCTGTTTGCATTTGTGGTGCCAATTTTCTGCACAAAACTAAAACAGCTGATGCTAAGGGTGTTTTTTGTGTGCTTGAAATGCTGAGATGTATTAGTTTTGTGCAGAAAGTCGGCACTGCAAATGCAAACAGAAAGTTGAAAGTGGACACGGGCCCTAAAAGTCATGTCTACTGTTTATACAAAGTAACATACTTTAAGACACTTAAAAAAAGCTCTAGTGAGGTCAGCTGGCTGGTCTTTTCAACTGTTTGTTATTCTGGATTTTGGTTGATTCATTTTGCTCGATTACATTTTTTTTTACACGCAAATATAACAAAATTACATCTTGTGTGAGCTTTAAGGGCCTGTGTCCACTGACAGCATTCTTTGCACCTCAACCTCAAATTTCAGGGCTCTTTTCACAAACTCATTACGTTGCAGTTGTAGATTGGAAAATTGTTTCGTGATCAGTTTCTTGGACCTCTGTGATCTTTAGTTTTGTGAATTCTGATTGGTCTGTGATGAAGAAACGTGCCAAATTGCAAAAATTTTAACTATTTTTAACTAAGGTCATGATGGCAGTGACAAAAACAGCTGATTCTAAGGGTGTTTTGTGCTTAAAAGGCTGAGCTGTTTTAGTTTTTTGCAGAAAATTGGCGCAAACAGAAAATTGTAAGTAAGCATGATGCACTTTTTAGGGCCTGTGTCCACTTACAACTTTCTATTTGCATTAGCAGTGCCAATTTTCTGCACAAAACCAATACAGCTCAGCATTTCAATCACACAAAAAACACCCATAGTGTCAGCTGTATTAGTTTTGTGCACTGCATATGCGAACCGAAAGTTGTAAGTGGACACAGGCCCTAAAAAGTGCATCATATCCACTTTTTATTGCAAATTTCAACTTAACAACCACTCTTGCTGAGCACATTTCCTTTTTCTATCAATAAGTTTCACATGAAAGCGCATTTAACTCTTTAAAACTGAAAAATGATCCACTTTCAGAGAGAAGAGTACAAAATTACATATTTTAAGACGCTGAAAAAAGCTCTCTCTCCCTCTTTGTGCTGACATACCCATAGATTTACACCATAGATTGGTCAGAACAGACCATCAGCAGGTAAAATTCTAGTTTAAATTCAGTTCCATATACATACGACTAAAGAAGCTGGATGATTACGCTCACAAAAGAGGCAAAAAGTATTTTCAGTCCCTTGTGTGAGGATTCGCCAGTTTTCTTTGTGTATCATCTAAAGGACTGAGGGGCTCTAGGTAAAAGAAAAGAAGCGGTATCGATCAGAGTGAAGGGATGACAGACAAATAAAGAACTGGATCAATAGTTTGTTGCCGTCCGAGCAAACTGATTTCCATTTTCCTTTGATTTGAAAGGATATTACACAAAGCTAACCCATTATTACAGATTCAGACATGTTTTCGCTCCTCTTCCAACAGTCCTCTTTGTACAGTGGATGATTTAATGATCCCGTTCACAGGAGTGGGCGGCAGGAACACAGCCGCGGTCAGCAGCTCCCAGCTGAGGCCGTTCGTGCTCGAAACTGATGCGCCCGTGCTCGCCCACCATAACATGGATAAAAGCCTGCGTGGTGGTGTGAAATACAGCTGCCTTTAGTAACATGACTGTTGGCATGTGTGCGGACGGTGTAATCAAGGATAGAGACAGCCGCCATTGTCATGCAAGTGATAGGCCAATGAGACAGTGTTGGACTTCTTCCCAGGTTCCGTTGCAGTTGTAGAGTTTTGGTATCACGGGTCAAGTGACGGCAGAGGACTCTCCCTCTGAAGTACTGTAGGTTTTCACATACGAACGACCCTCATTACTGACGGGGCTTAATGTGCAGCGCCATCTGTCTGGGGTTTGAGCCAAGAGAGTATAAAATAGTGTGAATGTGAGTGTTACAGCTGTGGAAGGTAATGAAGGTATCATTCACTGTATTATTACGGAGTGAAAAAAGCCAAGCTTCGCCGCCTCCTTTCGCTAATGGATCCCTCCATTATTCACTGGATAAATCCTCCCCACGGTGTCCGTCTCTTTTCCTCTTTTGTCCGCCTTTTTTCTCCCTGTCCTTCAGCTCCTCATTTCTGCCTCCTTTCATCCTTTCCACCCGTGACCCTTCCTCATGTTTCCGCCTCTTGCCGCCTAATTTCCACCGCCATTCTCCTTCCACCTCATCTTCATTTTCGCTGTCTCATTACACCTCTAAACGCCCCGGTTCTACTTTTTTTTTTTCCCCCCTCCACCTTTTTACTCACGCACTCTTCATCTCCCCTCTTCTCCGTTCTGTTCACAGCTCCAGTGAAGCAGACAGAGATGTCGCAGAAGAAGATTTTCCTCATCTGCGTTGCCATCAGTACCGTCAGCCTCCTGCTGCACCATGGGGGCCACTTAAGCTGGTGAGTGACTGAAACACACCTTGCGCAGATGATCTCTCTATAAGTCCATATGCTGTTTATTCCTGTATGCGATGAGGAGACTGTGCGTGCTGAAGCTTTGCTATGTTACTCAAGGGACCAATTAGAAAAGTAGAGGAATCTTACAAAGAGATTATGCTTCATCGTCAGGTTTTTGTTCAGCTCTACAACACTTCCCAACTCAACTTCTAAATTTGCTGAAAAACTTTTTGCAAATTCATGTCTCTACTTTATATCAGTTGGAAATTATCACCCCAGTCTCTTTTTTTTTTTTACCTTTTCTTCATAACTGTACCTCTGCAGCGAGGCTACATGCTGTAAAACTGCAGGGTGTTCAATATGCACCGTGGACTATGTCGGATTGGACCTTTCTGGAATTTATAATAAGTGTCTTTGCTCAGATAAAACTGGTTCATGAATATTTATGGTCACTTGTCGACACCCATACTGCTTTTTATGGAAAATCTGCATTTTGGAAAAGGATTGATGCCCAACTCGAGCTCGCTTTTACTTTTTCTATGTAACGTGCATCATCAGGCTTAATCAGTTTGGTTTATAATATATATTTGGAAAACATTTTAAAGCACCTGTAAGCGGTTTTTAAGAGATCTTCAAACTGATGCCTCTGTTTGAAATTTGCTGGACTCCATGACGAGGATTGTGATCAGGTTGTCCCTAGCGTTGCTTCTGCGATTGAGAACAATGGTGCGTTCGAGTTACCGCGGAAGTCAGATGTCGGAGCTGAAAATGACGTCACACCAGAGTTACCAGCATTTCAGTTACCAAGCCAGAAGAAAGAAAAACGGAGGCCTGAAACAAGATGGCTACATCTACGAAAGTTATTTTAGTGCTTGCTCTATATTCGGACAAGGAAAGTGCTAGCCATCTTGTTTCCGCCTCCGTGATTTCATTTTCAGCTTGGACCTCTGACTTCCGAGGTAACTCTAACGTGGCACAAGTCAAAGCCATTATGGGACTTCGACCAATCAGAATCAAGTATTTTACAAATAGTATTCTGGCTAGGTAAAAATGTTGATCATTGACCAAAGAATTCAATATAAACAATTATGATACCTTTTTTATCGTGCAATCTCGGTGTCCTCCATTCCTCAGCAGTTTTATCTTTTTCCATCATGTGCTCTGACGATTCTCATTTAGGTTCCGCCTTGCCACTGTCTTTGAGAAAATGATCATAATGTCAACATTTTAGTTGAGGTTTGGTGCTTTTTTTAAGAGTTACTAGGTCTCAAAACGGATTTCAACCATGCCTTTCTTTCCCTCTCTAGGACAATGGAGGCCTTCCACCTCAGCTGTCCAGGCCTCCGTTCCTTCCCTCTACGGGGCCTGAAACCGAAGCACACCAGCGTGGCCTTCCTCAAGACCCACAAAACAGCCAGCTCCACCATGCAGAACCTGCTCTTCCGCTTTGCTGAGCGCAACAACGTCACGGTGGCGTTGCCCATGCAGGCCTGCAGCCACCAGTTCTGCTACCCGCACTCTTTCACCTCTCACTTTGTCCATCCGCACACGATACCACCCAACATCATCACCAACCACATGCGCTTCAACAAGGCCGAGCTGCAGCGTCTAATGCCCAATGATACGATATACATCACGATCCTGAGGGAGCCAGGGTCCATGTTTGAGTCTTTGTTCAGCTACTATAACCAGTACTGTCAAAGCTTCAAGAGAGTCCCCAATGGTTCCCTGGAGGCTTTCTTAGAGGATCCCTGGCACTACTATCGACCGGATGAGAAAGACTCAATGTATGCACGCAACACGGTCACCTTTGACTTGGGCGGAGATAAGGATAGGCCGGCAACAGATGTTGCTTACGCCCAGAACTTTCTGGGGGAGGTAGAGCGAACTTTCTCACTGGTGATGATAGCCGAGTACTTTGACGAATCTCTGGTCCTCCTTCGCCATCTCCTGTCTTGGGATCTGGATGACATTTTATATGTAAAGCTTAACATGAGGACAACCAGCTCAAAGCGAAGCCTGACACCGAACCTTTCTGCAAAGATCCGTGCCTGGAATTCCATAGATGCACGACTCTATGACCATTTCAATGCCTCACTGTGGCGCCAGTTGTCCGATCTAGGTCCTGCCTGTGTGGCAAGAGAGGTGCGACTCCTTCGGCAAGCCCAAGAGAGGTTAATGAGGAGCTGCTTCGGTCAGCGGATGCCCCTTTTACGCTCTGCCACACAGATCAAGAACAAAGATCTCCGCCCCTGGAAGCCTAGTGGAAAAGTTGACATCGTGGGTTATGACCTTCCAACAAATCTCAGCCGTGGTTTTTCAACCCAGGCCCAGGAGCTCTGCCTCAAGCTAGTCATGCCAGAGGTTCAGTACACAAGAGTTCTCCTACGCTCTCAACTTCTGCACTATCGACGAAGCTACCAGCTCCGGTCACCCCAGCAGCCACGTTCCCCTCAGCAGCCTATTCGCACAGTCCTACTGCGGCATCCTCAAGGGCAGCGCAACCAACCACCCCCAGCAGCTCAAGGCCCTGCTTCAGGAACAGGGTCTACCTCAACTACAAAGCCAGCGAAGGGGGCTCAAGACCCAACCACAAAGCAAGGGCCCAAATCCTCACAGACGGAGGCCTCATAGACTTAAAAAAACAGAGACTTGAACATAATCTGAGTGCCCGATAGACTGCAGTGTTTACCCATCCTGCCCCCTTGAGACAAAGATGCTTGGTTAGGTGGGGGCATTAGCAAACAAGGGTGTCTTTGGGAAATCAATGTCCCCCCCTGTCCCTTCAAGTCAGTTTGTGATAAAAAAAAATACATGAGGAGAAAGAAGGGAAAGAGGGTTGGTAATGTCGGGACTTGAACTTGAATCCCTCCCCTCTGTGGTCTGTGAAACAGTATCAGAGTTGGCAGACACAAGAGCCGGAGAAATCTACACTAGGACACGGCTCAATTGCACTCCTCTGCAAACGGATTGGAGAGGGTTTTAGGTGAAAGTGGTCCTTTGAAGCAAATCTGTATGTGCGACAGGGACTCAATAGGGAAGTGGCGATATCAGGCCTATTGTGAGGCACAGAGTGGGCTTTGTGTGTATCACACTGGTAAAGTATCGTGTTACTTGCTTTCATTCTCTGTTTCTCGGGCCCTCTTTCCTTCTCTCTCCCTAACATATGCCATTAAAAGTCCTTGAGAGAGGCATAATGACATAAAGGGATCGGCTGTCAGGCTTCCAAAGAGCCTCCTAAGAGGCCGGACAGACACTGAGATCACCTTCAAGCATTAATACAACTGCACAATCAACAACTCTTCTTCTCTTACGGGCCTAAAGCAAAGCTGGGAGGGGGGGTTAAAAGCAAAGAAAGACACCTCATCCCGGGGGTTAGCAGAAAGACAGCTAGATACTCAATTCGGCCCCTCATCACTGCTGAGACTGACACAGTCGTAAAGCCAGTGTCCACTCTGCAGAGCTCCCTACATCCTCTGATCCCTCATGCTGCCCTCTGGTCACGCTCTCGACAACATTCCACCTTCTTTACACCCCCCTCTCTCTCGACTCAGATCCTATCCATAGATCGTACAGTGATGACAAGGTTTCTGGATGTGAAGTTTTATTGCAATACGATCCCCGGGCCTTCATTCTATATGAAAGGCGTGGATTTAGTAACCCCACCAGCAACCCCACACCGCGTACACTGGCACAAACAAAAACGTAAAGCAACTCGACAGGACAAAGACTCGAAGCCTGTGGGTCGCAGTGTTTGAATATTTAATCCTCTCCTCTCATAGCGCTCCTATGGCCAGTGCTCTTGGGTTACATGGCGGTACATTTTCATAAAGAATGCAAGGACCGGACAAATAACTGCTCTTTCCTGATCGGGAATCGCAGGTGAACGGAGCGAGATCATCGGCGTACGAGGCGAGCCGGTGAGCCGTCTGGTTTGTCTGAGAGCTGAAAATGTCATCTCTTATCTCAGCTGTGATCCATTTTTAAAGCATTCTGCTCATATAATGTGTCATTAATGTTATTTTATTCCTCCAGTGATCAGCAGGGTACTGCTTAGTGACAGAAAGGCGGAGGAGGGACGCTTGTGTGTATTTTGTGAGCGTGCGCGTGTGTGTGGGACAGTGAGTATGTGGGCCAGGAATGTTGTATTTTTTCATGGCCAGCCAAGTTGGCATGGCAACAAAAGGATGTAATGTGTGTGAGGTTTATGAAAACTATGTGTTATTTATTATCAGGACCCAAAGAGTCCAATTACTGTATTTTAAACTGTTTTATTTTTCATGAACCACTGGATAAAAACGCTACTACTATCAAAGTGAGTGGACATTTACGTGGTCAGTGAACCGTGAATGGTCAAGGCATGTGGAGACGATATAAATGATTCATCTATAAATGTTTTACATAATGCGAAACGACAAAAAACCACTTCTGAATAACCGCACATTGAAACAAGTGTAGTCGCTTTAAAATTCATCCTGCATTGAGCGGCGCTTGAGTGCTCGACCGCATAATGCTTTTCGTGGTTGGGAGTCCGTCACACTGTTGGGTACAATAAAGAGAAATACACAAAGGAAACACAGACACGTGTCAAAGAAGGATGTACTGTTTAATGTGGTTTAGGAATATTTAAATTCAAAGTGTGCTTATCTGAACTTACTGGGAAACATCAAGATTCGCAGCCATTGTTATTTATTCACAGGTGACGGAATTGTGTTTTTAAATCATGATATAAACTGTATCTTTGACACACAGCCGGAAATGTTTATGTTAAAGTTGTTTTCTTTTTTTTTTTTTCTGTACCAAGAAATCCTGCGCAAAAAGACCAATCACACAACGTGTCGTTCAGTCGGCTGACTACTTCAACCTTTCTGTCGACCGCGTCGTCAATCAGGGGATGAAGTGAAGCGAGTAATTACTTAGTTGTTTCAACAAAAACTGCTAAATTCCTGCACGCTATCTAACTTGCAAAAATTACCTTTCAGTCGGTCGACTCAGGTTGTATTGATGAAAACTGGTGCTGGTGCTGCTTTGAACAACAGCAGGTTATGTAAAGATTTGACTCGACTCGTTGTTTTTGGTCTTCAAACAGGATTTTTTGGTTAAAAAGAAGAATAAGGAGCGTCCACATCCTTATCCTTCAGGGAGGTCCTTTTTTAAATTAAGCTGCTGCTTTGACAATGCTTCAACCTGCTGAACGATGACACTGAATTTATGTTTTGTCTGTCATTTGTTTTATATATATATGTTCAATTTAAAGCTCCTGTGAGGAACTTTGTTTCAGTTTTGGCATCTCGACACGCTTAAAAAGTGACATTGACAAAAAGAAACAATTTTCATGTTTGACAATTGAAAGTGAAATTAACCTTTTACTAGGGGTGTCCCAATACAACTGTTTTCCGATACCATACCGATATTTTACCCTTCAGTACTGGCCGATACCGATGTTGAGCAGATATTAACACAAACTTGTGCACAACAAGATTTGCACTCAGCAGAAACGTCTTTTTCGGACTTTGACGAAAAATACTGCCACACGGCCACATCTTAGCCTACTTTGTGAGGAACTTAGTACATATTGTTGTCGTAAACACGTGTGCTTCCGATGCTAAATCTGGATGCTGCGAGATGGAAGTGCTGGAGTGGAGTCTGGAATGGACTGCTTGAATCGGAATGCTGATCTTGGAAATTTTAGATGCAGGCTGATATAATCTGATAATTGTTTTTTTTGCTCATATTGGACCGATATTAATATATTATATAAATATTGGACTGATAACCAATATCAATAGCAGATTGGGACACCCCTTCCATTTATTGTGAAAAAGCGTTAAAAAACAGCTCCCTCCTCCCACGGGTTTCAGGCATTAAAAATCAGGATATAAAAACGTCAGTCTTGACGTTGATGATCTCGTTTGCTGTCGGTTGTCATTAAAAAGGCATTAATATGAATTTCTGTTTGTCAAAAAAAAACTCCTCACAGGGGCTTTAAAGTAAAAAGTATGACAATAAATCGCAGAATCACGAACACGTAAGGTCAATATGTGAAACCATTGTATTGTCAGATAATCCAATTGATGTTCCAAGACTTGGCGGGTCATTTCTGATTTGTTATAACCTTTCATTCTCCAAAGCCGGCAGGTATTATATAAACCAAACCTCCTCTAGTGAAGGTATCTGTGTAAAGTGCTCTGATTGGAATAATCTGACAAAACAAGCTTTAGAGCGGGGACTTTTTATTACAATTGACCTGAATGAGGAACAATCTGAGTGGATGTAATATTTTTGATCAGAACGAGACGAGCTTTCCAGTTTCGAGGATTATGTGACAATTTCATGGTTGTGCTCCCGATGATTATGACTATAAAAGCATCGTTTGTAGAGCAGAAACGGTACATGCTATCTGAATAATGTCAGAGAAGGAATTTGAATTACTTCACCCTGAGAAGGAGGAAGATTCTGCTTTATTTATTCCTGTTTTTAGTGGCTGTGAGTCTCTCCAAGTGCTCTTTTTGATCGTGAAAGTTGTCCACCTAACTAACTCTTCTGCTTCTTGTGAATGACATTGTTCAAGACGCTGGAGAAACGGTCGAATCAACATCTTTACATCCTTCTCCTCTGTGTTATTTTAAAAGGAATGAGAGTGAGTTTGTGTTTGTTTGAATGAACTCCTCAAAACGGAAACATCGTCGGGTGAAAGTGGGATATTTCTTCTTTAACTTCTTCTCTTACGGTATTTTCCTCTTTAATCTGCTCATGATTTTCATCCTCTGTTATCTGTGAACTCAGAAGAGGGAGAGGCTTTTTTGATTTCATCTGGGTGACTGACTCGAGGAGTACTGGGTGGGTGATGGGGGCTCTGAGGAGACGCCTAATGACAATCAGAGCTAGGAGCCCCAAAGCTTTGTAACGAAGGACTGTGAACGTGACGAATAAAGTTTGACTGAATTCAAATCAGCTGCTGGTGCACATGTTCTTGTCTCTGCCGTTTCCTTCTTTTAATGCAGATTTATTCATGTATGCGCTGACTTGGATTATTCTGAATATTAACATGATGAACACACACTCACTCACTCACTCACTCACCCACACACACTCAATCAGCGCCAATATGAAACACGCCGCGACACTCGGGGTCAATTAAGATTCTGATCCTAAACGGTTTCTATTCCCCTGAAGACCCTGACCAGAGATCCGAGCTCGCAATCAGTCCTGTGAAATTACCTCCGTCCAGCTCACCGGCCTAAGCGAACGAACAAATTGCTTCTCTGGAAACACAAAAACAAAATGCAAAGTTGTGTTTGTTTGATACAGATGTGACTGGAGCGATCACAAAGCTCAGCATTAACCATTTTTCTGTAAGAATAACTCAGAAAAGCTCAATTAAAAAAAAAACACTTCCACTTTCCTTTTTTTTTTTACCCTTTTTAGTTTGTGCAGACTTAATGTTTGCATCTAAAATATCTGGCAGTAAAATGAAAAACATGCAACAATTGAAGAAAATCAAATGTTAAATATGGAAAACTTTCTGGAAGTTGTTAGTTGTCAAAAGCATTTGACAGAGCAGAAATATAGAAGATATACCTGGTTCAAGTATCGTCTATGTGCGGGAAAAACTTATCGAGATAATAGACAAAGTGACACAAACTGTTGTTCAAAATCCATCTTTTCTGAGGATACTTACCCCCAATTTCCACCACATCCGAAAAGGCCGTAATCGCCGATCGCAGCTGATCGTAACCATTCAAGTTATTGCGTAGATTTCCACCGGCTTCTTTCCGTTTTGCTGCCGATCGCCGGACTTTGCAGCTGATCACAAGAGTTCTTTTTTTTCCGGAGCATGCCGGATAAATTCAGCACAGATTAACCCGTGCTGGAAAGGAAGTTGGGTACAGACACAAATTAAAACATCCGGCTTCATTTCAAAATAAAACACTACATGTTTCAGGCAGATCGTATTTCACACCATGCAAACAGGTGAAAGGTTTATTGACACCATTTCATCCTATGACACCATGGAAATGCTGATTCTTGAAGTCTAGAAGTAGATTTCCTGTAGAGACAACTTGTTATCGTGCCATTGCAAGTAAATCCACGGGTTCTTGTGAGTTCTTGCGATTCCCGCTGTCCATAATCTACCACGAAATTTCGCCTCACAAACTGATCCAATAGGAATTGGCAGACAGGCCGGCTGGTGGATTTTGGTGGCCCTAAGCAAGATTTTGTTTGGTGGCCCCCCAAAACACTCCCTGTGCAACCCCCAAACAAAACGCTACCGATATTGGTTGTGGCCCTCCATTTTGTTGCATTTTAAACAGACGATGACTTCACAATGAGCTTCTAGATCATCTAGAGTCTAGACAAGTGGTGGGCAACTTTGATGATGGAGAGGGCCACCATATTTCCACACTCATTCCAGGTCCATTCGATGTCACACAAAAGTTGCAAAAATAGTCGATCTACAAGCTCCCTGGGTTTCCAGTTGCCCATGTATGGTCTAGAACTAGCTAGCTATTGCTTATAGCACGGGACGGCTGTGACGAAATTCGTCACCGTTCTGGATCAAAGCCATTCCGGATGCAGAGGGAATTCGGTGTTAAACACTCCTCTGGTATGAAATAACTAAAAGGCAACCAGATATTTTGGTGGATCTGAGCCGTTCTGAGAGCTCATGTTAGCTTTTTACTGAGTCAGCTTTAAAGGTAGTTACACCTGGTTTTTTCTTGTGGTGTTGACACTTAAAAGTCGCTTCAGTCATTGTGAAGATCAGGTTACAAAACAAGCTGAATAATGTGCGTTTAATAAGCTAAAGTTCATCAAATCTGTCCAAACAAACGCCTCCAAACCAAACTAAGACCGTCAACGTCTTTAAGATGTCGAAACGGGAGGAGAATTCCAACTCCACCTTGGAGGATCTCATTAATTCCATGGCGTGGATTAACATGTTGAGCACATACTGTTCTGTGTCTCAAATTATCTGATAATTCGTTGAAAGAGCACAAGTGGAACTCTGGGTAATTTGCAAGCGGAGGATTGTCAAAGGTTAGCTCGAGCGCGCTGCCTTGATTGCACTCTGATTGGGCTTTAAATGTCAGGCACTTTTTCATCAACAAGAAGTGAATTTAAATTCTACAGGAAACGGGACCCGGAGCTAAATTATGAGGAACAATTCAAAACTTCAGGAGAACTTTGGTCACTTCAGAGAGATGTTTTTATTTTTTTAAGACAAGCAAACTTTAGTCGAGCATATTTCTGGAAAAGCTGCAACACTTGAATCAATCTGATGATCAAACAGCCACCACATTTATTGAGCTGTTTTTCTGGCGTCTTGTGAGCGTGGTACTTACAGATGGTTCTGCTAAAAGTGAGTCACAAAGAAGGAGGAGAGGAGATACCACGAGCAGAAGAAGAAACACCAAATGGCCTCCAGCAGGTCACAAAGGGCAAGACACAAGATCTATGGTACGCCCCCTAAAAATAGCTGAACAAAGTGGCTCCAGAATGAACAGGAAGTTAGAACTGCATAATCTGATTTGTTAGCAACTACATCTATATATATATATATATATATATATATATATATATATATATATAGTCAAACATTTGGTCTACATAAACATCAAAATTCAACTGAAATTACACTCCATTTAAGATATTTCTGACTCGCTGACTGATCACGATAAACAATCATGAAACTGAAATAGTCTAAGCTAATAACCTTATCGGGATAAAAAGCAGATTTAATATTTCATTTACTAAATAAATTTTTTTTTAAGTAAGCGAAATTCCTAAAAGGAACTCCCTGATTAGCTGACAGAAAGGAGCCTCTTGATTGGCCGTTCAAAATGAAAGCAGTCTCCTGATTGGCAGACACAAAAGAGCCTCTTGATTGGCAGATTTAAAGTGGAAGGATCTCCTCACACCCCTTACCCCCAATCTCCACCGCATCCGGAACAGCTATGAAAAGGCAATAACCGCCGATCGCAGCTGATCGTAACCATTCTTGTCAATGTGTCAATTTCCACCTGATTTTTTGCGCATTCACATCTGGAGTCCGTCATTTAATCCCAAGCGTACTTGGATACGCCCCGCGCCAAACCCGCCCAGAGGGCTCTGTGGCCGACCATAGCAGACGAGAGCTGTTGGAATGACGGGACGTTTGATAACTTGGTAACATACCCCCACTCCGACAATTAGAGACCAATGGCGGAATGGCGGGATGTCGGAATGTCGGTTGTCCCCCCGCCAACTCGTTATTGCGTGGTTGCATGTTGAGTTCATGTTGAGTTCTTGCGGGTTCTTGTGAGTTCTTGCAATTCCTGCTATCCGTAATCCGCCATGAAATTCGCCTCAAAAACGGATTTGGTAGGAATTGGGGTACGGCGATGTTACGTCCTGATAGGCTAGGGGTAAAACCAGGTAAGGATGGAAATAAAAAGAGAATGGCAAGAATTTGCAATAACTCAAGTATTTTAATCACAATACTTGCCACAGTTCCGGATCAGAGCCATTCCGGATGGGGTTGAAATCCCGGGTTAGCCCCCTCTGTTTTCTCAAGCCCCCTCAAACCATTTTATCATGACTACATAAAAACTCGGCCTTTAAAGATGTGCCTCTCTAGACTCAAGCTTCATGTCGTGATCTACAAAAACATCTCCTATAAAACTGAAAGACGTCCACGTCCGTCTAAAGATTAACATCTTTATTTTTATCTGCTTGATATTAAACGATTGACTCAAACTTTCCGCCTACTATCTTTGTCAGAGTCAAACTTAAAAGGTTTCATTATTTCACGTCTTCCCTAAATTATGTCACTTTGATGCATCGTGTTTTTCTCCAACATCTCAGCTCGAACACCTGGAGGCAGATGCACGCAGCTCTCCAGCTCTTTTTATCAGACTGTGTTGGCGACGGATGTTGCAGGCTAAATGTAGTCCAGCTTTGTGAGTCACGGAGAGCAAGGAGGCACCGCAGCTCCGAGGTTTTTTTTATGTATTTTTTGCCTTTTGTGAGTCAGAGCGTGTTGGAACAATGCGGGAGCGAAGGAGGCTGGCTGGGTGGGCTGTTAGAGCAGCTTATCCCTGATAATGTTCGCTCATCCCCTCTCCGCCGGGCTCAGAGGTGCTACTGACATCCAATCTACCTTTTGTTCTTGCCTTTACTTTCTCCTCTGCTCAGATGGAATTTATAGTTTCACATGTGTTTCTCTCAGGCAGGAATTATGTAATTGAGCCGGATAAACCCGTGAAAGGATCACAGTGTTTTTTTTTTTGTTTTTTTTTCCGGGAGTAAAGAAGTTCGAGGAAAAAGCAAGAGTAGGCAGCTAAAGTTTTAATTAGCAGATTAATGCTAATTATTGGGATTAGTTGAATTTCCACAAATCGACATCTTACTGTACCCACAGCCTGAGTCTTAATAAACAGCCAGGTAATTAAAAGTGTCCAGTGGCTGTTTAAAGAGCGTGATGAGTTTGGCTTCAGTCAACAATGGTTCACGAGACACAACGGTCCTTGGGCATGGACCACACTCAGCATTCCTGCCAAGGTGTTCGCTGAGATGATCAATGTGTTGGTGAGTGGTGTCAATGGAATAAAGGGGCAGCAAGAGGTGTGAAGTTAATCAGGTATTTAACGCTGCTCAACATAATCCCGGTAACAAAGATGCTAATGTCAATATCAGCAATGAATTCTCTTTAAAATTAACAAAAGTGACATTTATGCGAACGTCAAAATCTGTTGAATTTCCAACAACCTGTTTTCTCCAAAGTCCTGTGACTGATTTGATCTCTGATAAAGATCATCAGTCAGACCTTTACAGGAGCCAGTCACCAGGGGGCGCTCTAAAAGTCACAGGTGCCTCATGAGTTGTTCACAACTTTCGCAGGTCTTCTTCAGCTTTTCCTTGGCACTTTCGACCGATCTAAGGCCCCATCCACACAGAAACACATTCAGGGGTAAACAGGAATTTTTTTGCATTGGCGCTTCATCCACATGGAAACGACATTTCGGGTGACTGTAAACGATACTTTTAAGAAAACAGGCACCAGAGTGGATAAATCTATTTACAACTGGAAAAGCACTCAGAGAGCGCAGACCTCTGCCAAGCAGCTCATGTCCCCCCTTAAACAAGAAATGCTAACCACTACACCACTGTACCACCTATCTACACCACTGTGCCGCCCATTGGTTATCTTTCAGCATTGAAAATTCCAACGACACCCTTATTTGTGTTTGTTCTGGATCACAGTATCCAGAATTTTGTCCGGATCACCACCAAAATTTAATGGAATCCTCCTGGGGCTGAGACGCACCTCCGGTGAAAATTTCAGGTCAATCCGTCTGTTACTTTCTCCAGACAGACAAACAAACCAACGCTGCCGAAAACATAACCTGCTTGGCGGAGGTAACTACCGTTTTTTTTCTGTGTAGATGCCTTTCCGCATCTGTCTTGAAATGATCACGTCACACAGCGTAACTCTCTTAATGCGCCTATGTGTGTTGTGTTCTAGGGGGCAGCGTTACAGTGCCACCTACTGGCTTGGCATATGCACTACATTGTTTTCAGTTGTTTTGAGAGGTTTTGTGTTTACGCAGATATTTGATGAAACAATTCCATCTCTAAGGAAACTTTTAAAAATAAAACGGCAGTACATCATTTCCATATCATGCGGAAAAGGCCTAACCCGGCATTTCAACCACATACGGAATGGCTTCGATCCGGAACTGCGGCGATTTTGGCCGCACGCCAATTTCTACGGGATCCGTTTGTAAGGCTAATTTCATGGCGGATTAGAACTCTTGGGATCGGCTGCGAAGTCCGGCGATCCGCAGCGGAACAGAAATAAGCTGGTGGAAATTGGCACATCAACTTGAGTGGTTACAATCTGCAACGGCCTTTTTGTAGCCATTCCAGATGCGGATATTGGGGCTAACACCTAGTCATATTTTAGCTAACGACTATTGTCTAGTTTTGTGTTGTCTGGATAAAACGTATCCAGATTATTTACGTAAGGTTCCGCCCCTGTTTGTATGAGTGTGCGCTGTCAATCTAACCGCTAATCTATCGGTCACATTCACTCGTACTGTCTCACCAGGACTCTAATTTCCTCGTATTTCTTGTCCGTCTTGAAGAAATAAACATTTTTCACATGTAGATGTTCTGGGAAGAGGACGGAGCAGGCTAATTGAGTGATGACTGCGTTTGGCATGAGAGGAGAAAGCCTTGGAAAGTGTGTGTGTGTGTGTTTGAGTCGACTTCTGACAGCTC